TACTCTGTTCAATCTGACTGCGCAATCCACTGTCTCATCAGCCCAGCCTGGACATTTATGAACTTGATCTCCACTATAAAAAGCATATAGACATTATGTCACATTTCTTTTAGACTAACATTTAGTTTTCTGCAGTGTAGATGGAGATTTGTATAAACCTTGCTGTCAGTCTCTCCGACATTTGCAACATTGTTTCAATATTCACATTTATTCTCCAGCTGTCCCATAGTAATGAACGTGTCGGGATGAGACAGACAGGCAGGCAGCTTTCCTCAGCCAGTCGAAATCATGAATCAGCATCATTTTTATAGATATACAATACCGTTCAAAAGTTTGGGGTCACATAGAAATGTCCTTGTTTTCGAAAGAAAATAAAAAATGTGTCCATTAAAATAACATCAAATTGATCAGAAATACAGTGTAGACATTGTTAATGTTGTAAATTGCTATTGAAGCTGGAATCGGCTGATTTTTTATGGAATATCTACATAGGCGTACAGAGGCCCATTATCAGCAACCATCAGTCCTATGTTCCAATGGCACGTTGTGTTTGCTAATCCAAGTTTATCATTTTAAAAGACTAATTGATCATTAGAAAACCCTTTTGCAATTATGTTAGCACAGCTGAAAACTGTTTTGCTGATTAAAGAAGCAAAAAAACTGGCCTTCTTGAGACTAGTTGAGTATCTGGAGCATCAGCAATTGTGGGTTCGATTACAGGCTAAAAATGGCCAGAACCAAAATAACTTTATTCTGAAACTCATCAGTCTATTCTTGTTCTGAGAAATGAAGGCTATTCCATGCGAGAAATTGCCAAGAAACTGAAGATCTCGTACAACGCTGTGTACTACTCCCTTCACAGAACAGCGCAAACTGGCTCTAACCAGAATTGAAAGAGGAGTGGGAGGCCCCGGTGCACAACTGAGCAAGAGGACAAATACATTAGAGTGTCTAGTTTGAGAAACAGGCGCCTCCCAGGTCCTCAACTGGCAGCTTCATTAAATAGTACCCGCAAAACACCAGTCTCAACGTCAACAGCGAAGAGGCGACTTTCTAGGCAGAGTTGCAAAGAAAAAGCCATATCTCAGACTGCCCATCTTAATCTTTTATTTTTATTGGCCAGTCTGAGATATGGCTTTCTCTTTGCAACTCTGCCTAGAAGGTCAGAAGGCCATTTTGATCCTGTAATCGAACCCACAATTGCTGATGCTCCAGATGCTCAACTAGTCTCAAGAAGGCCAGTTTTATTTATTCTTTAATCAGCACAACAGTTTTCAGCTGTGCTAACATAATTGAATGATAAACTTGGATTAGCAAACACAACGTGCCATTGGAACACAGGACTGATTGTTGCTGATAATGGGCATCTGTACGCCTATGTAGATATTCCATTAAAAAAAAATGTCCAGCTACAATAGCCATTTACAACATTAACAATGTCTAACAACCATTTCCAGCTACAATAGCCATTTACAACATTAACAATGTCTACACTGTATTTCTGATCAATTTGTTGTTCTTTTAATGGACAGAAAAATTGCATTTCTTTCAAAAACAAGGACATTTCTAAGTGACCCCAAACTTTTGAATGGTAGGGTATACAAAGAACTATCAATAGAAAACATTTTGCTGTCTTTCCAGCTTCAGTTTGAAGTGATTGTGTTAGTTGTGTTGTTGGCTAGCTCCTCAGAACAACAGTGTCCTGACGAGAGCACATTTTCTATGCCAGGCGAAATCGTGCATCATTGTTATGGATGTATCCAAATAAACGTCACTACAAAACAGCTTAAACAAACTAAAATGCATCTACTTTGCTGTTATTCTGGCTGCACTTTTTGACGTGACTGTAAGTTAGCTGTAGTTGGCTAGCTAGCAAGCAAGGGATAAGAACGTTGCCAGCCAGTATGGCAATGGAACATTTAGAATGAACGACTGGGTCGCGTCCATAGATACAGAACAAAAAGACTGAACGACTGGGTAACCGAACCAATAGAATTAATGACCAGCCGGCTTGGGTAGCAACCCTCTTGTGGATGGATGAAATAGTATGAATAAATTAATCTAAATAATGTTTTTAATGAAAATATGTAAGTCATTATTTGAATATGTTGGTAACCCATTGTTTAAAAGTGATAATGCTCTCGAAGCCGGTGCTTGGACGATATATTGACTTTGTCTCGGGCCTAACAACACCCGTGCAAATATATCCTCCAAACACTGGCTTCTCTGGCATTATAACTTAAATAATGCACACTCTAGAATGCCCTTCAAGCCGATCAGACACGAGTATTCAACAATGCGATGGTTTAATTAACCAATAAGGCCCGGTGGGAATGTGGTATATGGCCAATAGTCCGGCACAGTGGACACATCATAAAACCTAGCGGTTAACCCGGTAATGGTTCCAATAGTTTTTTTCACAATTTTAGAACTTCTTCATATAAGATCTGTGTTTCGTATAGGCTTATCCTGGCGTGATGTTTTGATAACAGTGTAATTCTCTCTCGGACAAGGTGAGTTTTATCAATATATTCTCCTCGATTTACTCCAAAAAAATCTAAATGGCTCAGCAAGACTACAAATTCCTGTAGGAAGCTCCTGCATATCATCTCTAGCCGACACTGTCAGCTACCGTTCACCAGTGCGATCAGAGACCTTCTGTGTCCAATCCATGAACTTCTTATGTCCCCTTTCTCTGTCTTAGCTAGCCACTGACTACACTTTAGCTAGCTAGTTAGCAGAGCAGTAGATCAAAAAAATTATTAGCCTAGATAATTGTTTGTACAGTATGTCGACTTCGGTGTCTATTTCAGACCACAGTAGTGGTGGAGGTCAAGTGTCCCTATGGTGCAAGGGACTTACCATTGAAGAGGCAGTGAAGTCGAAGGATTTCTATATCAAGGAGGGAGGGTCTTACAGCCTCCAATGAAGACCATCCTTCCTGGCACCAGGTCCAAGGTCAGCTCCACATCACTGGAAGGGACACCTGCTTCTTCATTGTGTGGACCATCAAAGCTTCCATCCCCATCCAGTGTGACGACTCCTGACAGACTCATATTGCTCCACCTGTCAGTACCTGTTTTCAGGAAAACCAATGGTCCAAAAATATTCTACATAGTTCATACACACACACTAGGCTCCCCAAATAGGTTATATTACATTCAAGTTTTGGTCAAAGCAGCCAGCTAAAGTAATTACATTTACGTCATTTGTAAGTAATGTAGTTAACTCTATCATGGGCACAGTGGGAATTTATATTTGTGATGTTTAAATGATGTCTTACCCCCAGAGTGAGAGAGTACATCACTTCCAGCAGATGTCCTTGCTTAGGGTGGCGTTGATCATGCACTGCTTCTCGTGGGGTGAGCCTGATGTTCTGCTTCATGTCTAAAACATGTGGAAAAGGGGACACAAAGTCAAAATGTTGATGCATCTACAAATGCAATGTTTTACACAATATTGTATCATATTTGAGGCTCAATGTGCTGTAGTCTCCACAACTGGACGCTCGCAGTCGGATCACACTGCCGCAGGATGTCCATACACTGGATGGTCTGAAGGATGCACTCCTGTTGCATAGAAATGTGGACTGAGGCGTTTAGCCTACTTTTAAATTGTTTTGAATTTACAATCCATCTTGCATAATATGCAGACAGGCACTTTCTATAGGCAGCATGCGTGTTTAGTTTGAAAAAGTCACTGCAAAATATGAAAACATTCTGCCCACACTTCTACAGAAATGGGTTAAAAATTGCCATTGCTCTTTCTTTTAGAAACCGCCATGGCTTAATTCCAAAGATCCTGGATTGCTGATGATATGTATTAGCCAATGAGAGGCTTTGAAGCCACCGGTCGGCCATATTGGCACTCCCCAGAAGAAGCTGTCCTTTTTAATTTAATGTTTCAAGGACAAAATGACATGTATTCAAGTATTTTTGGTTGTAGTGGGGACAGTAATATTTTCAAAACATTATACTTCAAGGATTAAAAAATATATATATATATATATTATGTTTAGCTCACATAATATAATGTAAAAGTATGCATTAAGGTGTATTCAAATAGAATAAACGTGGCAAAAAATAAATGGAGGGAGGTACGGGGCTTCAAAACAGCACCCCTTGGGACTCGTCTAGTGTATATCTAAATCATTGGTTATTGTCGCCATAAAATGGGAATGAAGTACGTTTTCGAGGCGGCGTTAAAATGCTCGTTCACGAGTACACAATATTATGTTAGGTGTGAATTATAACTGGGATGGTGTGCAAAAAAAGTTGTATTTGTGCAGACTTATCAGAAATGGCGCAAGCTTAAATGTTTAGCGAAATGTACGCAACGGTTATAAATGGGGACCCTTGAAATGTGTTTATGTGCCTTTGTTTGCAGGTGTTTGATGCCATTCAATTTGCTCTGTTCCATCCATTATTGAGCCTCTCAGCAGCCTCCTGTGCTGTTCTGTCTATATGGTAATCTCTAATCAAAGCATCAATTGAGTATTTATTAAGTAGTCATTCGTTCCTCTGTTGCCAGATTTGGACATAGTAGGATTGTCATAAAAGGAGTTCAGTATTGTGTAGGGAATGCTGAAGAAGGGCTGTGTTAAGATTATTTCTGAGGCATTGCTTTTTTCCTTACCCTGTGACTTTACCTTGACCTAATTTGACAGCTTCAGAGTTTAAGGTGAGGAGAGGGGGGAAAGCCACAAGGGAAACGCGAGATGAGGATGGTTGACCTTTGTAAACATCTCACTTCCTAAGAATGCTGCAGATAGAAATAATCAATTTTGTTTGAGAATATTGGTGATTGTGCACCATTATCTACAGTACATGACCTCTCAGGAATTTGGCATCATGTTAGCAAAGTACCACCACAAGATACTGTAGTCTGAGTGGCTTTATGCATGCGTAGGAATGTAGCCTCCTAGTATTCAGGATCATGCTGTGAAAGATTGTGTGGTGTGTCCTCATGGACATGATAATAAATCAATAAAAACAAGACAATTAGTCTTTAAACCTTTTATTACAACATCTCCTAGGCGTTCTCCCCCTTCTAACCGTCGGCCATGACGAAACATGATTGACATGTAATGGACGCCTCCCTCTTGACTGAGTAGCCAATGAGAGAGCGGATCATGCGTTCTACAGGAAGGGATAAGCCACAGAACATAATTACACAAAGAGTCAGCTATATTACAAAGACAAGTGAATCTGATTGACTTTGCTAGTTTTGACACTGTATACATAAAAGTTTGTAAACTTTCAAGTAAAGGCATGGGTTGTTGTTCTACCCAGGATGGTGTGGTCAAGCGCAGCCCCTTTAAAACAGTAGTGTGGAGGCTAGTACAAAAAACACACCATCTCAGTGGAACTAACGCCTTTCACTGTTGTATAGGATGCGTGTCAATCTGTCCCTTTTCTCTTTGAAACATTAAACCAAAAAAGGAAACAGAGGTAAAAACATCATCACACAAATACTTTGAATAAAAAGGGGAAGGGGGTTTGGTTTGGGGGTTCTAAGTGCAGAGTTGAGGATGATGGTTCAGGTTTCGCCTGAATGGAGTTAGCCTCATTGACATGGTCTGACCACTTCAGGGTTTTCATTGCTTGGCGTTGATGATGTCAACAAACTCTGGCTTGAGTGCAGCGCCGCCAACCAGGAAACCATCCACATCCTTCATGCCTCCCAGCTCCTTGCAGGTGCCACCTGTCACGGAACCTGAGGAGAGAGAACAGAGGGATTTGAGTGAGGAATGGAGTGATGAGAGAGGGACAGAGTAGTGGAGAGAAAATGGAGTCCACTGTATGCTCCTACCACTGCATGCCCCTGACTTGAATTCGATTAGCTATGCAATGACAAAACCCATTATTCCCCACTTTGGTGGTCCTGGCGTTAACAGCTTAAGTGTGTTTAAACGTGAAGCAGATGAGTTTGGTCTCACCTCCATAGATTATCCTGACAGAGTTGGCTACTGCCTCAGACACATTGGCCTTTACCCACTGCCTCAGTTTGTCATGAACTTCCTGGGCCTGAGAGAGAAAGATAAGAGAGAGAAAGATTCAAATAAAACCATGAATATGGGTTCCAAAGTCCAGTAAGTTCCGACTTTAGTCTTCAATTTAGTGATGAATCTCAAATGGACAACACATTCTGCTCAAGTCTAGACTGAATAAATACAGTATAAAAGAGATTCAGGCTTTTAGTTTCATCTCCCTATCGGTCCCAGGTTCTTTCCATTGAGGTCATACAATTGTATTGGATAGAAGATACACTTACCTGGGCGGGGGATGCGGTCTTGCCGGTGCCGATGGCCCACACGGGCTCGTAGGCCAGAACAACCTTGGACCAGTCCTTAATGTTGTCTGCAAACAGAATTGACATAATGAATACAGTACTGCATTCATATTAATTGAATGGAGAACTCAAAATGGACACCGTGCCATCATGGACACGCTGGTTATAACCAAGTTGTTACCGAAAAGGAAAACAATTAATTACACTGAAAGTCCCAATCACGTCTGTGGCGGGCACACCATCCCTGTGCCAATAGGATGTATCCACGCAGCAGTAGTATTACTACATTCAACAATGTTAGAATTGCTACAATGTAATACACTAAATAACTGTACATACAGTAATTGTGAATTCATTGTTTGCTTTCCAGATACAGTTTTATACGATTGTTATATGATATTGACATGGTACTTGACATGTTTAACTCTTCTCTGTGCATTGTAAAAATCAGGGCCCATTTTCAAAGCACATTTATGATATAAAAGGCCAAAACTGATCCTATATCAGCGCTCTGAAACACTGATTACAGGCTCTGATAATATGTGTACGCCTGAGCAGAATCTGTGGTTCTGTGTAACACACTCATTATGAAGCAGTGATTTCAGGTGACGGTTACAATACCTGCGAAGTGCTTGGTCTGTGCGTTGATGACCTTCTCTGTGATGCCAGCCTCCCTCTCATCCAGCTTCTCACCAATACAAGCAATGACACCCAGGCCATTCTCCAGGGCGTGGGCGCACTTCTGACCAATAAGCTGTCAGGACACACAAACAGTTATCCAATCAGATGACAGGTTGATCATTTGTTGTAATATTTTTCACATTTCCTCTACTTGATGAACACCTTGAGGGTTTATCAAATAAAATGGAGATTAAAATGATGATGCATAGATTTGTCATTGCTCCTCAAATTCAGTCATTTGTAAGGTCAATTCACTGTTGAAAGAGACATAATCCAATACTGTGTCATGGCCCTGTTCTTGTGATAGTCTGCTGCCGTCTCCAAAGACTCTACCCGAGACTACACATTCATAAACACCAGCACTCGACCAAATAAGCCATTTACCTCATCAGTCTCTCCAAAGACCCATCGCCTCTCAGAGTGGCCCAGGATCACCCAGTGCACGCCAACGTCCTTGATCATCGCAGGGCTGAGAGGAGGAGAGAAAGAGAGGGGGAATGGGGCATAAAGGAAGTGAGAGAAAGTAAGATACAGAAGGGAAAAAGAAAGAGAGAAAAGTGAGAGAAAGAAGAGCGATTAGCACACAAAGTACAGTCGGCCTACAGTGTTTGGTTCAGTAAAGCAGTAGAGTCCTGAAGACACTAGCATGCGCAGTTACAGGGCATGTCCGTTACCTGATCTCCCCGGTGAAGGCTCCCCCCTTGACCTTGTAGCAGTTCTGAGCGGCCACTCCGATCTTAGGGTCCAGCTTGGACCTGGCGAACTCCAGGTAGATTGATGGGGCACCGCAGACCACCTCTGCAAGCACAGAGAGAGAACCAACACGGTCATGCACTGACCACTATTCTCAGGGTTTGAATAACAGACTGACTCACACCGGACCAGATAATATTCTTAGAGGTGAATACTAAATTCTACCCAAGTTGAACTTTCACTTAGTCATGCATTGATGTCAATGGGTGAGTTTAAGTGAAGTTCAGATTTGCCCCTTGATGTTTACATGGATGTCCATGTTACAGTAATATTTTCAGAAAAACTGAAATAGGAAGGGTACGCTGTGATTGTTGGTGACATCTAGTATCAGTGGAAAAACTCTAAACCACCTTTAGTCCACACACAGAGACGCGTACAAAGCTCTCCCTCGCCCTCCATTTGGCAAATCTGACCATAGTTCTATCCTCCTAATTCCTGCTTACAAGCAAAAACTTAAGCAGGAAGCACCAGTGACTCGGTCAGTAAAAAAAGTGGTCAGATGAAGCAGATGCTAAGCTACAGGCCTGTTTTGCTAGCACAGACTGAAATATGTTCCTAAATTCTTCTGATGACATTAAGGAGTACACCACATTTACATTATTGTAGCCAGTGGGACAACCACTTTTTTTTGTGTTTTTTTGTGGGGGGAGGGGGGGGTAGAAGGATTACTTTATACTATTCCAGGTATTCCTTAAAGAGGTAGGGTTTCAATTGTCTCCGGAAGGTGGTCAGTGACTCCGCTGTCACATCAGTCACTGGCTTCATCAATAAGTGCATCGATGACGTCGTCCCCACAGTGACTGTAAATACATACCCCAACCAGAATCCATGGATTACAGGCAACATTCGCACTGAGCTAAAAGGTAGAGCTGCTGCTTTCAAGGAGCGGGACTCTAACCCGGAAGCTTATAAGAAATCCCACTATGCCCTCCGACGAACCATCAAACAGGCAAAGCATCAATACAGGACTAAGATCGAAATCGTACTACACCGGCTCCGACGCTCGTCGGATGTGGCAGGGCTTGCAAACTATTAGACTACAAAAGGGAAGCACAGCCGTGAGGTGCCCAGTGACACGAGCCTACCAGACGAGCTAAATTACTTCTATGCTCACGTCGAGGCAAGTAACACAAACATGCATGAGAGCATCAGCTGTTCCGGATGACTGTGTGATCACGCTCTCCGTAGCCGATGTGAGTAACGCCTATAAAACAGGTCAACGTTCACAAGGCCAGACGGATTACCAGGACGTGTACTCCGAGCATGCGCTGACCAACTGGCAAGGGTCTTCACTGACATTTTCAACCTCTCCTTGTCTGAGTCTGTAATACCAACATGTTGTTTCAAGCAGACCACTATAGTCCCTGTGCCCAAGAACACTAAGGTAACCTGCCTAAATGACTACCGACCTGTAGCACTCACGTCTGTAGCCATGAAGTGCTTTGAAAGGCTGGTCATGGCTCACATCATCATTTTCCCAGAAACCCACTCCAATTTGCATAACGCCCCAACAGATGATGCAATCTCTATTGCGCTCCACACTGCTCTTTCCCACCTGGACAAAAGGAACACCTATGTGAGAATGCTATTAATTGACTACAGCTCAGCGTTCAACACCATAGTGCCCTCAAAGCTCATCACTAAGCTAAGGACCCTGGGACTAAATACCTCCCTCTGCAACTGGATCCTGGACTTCTTGATGGGCTGCCCCCAGGTGGTAAGGGTAGGTAACAACACATTCGTCACACTGATCCTCAACACGGGGGCCCCTCAGGGGTGCGTGCTCAGTCCCCTCCTGTACTCCCTGTTCACTCATGACTGCATGGCCAGGCACGACTCCAACACCATCATTAAGTTTGCCCATGACACAACAGTGGTAGGCCTGATCACCGGCAAGACAGCCTATAGGGAGGAGGTCAGAGACCTGGCCGTGTGGTGCCAGGACAACCTCTCCCTCAACGTGATCAAGACAAAAGGAGATGATTGTGGACTACAGGAAAAAGATGAGGACCGAGCACACCCCCATTCTCATCGACGGGGTTGTAGCGGAGCAGGTTGAGAGCTTCAAGTTCCCCAGTGATGTACTGGGCCATACGCACTGCCCTCTGTAGTGCCTTGCGGTCGGAGGCCGAGCAGTTGCCATACAAGGCAGTGATGCAACCAGTCAGGATGCTCTCGATGGTGCAGCTGTAGAACCTTTTGAGGATCTGTGGACCCATGCCAAATCTTTTCAGTCTCCTTAGGGGGAATACATTTTGTCATGCCCTCTTCACGACTGTCTTGGTGTGCTTGGACCATGTTAGTTTATTGGTGATGTGGACACTAAGGAACTTGAAGCTCTCCACCTGCTCCACTACAGCCCCATTGATGAGAATGGGGGCGTGCTCGGGCCCCTTCTTTTTCCTGTAGTCCACAATCATCTCCTTTATCTTCATCACATTGAGGGAGAGGTTGTTGTCCTAATCAATTGGCTACCCAGACTATTTGCATTATTATCTATGCATAGGCACTTAAATAACGCTACCTACATGTACATATTACCTCAATTACCTTGACTAACCAGTGCCCCCGCACATTGATTCTGTACCGGTACCCCCTGTATATAGCCTCGCTATTGTTATTTTACTGCTGCTCTTTAATTATTTGTTACTTTTATTCATTTTTTTGTTATTCTTTCTTAAAGCTGCATTGTTGGTTAAGGGCTTGTCAGTAAGCATTTGACTGTAAGGTCCACACCTGTTGTATTCGGCGCATGTGACAAATACAATTTGATTTGAAAAGGCTTTCCTTTGAGTGGTGACAACAGCTGTCTGGATAACTCCAGGTAGTGCCTCAATCTACTATCCACTTAAGTGTATCAAACAACAAGGCCTACCAATCAAAATGATTAGGCCTATTTGATCCACAGTGTTGGTTATACAGTCCAATTCCAGAGTCTGCAGCATTAGTACACACTGTACAAGTGGGATATCCCCAGTGTTGTGAGGTACAGTAGGCCAGACACTGACATTAGCAATGTAACTGTATCTTGGGGTTAAGTGTGTCTATATTAAACTTCTACAGTCACTATTCCCGCTGCAAAGGTCATTTATCCCATGCCCAGAGTCAGTCCCCGCTGCAAAAAGGTCCTAGTTCAACCTCCGAAAGGTTACTAGAACTCAGCTCACAAAGGTCGCTCACATGGTCACATTCTGCTGGGGTCGAACAGGATCTTAAGTTCAAAGGTCATCCACAGGATAAATATTTTTTTTTAACTCTCCAGTTTCATAAAACGGCCCAGGGAAGAAATGGCTGAACTTTGACTTTACATTTCTAGAAAGAGACACATGGGAAAAGTCTACTCGAGTTTCAGCCTTCTGTTAGCACATGCAGCGTCCTGTTTCATGCGTCAGTCAGTGTGTACTGTGTAGACAAGTGAGAGGAGTTGTAAGGGGTGGCTCTTTCTGTGGGGTAAAGTCCGAGGCTGTACACTGAAATGTAGGCTACTACACTGACAGAACGTGTCCTTATTGCGCACTCCGTGGAGCAGAAAATATAACACACATGAGCGTTTGTGTATCCTACAAAAACGACACAAAAATCTGACTAAGTACCTGTAGCCTGTTCTTGAACCTGTGTATTCAAATGCAAACATGCAGTCAGGGAAAATTGCATTTACGCGTTGTGGCAGCTTGGAAATGCACAATAGAGAATGGCGGAAACACCAACATTTCCATGGCGGAGTGGAGAACAAACAGACATTTCGCCCCTCGCTTGCGCCAGACAGACAGTAGTGGCTACGTGCTGTTCGAAACGTCTACCCACTGTCAAAGAAAATCCACTTAGCAAGTAATGTTCTTCGATCCTAGTTCAGTTTAAAATACTGGTTGAAATCCCCTGACCCACAATAGATTTATCCAGTTACAAAGGAGTATAGGGGGCTTCAGTACCAAAATAGGCATTGGCCTATGTATTCTGCATTGGTGATTTCTATTCCACAAATTGTCACCATCGCATCATAATTACGTCACAATTGGTGCAGTCAAGGTATCCTATAATTTAAAACCATTGTGAAAGTGGCAATGAAAAGGGACCTACCGGAGTACAGCTCCGTTTGCCACCCATTGATTCGTGCACTGATACCAGAAAAATGACCTTCCATATTCTTTGTGTCATGCTTTTTCCTTATTTTGATGGAGAGATGAAAAATACATTTCACAATGCAAGTGTGAAGTGCGATTGCATTTCAACTGGATAGGCTACAACAGGCAACCCAATGCGACAAGTTACACAATGTCAAAGATCAACTATCACTCTCAGCCTACTACACGAGTCAGACATTAAAACACAGAACCACGCACCGGTGTTGGGGTCGAGCTTGGCGGAGTTCAGGGTTTTGATGAGTTCGCCAAGGCTGGCCTTGTCGCCATTCATCTTCCAGTTACCACCAACGAAGAATTTTCTTGACATATTTGCAGTTTGGGGTTGTTTCTCGGCCTTAGAACGGCGCTATACGCTTACTGTGAAGACCTACTTCGGGGAGAAGAGCACCAGTCATGTGCAACTCACTGTATTTATTGTCATGGGCCACGTAACCCCACCTCTCAGTTTGTTCTATTGGTTTACAGAGACACGCCCGGAAAACCGTTTCCTTAAGTACAATGGGAAATGGTAGCCTTTTATTTCAGTAGAATAATGAGTCTAGGCTACATTTTCACAAAAAGTGATGTTCTTTGTTTTTCAAGCGTGAAAATAACATTTACATATTATTACTTATTATTATTATTATTACATATACTTATTGGGATGAAATACATTGAAAACATGTCGAACTTTTCCACATAGCACCCACTGAAAATGTCGTGTTATGTCAAATAAAAATGGCTATTCCGATTAGACGGCGATCGGGGCTTGCTAAATCGAACAAACCCATTCTTCACGCAAGAAAGCTGAGAGAATTCAGTACGTTGATTGGCTAGCATTCAAGCTTGTATTTTGCATACCCAGAATGCATTTCGCGTTATTTTTCACGTAATTTGTCTTTAAATTACTTTTTAACCAACAAAACAAGCCATCTTGTGTAAAATTACAACATGTTTGCCACATCATATTTGAATAATTCTGAAACGTATTTTTGTACGCCTGATAGGAGCCAACTCTGACGCAAACACTGACTGTAAACGTATAAGAATGCTTGTGACTAACTGAAGGTTATGGATATAATGCTCTTTTAGTATTTGTCAAGTAGGCATCTTCAATTGAAGAAGCCCCCAATACATGTACAAAATAGGTGAAACATTTGACCGTTCCGTCACAGATCGAAGGAGAGTGTAGATTTACGCAATGCGGCCCGAGGGTGTGTGGTATATTGGACATACGCTACAAACCCCCGATGTACCTTATTGCTATAATGAACTGGTTATCATAGTAAATCAAAGCAAATTTTATTTGCCACACACGCCAAATACAACAGGTGTAGATATTACAGTGAAATGCTTACTTACAAGCCCTTAACCAACAATGCCGTTTTTAAGAAAAAATGTGCAAATAATTAAAGAGCAGCAGTAAAATAAAATAACAGTAGGGAAGTTATATACAGGGGGTACCGGTACAGAGTCAATGTGCAGGGGCACCAGTTCCTCGAGGTAATTGAGGTAATATGTCCATGTGGGTAGAGTTAAAGTGACTATGCATAAATAATAAACAGAGTAGCAGCAGTGTAAAAGAGGGGGGTGGGGTGGGGTGGTAAATTAGAGCAGTAAAAATAAATATTTTGTTATACTGGTGGTATACAGTCTGCTATACTGTACCACAGCTTTCAGCCAATCAGCATTCAAGGCTCGAACCACCCGGTTTATAATTGGGAATGATTATAAACTGGGTGGTTCGAGCCCTGAATGCTGATTGGCTGACAGCCGTGGTATATCTGACCGTATACCACAGGTATGACAAAACATTTATTTTTACTGCTCTAATTACATTGGTAACCAGTTTATAATAGCAATAAGGCACCTCTGGGGCTTGTGGTATATGTCCAATATACCACGGCTAAGGGCTGTATCCAGGCATTCAGCATTGTGTCGTGCATAATAATAATAATAGCCCTTAACCCAACACTTTAGCTATTAGTTATGCCAAGAGATCTTAACCCCTTGATGAGGTCGCTCGGTATTTGTGCTGTTGTCTGTGCCCAATAATTGTTGTACCATGTTGTGCTGCTGCCATGTTGTGTTGCTACCATGTTGTTGTCATGTTGTGTTGCTACCATGCTATGTTGTGGTCCTTTGTAGCTCAGCTGGTAGAGCACGGCACTTGTAACGCCAAGGTAGTGGGTTCGATCCCCGGGACCACCCATACACAAAAATGTATGCACGCATGACTGTAAGTCGCTTTGGATAAAAGCGTCTGCTAAATGGCATATTATTATTATATTATTATGTTGTTGTCTTAGGTCTCTCTTTATGTAGTGTTGTGGTGTCTCTCTTGTGGTGATGTGTGTTTTGTGCTATATTTTTATTATATTTTTTATTTTAATCACCCGTCTCCGCAGGAGGCCTTTTGCCTTTTGGTAGGCCGTCATTGTAAATAAGAATTGGTTCTTAACTGACTTGCCTAGTTAAATAAAGGCTCAGTTCACCCCCTTTCTTTGGAGTGAGCATCCTTGCTCTTCACTCCAGTATATTCCTCACACCGGCACCCTTGGGATGTGCTCTCGATGGCCGCAACTGGGGGCAATCCCACATCTGACACCACTGTAGCAAGATTGTAGTCCAGACCGGGGCTTGAACCAACTGTCAACCCAACATCTGACCTCTTGACGAGGTGGCTAAGTATTGGGTAAAGGTCTGTCACTGTATGATAGAAACAACAATACAATAGGCCTACTTTCATTTTGTAAATTTACAGATGCTGAGAAATAGATAGAAGTGTCAGAACAAAAACAAACATTGACATGGAAAACTGACTTAACATGCTGCTGACTAAACCAGTAGATCATCTCTATCCTCCCTTTCATTTTTTGTACATGTGCATAAATCCCACTGTAGACAATATACACCCCACCATGTTGCTTTCACCGGTCCTGTCATTTCAGATCATCAGTGCAGAAGATGAGAGGGGATGACAGGTAGAGCAGCCGAATCAGATTATTAAACGGTGGCACTCTGTACTTGATTGATCTCGATCAGTTTACCTTCCCCAAATTCTAGGGAACCTTGTCCTTGTGCTTCGCCATTTTTCAGGGCCCAAGCACGCCCTGTCCGTGCTTTCGATGGCCCTTACAGGTCATCCCTATCCGACTTCTGACACAACTGTGGTGTTAATCTATAATTATGATACCCACTAATTCTCGAAGAATAGCACTTATAAATGCCTCAATGTACAGCTTCGAAAGTCAAGTTAAAAATGTCATGTTGTTGACCTCATGTCATGGACTGTCAGTACCATACATTGCTTCAACTATGAATTTAAGTGTCCAACCCCATCCCTCAGTTTAGGCCTATATAGACAACCAAGTGGCGGGAAAACGTTTAGTTGTTTTTCGAATTAAGGAGGGGAACTTTAACCATTGGGGAAAACATGTTATTAGGCAAACATGTCATTCCTCAATCATGCCACACGGGGGGGACTTTTACACCACTGTTGAGCAGCACTGACAACAGAATGCAATATGATATTAGGCAGTGGATGGAGGCAAAGATTTGCTTCTGTATTGATGGAGGTGTGTAGATCCAACCTGATGTGTTTTTGCTCACAAAAAAAGTTAGAGGTTTTTCTTAACAATTTCAGATCAAAATGCACTATATCACAACACCAGTACATATGATTTTACTTGAATAAGAGAGGTTGCAGTAGATTGAACAGATGTTGCTAAATTTGGGGGCAAAATAGATTGAAGGTCGATGTGGTGAGAAAGGCGAAGAATGAAGATTAAAGAAAGAGGAGGGGAAAGGGGTGGAGAGCGCTAAATCGACAAGGGCAGATAAAGGAGAGAGTGGCACGCTCACGAAGGTACACATCTACAGAATCACCACTAGGAGCCACTTCCGCCCACACGAAAGATGGCGGCTCCCTTGATGGTGAAATTGTCGGAATCTTTAGGTTCCCCAGAACCTGCCGTTCGACTGATTCTGTCCGTTTTAGTCGGTGAGTTCAATTTAGTCATCTCTGACCGCGTTCAGTAGACGCTCTGACATAACCATGTGTCAATGTAATATTGATTTACACCTTTAAAACAGTGTTGCTACACACTCCGCTAAGCCAGGTAACGTTAATGATGTCTCTTGCTCGGCTGCAGTGACCAGCTAGACTAACGTTAGCTAGCTAGCGAGTCGACCCGCTGGCAAGCCGAACGATAATACAGTAGCTAAATACACTTAGCTAGCATTGTTTTGACAAGCTGACATGACAGACGGGCTGCAAGGTTGAGTGGGCACAAGACTTCGCAGAACACATTCTTTCTTCTCTGCTCTGCTGACGGTTAGAAAAACATATTATTTCATGTTTTAGCTAACGTTAGCTAGTTAGCGATTATGGCAGACGAGGTTACTACAAGCGGTTGTAACATATAGTACTGACGGGTTTACTTTACATGGTCGGTGTATCCCAGGTAGCTGGGTGTCTTGTCATCTCTGAACTTTGCTCTGACACATGAACATTTTTTTCTTCTGAAGTCACATTCTGGGAGTGACTAACACATATTACATTATAACAGTTCAGTATATTGTCTTAAATCAATTGCTGTTGCTTTACAGCTTCTGATACCCTGATATTGTTTATTCTTGCTGTAGCCTATACTTTTGGATCTCTTGCCTTTGGCCCATGTTGTATCACAGTAGGCCCCCATGTTTACAATATTGTAAATGTTTAGAATGTATATAAACTACAGTACTGCCATTACCAGTCATCATTGTGATTGTGACACATTGAAGGTATCAGATTGCAAGTCCTCCCCACCTCTATACTTGATGGAAGTAAATTAAATGTGATTACCAGCGGTTCATTCTGGTGCCAATGTCTACCCTTGTCAGTTACACACCAGAAAACTGTGAGTGTGGGGGTGTGTGCACAGGGGTTCTATAATGCACTAACCTAAACAACATGCACCAAAAGCACATATGACAGCAAAACTACAGGCTCTTATTTAATAAACTGCTGTCATTGGCAGCTGTTTACCCAATTTCTTCACAACCAAATAGCATGTGATTTATGTGTAATGCTCAGATAATGACATTCCAGTGGAGTGACTTTTTGTATTCAAACATGAAAAGTCACACTGCTTTAGGCATAACAAGCTCTCACTTAATTTGTAGTGTCCAAGCAACCAAAACATACTTTTTTTTTTTAGCAGTGGTGGCAAAGGTCACAGAGAAACCTTTAACATTTTTGTAGAATGACTGTGAGAAGGTCAGTTCTGGTGACTTGTTAAAAGGACATTCTACTCCGATGTAAATGGAATAAATATAATTTGCCCCTCCAGAAATGAGGCCAAAACATATTGGTCCATATTATCATGATCTGGCTGGTGCGCTATTTAGCTAAGCATTAGGCTATCACCTGGCTGTAGCCCAACTGATGCAGCATGGTGGCTAGTAAATGGGCTGAAGAATGGGGTTGCCCATCTGCATTTACCCCATTGGGTTAAGAATTAGCTACATCGCAAACTCTAAACATCTTGTTGCTAGTTAGCATCATATTGATGACTTGAATGTCCCAAAAATACATTGTAATTGAACACTGTATTTTACTGTAAATTCCCCCCAAATAAACTTTTGTTTAGCAGTAGTACATTACAGTAAACTTTACAGTAATGTACTGTTAAACCAGTTTATTTTGAATTTACAGTAACATACAGGTTGCCTGTAAGTTACCGTAAAAGCAACAGGATATTTTTTAGTGTAGGCCTACCTGTTATACCTTGACCCATGTTACATTTGGCCCTTATCTCCTCAATGCCTTTATCTCCTAAGGCGCTAAACACACCTAAACCATTCTGCTCATACTCCAGTTTGAAAATGGTACAGTTCACACATTTTTAGGAGTTGAGAAATAATCAATGTAGTAGTAATGGAAAGCTGGGATCCTCCTCTTTTTAACAGTGGCCATTAACCCCTTTCAAATGTATTTTGTGACTGTGCAATGGCTGAGCATATGCATACAATACATGTTTTTCTCCCTGTGGTACACACAATTTGAAAGTGCCTCGAGAGGAATATTATTTTCTTGCATAGAATGTGACAAGCCAATTGAAAAGGTAAACTATTCTACTATGGGTTTGTCTGATTTTGGTGTTTGTTAGGCTACTCATGTTGTTGGCTGAGGAAAAGTAAATGTGGACAGCATCTTCAAAGTGCGTCTCGGCAGAAGTATTTTTCCATAATGTTTATAGCAGTTGCTCAGCCTGTGCGAGCAGTCAGAAAAGTGTGTGCACAGATAGTCTCGTATGCGTTGACGACATGGGGCGGGAGACACGGGGTACAATACCAGTATTCTGATTTGATTTTCATTAGATCTTGTTGTAGTCAAAATTCATACAACCTAAGGTACACAACCTCAGCCCGGGCGGGCCCCAGACCAATTTAATCCGTGGGTGTTGCACTGATAAATGTCTCTGTTTTATCTTGAGGTTGTAGCACTGAACTGCAAGGTCATCATTTTGCTGTCAGCACCAAGGGCTCTTGTCTAGAATGATTCACTTGTGTTGATTTACATGTTAACTGTCTCTCCTCCTTTCTCTCTTTCTGTCGTTCCTTCAGGGTACCCCTGTGCCCTGCTGTACCGGCGATTCTTCTTCCACCAGCCACCCACTGTCATTCACCTATACCACGCCATCTCTGGACTGTCTCTGGCGGCTTTCAACTTTGGTGAGACGCAAAGGGACGGAGGGAGGGAGGGAGGGAGGGAGGCAAAGAGAGAAGGAGAGGAGGCAGAGAGAAAGGAGACGGGGAAGTGGTGTGGGGGAGGGAGAGAGGAAACTACTGAATTAATGGAGGAAGTTGGTAGGTATTTCAGCTCATGCCTATACATTTGTAATAAGTTAAAAGGATTGAGAAGTTTGCTATGACCAGGAGCCTATTTTTGAGCAGTGCTACATGAAATAGCTAAATGGTGTCATCAATGGCTTATAACAATATTGGAACATCACAACTTCAGGTGAAGGAGAGGTGAGAGAGCAGGTGGGTTGTTGACCCTGTAGAAAGCAAGTGGCTGGGGAATGAGGAGTGGGGGTGTTTGGGTAAAATGGCTCATTTATGAAAACAGTGTTTACCTCACCATCACTTTGGTGCGGTGGGAGTAGGGTGTCAAAATTCCGGAAACTTTCAATACATTTTCCAGAAATCCTGGTTGGAGGATTCCGGATTTGCTGCTTATTCCTTCCTGATTCTGGCTACTCTCCAACCAGGATTTTGGGTAAAACCAGGGAATGTATTGAAAGTTTTGCAACCCTATGTGGGAGCATCCCTCCTCCCTAGCTCTGTTGCCCCTCTGCCCCAAATAAATGTGCCCTCTATTTGTTCCAAATGAAATATTTGGGTGTTTGTAGCCTTGATTATTGCTTCAGGGGCTTCCATGCCGTGCGAAGATAAACTCCTAGTGTGTAACGCTGCATGAAGGGAACATGGCCTAAAACAGTATCTTACGGGTGGGATTTGTCTAGCTCAGGGATGTCAAACTCGTTTCGACCCGCAGGCTTTATTCAGTCTTAACCAAGGTCCGGAGGGCCGCACACAAAATTGGTTACATTTCCTCACCGTCAAAATTACCAAAATACAGTCCTCTATCCATCATTTTTTGGAATTTTTGATGCTCCCTGACTTTCTAGCTTTTGTTTCACTGATTGTTAGAAAGCTGGACAAAGTGACAAGACTATAATCATAGGTCCATTATAATTTCTACACAGTTTCGATTTGGTTGAGGTTGTTTCCCCCGGGAAAAAAAAAGAAAAGTATTTTGCTCAAAACACCGGCGAGTCGGCTGTATGTTTGACACCCCTGGACAAACTCAAGGTCTATCATTCAATTTGTATAGCTAGCCTAACCAGTAACCACCAAGTCATGAGTAATTGTGAAGAAGTAAAGAGAGTTTGACAGACTGAGGGAGGGAGACTAGAGAGAGATGGGTGGAGGTTTGAGGTTGAGGTTTACATAGTAGAGGATTAATAACACAACCTTTTTTTCCCTTGTTCTCTGCTGCACTTGGATTTTACAGCAGGTCTGTTGCACTTTCTCTGTCTTTGTGGAATCTATCATTTTTCTTCACATGATAACCTGTGCTGACATGCTCATCTTCAATTTGCCAGAATGCACTCTTTCTTCCTCCGTTTCTCTCTCTCTGTCCCTTTCCCTTCCTCCCTCTGTCCCTCTATCATTCTATCTTTCTTTCTCTTTCAGGCACCCAGCTCTATCACTCTGCATTATGTGTCCTTGTCCAGTTCCTGATGATGAGGCTTATGGGAAGGACAATAACAACCGTCCTGGCCAGCTTTATGTTTCAAATGGTGAGATTTCTCTCTCAATCTTTCTCGCCCTTTATTTTTCTCATTTTCTCTCAATCTCTTCCTGTGTTCTGTTGGGATGCAGGGTCAGGTGATAGAGGCAGCTTCTCTCGCTCTCTCTGCTGTTCATGTTAAGATATTCACTTCCTCTGTCCTTTTTGTCTTTCACTGGAGTACTGAAGCACCGTAGAACACTGCCACTGTATGATGTAACGCTCTCTCTCTCTCTCCCTCCCTCCTTTTAAAGTGTGATTGTGATAATTGTTTTGTATGTTTTGTTTTGATCAATTCTGTCTTCTTCTCTCTCTTTCTGTCTTTCTTTATCCCCTTCTGTCTCTGTAGGTATACCTGCTCTCAGGCTACTACTACACAGCTACAGAAGAATACGATATCAAATGGACCATGCCCCAATGTGTCCTTGCACTCAAACTTATTGGTATGTTCACCTCATCACTAACACCCTCTCGCCGCTGCTCTGTACACCCCCCCCCCCCCCCCCCCCACCACACACACATCTTTTACACCCCCACTTTGTTTCCCACTTTTATTTTGTGTAACACCTGTTGCTGAATGATTATTTGTCCTATTTTTTATTTTCTTAGTGACAACTTGTGTTGTATTAGTTGTTCATTAGCATCGGAGATAACATGGATCATATTTTGCTTAGTATTCTAAAAATCCTACTAAAATCCATCATGGTTTTACATGGGGTGCGGCTGAGGTACATCTACAGTCCAAAGTATTCATTCCAATGATCATGGCAATCCTAGGAGCTTTCATAACATAGTGACTGATGCCAATTGCATTCTCTTTGATTTCAGGTTTGTCATTTGATTACTATGACGGTGGCCAGGAACCAGTGAGTTGATTGATCTCTCTCTATTGCCATTTGATTATTGGTCAATTCTGTGTTGATTTTTTCTTCTCTCTGTTCTATTTGTTATTTTGCTCTATCAGTGTACTTGTCTGTTTGTGCTTCAACCTCTTCCAAGTTCTCCTCCGTGTGTGTGTGTGCATGCTGGAGCGAGTGAGTCAGTTTGGATGCTTGAGTGAGAGACTTTGTCCACACACCAGTCAGCGATGAGTTGAGGTAGCGTGTGTGTGGGTGTGTTTGCATTGAGGAAGTTATCCGTTTTACAAACAGGCAAATGTCTAGTGGTCATCATTCATTACAATGTTACTCTGTACAGTTGCTGCTCCCCATTTCTGATTGGTTATGTACGGTGCCTACTAAATGGCCCAACCTTTGACCACAGCCTATAGGGCTCTGGTCGAAAGTAGAGCACTATGTAGGGAATAGGGTGTGATTTGGGACGCAGCCCATAGTCTGTGGTTACTGTGGTTACTGATACTCTGTATCTTGTTTTGTCTAGTCAAAAAGGCCCACAAAAGGTGGGCACGCTGTCCTGTTGTATGTCTGCTACGATATCATCACCATTTGTCTCTGTCGTTTGCTTGCACAATGTCGTTTCTGTATTTCTTTCAGTTGACCATTCTGTCGATACCCTATCTATCTGTGTCGGAGAATACCTTGGGTTGTTGTTGTTGCTGACTATTGACTGTTGTTGGACTATTGTCTTCTGTAGTATTTCGGAAACATGCCACGGGTTTGCACTTGGAAACCCAGCAGTTTTATGCCCCCTAGTTAAATGCCGGTTAAGTAGTCCTTTTTGGTTAAATTGAGTTTGCGATCAAACCGCGGGTGGCTTTCGATAAGAATCCTGGGTAACTGGATATGCAGCAAGCTTATTCCTTCTCAGACGGTGACTGTGTGCACTGTTAAAAATGCTTCTACTCTCTTTCAATTTTCCTTTCTTTCCACTCTTTGCTTTCCCTTTCTCTGTTTTCTCTTTTACCCAACTTTGCCCCTTTTACCCAAAATCCTCTTCCTACCACCCTCCCATCTTACCTCCCCCTTCTTTCTCCCTCTCCCCGGCTCCAACCACTATTCTCCCCTCCACCTCACTCTCCCCCCTCTCTCCCCCTCCACCCCACCAGTCCAAGTTGAATGAGGAGCAGAAGAGGTCCGCCCTGGCCAATGTTCCCTCTCTGCTGGAGGTTATCGGCTTCTCCTACTTCTACGGCGGCTTTCTGGTGGGACCTCAGTTCACACTGCGCAGCTACCAGAGGCTAGTCAAAGGGGAGCTCACCGACTGCCCCGGACAGCCACCTAACAGGTAGAGAGGGAGGGGCAGGGGGGGGGAGACAGGGATGGAGGCAGAGAGAGGAAGGGGATGGATACATGGGTTTACTTAACAATCTCTTTCTTTCTCTCAGTGTTATACCCGCTATGAAGCGGTTCTCCCTCGGCCTCCTCTGCCTGGTGATCTACGCAATATTCAGTCCCCACTACCCAGACAGCTATTACCTAACAGATGAGTACGACGTAAGAAAGCCTTGCTTTTGCACCAGCATTCCTGACTCTTTTAACATCACTGATTGAAGCCAAAGCCACATTTCCATACGTTGTTCTGTTTGACAAATGTAACCGTCAAATGCAAACGTGTCTCTTCAGGCTCAGCCGTTCTGGTATCGCTGTGTGTTCATCCTCCTCTGGGCCAAAGTCATCCTGTATAAATACGTCAGCTGCTGGGTCATAGCGGTGAGTAGTAGCACTATGTAGCAGCGCTTGGTATGTAAAACGTCTCATTTCCAGGCTGCACCCGCTTCAGAATAACAACACCTTTTACAGACACAACTGTCTCCACATACCTGTCATTCACACACACACAGATTAGTTCCACTGGGGCACACCTACGTCAGATCAGGTGAGAAGAAACTGGTCTGGGTGCCCAGTATGTCAGCGTAGGCTATATTTAGGTTTTTTAAGGAAGAAGTTATTTAAGTGTTTGTAAAAGGAATGTTTGTGTTTTGTGACTCAGGAGGGCGTGTGTATACTCTCTGGGCTCGGCTATAATGGGCTGGGTCAGAACGGCGAGCACCAATGGGACGCCTGCGCAAATATGAAGGTGTGGACGTTTGAGACCACACCCCTTTTCACAGGCACCATCGCCTCCTTCAACATAAACACCAACGCCTGGGTGGCCAGGTTAGTGCCTGACTAAAACTCAAACTATTTATGGCCAGGTTAGTGCTTTCTGGGATCCTTGGGGCATCCCTACCTTTACCTTAACCATTTAAAATTCCACCTTAATTTGGGTAAGGGCGTCCCAGGGATCTTGGATAGCAAGGACCTTAGCGCCTGATTTAAAACTATGTATGGCCAGGTTAGTGCCTGACTAAAATTAAACAATGTACGGCCAGGTTAGTGCCTGACTAAAATTAAACAATGTATGGCCAGGTTAGTGCCTGGCCATTTTTAGTGCCTGGCCAAAAAAGTGCTTACGGTCTTTTGCAAAATAGATGTTATCTTACTGAGACTAAGCTGTATATATATAAAGGTTTAATTGCAAAAAATGATACTGGTATAACTAACAATATGTGGTTGTTTGTAACACTCCTCCAGACACGTGTTTAAGCGGTTGAAGTTCCTGGGCAATAAGCTCCTGTCTCAGGTGACCGCGCTTGCATTCCTGGCCATCTGGCATGGCACGCACTCTGGATACCTCCTCTGCTTCTCCATGGAGTTCATCATCGTCAATGTGGAGAGACAGGTACAAGTAAATAATAGAATTATAATAAAGCACTACTTGAATACTGAACATTCTGCTTTTACTTCCTGCTTTACTCCTATGGGTACACTCAATATGGCTGCTTGTCCACCTATCACAGAACAGTGACTTGATTGGGGAATGGCTGTTCCAGTAATTATATTTCTATGGAAACAAGCCCCAGAGACAGAGAGCGAATCCTGAGGAGACAGCAAAATGCCTCTTCACTGATTTTGGATGCTCTCAAAGTTGTACGCGGCAATGTCTTGACCGCGGTGGGAATGTACCGTATTTATTTTTTATTTAACCTTTATTTAAGCAGGTAAGGTTAAGAAACCTCTTTTGCGAGGGCGACCTGACCCTCATTGGTCAAAACATAGTTGCATCAAACATTGGGAGCATATAAACAGTGTGGATGGCTTTTCATCTTTCTCTTTGTGATGTTTTTCATACCCTGGACCTGTGAATTGTAAATCTACTAAAAAGGAGACAACCTCTCAGTGCTAATCTATCCTCAAGCGGGTCTATTGAAGGATTCTCAATGTCTCTGCCCTGTATGCGTTCCTGGATTACAGTGTGTCCATAACTATATCTCTATACTGTATGTGTATCCCTATTTGTCTCAGGCCCAAGCGCTGGTGAGGGACAGTCCCCTGCTGACCCGCCTGGCCAACAGCCCCCTCTACCCCCTCATCTACCTGGTCCAGCAGTTCATCCACTGGCTCTTTATGGGCTATCCTTTGGTGCCCTTCTGTCTCTTCACCTATGACAAGTGGCTCAGGGTAATAAACAGCTTAGAACACATAATAAGCCTTCGGAATGTTGTCGTAAGCGTATCACAACACGTTATAAACACTCAGCCTCTTCATTTACTTTACTTGAAGTGGCGAAAGGTAGCTGGCAGTTCGTAATGCCACAAACATGTTAGAACTCAGCTCATAGATTATTGTGTGATAAGTGCAGTTGTCTGGCATATGTTTAAACTCTTGACTTGGGTTGGGGGAATGGATGTCTGGATGAGGATTTTAATTTGCTGGGTTTGTCGTCTTTCTGTTTTCCAGGTGTATTCATCCATTTATTTCTGCGGCCACATATTCTTCTTCACATTGTATCTAGGCATCCCATATCTCCGCAAGGTGCTGGTACCGAGAAAAGAACGGAGCGAGAAAAAGGAGGACTAGAACTACGTTAGGTAAATGCAAGCCTCTGTATAGTTCTCCCAGACTTTTCTGTGTTTACAGGAAGGCTGTGGCGATTATGGAATTTGGGATAATGATTAAAGAGATGTTCACCCACATTACAAAATGACATATTGGTTTCCTTACTCTGTAAGCTGTCTATGGATAAGGTATGACAGAAATCATGTTTTGGTTTTGTTTATCTGGTCGCTGTTTCAAATGCTAACGTTTTAGCATTTGTGGCACAAATTCAATGCAAGTCAACTTTATTAGCATCTTTTGCGCTTAATGTCCAAATCAACATAAAGTTTTTAAAAAATAATGTAAGTTACTTATAGATGAAAAGCATTTGAAACAGTGGCCAGGTAAATAAAACCAAAGCATGGATTGCTGTCAGACCTTGTCCGTAGACTGCTTACTGGGTAAGGAAACCAATATGTCATTTTTTTTAATTTGGGTGAACTAGGCCTAAAAAAATGTCATAATTGTCAGTTTTACTGAGAGAGAAAAATTGAGCTTGTAATGTATCATAATGCGTCTTTGAAAATTAGTTACGACATACCTAATGTATACAACACCGCTTTGGTGACACCTACGTCTCAGAAATGTATGATTTTGACCACTTGGAACTTTAGGAAATGAAGCTTCCCTTCCCAACAAGCTGTACTGCCCGTAAAATGATTGCTGCCCTCGTTGAGAAATTACCAACTTTACCCTCTTCGTGTAAAAATGAAACAATGCTATTGGGTAAACTATATCTACTTGAAAATGAAGTTTAAAGACCTAAAAGAAATGTATTAAAACAATTATTATTCGTAATTGTCGATTTATACGATTATTGTCCCAGCTGTAGTTTAGACTTAAAATCCTGTAAACACATTCCCTATGTTTCAGTTATTCATTAGTCTCCATATTGGCAAATGGTAGTTTCCAGATAATTAGTTAAACTTAAAGGCATAGTTCACTCCAAAATTGACTTTTGCCTGATGTTTTCATACCTCCATAAATGGTATGAATTCAAAATATGCAGATCTCAAATGAATGGGAAACATTCCGATCCAAAACAAATGGTGCCAATTTTTCCCATTAGTTTGAGATTTAGGCTTACAAATTTCTCCTAATGCATATAGAGGGATCTTCACAACATCTTTATGGATAGACAGAAACAGAGGTAGAAATGTCGTCGTAGCTTACGTTACTTGTGGATATCTGATAATGGCATAATATTTATGATGGATGGATTTCTATTGTACTTTTCCACCAAATGCTCAAAGTGCTTTTTGTACGGGGGGAAGGTCACCTCAACTAATCTCTCTCTCGCGCCTCTCCCTCTCTCAGGTCTCTGGCTGAATCGCCACCCAGGATGTGACTGAAGGGAACTGTGACTTTTAACTAGGAGCAGATCAGAAAATATTTTACAGCCTTTAATATTATGTTCGTGTACACATTTTTCTTTCTATTTATTTTAATGTTTTGGACGGGACGCACGTTTTTTGGGACCAGGTAGATGAGGGTACAGGAAATAACCATTGTGCCACAATTGTGAGCCAATCGGGTGTTTTCTTGAATTTAGAAAACTTGAGAGACTGAAGTCTTTTATACACAGAATATTGCACTCGCCACTCATGGGCTCTGGGTCCGTAGGCGGCTCTGTTTTATGATCTCTCTTCCTGTTTCAACCCTCCCCTCAAGTCCAAAATACACTGAGTATACAAAACATCCTAATATTGAGTTGCCCCCCCCCCCCCCACACCTTTGCTCTCAGAACAGACTCAATTTGTTGGGCGTGGTCTCAACAAGGTGTCGAAAGCGTTCCACAGGGATGCTGGCCCATGTTGACTCCAACGCTTCCCACAGTTGTGTCAAGTTGGCTGGATGCTTGATACACACGGGAAACTGTTGAGCGTGAAAAACCCAGCAGCGTTGCAGTTCTTGACACAAACTGGTGTGTCAAGCAGTGACTACCACCATACCCCGTTCAAAGGCACTTCAATCTTTTGTCTTGCCCATTCACCCTCTGAATGGCACACATACACAATCCATGTCTCAAGGCTTAAAAATCATTCTTTATCCTGTCTCCTCCCCTTCATCTACACTGATGTAGATTTAACAAGTGACATCAATAAGGGATCATAGCTTTCACCTGATTCACCTGGTCAGTGTATGTCATGGTGATCTTAATGTTTAGTATACTCAGTGTAGAAAGAACCTGCACAGACATGGCTATGGTTCAGGCACAACAGAAATGTATTTGGCACTTTCAGATTTAATGTAAACATGCATTTTGTTGAGAGAACAAAAAACCAAGGATTGCTGCTCTGACGGGAATTATATATTTAGTTTTCATTGATCCGTTGGCCAACACTCACAAGAAGCACTGTAGAACACACTGTACACACTAACACGTGACTCAAAAATGGCCTTGTATTATCAACGAATGTTTTTACATTTATTCTGGTTTCAATTCAGATTTCGTTTCCGTTATTTTGTGATGAGACTGGATTTTATAGCTATTTTAGGAGGGTTTTACGGTAGACCATTTTGTAGCTTTGGATAAGATTCCATGAAGAGATTTCAATGCTCTCCTCTTCCCCATCCCTCTCTCCTCATGACCTTTTCCTCTCCTCCCTTTGTCTGCCATTCTACATCCTCCTCTCACTCCATCTCCACCCCACACCCTTCCGACTGTCTCTGAACAAACTGGAAAACAAACTCGCAACTAAAACAACAGGTAACCAACACTTTTACATTGAGTGACATCACCATACCAATGTCAGCAGCATCACCAGTGGTCTCCAGTGAGATCTAGCACCTTCCTCTATCTTTCTTAGGACTTGGTAGAACTTCTCCCTAACCACTGACGCAAGGTCAGATCTAGTATGTTTGACCTGTCAGATAATCTGTTCCTAGATCTGTGTTAAGGGGCAACTTCTACCACTATCCTTTTCCAATGCAGACACACATTGGGAGAGCAGTGACTCACTGTAGCAACAACCCAGATTTTAATAATAATATTTATACTTGTGGTAATAATTAATTGATGTGAATTAATTGTTATTCCAGAGACTACTTTTTTTGCCTTATTGCTACCAAATGTACAAAGGAAAAGAGAAATGGAAAAAAAATAATTTTAAATAAACTTTTTGTAATGTTCATTAAAATGCTGGATTTTAAAAACCAAGGAGGTGTTGTTTGTGTTTGTGTGTGTGTGTGTGTGTGTACACGCTGTCTGGTAGAAGGGGTGATATGACGTAATTTTGCAGTCAGGGCGGGGAAAGGTAGTGGCTGTTAAGAGAGCGTGCCCCCCAGCTGTCAGTCACTACATGTAGACAAAAATAGAAATTATGCTGTGCCGAAATGAGTAATATCATGCGTTGGCCCGGACACCCTCATTGTGGATTCAATAAACAGAGAGAACAGTGCAATTTGGCAGGGAGCTAGAATTGGAGCTGAGAGAGAGCGAGGACGCAGTGTGGGCGGGTTAAGAAACACGGAGAGGGAGGGGACGAAAGCGTTATATTCCCATCGTTTTTCCCACTTCATACGACGCCTGCCGAAAACAAGGACATCGGTATTGAGATACTATCAGTTCGTATCACAGTCTTACATCAAACTGAGACGTGCACATTTGAGCATCTTCAAGAGATCTGCGTAAGAAATCCCGTTTCCTGAGCTTTTGATATTTTGCGTCGGAGGAGGATAGCGGAGCTGCAGAGGCGCGGATGCTACGAGGGTAGCGTTGGGTACCAAAACACCTCACACTCACCACGGTAATGTGAAGTCGACAGCGTCTTTCTTCTGTTTTTGGTTGTAACCAGCATCTATGTCTGCGACAATATTTTTTAAGGGTCCAAATATAGATCTGCAGGCCGTATGGTGCCAATTGATGCACCTATCCATCAATATGGGGTATAAAATCGATTAGTAATTGTCGCATTTACGCATGTCTGCATCACCTCTGTGTAGCCTTGAACAATCTGTGCTAACTATTAATTTTGAGCAGAATATATATTGTACGCCCCTCTACACAGTCTGGTTCAAGTTTTTAGTTTTGATTTAATATAAAGGGCCTAGATAGGCATGGCATTGAATGGTAGAATATAGGTATCGTGATGCCAATAACGCCTCAATATCCCATGGAATCATTTTGAATACTGTGTCAACCAACTGGCACGGACACCAAAGCCTAAACACACCCACACAGGCAATGAGTAGGTGTGTGCTTAGGCAGCGTATAGGCCATAACATCACTGTTACATTTACCATCTCAAAATTAATGCAGCATTACTAGACACTACTAGGCTACACTAATACATTCCAGCTTTTAATTATGCATGCCAGTTTGTTTTGATTCAGTCTAATGCTCCATTTTATTCTACCATGTAATGTGCCAATCCACTTCACTCTACCACGACCAGGTGCCTGGGCCTCCATATGTAAAGCACCATAAAGGTAGCAAGAAAGCCTAATATTAGCCCAGTCACTGTCTTTTTACTGTGCTTTTGTTATTATGCATTATTTATCTGTATTCTGTATGTGAAAGTATAGCGCCGGAAGATTCCGTTGGATGTAGGCCTAATGTATTAGGATTTTTACTGATGTGTTTTGTCTGTCTGCCCTGTGCTGTCTAGTCTATGTTCTCTACACCTCAGTCTATGTCTGTCCTGTCTAGTCTATGTTCTCTACACCTCAGTCTATGTCTGCCCTGTCCTGTCTAGTCTATGTTCTCTACACCTCAGTCTATGTCTGCCCTGTCCTGTCTAGTCTATGTTCTCCACCTCAGTCTATCTTCCAGCGCTGATCGGTTTAATGCACACGCGTCAAACTCATTCTGCGGGGGGCCGAGTGTCTGCAGGTTTTCACTCCTCCCTTGTACTTAATTGATGAATTAAGGTCACTGGTTAGTTAGGAACTCCCCTCACCTGGTTGTATACGTCTTAATTGGACACAAATTGAAAGGAGGAACCAAAAACCAGCGTACTCGTCCCTCCGTGGAATGAGTTTGACAGCCCTGGTTTAATGCATGTACTGTATTCCTCTTCCTCTTCTCTCCCTGTCCTCCCGTCCCTTCAACCTTTCCCTTCATCCCTCAGATGGACAGAATGAGTTTTCTCTCCTTCCTCCTCCTTTGCTTGACTTCGGTTGCTAATGGCAACAAAGGTCAGTTTCCTTTCCTTTTGACTGTTAATTGTGAGCGCTGCTGAAAGAAGTTTTTTTTCTATTGCCATGGGAGCACACATACCTGTAGTCTCGCTCATGGCCAGGGCCCTTTTGTCCCTGTCTCCTGAACTCTAGTAGAGGGAATTCAATCATATATCCACTCACTGTGCTCAAAGCCATGATATATTACATTATATATCTGTAATGTATGATTACATACACATCATCATTATAGAGTGTTGTCCTTCATTTAGCCAATATGTAGGTTAATATGTATTTTGCTCAATTGTGATGATGTTGCTGTATGTGTATGTGATTCTGTGTGTAATCGATAGCATGACTTTCCAAGGAGGATCAATCTTCATCTCTTCATCTCATTTATCACCGTGGATAGCCATGACTCTTGATTTACCAACATTGTTCCAATGATTGTCATGCTGGAGACTTGAAGTGAAACTGAAATGGACAGAGTGGGGAGAGAACGTCAGAGAGGGCGAGGGAGGAGAGGAGGAAGGGAGTGACGCCGAAAGAGACAGAAGTGGAAAGGGGAGAAGGGGAGCAGCAGTGACGGGGGAGCAAAAGGAGGGAAGCGGGTCCAAGAGATACAGAGACAAAGTGTGTGTGACAGAGAAACAGACAGATAGTTAGGAAAGGTGAGGTGGGGAGAGGAAGAGGGAGAGATGGTGCGTTAAATCAAGTGACGGAGAGAAACAGAGTGAGAGCGATAAGGGCGTGTGAGAGAAGGGCAGGGAACGAGGGGATGTTGTGTGGAGAGATACAGTGACAGAGAGAGGATGAGTGCCAGAGACTGAGAGAGAGGGATGGAAAACGATGTCTCTCAATCTGTAATCCCGGCTGTAATCCACGGCCCTGATGTTCAGATTAATGCTATATTGCAGAGAGATGGAAAGAGGGAAGGAGGGATGGGAGGGGGGGGGGGGGACAGACAGGCAGGGAGAGAGGGTTAGAGATGAATGACAAAAGGAGGGACAGAGCAGAAGCTTGAGGACAAGCAGTGTTTGTATCAGATTAACCATTGAGGATGGCGAATACTAGCCTGGGCATGACTCACCAGCCTGGTCACACAAACAAAGGGGTGTACTACAAAGCAAGATCAAGGAGTTAGCCAGCTAACTTGCCTGAATTCTGAAAAACCTTTTTAGTTTTTAGAAGCTTAAACTTGAATGGCATGGTCAATTGATCAACAACCAACCAACATCCCACTGGGTAAAACTGGATGGATCAAAGTGTTTCCACGTCATTTAAAACAAAAAATCATTGATGACTTTTTAATTTATGTGGAAATGGTGGATTAGGGAAAAGTCTAATCCATGACATGGTGAAATGTTTGGTTTATTACACGTTGAATTCACGTTAGTTGACAACTCAACCATATGTAAATCACAATTAGATGTTGAGCTGATGTCTGTGCCCAGTGGGATATCTACAGTTCAATCGGAAAGTATTCAGACCCCTTGACTTTTTTTACATTTTGTTACGTTACGGCCTTATTCATTTTTGTATTATTATCCCTCATCAATCTACACCAATCCCCCATAATGACAAAGCGAAAACAGGTTTTTAGACATTTTAGCAAATGTGTTAAAAATAAAAAACATATCTTATTTACATAAGTATTCAGACCCTTTGCTATGAGACTTGAAATTGAGCTCAGGTGCATCCTGTATCCATTGATCCTCCTTGAGATGTTTTTACAACTTGATTGGGGGTCCACATGTGTCAATTAAATTGATTGGACATGATTTTGAAAGGCACACACCTGGGCTACAGTGAGGGAAAAAAGTATTTATCCCCTGCTGATTTTGTACGTTTGCCCACTGACAAAGAAATGATCAGTCTATAATTTTAATGTATGTTTATTTGAACAGTGAGAGACAGAATAAAACCAAAAAACCAGAAAAAAAAGCATGTCAAAAATGTTATAAAAATATTTTCATTTTTAAAGAGGGAAATAAGTATTTGACCCCTCTTTCAAAATATGACTTTGTACTTGGTGGCAAAAACCCTTGTTGGCAATCACAGAGGTCAGACGTTTTTTGTAGTTGGCCCCCAGGTTTGCACACATCTCAGGAGGGATTTTGTCCCCTCCTCTTTGCAGATCTTCTCCAAGTCATTAAGGTTTCGAGGCTAACGTTTGGCAACTCGAACCTTAAGCTCCCTCCACAGATTTTCTATGGGATTAAGGTCTGGAGACTGGCTAGGCCACTCCAGGACCTTAATGTGCTTCTTCTTGAGCCACTCCTTTGTTGCCTTGGCCGTGTGTTTTGGGTCATTGTCATGCTGGAATACCCATCCACAACCCATTTCAATGCCCTGGCTGAGGGAAGGAGGTTCTCACCCAAGATTTGACGGTACATGGCCCCGTCCATCGTCCCTTTGATGCGGTGAAGTTGTCCTGTCCCTTAGCAGAAAAACACCCCCAAAGCATAATGTTTCCACCTCCATGTTTGACGGTGGGGATGGTGTTCTTGGGGTCATAGGCAGCATTCCTCCTCCACCAAACACGGCGAGTTGAGTTGATGACAAAGAGCTCAATTTTGGTCTCATCTGACCACAACACTTTCACCCAGTTCTCCTCTGAATCATTCCGATGTTCATTGGCAAACTTCAGACGGGCCTGTATATGTGCTTTCTTGAGCAGGGGGACCTTGCGGGCGCTGCAGGATTTCAGTCCTTCACGGCGTAGTGTGTTACCAACTGTTTTCTTGGTGACTATGGTCCCAGATGCCTTGAGATCATTGACAATATCCTCCCGTGTAGTTCTGGGCTGATTCCTCACCGTTCTCATGATCATTGCAACTCCACAAGGTGAGATCTTGCATGGAGCCCCAGGCCGAGGGAGATTGACAGTTCTTTAGTTTTTCTTCCATTTGCGAATAATTGCACCATCTGTTGTCACCTTCTCACCAAGCTGCTTGGCGATGGCCTTGTAGCCCATTCCAGCCTTGTGTAGGTCTACAATCTTGTCCCTGACATCCTTGGAGAGCTCTTTGGTCTTGGCCATGGTGGAGAGTTTGGAATCTGATTGATTGATTGCTTCTGTGGACAGGTGTCTTTTATACAGGTAACAAGCTGAGATTAGGAGCACTCCCTTTAAGAGTGTGCTCCTAATCTCAGCTCGTTACCTGTATAAAAGACACCTGGGAGCCAGAAATCTTTCTGATTGAGAGGGGGTCAAATACTTATTTCCCTCATTAAAATGCAAATCAATTTATAACATTTTTACATACGTTTTTCTGGATTTTTTTGTTGTTATTCTGTCTCTCACTGTTCAAATAAACCTACCATTAAAATTATAGACTGATCATTCCTTTGTCAGTGGGCAAACATACAAAATCAGCAGGGGATCAAATACTTTTTTCCCTCACTGTATATAAGGTCCCACAGTTGACAGTGCATGTCAGAGCAAAAAGCAAGCCATGAGGTCGAAGGAATTGTCCGTAGAGCTCCGAGACAGGATTGTGTCGAGGCACAGATCTGGGGAAGGGTACCAAAAAATGTCTGCAGCATTGAAGGTCCCCAAGAACACAGTGGCCTGCATCATTCTTAAATGGAAGACGTTTGGAACCACCAAGACTCTTCCTAGAGCTGGCCAAACTGAGCAATCGGGGGAGAAGGGACTTGGTCAGGAAGGTGACCAAGAACCCGATGTTCGCTCTGACAGAGCTCCAGAGTTCCTCTGTGGAGATGGGATAACCTTCCAGAAGGACAACCATCTCTGCAGCACTCCACCAATCAGGCCTTTATGGTAGAGTGGCCAGACGGAAGCAACTCCTCAGTAAAAGGCACATGACTGCCCGCTTGGAGTTTTCCAAAAGGCACCTAAAGGACTCTTAAGACCATGAGAAACAAGATTCTCTGGTCTGATGAAACCAAGATTGAACTCTTTGGCCTAAATGCCAAGCGTCACATCTGGAGGAAATCTGGCACCATCCCAACGGTGAAGCATGCTGGTGGCAGCATCATGCTGTGGGGATGTTTTTCAGCGGCAGGGACTGGGAGACTAATCAGGATCAAGGGAAAGATGAACGGAGCAAAGTACAGAGAGATCAGGACCTCAGACTGGGGCGAAGGTTCACCTTCCAACAGGACAACGACCCTAAGCACACAGCCAAGACAACGCAGGAGTGGCTTCGGGGACAAGTCTCTGAATGTCCTTGAGTGGCCCAGCCAGAGCCCAGACTTGAACCCGATCGAACATCTCTGGAGAGAGCTGAAAATAGCTGTGCGGCGATGCTCCCCATCCAACCTGACAGAGGTTGAGAGGATCTGCAGAGAAGAATGGGAGAAACGCCACAAATACAGGTGTGCCGTCATACCCAAGAAGACTCGAGGCTGTAATCGCTGCCTATGGTGCTTCAACAAAGTACTGAGTAAACGGTCTGAATACTTATGTAACTTATGTTTTTTCACAAAAATCTAAAAACCTGTTTTTGCTTTGTCATTATGGGGTATTGTGTGTAGGTTGATGAGGAGAAAAAATGATTTAATCCATTTTAGAATATGGCTGTAACGTAACAAAATGTGGCAAAAGTAAAGGGGTCTGAACACTTTCCAAATGCACTGTATGTTTAGCTTTCTTAACGAGCCAGAAAATCAACTGTTATTTCTGGTTGTTTATCAAAGTTAGCTGGCTAACTCATTGGTCCTGCTTTGTAGTATACCCCTCTGGGTAGGAGAACGCCACTTGTCTTTGAGATGATTAGTACTGAAGAACCATTACTTTCCACTCTGTAGTGCTCTCATCTCCCATTGATTCAGACCAGACTGGCATTTTAAATGTTATAATTTGGCATAGTGTTTTGATGTTGAAACGGCAGAGTGGTTGCTACACAACATGTCCTGTGGCTCTGTCATCACTGTCTGAGTCTAACGTCATCATCTCAGGGTCTAGTGAGGGAGACATGTCTAACATAAAAAAACCTCAGGCTTTTGTTTTGGTCTTTGATTGTTTGAGTGTAAAATCGTCACCGTTCCAGCTCGTTAGCTCTGCCTTTGATTGATATGGGTGAACATTCTGGAGAGAAATTAATAATGAATTTGCAATTAGAGAGTGGATTCACAGCAAACTTTCCCCGTTTAATTTGGACGAGTGAAGTGCGCCTGTGGCAGGCTGCTTGGTGTTGTTCTGATTGATATGTGCAATATACCTCTCCCTGTGTTGATAAGGTGAAATCGGCCTAGGTGTAATTATGTTGCCAACTGATGCAAGGTGTGGAGTGACACTTGACGTGTGTGTTAGGGGGCGGGGGTGGGGGTTGAGTGTGTTTGTGTGTGCGTTTCTGTGTTGTGTGTCTTTATTCGTCTGTATGTGTATCTGCGGACACACACACAAGTCCTCTCACATAAGGGGGTGTTACAAATAGCCATGTTTTTTCCCCCTTCTAATTGCTCCATTTAACCCAAGCCTCCTTTTGTCTCCTGTGTTGCCGTTCAGCCAATAAACACAAGCCATGGATCGAGACGGAGTACCAGGGTATCGTCATGGAGAACGACAACACCGTTCTTCTCAACCCACCACTGTTCGCCCTGGATAAAGACGCTCCACTGCACTATGCAGGTACAGTACAGGCATGGTTAGAATGATGGGAGTGCAATTGGGGGGCACTTGGCAGTCCTCCTATAACAAATCAGGACTCACCCATATAATAAGCATTATAAAATATTAGCATTGAAAGTATGGTAGCAATGTATTTTACGGTACTAATATTACCGGGTGTTTACTAGTTAACACAGAGTATAAACATATTGCCATTTGGAACATTTGCTATTGATTACAATGGCCACGGTTAGTTCATTATCTTACTGGCATATTGAAAATCGAGTCCCACCCTGCCCCTACAGTGAGTAAGCATTTTGTAGAGGGGGAAATTGTTAGTAATTGAAAATGTTATGCCACCCTAAAATCAGAATGGACAGAGTAAAATAGTAATTACACAATAATAACCTATGACGCACCATCATTTGTGCCTGAAAGTTCACATTGTTACCACACAATTGAGTAAATTCCAGGTAAATACCAGTGGTACAAGTACTGTAAAATAAAGCGCTACCTAAAGGATTTTGCTGGGCACTCCCAAAAGCATTACAAATATTAACATGAAAATAATCATATCTGTCCAGTCCTCTATTTTTAGGGCAGCCCCAATAGTCAGTGTGTAATTCTATTCCTGGGTACTGCACTGGTCCTCCACAGCGAAGTGAAATTCAATTATTTGTATTCATTGGGAACATTTAGTGCCCTGTGCTCACATAAATCATTATGGTACACATTTCCCAACTGGGACAATCAAGTGATTGATTGGATCATACAACATCACATGGGGTTCATTGAAATAGATCACTGAATTTGATTAGGTTTATTTTAGCCATTGAAGACTGTATTTGAATAAATCCTAAGCCTACTGGGACCTTGAGATTCACAGAGAGCCACTAGAAGTTAAATTGGTACTAAAATGAGTTGGGCCCTCCCTTTCTTCCTCCTTCCCCTCTCTCTCTCCTCCAGGTGAGATCTGTGGCTTCCGGGTGCACAATGGGCCCTCAGGATCCAGTTCGGTCCAGTTTGAGGCGGTGGTTCTGGACCGCTCGACAGGGGAGGGCCTGATCCGCTCTAAAGAGCCCCTGGACTGTGAGAGCCAGCGGGAGCACAGCTTCACCATCCAGGCCTATGACTGTGGAGAGGGCCCCGATGGAGCCAACAGCAAGAAGTCCCACAAGTGAGATACACTACATTACCCAGAAGGTCAAATAGGTTTAATGGATAGGGTTGTTGTCAGAGGTTATACTGGTTAGTGTAGTTTGGAGAATGATTAACCCTTGGGTATTTGTCAATGCTATGCTTGATCAATACATTACTATATTACGACGCAGTTATGTATGTATTGACCTCTCTTCCTTCATCTTTATCACGCTCTTTACCTCTCTCTCTCTCTCTCTCTCTCTCTCTCTCTCTCTCTCTCTCTCTCTCTCTCTCTCAGAGCCACGGTGCATGTACGTGTGAACGACGTAAACGAGTTCTCCCCAGTGTTCGTGGAGCGTCGCTACGAGGCCTCCGTCCCAGAAGGCCGTCTGTTCGACCGCATCGTGCGCGTGGAGGCCCTCGATGCAGACTGCTCCCCGCAGTACAGCCAGATCTGCTTCTACGACATCATCACCCCCAATGTTCCCTTTGTCATCGATAACGATGGTGAGAACTACAGCTACCACAATAGAGCTGGGCTTTACAGTCGTTTTCCTCAAATAAATCTGGCTACTTTACCAGAGCCATATATTTAGAATATGTTTATCTAAATATATGGCTCTGGTCTTTACATTTTGGTTATTTGATTCATATACTATAAAAGTGAATGTAATGTGTGAGTTGACATCTTGTCACCAATGAAAACAACAGTTCGCATGGTGATGACTACCAATCTGTAAAATACTAGTTAATTTCCCTGTTCAATTTTGATTGTCTCCAGCTGGTCTTGTTGCTATGTGCGTTGCTAGAGAATGACCGTTCCCTTAAGTAGTCACTCACTCACTCCTCCACCAGCCTAAGCCATTTCCAAGTATCTTGCTCACCCACATTGCAGCTTTTATGCTATAGCATTCCTTTTGTACCACAATTAATAGATTTGAAGCATCTTTTGCTGTAAGAACCGCAGTTTGACTCCCGCCTTCACAGGTAGATAGTCCTAGCTTTTAGAAAACGTGTGTGTGGGTAGTAGTTGTGTAAGCAAAGCTACCGCATCAACATTGCTAGGGCAGGTTTCTTTGAACAGAGCCCAGAGGACAATAGGTTCAGGGGGTTAGGCCCTAGTGTAGTGTTTCTGTTGATCTTTTAGGCATGCTTCCTCTGAGGAGAAGGCTTTGATTTCAGTTTGCAAGACTCCCATTGACGGGCTACTGGTGGGAGATCGATAGCAGGCATTTTGTAATATGACAACAGCAGAGGTGGGAGGCAGATTGTCTCAGGAGTCAGGTTTTTACCATGACTTTGCACAATTTGCAGTGACTGGGGAGGAGGTTGTGGGGGGATGAGAAGTTCCTTTAATATATGGGTCAGGCTGCTGGGCCCAGATGAAGCACAGATACTTTTTGTTTCAGCCCGGGCGGTTTAAATGCCCTAGTATTGTCATTGTCTCTCTCTCGCTCTCTCTCTCTCTCTCTCTCTCCCACTCTACCTCTATATTTCTCTTTCATCCCTCCCTTTCGCACAGTCTTTCTTTCTCCCCTGTCTCTCATTGTCAGGGGCCTGTCGTGCAGGTTCCGTCAACCATATCTTTGTTACATTCTCTCTTTGTCTCTAGATATAAGAAGAAACCGTCTTTATTCATACTTATCGTTCTCTCTTCTCTCTCCCTCCCTTGTCGTTGCCTTTTCCGTTTGAATATACTGCAGTGAACAATTCTGGAGTGTCTGCTGTGTGTGCGCGTAGGTGTGGGTGAGAGTGTGTATGAGAGCGCATTCTTTTCATGCTGTGCTTTTGAGTGAGTGAGTGAATGACTGTGTTTGTATTGTACTTTACATAACTCTCTCTCCCTCTCTCCTTTCCTCTCCTCCCATCTCCTAGGTAACATTAAGAACACAGAGCCATTGGATTCGAAGCGCCAGCGCGTCCACACCTTCTGGGTGACCGCGTTCGACTGTGGCAAGAACCGCGCTCAGGCCGACGCCCAGGTCGTCGTCACGGTCAAACCGTCCTGCAAACCCGGCTGGATCAGTAATCAATCACCCTCATTATTCACGACTTCTTCATCTGTCTCCTCAGTGGTAGTGTGGAATGGACCTATTCCCTATGTGGTCCTCTGTAGCTCAATTGGTAGAGCATGGCGCTTGTAACGCCAGGGTAGTGGGTTCGATCCCCGGGACCACCCATACGTAAAAAATGTATGCACACATGACTGTAAGTCGCTTTGGATAAAAGCGTCTGCTAAATGGCATATTATTATATTATAGTGCACTACTTTTGAGCAGAGCCCTTTGGGCCCTGGTCAAAAGTAGTGCAGTACAGTTTATAGAGAATAGGGTGCCATTTGGGACACAGGCTGTATCTTTGTTGGAGCTACATTAGTGTCTGAAATGATACTGTAGCATATAGAATGGACGTTGTTAGGTTGTATTTTGCAGACTTCAATTGAGAAAATGGTGATGAACAAAGATGATAATGCTACTTGATAACTTCATTGGTGGGAATGGTCAAAGAGACACAATTTACCTTTGCCTTTAGAGCATAATTATCATAACATGAATGACTCAACAACACAGAATTGTTGTACAGTGCATTCGGAAAGTATTCACACCACTTAACTTTTTCCACATTTTGTTATGTTACACCCTTATTCTAAAATTGATTAAATGTTTTTTTTCCCCCCTCATCAATCTACACACAATATCCCATAATGACAAAGCAAAAACAGGTTTTTAAACATTTTTGCAAATGTATTACAAATAAAAAACTGAAATATTACATTTACATAAGTATTCAGACCCTTTACTCAGTACTTTGTTGAAGCACCTTTAGCAGCAATTACAGCCTTGAGTCTTCTTGGTAGTGACAATTTTAGCATGTAAATCCTGGTGGGGCAAACTCCCCCTATTTATTTTAGATGCAAGCAAGCAAAGCCACTACACAACACAACACTAAACAATACATTAATTGTACTATAACGGTGGCAAACGGTGCCCACAAACTGTTAGGGCCTACATAAAGCTGTCCCAACAGCAGCGCTTTCTTTTCAGCACCATGAAGTGAATCCTTACCACCGCTACACCTGGCTATCAGCGGAGCCTTGTCTGGCAGCGAAACAGTTAATTCAGCCTCATTTACTGCCTTTTTAAAAAACATAGCTGATATGGCTGACAATTGAGCCACCTTTTGCAGCAATTACAGCTGCTAGTCTCTTGGGGTATGTCTCCATAAGCTTGGCATATCTAGCCACTGGGTTTTTTGCCCATTCTTCAAGGCAAAATTGCTCCAGCTCCTTCAAGTTGGATGGGTTCCGCTGGTGTACAGCAATCTTTAAGTCATACCACAGATTCTCAATTGGATTGAGTTCTGGGCTTTGACTAGGCCATTCCAAGACATTTAAATGTTTCCCCTTAAACCACTCAAGTGTTGCTTTAGCAGTATGCTTAGGGTCATTGTCCTGCTGGAAGGTGAACCTCCGTCCCAGTCTCAAATCTCTGGAAGACTGAAACAGGTTTCCCTCAAGAATTTCCCTGTATTTAGCGCCATCCATCATTACCCACAGCAGGATGCTGCCACCACCATGCTTCACTGTGGGGATGGTGACCTTGGGGTGATGAGAGGTGTTGGGTTTGCGTCAGACATAGCGTTTTCCTTGATGGCCAAAAAGCTCAATTTTTGTCTCATCTGACCAGAGTACCTTCTTCCATATCTTTGGGGAGTCTCCCACATGCCTTTTGGCTTATTTTTTTCTTAAAGCAATGGCTTTTTTCTGGCCACTCTTCTGTAAAGTCCAGCTCTGTGGAGTGTACGGCTTAAAGTGGTCCTATGGACAGATACTCCAATCTCTGCTGTGGAGCTTTGCAGCTCCTTCAGGGTTATCTTTGGTCTCTTTGTTGCCTCTCTGATGAATGCCCTCCTTGCCTGGTCTGTGAGTTTTGGTGGGCGGCCCTCTCTTGGCAGGTTTGTTGTGGTGCCATATTCTTTCCATTTTTTAATAATGGATTTAATGGTGCTCCGTGGGATTTTCATAGTTTCTGATATTTTTTTATAACCCAACCCTTACCAAGGCCCTTCTACCCCGATTGCTCTGTTTAGCGGGCGGCCAGCTCTAGGAAGGGTCTTGGTGGTTCCAAACTTCTTCCATTTAAGAATGATGGAGGCCACTGTGTTTTTGGGGACCTTCAATGCTGCAGACATTTTTTGGTACCTTTCCCCAGATCTGTGCCTCGACACAATCCTGTCTCGGAGCTCTACGGACAATTCCTTCGACCTCATGGCTTGTTTTTGCTCTGACATGCACTGTCAACTGTGGGACCTTATATAGACAGGTTTGTGCCTTTCCAAATCGTGTCCAATCAATTGAATTTACCACAGGTGGACTCCAATCAAGTTGTAGAAACATTTCAAGGATGATAAATGGAAACAGTATGCACCTGAGCTCAATCTAGAGTCTGATAGCAAAACAATTTTAAACATGTTTTTGCTTTGTCATTATGGGGTATTGTGTGTAGATTGATGAGGAAACATTGTAATTTAATTCATTTTTTAATAAGGCTGAAACGTAACAAAATGCGGAAAAAGTAAAGGGGTCTGAATACTTTTCAAATGCACTGTATTTTGATGGTTTATTTTCTTTGTTGGTTTTCAGGCTGGTCGAAGCGGGTGGAGTATACCCCCGGGTCAGGCAGCATTCCCCTGTTCCCCAGTTTGCACCTGGAGACCTGCGAAGAGACTGTGTGGAACATCCAGGCCACCGTAGAGCTACAGACTGGCCATATTGGGAAGGGCTGTGACAGGGACAGCTACTCAGACCGATCAGTACGCAGACTCTGTGGTGAGTGCTGCTTGAGTCTGGGCTATTCATGATGGACTCAATCTTTGGGATAATGTGTGACTTACAATCTTCACACAAATATCAATGCATGAATTATTCGAAGATTGGAATGGAGCATGCTCAAGTCACATAGGTTTTAGCCCTGTTTGCCAAATAAGCATAAAAAGACCTTGCATTTGTGGTGTGTGCATAAATGTAACTAAGTAATACAGTCATGCATTTCGGGAAAGTACAGGCCCTGATATTTATTGAGCTCACAATATCAGCTTACATTTAATGAGTCCAAAGGTCATTCAATTGGGTGTTTAGCGATAGTAAGTAGAGTAATGCAGCAACTTTGGGGGGAGTCAAAAGGGGGGTTTGAGCTACCATCCTGAAACAAGCACACTAACCACAGAGAGTCCCAAAAGACTCAATGCTTCTAAGGCCTTTACCAAGGCTAGGGTTGTACAGTATGTCATTCATGATTTCACTCCTGTCTTCTGTCTCACCAGGTGCTGTGAGAGGTGAAGTGGACTTACTCCCACCCCCGTCCCCAGCAGCCAATTGGACCTCAGCCTTGCCCACCCTCCCTTCTTCTGATTCGTCCCTGGTGTTCTCCTTCAATGGCTCCACCCACGTTGCCGTGGTACCAGACTCCGTTGCCGCGGCCGTATCCGGAGACCATTTCACCCTCCAGCTGTGGATGCGAAGGGGTGGGATCAACACCCAGCCTCCGACTAATCAGGCCAGAGGAAACCGCAGGGAGGAGGAGACTATCGTCTGCAGTACCGTCAAGAATGGTCAGTCAAATGGGCAGTCACAACTGTCAGTCAAAGTAAAAATACTTTAAAGTACTACTTAAGTCATTTTTTTGGGTATCTGTACTTTACTTTACTATTTATATTTTTGACTACTTTTAATTCACTACATTCCTAAAGAAAATAATATACTTTTTACTCCATAAATTTTCCTGACACCCAAAAGTACTCATTACATTTTGAATGCTTAGCAGGACAGGAAAATTGTCAAATTCACGCACTTACAGTTGAAGTCAGAAGTTTACATACACCTTAGCCAAATACATTTTAACTCAGTTTTTCACAATTCCTGACATTTAATCCTAGTAAAAAGTCCCTGTCTTAGGTCAGTTAGGATCACCACTTTATATTAAGAATGTGAAATGTCAGAATAATAGTAGAGAGAATGATTTATTTCAGCTTTTGTTTCTTTCATCACATTCCCAGTGGGTCAGAAGTTTACATACACTCAATTAGTATTTGGTAGCATTGCCTTTAAACTGTTTAACTTGGGTCAAACGTTTCGGGTAGCCTTCCACAAGCTTCCCACAATAATTTGGGTGAATTTTGGCCCATTCCTCCTGACAGAGCTGGTGTAACTGAGTCAGGTTTGTAGGCCTCCTTGCTCGCACACGCTTTTTCAGTTCTGCCCACACATTTTCTATAGGATTGAGGTCAGGGCTTTGTGATGGCCACTCCAATACCTTGACTTTGTTGTCCTTAAGCCATTTTGCCACAACTTTGGAAGTATGCTTGGGGTCATTGTCCATTTGGAAGACCCATTTGCGACCAAGCTTTAACTTCCGGACTGATGTCTTGAGATGTTGCTTCAATATATCCACATAATTTTCCTTCCTCATGATGCCATCTATTTTGTGAAGTGCACCAGTCCCACCTGCAGCAAAGCACCCCCACAGCATGATGCTGCCACCCCCGTGCTTCACGGTTGGGATGGTGTCCTTCGGCTTGCAAGTAACCCCCTTTTTCCTCCAAACATAACGTTGGTCATTATGGCCAAAAAGTTCTATTTTTGTTTCATCAGACCAGAGGACATTTCTCCAAAAAGTACGATCTTTGTCACCATGTGCAATTGCAAACCATAGTCTGGCTTTTTTATGGTGGTTTTGGAGCAGTGGCTTCTTCCTTGCTGAGCGGCCTTTCAGGTTATGTCGATATAGGACTTGTTTTACTGTGGATATAGATACTTTTGTACCTGTTTCCGACTTCAACTGTATCAAGAGAACATCCCTGGTCATCCCTACTGCCGCTGATCTGGCGGACTCACTAAACACAAATGCTTTGTTTTCAAATTATGTCTGAGTGTTAGAGTGTGCCCCTGGCTATCCGTAAATGAACAAAAACAAGAAAATTGTGCCACTTGGTTAATATACAGTGAGGGGAAAAAAGTATTTGATCCCCTGCTGATTTTGTACGTTTGCCCACTGACAAAGAAATGATCAGTCTATAATTTTAATGGTAGGTTTATTTGAACAGTGAGAGACAGAATAACAACAAAAAAATCCAGAAAAATGCATGTCAAAAATGTTATAAATTGATTTGCAATTTAATGAGGGAAATAAGTATTTGACCCCCTCTCAATCAGAAAGATTTCTGGCTCCCAGGTGTCTTTTATACAGGTAATGAGCTGAGATTAGGAGCGGAGTGCTCCTAATCTCAGCTTGTTACCTGTATAAAAGACACCTGTCCACAGAAGCAATCAATCAATCAGATTCCAAACTCTCCACCATGGCCAAGACCAAAGAGCTCTCCAAGGATGTCAGGGACAAGATTGTAGACATACACAAGGCTGGAATGGGCTACAAGATCATCGCCAAGCAGCTTGGTGAGAAGGTGACAACAGTTAGTGCGATTATTCGCAAATGGAAGAAACACAAAAGAACTGTCAATCTCCGTCGGCCTGGGGCTCCATGCAAGATCTCACCTCGTGGAGTTGCAATGATCATGAGAACGGTGAGGAATCAGCCCAGAACTACACAGGAGGATCTTGTCAATGATCTCAAGGCAGCTGGGACCATAGTCACCAAGAAAACAATTGGTAACACACTACGCCGTGAAGGACTGAAATCCTGCAGCGCCCGCAAGGTCCCCCTGCTCAAAAAAGCACATATACAGGCCCGTCTGAAGTTTGCCAATCTGAATGATTCAGAGGAGAACTGGGTGTTGTGGTCAGATGAGACCAAAATCGAGCTCTTTGGCATCAACTCAACTCGCCGTGTTTGGTGGAGGAGGAATGCTGCCTATGACCCCAAGAGCACCATCCCCACCGTCAAACATGGAGGTGGAAACATTATGCTTTGGTGGTGTTTTTCTGCTAAGGGGACAGGACAACTTCACCACATCAAAGGGACGATGGACGGGGCCATGTACCATCAAATCTTGGGTGAGAACCTTCTTCCCTCAGCCAGGGCATTGAAAATGGGTCGTGGATGGGTATTCCAGCATGACAATGACCCAAAACACACGGCCAAGGCAACAAAGGAGTGGCTCAAGAAGAAGCACATTAAGGTCCTGGAGTGGCCTAGCCAGTCTCCAGACCTTAATCCCATATAAAATCTGTGGAGGGAGCTGAAGGTTCGAGTTGCCAAATGTCAGGCTCGAAACCTTAATGACTTGGAGAAGATCTGCAAAGAGGAGTGGGACAAAATCCCTCCTGAGATGTGTGCAAACCTGGTGGCCAACCACAAGAAACGTCTGAACTCTGTGATTGCCAAAAAGGGTTTTGCCACCAAGTACTAAGTCATGTTTTGCAGAGGGGTCAAATACTTATTTCCCTCATTAAAATGCAAATCAATTTATAATATTTTTGACATGCAATTTTCTGGATTTTTGTTGTTGTTATTCTGTCTCTCACTGTTCAAATAAACCTACCATTAAAATTAGACTGATCATGTCTTTGTCAGTGGGCAAACGTACAAAATCAGCAGGGGATCAAATACTTTTTTCCCTCACTGTAATCAATTGGAAATTATTTATACTTTTACGTTTGGTACTTAAGTATATATTTGCAATGACATTAACTTTTGATACTTAAGTATATTTGAAAGCAAGTACTTTTAGACTTTTACTCAAGTAGTATTTTACTGGGTGACTCACTTTTACTTTCTATCCGTTCACCTACTCTGCGTCTCACAAAGACACGGCGGTTGGAACCAAAAATCTCACATTTGGACTCATCACACCAAAGGACTGATTTCCACCGGTCTAATGTCCATTGCTCTTGTTTCTTGGCCCAAGCAAGTCTCTTCTTCTTATTGGTGTCCTTTAGTAGTGGTTTCTTTGCAGCAATTCAACCATGAAGGCCTGATTCATGCTGTCTCCTCTGAACAGTTGATTTTGAGATGTGTCCGTTACTTGAACTCTGTGAAGCATTTATTTGGGCTGCAATTTCTGAGGCTGGTAACTCTAATGAACTTATCCTCTGCAGCAGAGGTAACTCTGGGTCTTCCTTTCCTGTGGCGGTCCTCATGCGAGCCAGTTTCATCATAGTGCTTGATGGTTTTTGCGACTGCACATTTTCCGGATTGACTGAACTTCATGTCTTAAAGTAATGGACTGTCGCTTCTCTTTGCTTATTTGAGCAGTTCTTGCCGTAATATGGACTTGGTCTTTTACCAAATAGGGCTATCTTCTGTATACCACCCCTACTTTGTCACAACACAAATGATTGGCTCAAACGCATTAAGAAGGAAAAAAAATCCGTAAATTAACTTTTAACAAGGCACACCTGTTAATTGAAATGCATTCCAGGTGACTACCTCATGAAGCTGGTTGAGAGAATGCCAAGAGTGTTGTCATCAGCAAGGTTATTGAAGATCTCATATAAAATATATTTTGTTAAAATCTTTTGGTTACTAAACCTATGTGTTATTTATAGTTTGATGTCTTCACTATGTTCTACAATGTTGTAAAATAAAGAAACCTTTGGTTGTCAACTTTTGACTGTACTGTATATTTTCTTCAGATTTTCAGAGTGCTGCCCTCAGCACCCCTACTCTCCACGGCTATGTATATACTGCCCTATATGGCTCTGTTCATCTTTTTCTCAGAAGTCTTATGGCGAGGAAATCTGAAAAGCCTTTTGCTGGGAGATGCACTGCCCTGTGTCCTCATATTCCACTGCCAATGTTTTTGTCTCAATGCTGGTTTGTTCTATGAACTGGCCAGTCTCCTCTCTCTGTTCCTCAGATGACTCCTTCTCCCACTACTCTCTCTCCGTTCACGGCTGCCGTCTCTCTCTCTTCTACTGGCCCGACGTCTCCGCTGCGCGGCCCGTGAAATTCCTCTGGAAACTGGAGCAGGTACAATGGGAATGCTGCTGGATGAGGGTGGAACAGATTTTCTTCAATAAACAGTTGCTAGAAGGAGTGCTATAAGCCAAAGAGCCATTCAAAAAGGCCAACGCTCACTTGATGCCAGTTGCAATTGTATTGATTTATTTTTAAGACAACTGCATTAAGTAGGGTTAGAACCCAGGGCGCCTGATCCCAAGGCAGACTCGCTAGCTACAAGGGAAAGGGGATACCTAGTCAGTTGCACAACTGAATGTAAATGTAAATGAATGCATTCAACCTAAATGTGTCTTCCGCATTTAAGCCCAACCCCTCTGAATCAGAGAGGTGTGGGGGGCTACCTTAATCGACATCATCGGCACCCGGGGTTATTCAAACAAGCAACCTTTCGGTTACTGTCGCAATGCTCTAACCACTAGGCTAGGATTTTTCCCTTGGGGGAGTTCATAACTATGGGAATGCACAAGAAGCAGGGGGATTGGGAAGAATAGGATTTGGATGAGAGGCAGGGCAGAGGGCATAAGGGGATGGTAGGGTTGTGTGGTTTTGGGAGGAGGTTGGAGGGGGGACTAAGTGGTTTTGGCTGGGGTTACTGGTCGCAGACAGCTTAAACTGGGTAGGATTATATAGGGCCAGGCTGATACAGATAAGATTAGGCAAATCCCTCTGTCTCTCTTTACCTCTTATCTGTCTCTCTTCTGCGACAATAGTTGTTACAGTGCTCAGTCTGTGGTCATGGGTAGTGTTCAGTAGAAACAAAAGGGATAAAACATTTAGATATTGTATGGGATAAATTCATGTTGCATATCTAGTAGATTTTTTAAAAATCCTGTTTTGTGTCTGCTGTACACAACCCAAGTGTTCAGCTGTTTCTTGACCTCTGACCTATCGTGTCTCCATGTCCTTCTTTCCTCGCTAGGTGTGTGACAGCGAGTGGCATCACCTGTCCCTCAGTGTCCAGTTCCCCTCTGTGACCCTGTACGTGGATGGAGTCACCTTCGACCCCGCCCTCATCCACGACAACGGAGCCATACCCAACCCTGCCCCACGACAGCGACTGGTCATTGGCGCCTGCTGGGGTAACGATTGGTTTAACCAAAGACAGTACAGTATGAAGATAGGCTAAAACTGCTTCTCCAATAGAAATCCCCGATCACACTTGTAGGCGATGTCATGGCGATGTTGGCTAGCTAAGCTCATGCGTAGAAACACGTTATCGGGTCTAACAGTCGTCTTGCGCCGAACTGTGCAAATCAAAGGCACTCCTTCGATATAAAGTAGTTTTTCACAAAAATTCAAACGTTTCAGTTTGTCACTTTCACGAGGTTGGAGTAAAAACATGTTCAACTACTTAAGATATTGGCTCGAATCTAGGTTGTGTCTTTAGATTTGGAGAAAATAAACAACTAAGGAAGAATTTTGCACTTCTCTCATTGACTTCTCAAACCCCGGCCTGGTCTGTTTGGTCTGTTTCACGAGTGTTACCGGAAGTGTCGCGATGTTGCGCCTCTGGCTTTAGAAACTCTGTGGTTAAACCTTACACTGCATAGAACGGTTAAACCTTACACTGCATTGAAGACCTGTCAGCCAGTGAAGGATGCCTAAGTGGGCCACACTTTACATTACAGAGGTCCTATACTAGAGTAACTACCAGTTGGAAAACGAATAACATATTATTCTATAACAAGCTAGTTAACAAAAATGAATTAGAAATGTCACTTTTAATTACATACACATATAGATACCCTGGATTGATGCCTATGTAATGTAAAGTGTTGCTAATGAGTGGTAGTTGATGAGAACATGGCAAGGAAAAGATCACAATAATGTACCACAATAGACAGTGGAATATATTGCTTTGGCAATACATTTCTTGAATAGATTACAAGATTTCAAAAGAGCAACGCCTGCCCCAAAAATACATTTTTGGGAGTTGTCCCAGTTCACATTCTTCTGCAAATGGAAGAGTTCATAGAACCAAATGTTCCAGCACACCAATGAAAGCAACGCACAACACATGCGCGCGCGCACACACACACACACACACACACACAAACGTACAGTACCTTGCAAAAGTATTCAGACCCCTTGGATTTCTTCAAATATTATTGTGTTACAAAGTGGGACTCAAATGTATTTAATTATGTCAACAGTCTACACAAAATATTGTAACGTTAAAGTGGAAGAAAAATTCTAAAATGTTTTAAAGATTAATAGAAATGAAATAACTAAAATATAGTCGTTGCATAAGTATTCAGCTCCCTGAGTTCCTAATGTTTGGTATACTCAGTGTATAATTCACATCATAATTATTAACTTGACCATGCTTAAAGAGATATTCAATGTCTGATTTGTTATAGTTACCCATCTACCAATCACTGCCCTTCTTTATGAGGCTTTCAAAAGCTTCCTGGTCTTTGTAGTTCAATCTGTGCTTGAAATTCAATACTTGACTGAAGGACCATACAGATGTTGTATGTATGGGAGACAGAGGAAGGGTTAGTCATTCAAAAATCATGTCAACCTCTATTATTTCACAGTCCGTGTAACTTATTGAGTGATTTGTTAAGCCAAATTGTACTCCTAATTAGGCCAAGGGGCTGAATACTTATGCCACGACTATATTTTAGTTATACATTTTCTATTTATAAAAATTAAAATCTTCCACATTCACTTGAGAGTATTTTGTGTAGATTGTTGACATAAATGACAATTAAATCCATTTTAATCCCACTTTGTAGCACAATAAAATGTGAAGAAATCCAAGGGGTCTGAATACTTTTGCAAGGCACTGTACACATACACACACGCCATCTGACACAGAAAAGCATGGCATTTCCCTCATTCACCTAATTATATGTATGTGAGATGCTCTGACTGCCTCTCCATACGCTATTAATATCACTGACTTATCAATTATTTAGGCTAACAGAACAACAGGCAGGCCAGACGGTTAGCCTGCCAGTTACACCAGCGCTAATCGCTAAAATGGGACACACTGTCTGCCAATTAGCACTGGAAATACACTCACACACACATTCATGGCTACTGCCTGTGTGGTAACCAGCTGCTGGGAGATAATGAGGGTATGAAACACCTTTGTCAGACTTACACGTTTATTTTCTATCTTCCTTTTTATTCTGTTATTTTACTCCTCATCACTCCTCTCTCTCATTCTCTTTTTCCACACCTCCTCTCTTGCTTATTTTGGTGAAATTATTCATACTATTTAAACCTTCCACAAAATATAGTCCCGACACAAATCTAGGGTTGCTACCCAAGCCGAGTGGTCGTTTGTTCTATCTGTCTTTTTGTTCTGTATCTATGGACGTGACCCAGTCGTTCAGTCTTTTTGTTCTGTATCTATGGATATTCGTTTTAAATGTTCCATTGCCATTCTGGCTGGCAACGTTCTTATCCCTTGCTTGCTAGCTAGCCGACTACGGCTAACTTACATTCACGTCAAAATGTGCAGCCAGAATAACAGCAAAGTAGCCGCATTTGCATTTGTTTAAGTTGTTTTCTAGTGACATTTATTTGGATACATTAATAGCAATGAGCTAATGAGGCACGATTTCACTTGGCATAGAAAACGTGCTTACTCGTCAGGACACTGTTGTTCAGAGGAGCTAGCCAACAACACAGCTAACACAATCACTTCAAACTGAAGCTGGAAAGACTGCAAACTACCTGCACTTTGTTTCGTTTTACTTTTTTTCAGTTGACATTTCTTTGTATATATCCATATAAATTATGCCAGCTGATTCATGATTTCGACTGGCTGAGAAAAGCTGCCTGCCTGTATGTCTCATCCCGACTCCCGACACGTTCATTACTATGGGACAGCTGGAGATCGAATTTGAATATTGAAACAATGTTGCAAATGTCGGAGGGAGGCAGCAAGGTTTATACAAATCTCTGCTGTTGAAAACTAAATGTTAGTCTAAAAGAAATGTTAGATAATGTCTAGATGCTTTTTATAATGGAGATCAAGTTTATAAATTGCCTGGCTGGGCTGATGAGACAGTGGATTGCGCAGTCAGATGGAACAGAGTAAATAGGCGTTTTAACGTCATATATTTAGCCGGTGGTAATTTGTGGAATAGACACCGGCTGGAATGCGGTTTTAACAAATCAGCATTCAGGATTAGACCCACCCGTTGTATAAATAATATTTTACAACAGCTGATGAAACTAACACCGTAAACGTGTAAAAATTAATTATCAGTGTTATTTCCTGATAGTTGCTTTTTGAAAATACAATCTACACAGGACCTTCTAATCAGCAGGTTTGCATGGGCGGGAGTTTCAGCTTTCCATGGTGATATCACCATGCGGTAAATTGGTTAATAGACCAATAACAAATAGAGTTCCAAACCACTCAAACCACTCCCAGACAGTCGTAGCAAAATTCTTGAGATTTTTTTGTTGCTAAAAATGATTTTTTCCCCCCCCAATTTTAATGGAAATCTATTACAGTAAGGTACTTAATTGTTACCCAGAATTTATTTGATATAAAAACGACTGCATGGGGCCTTTAACCTTTCTTCTTTTCTCCCCACAGAGACAGAAGATAAACAGAAGGACATCCTTAACAACACCATCCCTGAGGGGAAAGACACAGGTGACTTAATTTGTTTTTACGTGTGTGTGTGTGTGTGTGTGTGTGTGTGTGTGTTTCCGTGTCCGTGTCCGTGCATGCGCGTATATGTCTGTGTAAGCCTGTGTGTGGGTGTTCATCTGTTTGTGTGTGTTGACTGTGTTCATTTTGTTTCTGGTTCTTAGGGAAGTATGTGGGTGGTTACCGTGGCCTGTTGTCAGGGGTGACGGTGCGTCCAGGGAGTGTGGAGCCCCACAGTGTGGTGGAGTGTCTGTACGCCTGCAGGGAGGGGCTGGACTTTGGAGACTTAGAGACCTTGGGCTCAGGCATGAAGGTAACCTCACCCTACTGTAGAGGAGTCCTATAGATCACTGTCTCCAAAATGGTGGACAGTTTCACTTGGTTAAAGCTTAAGAGTGGGCTTTGACGACCAGAATTTTTATTTTCTTCATCTAGAGGGTTTGATAGGTCATGGCACCCTAACGTTTTTTTAACCACTGCTATATGTCCTACTCAGATGATTGTTTACAAAAGGGTTAGTTTCCCCCTGATGGTATATGGAGTCTACTGCATAATATTTGTATGTGCACGTGCAACACATTTATTTTGAGTCAATCAAAAGTGAAGTCCCAAAACGGTGGTACCGATGAAATACATAAAGAGAATACATAGCCAGAATTAACTATGTGTGTGACTATGAGGGGTGTGCGACCTCGGAGCATGAACTCTTGACCTTTGACCTTTTAGGTGCATGTGAACCCCAGTCAGTCTGTGCTGGTTCTGGAGGGTGATGACATTGAGAGCTTCAACAGGGCAGTGCAACAGGTCACCTACAGGAACTCTCTCCGCTTCGCCACCCCTGGAGTCAGGCCACTCAAACTGACCACCTCCCTCAGGTACACGCACACACGCTTTCATGTACGCACACACATACACACACACACAGAGGACTAAGTGATCTCGCTCTCCGAGGCCGACGTGAGTAAGGTCTTTAATCAGGTCAACTTGTCGCAAGGCCGCGGGGCCGGACATTTCCAGGGCGTATACTCAGAGCATGCGCAGAACAGATGGCAGGCATATTCACGGTCATTTTCAGCCTCTCCTTGTCCCAGTCTGGACTTAAAATGGTCCACACACACGCTCACATTCGTGAAGAAGGTGCGACAGCACCTCTTCCCCCTCAGGAGGTTGAAAAGGTTTGGCATGGGCCCTCAAATCCACAAAAAGTTATATAGCTGCACCATTGAGAGCATCTTGACTGGCTGCATCACTGCTTGGTATGGTAACCGCACCGCCCTCGATCGCATGGCGGTACAGAGGGTGGTGATGACAGCCCAGTACATCACTGGGGCCGAGCTCCCTGCCATCCAGAACCTCTATATCAGGCGGTGTTGTTAAATTGTTAAAGACTCCAGCCACCCAAGCCATAGACTGTTCTCTCTGCTTCCGCACGGCATCGGTACCGGTGCATCAAGTCTGACACCAACAGGCTCCTGAACAGCTTCTATCCCCAAGCCAATAGCTAACAAAATGGCTACACGGACTATCTGAGTTGAGCCTTGTATTTTATTAATTTTTTTTGCACTGTCTCTCTGCACACTCACAAGAGTCATGCACACTGACACTCCAACACACACACACACACACACACACACACATACACTGACTTAATTTGCTCACACACATAACATGCACACACATTTATACTGACTACACGCAAACACACTCACATACAATCATCAAATACGCTGCTATCATATGTCCTGATTCCTAGTCACCTTACCCCTATACATATCTACCTATATCACTACAGTATCTCTGCACATTGTAAATATGGTACTGGAACTGACCATGTATATTGTTTACTTACTTTCTGTGTTTTTCTTATTTTTATTTCTTGTGTGTTTTTGTTCTACCTTATGTTATTTTTAGTACTACATTGATATTGATTACTGCATTGTTGGGTTTGGAGCTTGAAGGAAAGGCATTTCGCTGTACTTGTGCACGTGACATTAAAACTTGAAACTTGAACACACACAGGCACACACACTGACAGTGCTAGTGTACATAAACTAGAAATATGGGTTAAAAGAGGCAGCGCAGGTAAAACATAATGTCACAATGAATGCAGCAGTATTCCAGAGCTGTGGATGCAGGTTTCCAGGACTGCTCAGTGGAAGAGAGCTATTCATTGGACATTGATCTCAATAAACATGGACTTTGGCTAGAGTAGTTGATAAGGAATGGTATGGCGTGAAAGAGCACGATGTTAAATGAATGACGTCATCCCAAACTGTCCATTATAAACTGGGGGTATCTTATCTTTGACTTATGTTCTGGTCCGCAGTTACTTGTATCATATCTCTAAAGGCATTCATTCACCACAACCTATCCTCTCTGTGACAGAGTATTTCATCCATGGTGATGTAGCCTGGGTGCCAGTTTGTTTCTGCCTCGTTTTGGGTATTTTTCATTGTCTATCCATTGTTTAACAACATAAGATAATTGAAGGTCGTCAGGTACCCAGGCTAATGATGAATGAAATAATTTATTCATTCATTTATTCTAAGGTTCTTATACAACTTGGGGGAAGAACATGTAGACACCTTTTTATTTACCTTTTATTTCAATCTTTGCACTGTCTCTATGCACACTCACAGGGCCCTACACACACACACACTGTCACTCCAACACACACAAACACTCACTCCATAATTTTCTCACTCACACATAATATGCACATACATTTATGCTGACTCTACACACCCACACACCCACTCACATACAAGCTGCTGCTACTCTGTTTATCTTATATCCTGTTGCCTAGTCCCCTTACCCCTATACATATCTACCTCCATCACTCCAGTATCCCTGCACATGTAAATATGGTATTGGATCTGACTTTTTAAATATTTCCTGTATATAGTATGCTTACTTACTTACTTACTTTATTGTGTATTTCCTATTCTTATTTCTAGTAATACATTGTTATTGATTATTGCATTGTTGGGTTTTGAGTTTGCAAGAAAGGCATTTCACTGTACTTGTGCATGTGACATTAAAACTTGAAACTTTTACTCAGCAAATGTATCAGAGCACAAGGATATACTGGTATGTTGAAGGACATCATCCCTGTGCAAGGAGTGGAGCTTGATTTGCAGCTGATATTTGAGTCCCGGTCTTTTGCTCGACCAGTTAATCTAGCCTTGGGTAACAGGAAGCACGGTTGAAGCATCTAATCTTGAAACAGTTTATTTTCATGCCACAGTGTATCGCACATTGTATTCACTTCATGGATAACCAGAACATTTTTTTCTATTTTTGGGTTAATGCACCACATAGGCCTACACAGGTCCTTTTTTATCCACTTTGTCGATTTGAAATATTTATGCACGTTGTGAAGTGCATGTAGGTCCTACCTATCTATGTTCTTTAGTATCTGATCCATCTGATCTATCGCAGGAAGTGATGCAACCATAGAAAATCCTCATTATCTTACCCTGTAGAGTTACATAAATAGCTGCATTTTAATGTTGTGTTTTTCAGATTAGTCGTATTTAAGGTACAACATTGATGTGGTGTTTTTGTGCTTGTTTTGAGATCTGTTTTCCGGTCATGAGTTTGTGGATTTTTTTTGCTTGTGTTTTTAAGATTAGTCCGATTCCAGGTCAGGATGTTGTTTGCTTTTCTAGTGTGTTCTTCAGTATGATTCTTGGTTAGTAGTTGGAGGGGATGTTTTTTAATGGTGTTTAAAGATAAGACCGATTTGAGGTCAGCGGTTCCTCCAGATGGCTGAACAGCAGGCCCTTGTGGAGAGTCAGATATAGCAGCTGCTCACTGAAACATTTACATTTTACATTTTAGTCATTTAGCAGACGCTCTTATCCAGAGCGACTAACAGTTAGTGAGTGCATACATTTTCATACTGGCCCCCCGTGGGAAACGAACCCACAACCCTGGCGATGCAAACGCCATGCTCTACCAACTGAGCTACAGGGGACGGAGAGAGATAGTATTACTGCAGTTCCAACACTCACACACTAAACAACTCAAAGCACCACTTGAATCATAAATCAACTGCTGAATCGCCAAATAATAATACCATTTCAAAGTGCTTCTGAAAAGTGGCAGAATTAGTATCAGCTACTGTAGACACTGCATGCAATATAATATAGTCCAGGGTTTTATCAATCCTGGTCCTGGAAATCCACAGTGTGTGCAGGCTTTTGGCCTAGACCAACACTAACACACCTGATTTGGCTAATCATCAAGTCCTAAAACTGTTTACTTATAGAGAATAACTGGTACCCTATTTGCACCCCCCCCCCCCCCCCCCCCACCATGTTCTCTCTCTCTCTCTCTCTCTCTCTTTCCTCTCTTCACCCTAGGTGTTTCAATGAGGAGAGTTGTCTTACCCTCAGGCAGTTGGAGGGCTACCTGGTGGTCCTTCAGCCTGACGCCCCTCAGATCTCCCTGTCTGGAGTCGGCCCCCACCTGGCCCGCCCCGCGCCTGAATTCGAGGGCCCACGTGGTGTACCCCTCTTCCCAGAGCTGAGGATCGTGTGCTCCCTGTCTCATGCTGTGAACACAGCCGCTCAGGGCATGGAGGGAGGAGGTGAGCCAGGAAAGAGCCCTTCCATGAATACTACAATGCGGGGGTAGAGACTAGTGCATTCCAATCACATCAATCTAATCGTTTTGAGAGCATTTTACCAGCATTTTATGTAGGAAGGAAACCTACTGCACACGGATTGATGCTTCTAAAAACATATGGACCATTGTCTGGTCTTTGCCACTTAGTGTTAAGTGCCTTGCTCAAGGGCACATCGACAGATTTTTCACCTAGTCGGCTTGGGGATTAGAACCAGCGACCTTTCGGTTACTGGCACAACGCTCTTAACCACTAAGCTACCTGCCAAACATACAGATCACTTATTTTTCTTACACCTGAAACTATTTCCACTTACTAGCAGTGCTACTTAATTATATGTCTGCTGACACAGAATGTGAAGTAAGATCTGTCTTTCTTCTAAATCAGATTTGAATTGGGCTACATGTTTCCTACCTCTAGATTGGTTGTTTTGCAACATGCGCAACTATGGGGCAAAACAGACTGGGTTGGCTTAGATTGTTGACAACATGTTAACTATATTCCGTCTCTAATCGTTATTGAAAACATAAATACATTTGCCCAATGAGCACTTGTTGTCTCTCAAATACATTGTTACAGTTGTTGGTTAGCTAGCTAGCGAATTTGAGCCATATTAGCATTGACATGAAATCAATCAAAACATTTTTAAAAAAGACAAGGTATCAAGAACAATAACAAGATGAACTAGCTGAAATGAGTCACTTACGATTCCCCACATGGCAGTTTTTTGTCATTGTTGGTAGCTATCTGGCCATCCAGAATCAACTCAGACTTCTGCCCTATTGAAGTGTGCACATCATCAGCTAATCAATCGATACATATATTCACCTCTGATCCAGCCCCCCTCCACCCATTAACTTCCCCCAATGTTTGTGTGCTTGAATACCAACTGAGACCACACAGACCCAGTACTATTATTAGATGTGCCTTGTGCATCTCCAAGTGAGAACCCTATGTATGTGTGCAACGGCTGTATATTGGAGAGGAAGCACACCACATCTGTGTTTGTCACCCGTTATGTGTGTATCTGTTATGAGGATGATGATGGTTATGTAACAAGAGCCACTTCCTGCATGGGGTCTGTTCAGGTCAGGACATAGTTGATAAAGCTGTGTAGCAACAGAGAAAATAGACTCTGCCAATGCTTTATCTGTGGCTCACTACCTAATCTATTATGTACTTTATTCTGTCTCTCCATAATGGGATAGTCCCTTCTTATCCACTTAATCCCCCCCGGCCCTAACCCGTTCCCTGCGTTCTGTCGTCCTTATCTGTAGTTTTATAAGATTGGGTAATCAGTCATTATAGTGCCGTTTTTTTTTTATTGTTCCTCCTTTTAACTGTCTTCTTTCTGTCTCTCTCTGTCTTCCTTTTTTCTCTGCTTTGCTCTCTGCCTTTCCCCTCTTTCCATCTTTTGCCCTCCCTCTCTCCTCTCTCAATTCCTCATTCTCTCCTCCGTTCTTCTCTCTCCCCCCATGACCCCCAGCTCTGATGTCAGACGCCGTGGCCCACACTCTGGACGGCTGTGAGGTCCAACCCCTGGGGGAGGAGCTAAACCCAGAGAGGGAGGAGCTCCTGATGGACATGGATGCCCTGAGAGAGAGGGGTCTGGAGATAATCAACACCACTGCTTACATCGCCTATCACAGGTACCGCTCATTTCCCCTATTCTGTTTTATTTTAAAGACCCACTTCAGCTATGTTTAAACTTTTCCCGTTGAAAAACGATATTCCAAGTATAAATACTTAAGGGTCAATTCAGCATGGTGTGATTAGTTGAGGTTTTGAAATGACACATAAGGCTATGTTGCGTATTGCATCGCACCTCTATCTCATGTTCACAAACTTTAGCATTTTATTTTCGTCTTACTGTTTCCTCAGTGTTGAAATGCCCCTAAACTTCCTACTCTCCACCTCTCATCATCTCTCTCTCTCTCTCTCTGTGTTAGGAGCTGAGTCCATCTCCGTGTATGAGGATGTCCTTCGGTCCGTCCGTTACCGGCTGGCTAAAGGCTCGGCCCGCTTTGAGAGGCGGTTCCGTCTGTCCTGCTCCGAGATGAATGGCAGATACACCAGCAACGAGCTCACACTGGAGGTAATTAATCTAACTGACCATAGAGGCCGTAATTAACCCAAAATTGGTTAGCAAATAAGCTTCAATGGGGTGTACAATACTGGGGCACTAGCTAAGTGGTTTGAACCTAGCATTTGGTGGGTAGAGAGATAGCCCAGCATTAGTTCAGTTAGTAAGAGGTTCTGTGACAAGGCTTATTTTCTTCTTTTTTCTCTCTCTTTCACTCACACTCTCTCTCTGTCCATCCATATATTCATCTATCCTTGCTCTCAGGTGAACTTCCTGCACTCCCTGGACAGTCTGTACCACCCGTCTCACCTCCTGGCCTCCCAGCAGCAGTTCCTTCACCCGTCTCACCACTCTGGGGAGCTGAGCGGACACACCCTGCCTAACCCCCACCACAACTCAGGTTTATACACACTTCATTTACCTCAGGATTAATGTTGACCTTTTTCGCTTGATTTACCTTTTACAGGAGAACTATGCTCTATATTCCTGAGTACATCCGTTTTGCTCAATGTTAAATCCAGACACATAAAAACAGATAGATGAAGGTGTCTCTATACCATCTCCTTTTATTTATATTGGGAAATCCCCTATCCACTCTCAAAATAGAGATTAAAAATACACATTTTACAACGTTCACAGGTTCATTTTCACCACAAGATGGCAGTGTCACTGACATCAATGACAGGATGGTGGCTGTAAGGTTCATATAAAACTCTTATTTTCCTCTGACAGTGGTGCCAGGAGCGGCCACAGTCATCATCATGGTGTGCGTGGGCTTCCTGGTTATCATGGTGATCCTGGGAGTGTTTCGAATCCGCTCCATCCACCGCCGTGGTGAGGGCGCCAGGGGAGGGTCTAAGGAGGATAGCGGCCAATGGGATGACTCTGCCCTCACCATCATTGTCAACCCCATGGAGGTAAAGCTCTAACTGTGTTTTTGTGGAATAGAATAGATTTTTATTTATTTCAGTGTGGAAGTTTTGAGTTTGGTTTAAGAGTAGAGATGATTTTGATGACTATTTTATCCCCTTCCTCTTCGTCTCGCTCACTCTCTCTCTCTCAGTCCTATGAGTCTCGTATGGGCATCTCAGCCGACACCGAAGGTGAGGGGGAGGAGGACGAGGAAGTGGTGGAGTCGCCCGATGACGCCAACGACGACCAGCGAATCATCATCATCAAGAAAGAGGGCAGAGACAGCAACCCCCGTCGCTACTAAGCCAATCGCCTCGCTCTCTCTGGAAGCACCCATTACTATGGAAACCACAAAACGTCTCGCCACTCACACACTCTTCTCAACGCGTTTAAATATTGAAAACTGCTGACACCTCTAGTCTATGGAATGTAAACTCAAACACACACTGTATTACCGCAACACCACAGCACCATTAGTGATCTATAGCCAATAACAGAGCATTGAATCTTTCACCACGTAAATGTTCTACAGCACAATATATACAGTATACTCTAATCGCCTGACCAAAACAACCAACAAAAATTGTATGTGGTGCACTAATTCCTAACTCACAGGGAATCGACATTGTCCTGGAAGTCTGAATGCCACAGGCCAGACCGTGGCTACAACTTAGTTGTGAAGTTAAGATTGTATATGTTTTACTATCTCTATATCACACTTCAGACACCTTTGCCCACCACACAAAATGAATATTGAAGCAATCGATTCACACACAGCCTTGTGTAGGCCCCTCACACATAGACACAAGCCCTGATCCTGACGCTATCCCACACACCTCTAGATTTAATGTAGTCGTTTTTTTACATACTCTGTATGATGTGCTTCATATACTGTATGTGATGTGCTAAATTAGATCAAATAAATTGTTCACGCAAAAGTGTAGATTTTCAGAACTTTCCTTTTGTCAGGGTAGACTTTTAAATGTAAAATCGTATTGGTTGGTAGAACCCTTTCATTGTAAGGTTTTGCAAGACAAGCTGTCGATAAGGGCATAGAGTAACCTTGTGATGTCACTCTGTGACCTCTGACCCTTACCGTGACCCCCACCACACCATTGCACTCTCACCACCCACCGCTCTTGTAACAACCTCACTACAACAACGACACACACACCACAACACCCGCTGTATCCAGAATGTCAGCTCAGCTTGGGCAGTTTTGATTGTATTAAATTTTCTGTACATACAATTATTGATATTATTGTTATTGCAGTCAACGCTTGCTCTCTGTCTGTACTCTTAAAGAGGGAGCTGCATATACATATTATTTATTACCAATTATATTGTTTTATCATTTGACCAACTATTGTATATTTTTAAGGTTACACCATCAGAATACGGAGTAATAATAATAATAGTAGTGGTAATAAGGATGATGATGATTCCTGGCTTGATGAGTGTATTCATTTGTGTGTTGAATTGTTGTAATTTAAAAATATTGTTCATATCTGAATCACAGTAAATGGAGGGCACATTGTGATAAATAGCTACTCTGTCACTTCTCTCACCTTTCTCTCTCACACCTTCCTTCTTTCACACCTCCCTAGAATATTCTCAAATTGTTCTCTTTTCCTTATCTCCTCTTTCCCTCTTGTCCCCACCATATAATATAATAATTTATAATATGCCATTTAGCAGACGCTTTTATCCAAAGCGACTTACAGTCATGCGTGCATACATTTTTTTTGTGTATGGGTGGTCCCGGGGATCGAACCCACTACCTTGGCGTTACAAGCGCCGTGCTCTACCAGCTGAGCTACAGAAGTTTATTGAATGTACCACCTCCCTCCATCCCTCCTTCACCCTTCCTCCCTCTGTTTATTGCTGTCTGTCTGTGTGTCAATGTGCAGTGATAAACCTGTCAGTAAATAAAGCCTGTTGTTTTTCAGTGTAATATTAAGAATGGAATAAAAATTACATGAAGTACTTATATTATTACTATGGTTACTATTGGGACATTAACTGTAATTATTGATACAATGATAACATGGATTATGAAGATTATTGCTATTGATAACTGTCTGAAAACATTTCAAAGTTCATAATAAAACACTCTGATGACGTCTAAATGCTGCCTGTTTTTAAAGCAAATAATCAATTTGAAAAGATTTCACTATCACTACCATCTTCTGAGTACTTTTTGGATGGTCTGAGAGAATACATAAATTCCTTGGTAAAAACCTACATATTTCAGGAATAACCAGATTATATTTTCGTTCCTCTCCTGAGATAATGAGAATTAGGGTTTTTGAGTTTGAGACTGAAAATTATGTTGGCACAAAACAGGACAAATTTGTTGGACTTTGCGTTCATTCATACCTTGCGCAATAAGATACGCAAACCTTGCTGTCCCTTTGCGTACTTCACCCACTGTCAATCAAGGTCAATGTTACGCCCACTTTCGTTACATTGTTTCACCAAATATAGCCAGAGATTGCAACTTAATCGAACGTTATTAGAACGTTACAATATTCGTAGACATAAATGGCAACATCGATTTGCAGCCTGGACAGTCGCGCTTACACACGCACAAACTCGTTCTGCGCACATTCCGTATTGTCTGTCTTTCAACGTCTACGTCGATGCTGTTTGAGAATACGCCTTGCAGGATTAGCTGTGCATCTGTGTAGATTTTTTGTGGGTCATGGGGGAAAGAGCAGGAGGTAAATAAAGAGACACGCGCTAATAAACACGGGTAAAGATTTACTTTCAAACTCCGTAGCTTCGCTGGATTCGTAATGTGCCAGCTATTTGTTATTTTGTAAGCAGACAATTAGGAGAAGAGGAGAGTAGGAAGGTCTAGTCAGCAGTAAGTGGTGGTGAGTAGAACATTATGCTATCAATCGAATAATGGTCTGTCACATTTTTGTAGCTAACTTGCTAGCATTTGGTCATCAACATACATTGAAGCAAACAGGTAGCTAGCTAGCCACGTAGTTAGCTTTCAAGCGTTCACTGAATGTATTTTGCAAGCTCAACGCTCTCTAACTAAGCATAGCTAGCCAGTTAATTAGCTAGTTACACCCACTACACACTAGATACATTAGCTAGCTAGCATACAGTACATATATTGTGTAAAGTCAATGTTTAACGTTACAGTGCTAGCTGGGAGGACATTTATTGATGTAATTTGACCATATAAATGGACAATTGGCTAGGACATGCCTCCCCTTTGGCTTCTGTGCATGAACTATTGACATGGTGTAGTAGGATGTGTGCAGTATAGTAGCTAGTTAGTATAGTATATAGTAGCTATAGTACCTACTGCCTGTCTGATGGCAATGGTTAGTTTTATGGTGCTCTTTGAATTCTCAACTGGTGGTTTTCAGGTAAAAGCATGGCAAAGCTAACCTTCAACTTGAGAAAGCATCATACCTTCATCATAACATTTTCATGCTCTCATTCTGAACTTGAGAAGCCAACCTATATTTTTCTGTAGAGCCAATATAGCTACAACATGCTGTCATATAGTGTCAAGTATGACACATCACAAGGAATGCCTACTAATTGAATGAAACCCAGACAGAGTCACTTATTTTGGGGCCGTGCATATTCATTATGACTGTCTCTTCTATCCGCAGTATTGCACATCACATGGAGTTGTGTGTGTGTGTGTGAGAGACAATGTTTAATAATATCTGTTTATAATCCTCTTACCAGAGCCCTAATCGTACAGCATCTGTTTGGGTCAGCAGAAAGAAATCCTTAAATCTTAACCCTACTGTAGCTACTGGACCACCTGTGGACAGGGTACAGTGTTGTCTCCCCTTATTTTCAGTAATATTACCTGCAGTTGTGTGTGGTGCCGTTACTTTTTGTATGGTGGAAATGGGCAATGGCTTAATTTTTCAGCTCCGGGGCTGACTGTGCATTATAGAAATTGTCATTATTGTATTTGTCTGAGAGGTTTAGTGAAGTTGAGTAGGCCACTATCTGTGTGCGTCTGTTGGCCTAGATAGTAGGTCAGCTATGTGAACAGCAGGTTTGTCTCTCTCTCCGACATTTCATTGCATTGACACACTGTTGTGGGGGAGAGGACTGTGAATCAGGGAATATTACTACATCTTTGCAGTAGAGGGAGTTACATTGTCTGCTGGTTGTCACCCTTGAATGTTTTCTTTCACTTAAAGGGCCAGGTGAGTAGTTAAAGAGTGAGTTAAAGACTGAAAAGCCAGTCGGAAGAGTGAAAGTGAAGTTCTAGGCTATTCTCAATCAGTCCTGTTGTGGAGCCATTCTTTGGCTGCTCGCTACATTGTTAGTATCCTTGGAGGGCATCAACCCTTTGGAATAGTGTGTGTGTGTGTGTGTGTGTTAAAAGCCAACAGATAGATTAGGAGAGGACTATAAGTCATTGGGCACCCGGGATGAGATTTCAATTTGGCCTGGCTAGCCCTCTCATCCTCAAATAGACCTCCATATCTCTCAAACAGCTCTCTCATGTTGCTTTGATTAATGTAAAAGGTTGAAAAGAGAGTGATGACGCACATCCAAACACAGCACAGGAGCTGGAGAAAAAGGATAGCCTAGCTGTAGTAGGAAGGTAAATGACTGCCAAACAGTGAGTGAACATCCACATTTTTTCCCTTATGTTTTTCTTGATTCCGGTACACCCTCTTTGTATTCAAATGGCTTATCCTGAGCTATCTTGCATGGGACCATGAATAGTGTTGGTGCCGGTCTATCTCTGCTTAATAGCTCACATGTGTTGTCTTGTTAGGCACCTCAACGAATGCAGAAAGAGTCTGGCACCCAGACAGGACCTTGAATGTGATATTATCAAACAGAGTTAATTAGATGTGAAATGTTTGGAATGAACAAATACTTCCATCCATCATCTAATCGATAAGTCAATGTTTTTATTCACTTCTTCCTCTCTTCAGCTCTAAGGTGGTCTGATTGGATACGCCGCTGCCCGCTGTTGCCATGGCGATGCGGGAGCTGGTGGAGGGGGAGTGCGGGGGAGCCAATCCCCTCATGAAGCTGACGGGTCACATGACCCAGGAGGGAGGAGCTTGGAGGCACAGGTCAACGCCCACTGTGAGTAGTCACCTGTAGAAATTACAATAAGGAATGTATGGAATATGTACCGTAATCCATGTTCTATGTTTTGTATTTTGTTAGTTTGTTATTGACCATGTTGCATTGAGTTATTTTTCCTGGTCAACGGTGGTGCCCATCCAGGGCTCTAAATTGGTGCTGCCAACTTTAAAAAAGTTAGGAGCACGACATGAAATGTATGAGCATCAGAACTTGTTGTGCCCTTTAAAGTAATATGTAACACTGTAAAGACATTTGTTTATTATAAAAATTCAAAATTAAATTACAAAGTAATTTGTGGACTATTAGGTTTCTTCATTGTGTAAAAGCACTGTTTTCCTATTGAGATGCATTACATTGAAAATGGTACACTTTCTCTTTAAAAACGTCAGGTTTGTGATTGCTATGATCATTGATCTCCTGAAAAAGCTATGCCTTTTCCTTTCTTTCTGTGCCCCCAAATGTTTGGATATACTGGTAAAGTTACCAGGTTGTTAGCTAGCCAATGAGGTAACATGAATGAACAAAGTGTAAACAAAAGGTTAACGACACGCAAGTAGTTTTAGAATGGCCCACAAGATGGTACAGTGAGGAGAAAAAAGTATTTGATCCCCTGCTGATTTTGTACGTTTGCCCACTGACAAAGACATGATGAGTCTATAATTTTAATGGTAGGTTTATTTGAACAGTGAGAGACAGAATAACAACAAACAAATCCAGAAAAATGCATGTCAAAAATGTTATAAATTGATTTGCATTTTAATGAGGGAAATAAGTATTTGTCCCCTCTGCAAAACATGACTTAGTACTTGGTGGCAAAACCCTTGTTGGCAATCACAGAGGTCAGATGTTTATTGTAGTTGGCCACCAGGTTTGCACACATCTCAGGAGGGATTTTGTCCCACTCCTCTTTGCAGATCTTCTCCAAGTCATTAAGGTTTCGAGGCTGACGTTTGGCAACTCGAACCTTCAGCTCCCTTTACAGATTTTCTATGGGATTAAGGTCTGGAGACTGGCTAGGCCACTCCAGGACCTTAATGTGCTTCTTCTTGAGGCACTCCTTTGTTGCCTTGGCCGTGTGTTTTGGTCATTGTCATGCTGGAATACCCAAGATTTGACGGTACATGGCCCAGTCCATCGTCCCTTTGATGCTGTGAAGTTGTCCTGTCCCCTTAGCAGAAAAACACCCCTAAAGCATAATGTTTCCACCTCCATGTTTGATGGTGGGAATGGTGTTCTTGGGGTCATAGGCAGCATTCCTCCTCCTCCAAACACGGCGAGTTGAGTTGATGCCAAAGAGCTCGATTTTGGTCTCATCTGACCACAACACTTTCACCCAGTTCTCCTCTGAATCATTCAGATGTTCATTGGCAAACTTCAGACGGGCCTGTATATGTGCTTTCTTGAGCAGGGGGACCTTGCGGGCGCTGCAGGATTTCAGTCCTTCACGGCGTAGTGTGTTACCAATTGTTTTCTTGGTGACTATGGTCCCAGCTGCCTTGAGATCATTGACAAGATCCTCCTGTGTAGTTCTGGGCTGATTCCTCACCGTTCTCATGATCATTGCAACTCCACGAGGTGAGATCTTGCATGGAGCCCCAGGCAGAGGGAGTTTGACAGTTCTTTTGTGTTTCTTACATTTGTGAATAATCGCACCAACTGTTGTCACCTTCTCACCAAGCTACTTGGCGATGGTCTTGTAGCCCATTCCAGCCTTGTGTAGGTCTACAATCTTGTCCCTGACATCCTTGGAGAGCTCTTTGGTCTTGGCCATGGTGGAGAGTTTGGAATCTGATTGATTGATTGCTTCTGTGGACAGGTGTCTTTTATACAGGTAACAAGCTGAGATTAGGAGAGGGGTCAAATACTTATTTCCCTCATTAAAATGCAAATCAATTTATTACATTTTTGACATGCGTTTTTCTGGATTTCGTTGTTGTTATTCTGTCTCTCACTGTTCAAATAAACCTACCATTAAAATTATAGACTGATCATGTCTTTGTCAGTGGGCAAACGTAGAAAATCAGCAGGGGATGAAATACTTTTTTCCCTCACTGTATATGAATGTAAAATGTGGTCCCGGTGATCCGCTATAGGAAGATACAAATTTTACACCTGTAATATGGGTCAGATCTTTTGACTTGGTTGGGAGCACAATGCGACTCGGAAACAACAGTACAGCGAAGCCTTATTACAAGATCTATTATCTGGGAGATTTTTTTCCTAGTCGCATTGTGCTCCCAACATAAAACTCCTGGTCGCACAGAAAAACGTTGTCGCACTTTAGAGCCCTGGGCCCATCTACCCATACTTGAACAAGTTCATACATCATAGTTAGTTTGCAGCATACAACTTAGACGAGATACTACAACTTAGTTGTACTATAGCTTTCACAAATATATCTCACAGTATCACTTTCATCCCTCTTTCTCCTAGATTCCCCCTACACCCATTGAAATAGCAACAGAAGAAGAGGTCTGTGCTCATATTACCTTCCCAGTCCTATTGATTCGAACTGTTGTGCTTTGTCTGCATATTCTAAAAAAGGAATATGAAAACACGTTTCATTCATGTGAGGTTTGTTAATCATAATTGAATAGGCTAGCGTTTGATGTCCTGTTCTGCATGTGTGTGTCCCAGTTGGTGAATGAGTTCATGCAGCAGGCGCCTCCACGGCCCCCTCACAGCTTTGACATGGGCCAGTTACTGGAGGAAATGCAGCAGATCGATCAGCAGAGCTACAGACAGGCTCCACAGAGAGGTACACACACAGCAGTAATAGAATACCTTATTATACTCTCCAACGCAGCAAAAGCAACACCATTATAGATTTGCAGTGTGCCTGCCCAGCTGCATGGCAGCACTTCCATATTGTTACCCCACAGGCCTTGGAACATATGTTGACACTTCAAGACACCCTTTATTACATTTTCCTCTATCTGCCATCCAAGTACTCGCACTGAAAAACACACTTTTTTGCCAATGTGTGAAGAAAACAACACCCTTTCCCTCCTGTCTTGTCCGTAGCTCCGGGTGTAGCCGCATTGGCCCTGTCTGGTGATTGGACGTCTGAGTTTCTGTCGGGAGCGGATGCCGCCGCCGCCTCATCTGGGCAGGCGGGACTTGGAGACCCAGCCGACGCTGATTGGACCAGAGAGTTCATCACTGATGGCACAGGTACATTTTTGGAATGTCAATGGTAGGCATAATTGCCAACCGTTTGTTTGAATGTACTTAGTGGCCACTACTTCTAACAAGTAGAGAAATAATCTGTATCTTACTCTCTTTCCCTTTCTCCCCTCTTTCTCTTCTCTCTTTCTCTCTTCTCTGTCTCTCTCTCTCAGATCCCGGGCGTTGGGCAGAGGAGTATCTGGAGCAGTCAGAGGAGAAGCTATGGCTCGGAGACCTGGGCGAGAGGGAGCAGGAATGGTAATAATGGAGAGACAGAGAAAAAGAGGAGAGCAAGGGACATGTAGATAGATACAGTGAAATTCTGAGAAACCTTGAGAATGTTCCAGAGAAGATGGTGCCATTGTGATGTTGAGCCGCTAAGCGTGTCTTACAATTCTTGATGTTGTCCTCTCAGAACTCTGTGTTATTGCGTTCGCTTTGTGGTAGTGAATAGAAGTCATTGCGTAACTCGAAGTCAAGAAAGAAAATGAAAGCCAGTAAATCCTGCACACAGGCTTTTAGTTTGTGTATTTAATGCGTTGACCCCATAAGTAGCAGTCATTTAATTAGGTATTCAAAAGTGCTTTTTGATTCCATCCTTAGTGGATATGTATTGTGAAAAGAGACAATACATTTCAATTACAATATATTTACAAGGACACAGTGTGATTATGTAAAAATTACATGGTCTCTTTAACCCACTTGTTCTTTAAAATGATCACTGTTTGACACTCGGTAAGCTGTTTAAATTAACCCTTTGATGTTAATGTTTGTCAATCCAATAGGACGAAAGAGTACCTACCAGGAGACGAACTGAAGCAAACAGCCAATGAGCTGGTCGCAAAGGTCGATGACCCCAAGTTACAGAACACTGAGGTGTGTGTTTGTGTGTGTGTTTCCGTGTCGCGTGTGTTTCATACCTTTTTTTCTACATATTTATCACCATACCCTTTCCCCATTCTTTGTCCATAGAAGTAATGTAGCTTTGTAATAACAGGATCATTGTAGTTGTAGCCGTTTCTTTTGAGTTGTGAGACTCTTCTTTGTAGTCAATTAGACATCAAAATGTTTCTTGGGAAAGCATTTTGCTGTGATGGACCGTAGTACCATGGTGACTTTAGAACTGTTTGTGTGGTATTCCAATTCCTCTGTCATTATTTTGGATTTGGCTAAAGCACAAATGGATCTGATGACCAATTTAGGTCCATAAGCCATAATGGATATTGTGTTGTTGTTGTTGTGTTGCACTGTAGTTCCTGCGGTTCATTAGGCAGATTGGCGAGGGCAGTGTCACAGTGGAGGACAGAGCAGGCAAACAGCACACAGATAGAGCTCAGGCCAAGGAGGCTCAGAACTGGGCCTCCAACCTCAACCAGGTAGGAGCCAACTCCCAATGAGGACACAAGGGGAAGGGTGCAACTGTCAACCTACAGGGAGCCATCTTGGCTCAAGCTTCCTCATTTTGACCCCCCATATCCCAGTATTCGGTGCAGACTCCTGCAACTGTTACTAACTACATAACCAAGTGATGGCCATTAACTTTTCTGTATGTGAGCCTTGCACTAGGCTGTGCAATGTATAATTTGGAAATGGTATATGTAGAAATAATTTATTGTGGAAAAGAGAGCCTTGTCCTTTCTATACATGCAATTTCTATCTGCCAACTTCTACCAATTAAAATCATCATAGCTGTTCCTGTCTTGAATCAGACTTCTAGTTCCCCTTGTCAAGTGAAGTCATGTTTTTAACAGGGTTGGGGCAAATCATTTTTCAATTCAGGTAGGGGATTTAAATATATATATTTTTTTTATTCATTATTATGAGTTGAATTCCAAGTCACTTCCTGAATTAGACCCCAGCCCTGGTGTTTACCCTTGAGTATGTAGTCATAGGAGTTCTCATGGTTGCCCTTTTAACTGTGACATCTACTTTTGACCCTGCTGTGAACTCTTGGCTTTCCCCTCCTTTGATTAACAACCCCCATTCATTTGTACCAAATTAAAACACCTCCGTCCTCACCCCTCCCAAAACAAAAAACCCACCCCCAACGCCTCACACCTGCCACAAAACAATCACACCTGCCACAAAACAATCCCGCCTCCCCCATTCTCTGCTCCCTGGTTACCATAGTTCCTGGAGGAGTCTGGGGGAGGGACTCTACCCTTGACAACCCAAGAGTGGGATCAGAAGATTGCCAAAGCTAAGGCTAAACAGGCACATCAATGGGCTACTGTCGTCAGACAGGTAGGACCCCTGACGCCATGGCAACACTGCCCAGTGGCTCCGCAACCGGCTTTCTGCCAAGAAAGTAGCGTTGAGCTGATTATGTTTTTCATCAGCCTTTTTTGCAGTAGTTGGATGGCCGTTTTTAGTGGCAGAATTTTTTCTCCCCCTGTAGGTTTTCCCGTAGTCACTTTGCACTTTGTATAAACCCAAGGAAGATACAACGCGCGTAAGCAAATAGTTTTCGCTGATTCAACTTGCATTAAGATTACAGCAATTACTTTAGAAAAGTGGTAAAGATGCCCTGCACTAGAGGTTTGTAGATTGTAGGGGAGAAAGGGAGTGGGAGAATGGGTGTGGTTCTCTGATGTGTTTTGCTTCTTCCCATTCCTTTATCTTGTCTTCCTCTCATCCCTCTTCCCCATCTTTTTCTGCTGCCACAACCTCAACGTCCCACTTTAAGTGTTGTGATAGAGGTACGGATAACTTGGTGTCCACGTCTGCCATTGCTACCTCTTCCTTCCTTCCTGTTCAGGTCTCAGTGGAGTCAGCGGAATCCTGGGTAGATGAGTTTGCCACAGCAGGTCCAGATTTCCAGCAAGCTAAAGCTGCTGTGGAGGTAAGCGAGAGACACCAGGGCGATACGAGTTAATACAGAACAATAAAATAGGAAAGATAACAGAATAATTATTTTTATCATCTTCCAAATTGTATCTCAAGAATAATTCCAGCCTATGCCCAAACATACTATACTGAACAAGCATATAAACGCAACATGCAACAATTCCAAAGATTTTACTGAATTACAGTTCATATAATGAAATCAGTCAATTGAAATACATTCACTATGCCCTAATCTATGGATTTCACATCACTGGGCAAGGGCGCAGCCATGGATGGGCCTTGGAGGGCATAGGCCCACCCACTGGGGAGCCAGGCCCAGCCAATCAGAATGAGTTTTTCCCCACAAAAGGGCTTTCTTACAGACAGAAATACTCCTCAGCACCCCTCAGACGATCCTGCAGTTGAAGAAGCTGGATGTAGAGGTCCTGGGTTGGCGTGGTTACACGTGGTCTGTGGTTGTGAGGCTGGTTGGATGTACTGCCAAATTTGACGAAAATGACATTTGAGGCGGCTTATGGTAGAGAAATGGACATTCAATTATCTGGCAACAGCTCTGGTGGACATTCCTGCAGTCAGTAAGCCAATTGCTGTTGTATGACAAAACTGCACATTTTAGAGTGGCCTTTTATTGTCCCCAGCACAAGGTGCACCTGTGTAATGATCATGCTGTTTAATCAGCTTCTTGAAATGCCACACCTGTCAGATGGATGGCGTATCTTGGCAAAGGAGGGAGAAATGCTCACTAACATTGAAGTAAAGAAATTTGTGCACAAACTTTGAGAGAAATAAGCTTTTTGTGCGTATGGAACATTTCTGGGATCTTTTATTTCAGCTCATGAAACATGGGACCAGCACTTTACATGTTGCGTTTATATTTTTGTTCAGTATATATTAAGCTCTTTACATATACTATATTGCACTAATATGCCATTGCACATTTTCACTTCCGGTAATTACCATGTATCATTAGCTTAAAGTACACTGTATATAGAACCTTTATCCAAGTTCACATTGGCCCTTGGGCGTCCCCTAAAAATAGTGGTTTGGACTAATGTTAGGGGGATTCCCACAGCAACTTTATGATGGTGATGCCCAGATTTCTTAGGGCAGTGACCTGCCCAGCACCCCCATAATTTGACCCCTGACTTTGACATTGTGATTGTTCCTCTGTGTCAGAGCGACGTGGACTTCTGGGAGAAGCTGCAGCAGGAATGGGAGGAGATGGCGAAGAGAGACGCAGAGAGTCATCCCTGGCTCTCCGACTTTGACCAGATGCTCAGCAGCTCCTACGACAAGGTACCTGACCTAGCTTCCTATCCACCTGTGTAAGTGGTGTTGGAGGGCCAGTAGCAGGCACTCTTTCCTCTGGTCTAAAAAAATATCCCAATGCCCCAGGGCGGTGATTGGGGACATTGCTCTGTGTAGGGTGCCGTCTTTCGGATGGGATGTTTAACGGGTGTTCTGACTCTCTGTGCTCACTTAAGGTCCCATGGCACTTATCCTAAGAGTAGGGGTGTTAACCCCGGTGTCCTGGCTAAATTCCCAATTTGGCCCTCATATCATCATGTCCACCTAATCATTCCCAGCTTCCAATTGGCTCATTAATCCCCCTTCCTCTCCCCTGTAACTATTCCCCAGGTTGTTGCTGTAAATGAGAATGTGTTCTCAGTCAACTTACCTGGTAAAATAAGTTTTTATAAAAAAGGGCCCGTATTCACAGTCTCATTAGGAGTGCTGATTAAGGATCAGTTTTGCCTTTCAGATCACAATTAATAAGATCAGCATTCCTACCTGTCCAGGCTAGAAATCTGCCTTGTCTGCTAAGTTGCTGTTCATGATTTAACTTGCGCTCTCTCTCTCTCTATTTCTCTTTCCATTTCTTTCTCATTCCCTCCCTCGCTCTCTCACCCCCTCCCTCCAGGGGTACCAGTTTGAGGATGACAACCCGTACCTGTCCCACCAGGACCCCCTGGCTGAGGGGGTGAGGAGGATGGAGGCAGGGGACATCCCTGGGGCCGTGCGTCTGTTTGAGAGTGCCGTACAGCGAGAACCAGACAACCAACTGGTGAGACGCTCATTAATAACTCATTAATAACTGATATAATAATATCTCAAGGTGAAATTATTTCTGGCTAACAAGTGCTGGCGACTAAGGGGGTTCTTTCTTACCCTGCTAGCATTAGGTGGGTGAAGAGATAAAGAGAACTAAGCACTCACACACTTTTTTTCCCGCTTCTTTTTTTTAGGCATGGCAATATCTGGGAACCTGTCAGGCAGAGAACGAACAAGAGTTTGCAGCCATCAGTGCCCTCCGCAGGTAAAGAGATAGAATAGCAGCCTCACTGACTGGAGAGAAGTCCCTGGTTATGTCCCAAGTGGCACCCTATTCCCTATATAGGGCACCCATAGGGCTCTGGTCAAAAGTAGTGCACTATATAGAGCAGGGGTGTCAAACTCATTTTGACCCGGGGGTCACATTCTGTCTTCAACAAGGTCCGGAGGGCCGGACTGAAAATGTGTTCTTTCCTTGCTGTCAATAAATGGTCCTTTGTTAACCTCTATGGGATTGGTGTCCCATATATGGGACGGTTGAGCTAACATGCGCTAATTTGATTAGCATGACTGTTGTAAGTAACAGCAAACTTTCCAGGACATAGACATGTCTTATATGGGCAGAAAGCTTACATTCTTGTTAATCTAACTGCACTGTCCAATTTACAGTAGCTATTACAGTGAAAAATTACCATGTTATTGTTTGAGGAGAGTGCACAGCAACAAAAAACGTGTCACGGCAACTGGTTTGATACATTCACCTCTGAAGGGTTCTACAGTTTGAACCCCTGCGGTCTCTTGCTCCACACCCACCCCACCCGGCCATCTAGATGTGTGAAAGTTAGTGTATAAGCTAATGATCCATCAGGTATGACATTCCTGGGAGTGTGTATACTTACACATTTTGTATTACCATGTAATTTTTGTATGTTATGTACTTGAAAATGTATCAATTGACCAATTTGGCACATTTGGGCAGACTTGATACAAAATAGTCCAGTATTGCAATGCTTCACTGGATCAATCTGAAACTTTGCACACACACTGGTGCCATCTAGTGGCCAAAATCTAAATTGGGGGGGGGGGGGGGGGAGGAGAACGCATGTTTTTTTGTTTGTATTATCTTTTACCGGCTCTAATGTGTTATATTCTCCTACATTAATTTCACATTTCCACAAACTTCAAAGTGTTTCCTTTCAAATGGTATCAAGAATATGCATATCCTTGCTTCAGGTCCTGAGCTACAGGCAGTTAGATTTGGGTATGTAATTTTAGACAAAAATTGAAAAAAGGGTCCAATCTTTAAGAGCTTAATTGTTTTTTTATGCTCACTGATTGTCTAGCTTTTGTTTCGGTGATTGTTAGCAAGCTGGACAGAGTGAGGAAACTGTATAAATGTAGGTCCATTATCAACTGAACAAAAATATAAACGCAACATGAAACAATTTCAACGGTTTTACTGAGTTACAGTTCATGTGGTCCTCTGTAGCTCAGCTGGTAGAGCACGGCGCTTGTAATGCCAAGGTAGTGGGTTCGATGCCCGGGACCACCCATACACAAAAAAATGTATGCATGCATGACTGTAAGTCGCTTTGGATAAAAGCGTCTGCTAAATGGCGTATTATTTATTATTATATAAGGAAATCAGTCATTTGAAATAAATTCATTAGGCCCTAATCTATGAATTTCACATGACTGGGCAGGTGCGCAGCCATGGGTGGGCCTGCGAGGGCATATGAGCCAGACCAACCCACTGGGGAGCCAGGCCCAGCCAATCAGAATTACTTTTTCCCTACAAAAGGGCTTTATTACAGACAGGAATACTCCTCAGTTTCATCAGCTGTCCGGGTCTCAGAGATCCCGCAGGTGAAGAAGCTGGATGTGGAGGTCCTGGGCTGGCGTGGTTACACGTTGTCTGCGGTTGTGAGGTCGGTTGCACATACTGCCAAATTCTCTAAAACAACATTAAGGTATAGAAATTAACATTAAATTCTCTGGCAAAAGCGCTGGTGGACATTCCTGCAGTCAGCATGCTAATTGCACACTCCTTCAACTTGAGACATCTGTGGTATTGTTGTGTGAAAAAACTGCACATTTTAGAGTGGCCTTTTATTGTCCCCAGCACAACATGCACCTGTGTAATGATCAGTGGTGGAAAAAGGACCCAATTGTCATACAAGTAAAGATACCTTAATAGAAAATGACTAAAGTGAAAGTTACCCAGTAAAATTCTACTTGAATAAAAGTCTAAATGTATTTGGTTTTAAATATACTTAAGTATCAAAGTAAATGTAATTGCTAAAATATACTTAAGTATCTAAAGTTAAAGTATAAATCATTTCAAATTCCTTATATTAAGCAAACCACACGGCACCATTTTCTTGTTTTTTAAATTTACGGATAGCAAGGGGCACGCTCCAACACTCAGACATCATTTACAAACAAAGCAGGTGTTTAGTGAGTCTACTAGATCAGAGGCAGTAGCGATGACCAGGGATGTTCTCTTGATAGATTTGTGAATTAGACCATTTTCCTGTCCTGCTAAGCATTCAATATGTAACGAGTACTTTTGGGTGTCAGGGAAAATATATGGAGTAAAAAGTACATCATTTTCTTTTGGAATACAGTAAAGTAAAAGTTGTCAGATATAAGTAGTAAAGTACAGATACCAAAAAAACTACTTAAGTAGTACTTTCAAGTATTTTCACTTAAGTACTGTACACCACTGGTAATCATCATGCTGTTTAATCAGCTTCTTGATATGCCATACCTGTCAGGTGGATGGATTATCTTGACAAAGGAGAAATGCTCACTAACAGGGATGTAAAGATATTTGTGCACAAAATTTGAGAGAAATAAGCTTTTTGTGCATATGGAAAATCTTTTATTTCAGTTCATGAAACATGGGACCAACACTTTACATGCTGCGTTTTGATTTTTGTTCACCGTTTTGATTTTTTTTGTCGGTCATTTTAAAGTATATATTTTTTGTTTTAGTAAAACCACCCATGGGCCTCATTGAATTGGCTTGTAAGTTTGACACCCCTGAAATAGAGAACAAGGGTGCCTTTTGGGACGTAGCTCCTGTGTGACATTAAGAGTATGTCATGAAGTATGTACTTATATTTTATTTATGAATACATGTTTTATGTGTGGCTTGAATAGAAAGATGCTATGATAAGCATGAACTTGGGTGGGAAATGGGAAGTCCTTGAAGTTGCATGATGCCTGTGACGACTTGTTGCCGTAGTGTTGGCTGACATTTTCTTGGGTTCTCTCACCTTTCTCTCTTTCTTCTCTCTCTTGCTCTCTCCTCTTCTCTCGCTGTTAGATGCATAGAGTTGAAGAAGGACAACCTGACTGCTCTGATGGCACTGGCCGTCAGTTTCACCAACGAATCGCTGCACAGGCAGGCCTGTGAGACCCTTCGCGATTGGCTGAGGCACAACCCCGCGTACCGGCCAGTCTTGGAGCAGAGTGAACGGGAGCGAGAGAAGGACGGAGAGGCCAGAGAGAGGGAGAGATTTGGCTCACTGCTGCCAGAGTGAGTGGACCTTTTCATTGTGTACAAATGTGGTGTGCATGTATATTCAGCATATACTTATAACTCTTAATCAATATAACACAAAATGAAAGGCAGAAAGATGCTAAATATGCAATACAGGAAGTTCTTCTGTATTTTCGAATGTTTTATAAGTTACGAAAACATGGATTATATCGATTAGTTACCGGAGTGTAACTCCAGTTCTATGAGTGGAGCGGAGCCCCATAGGGGAGCTATGCTCCTAGTGGTTTACCCTCTGCCCTAGGGCAGAACAGCCTGAAGCAAAATTATGCACACACCTGTCAGCCAATGGGAGCACAGGTGCCCCTATATAAAGGGACCCGTTCCCTCAATCTACCTCCCGAGATATTATCTTCAGCGAGACTAGAGAGGGTCGGCAGGGCCTTAAGTCCTATGGGGCTCCGCTCCACTCATAGAACTGGAGTTACACTCCGGTAACTAATCGTTCTATATCGTGGAGCTCCGCCCCATAGGGGAGCTATGCTCCTAGTGGTTTAAGGCGGAGCGAAACGCTCCAAAATGTACTCCCTGCCGAGCCTAACACTTTCCATAAAAAAATGAAAAAAGGTCAAGCCCAGCAATGGCTGCAACCAATTCCCGCAGTACTGCGACTAAGAAACCCATCAGGGCGTCACAATATACCGCGTCATCGGTTATAGACCCGCCCATCTAGCTCAATGACAATGGCAATGGCTATTGGGCAGATCATCAGAATATAAGCCATGCTAACCTGTACTAGCAGATAGCCGTGCCTCAATATTCTTGATAGACCGCCTTACTAATTCAATGAATTCCATAGAATAGTAGGCAGGGACAAAAAATATCAGTCATACTAAACTGAACCTCAGATAGATGACCTCACATTCTGTCCACTCAATACATGTCTCTACCATACTGACACAGTCAGTCAGGAGACATGCCGCAAAATATGCTTTTCATCCAAAGCGGACCTGATAGAGACCTGTCTATCGTCCTGCTTCTCCTCTCCTCCATCTCAAGATTCTCTTTCAGCTGCGCTGAGTACAATCGAGTTTGAGAGTTCAAAAAGCTTATTCTTGCCATAACAAGTTTTCTTCACCAAAGCGGACCTGATTGGAACCTGTCCAAGGTCCTGCTTCGTCTTCTCTTTCCATCTCAAAATCGTCTTTCAGCTCTGCTGAAAGCCGACCGAGCTAAAGAGTTAGAAAACATGTCCATCCAAATATGTTACTTCTAATAAAAGCGGATTTATGAACATGGTCACAATCCTGCTTTTCCTTCTCTGTCTTGCTCAAGGTCTCCCTTCAGCCACACTGAGTACAGACCGAGCCAAAGAGTTAGAAGACATATCCATCAGATAGAAACGGATAAAAGGAGACGGTGTCGACCATGACGCCGCTCTACAAATATCCTCTACCTCTGTTCCTCTGAAGAGGGCAGTAGAAGCCGCTATTCCACGAGTGGAGTGCGCTCTAATACTCTGAGGCGGTTGTTGCCCCGCCGCCTCGTACGCCGTCTCAATGCCTTCACAAAGCCAATGAGACAATCGCTGTTTTGAAAGTGGTCTACCTAATGCAGCCGCACCGTGACACACAAACAGCTGAGGCGATGACCTAACCGCCGCTGTGCGCCTAACGTAACACGCCAAAGCGCGTACTGGGCACAGACAGTGAAGCTTTTCCTCACTCCTTTCCCCATGGGGAGGGGGATGAAAAGCCCACAATTCCACGATCTGTGATCTATATGCACTGTTAATAACCTTCGGCACAAATGCCGGGTTAGGACGTAACACCGCTCTGCTCAGATCGCCATTAATGGCAAGGCAGTCGGGTCTCGTCGACAGTGCACACAAATCACTGACTCGCTTAGCGGTAGTCAAGGCGAGCAACAGCGCCGTCTTGATAGACAGCATCTTGAGGGGTATTTGATTCAATGGCTCGAACGGCGACTTACATAGTGCTTCGAGAACCAATGCCAAATCCCATTTGGGCAGCGTAGCTCTAGGCCTTGGCCTAAGCCGTTGCGTTCCCAATAAGAAACGTTTCACTAATGGATGACTGAACACGTTTTTCCCGTTAAACCCTTCATGACCAGCTGAAATTGCCGCTGCAAACACTCGAATGGTGGAGGGCGATTTCTGCTTATCAAACATAGACTGCAGGAATGAGAGCACACTCTCTACCTGACAGCTCATGGGGTCCACGTTCTGTGTGTCACACCATCGTGAAAAAACGTTCCATCTGCTGGTATACATCCTAGAAGTGGAACTGGCTCTTGCGCCCTGTATTGTTCTGATCACTGCATCAGACAACCCACGGCGCTTCAACCTGTCCCATTCAGGAACCAAGCCTTCAGTGGTTGGCCGATTACGGGCCATTGCCCTATCGAGCCTCCCGCCTGAGTCAACGCGTCCCGTCGATGTGGAATTGGCCAAGGTGGCGCAATCAACATCTGACTCATCTCCGCAAACCACGGAGCCCCCGGGCGATCGGGCGCTATCAGTATCACTGACAGCTCCTCTGACCTCACCCTGGCTAGCAGTGGGAGAATGCAAGACAGCGGAGGGAATGCATACAGGAGAACTTTCGGCCACGGATAGTGCGCAAATGCGTCTCTTCCCAGTGGCGGTTCGTCCTGTTCCCTCAGGGAGAACCATAGGAGACACTGCGCGTTCACACGTGACGCGAACAGGTCCACCTCGGCTCTCCCGAATTGTTCCCAAATTCGTAGAACAATGTCCGGGTGCAGACACCACTCGTCGTCCCGAGGACCCCCTCTTGACATGAGGTCTGCCCCTACGTTCAAGTAGCCCGGAATGTGCGCTGCTCTCAACGAGCGAAGGTGCTTGTGAGCCCACAGCCACAATTCCACTGCCGCCCGATGGAGGGCAGGAGACCTGACCCCTCCCTGGCGGTTTATGTGAGCCACTGTGGTTCGGTTGTCTGACCAAACCAACACATCGCGACCCCGAAGGGTAGACGCGAAGTGGGTCAGGACCAGTCGAACCGTTTCCAACTCTAGGAGGTTGATGTGACGACCTGATTGAGGCCATGCACCTCCTATCGCTTGAGACTGACATGTCCCTCCCCATCCAGTCAGAGATGCATCTGTAAACACTGGAATGTAGGATGACACCTTGCCCATCGGGACTCCGTGCGTGAGAACGCTCGGGTTCCGCCAATAGTCCAGGTCTGCTCTTAGCGAGAGAGGAACCACCACCAACCGATGACGTTGACGCACTGGGTCTAGTCTTAGTTGGGCGAACCACCGCTGTGTTCTGCGCATATGCAGAAGCCCCAGCGGGACCACAGAGTGGGCTGCCGACATGAGACCCAAAAGTGACATGATCGATAGCGCCGTTACTGTGTGATTCGGACGACACTTCCTCAGGGCTAGTAACAATGCTGCCCTTCGAGGGTCCGAAATTCGCGCCCTCATCATTACAGTGTCTAGCTGTAGTCCCAGGTAGACAATCTGATGACTGGGCCAGGGTGCGCTCTTTTTCCAATTCACAGCGAACCCCAGACGCGTGAGATGAATCACTGTCTGTGTCGTGTGCGTGAACGCCAGCTCTGCTGACGGGGCGAGAACCAACAGGTCGTCTAGGTAGGCTAGTAACCTTATCCCTTGACGACGCAGCGGTTCCAATGCCGCCTCTACACATTTGGAAAATGTTCGAGGTGCCAGGGCGTACCCAAACGGCATCCTCGTGAACTCGTACGCCACCCCTTGAAAGGCGAACCGCAGAAACTTTCTGTGGCGTGATTGTATCGGCACATGAAAGTACGCGTCCTTTAGGTCTATGCTTGTACAAAAGTCTCCCTTCTGGACACATTCCAGTAGACGTTTTGTCGTCAGCATTCGGAAGGGCCGTTTGGCTATGCTCTCGTTGAGAATGCGTAAATCCAAAATCGGCCTCACTCCCCCCGTCTTTTTGGGCACTAGGAAATAGGGCGAATACAGCCCTTTGTTCCTTTGCTCTCGGGGAACTACTGTGACCGCCTCCTTCGCCAAAAGTTCCGTAATCTCTGACCTCAGAGCGGCTACTTTGTCTGGCGTTTTCATCACCGTTTCCACCACTCCCCTGAACGGAGGTGGGGTCCGATGGAATTGGAGGGCATAACCCTTCTCCAACGTCTGTTCTAGCCAGCGTGAGAGGGTACAGCTTCGCTGCCACTGCCAGCAATGCAGAGAAAGCGGGCGCGCACGAAGCTGTGGTGCGTCCAGTAGGAAGGACCTTTATTCCTCTATGGCCCTCGCCGCCGCTATTCCCCAGCACTGGGTTGGTGGAATAGCCCAAGGCGGGCCTCCCTCGAAAGGGAGAGGAAACATCAGCTCGTTCTGGGTGAATCGGGGGCCTCGATACGTTAGTTACGACCGTAACTCCAGTAATCTGGCCCTCCGTGAACGCAGCACGGTTCTGAACTGCGCTGGCTGAGGCATTGGCCTGAGACAGAGCGCTCTCCCCGGATAGCAATTGCGTCATCATGTCATTGTCTGACTGAGACTGCTGCTTGGAATGAGACTCATCCATTACAGAACCCAACAGGGTCTGAAAGGTGTGATCTCTGACTGGTACCACACGGTGGTGCCACAATACCTCTTCACTGGTCTTATGCGGCTGTTCAACGACACACTCAATGTGTGGTGAGCTGCGCTCAGAGCCATGGGCATTGATACGTTCAGAATAGACCGGAGGCGTCCATACCTTGGTTATACTTGTAACCCTGGTATTCCCGCTCTCCGTGAACGTCGCACGGGTCTGATCTGCGCCGGCTGAGGCATTAGCCTGCAGCCAGGCGTCATTCCCGGCTAGCGGCTGCGTCTTCATGTCGCATTGGGACAGAGACGGCTGCCTGCTATGTGAGACCTTTACTACAGAGCTCCTAGGAGTCTGTAGTAAAATATCTTTATTAGGTGAGCTAAGGCAGCGCCTTGCTACCTTTCCCCTTTTCCTCTCCTGAGCGCGCTCAGCTACGCACTCTTGGTGGGTTGAGCTACACTCAGGATGGTGAGGGAAAACCATAGAACGTGAAGTGTTCTGTACCTTATGGAATAAATGTCCTTCTTTGACAATGTCAGTGAGAACCAGCTCTTTATTCACATAATCAACAAAAACACCCTCCACGCCCTGAACAGTGGGGTGGGGGGGAACAGTAGGCACATCTGCGTCACGCGCCGGGCCATCTCCCGTTCTCTCCCCCTCGCCTCGTCACAGGTGCCGCCTTTTGTGGGAGACCTTCTGGTGCTGCCAGGCTGGTTTGGTGACGACCTCCTTCGCCGGCGGAACCGTCGCTGCCACCGTCGCTGCTGGAGGGGCCGAGCCCGCTCTCCTGCCGCCTGTGGTGGACGACTGTCGCCTGGCCCGTCGCCTCCCTGTAGTTCTACTGGGGGCGTTCGAGGTGGATGGAATGGCTGGGGCTCTGCTGGCCTTCATTGCCAAAGGCAAATGTCTGGCCAGGTGCTTCCTTTCCTCATCCAATTTGGCGATTCGCTCGGTCGCGTCTTTTACAGCAAGGCCAAATAGGCCCTCGCTGGAGACGGGGGCGTTGAGGAGTGAGGCTCTGTCGACTTCCTTCATGGCTGTCATTGACAGCCATAGGTGCCGCTCAGTGACCACCGAGGTGGCCATGGTCCTGCCCGCGCATATGGCCACTGCCTGCGTCAGGTGGAGGATGGCTCCGGAAATCCTGGAGGCCTCCTCTACTTCCTCGCTGGTCAGCTCAGACCTTCCCGTTGTGAGACGGGATAGGGAGGCCGCGAGGAGGGCGATGTTGTTCGCCGCTGCTACGCTCTGGGCTCCCAGCGTGAAGGATTTCTCAGCTAATTGTGCTGTGAACCTGTCCTTCTGTGCTGGCAGGGTGGCCTTCTTGGAGGCTGCCCAGGGACTCGAACCTGGCACCAAGAACGCCGTCATGGCGCCTTCGAGCCTAGGGATTCCCCTAGCTGCCCACTCATAACCAGCCACTCTGGTGAATGGAGCATACGCTCTGGCCGGCGAACGCGCCGCCAGAGGTGCTCCCCACGAACCCTCGACATATTTGCCAAGAGAGGGCATGGCTGGAGCCATTGGCTCAGCTGCTCTCCTCGGCTTGGAGTAGGGGCCGCCCTCCATCAGGTCCACCTCCACTGGGAGGGGAGCTGGGGGCAGCGCAATCTCCAGTCGAATGGCTGCCTTCTCAATGAGTTCGGGAAAGTCCGAACGCAGAGAGGCTGCCGCGAAGGACAGGGCTTCTGACCTAACAGAGCCCATGTCGTCATCGCACAAAGAACCTTCGGACCTCACGCTCTCCGCTGGAAAGGGGGTTTTGAAGGCTGGTGCCATAGCCCTGGATTGTCCCACTGGGATATCCATCTCGGCGCCTTCTTTGTCATCCTCTGACCCAGCACTGTCCGACGATGCCTCTGAAGCAGAGGCGAGTGTGGACAATACGTCGTCGAGAGGGACATCCTCCTTAAAAAACGCCCAGCGCTGCTTTCTCTCCTTCATAGGAAGGAGAGCGCAGGAGGCGCAATTAGGAGGGTTGCCGAGACCATCCTTGGCATGCTGCGGCCCCAAACACACGAAACAAAGGTCGTGGGGGTCCGTGGTTGCCATGGAGGTGCACCGGCACAGAGCCCTGAAAAGGGCTTTTGGGGGTGGGAAATTCCCTGGTGTGCTCATTATATGGAAGACGTTGACGGCTGGATGTCAACGACGAAATTCTTCCTGAGTCTTCTTGTGGCTTCTTCAATTCTAGTCCAGTCGCTGAAGATAATGGGAGGTAGATTGAGGGAACGGGTCCCTTTATATAGGGGCACCTGTGCTCCCATTGGCTGACAGGTGTGTGCATAATTTTGCTTCAGGCTGTTCTGCCCTAGGGCAGAGGGTAAACCACTAGGAGCATAGCTCCCCTATGGGGCGGAGCTCCACGATATAGAACTGTTGATTTAACAATTGTAAAATTTTAAGCCATCTCCCTCCTTCTTTTTCCCATTTCTGTGCCTCCCTCCTTCCTCCCCCACTCTCAGATCTTTGTTTACAGAGGTGCAGTCCCTGTTCCTCAGTGCGGCGAACTCTGACCCCGCCCGCGTCGACCCCCAGCTACAGTGTGGCCTGGGAGTCCTCTTCAATCTGAGCGGGGAGTATGACAAGGCCGTGGACTGTTTCACTGCAGCCCTCTCTGTCACACCACAGGTACACTAGTAGGTTATCCACTTCAGAGCAGTAACTCTTACCAATCTGTGGTTCATGTGTGTGGAGAATAAACACACTTGATTATAATTTGCTTAACTTTATACTGTTTAAATAAAATGGATGAATTCAAAGGTGTTCGAATACATGCATCCTTCCTTGCTTACTTCCTTGAAGTAATTTCTGATCTGTATGCTACCATTACCTGAAAGCAATTGGGGCCACGTCATTGTAAAAAATAATTGTGAGCAACCTTTTATTTTGTTTTCAGAGGGGGGGTTATAGGTACAAAAACAATCAAAGAAATGCATACAAAGATAACCCCAAACCATCTTAAAGCCAACATTTGTTTCGCAGCAGTGCTGCCTGCCAGCAGTAATCTTCTCTGATTGATTGAGATATTCAAGGGGCTATAATCGTTAAGTAACATAATAGATGCAAAGCGTAGAATATTTTTATTAATGCACTTCGAAATGAATATTTTTACTTTGCCCCAGAAGCATTTAACTGCAGCGCACTCCCACATCATATGGAATGTGCCAACCTGATTTAGGGAACATTGAACAGTTGGGGCCAATTTCATCGTAAAAATGTCTCCTTGGTGTTAAATACAGTCTGAACAAACTTAAAATGTATAAATTCATAGTTCGAATTATGGGATGCCAAGGACATATTTTTCCATATTCTGTTCCAGTTAAAGGGTTGTTCAGATTCAATTAGATCTGTGGACCATACCTCATTGTTTTAATCATAGACTGTCAAATACTTAAAGGAAGGAAGGAGACGGGAAATGCATTCCAACAGGGTCTGCTACTTTCCTCCTCTTCAAACAGTATGTCTAACCACACCCTTCCCCCTTTTTTAACTTTCTTTCCCTATTCAAACTGAAACTACCCCTCCCTAGTCACATGTAGCATTTACCCTCCTCTGCTTCTGTGATTGTCCTTCCTTATTCACAGACACTAACTACCCCCTCTTGAACTACTTTACTCAGCTCACCTTTTGTGTCAATGAACTGATTTATTCGCTCTCTCTTTCTCACACTCTTTCTCTTTCTCACTCTTGTCTTTACCGCTGTGGTGTTGAGGCTGTGGTGGGAGTCTGAGGTGGGCTGTTCTGCTCTCTTCTTTGGGGGAATGGCCAGCTCTCTCATGTCACACCTCAGCTTTCTCACTTCCTCCGTCTGTGCTGTTTCTCGATCTCCTGCCGGAGTTTTCTTACCACAGTGCAGACAAGTCATCCAGACAGCCGTCTCTCTCCTCCTTCAGCTCTCTGGGTCTTGTTGAGGGGGTATTGTTGTGCTGGTCTTTGCTGTCTCGAGTGTTCTCAACAGCTCCTTGAGCTGCGCCAGATTTAGCTCCAGCTGGTGCATTTCTCCCTCATATCAATGCAGGAGCAGTGCATTTGTGGATCCTGGGTTTGCTCAGGGCTAGGGGAGTGACACTCCTCTTGGGGCTGCTCGTCTATGGGGTGGGAGTGTGGTCCAAGGGGGAGCTTCTTATGCTGTGCTCTCTCTGATCTTGTAGAAGTCCTGCTGAAACCGGTTTGAGGCTGCCCTGCACCAATACTGTTCCAGATCTGTACAGGTTGACATAACCTTTGTCAGTGTCAGTGTCTTCGTTGTCCATTATTCTTAGTTTCCACCCTTTGCTCATACCCTCTTTCTTAACAGAAGGATAGTGTGCTCTTATAGCACTGTGCCATGCAAGGGGATGGTCTGTGAGGAAAATTAAGTGTATGATCCCCGCTTTGTAAGAGTCAGCAAATAGTGTCTCCTGATTGTCCTTAAGCTTCTGTTTGTACTGTTTCCGTGCATTCTCATGTTTAATTTCCAGAGGGTACTGTATTGGGCCTCCTGTAGCTCAGTTGGTAGAGCATGGTGCTTGCAACGCCAGGGTTGTGGGTTCGATTCCCATGGGGGGCCAGTATGAAAAATGTATGCACTCACTAACTGTAAGTCGCTCTGGATAAGAGTGTCTGCTAAATGACTAAAATGTAAAATGTATTGTGATTGCCTCTGCACAGAGGTGGGGGAAACTGTGATGGTCTGATGCCATTGTTGGATTCAAGGGCTTTCACACCTCTCACTTCACACCACAGTGTGCAAATGCCGTTGCAGCCTGGACGTCTGTCCTGAGTCTGTATAGTAAGATATCTAGAGATTACTATAATGTATTTTACTTCTTGGTTTAGAAGTAGCTTCAGACTGAACATCTACTCACTCAGTTGCAGGTTGGGTGGTATTTTCAGGTTTCTCCGGAGCTCCTTCTGCTGATTGTTGGTTTGCTAGAAAGTTTGCTGGATAGTCCTTGGCAGGAAGTAATTTTTTCCAAAATCAAGGTTGTATGTTTGAATTTTTCAATTTGGAGTGAAGGTTTCTGTATAAGTCCTTGTGGAAAAAATCAAAATATATCCAACTCTAATTCAAATTGTTAGCAAAAAATTCAGGCGCTCATGACCTCTGTCTGTCTCCCTCTCTCTCTCAGGACTATCTGCTATGGAATAAACTGGGCGCCACCCTGGCCAATGGAAGCCGCTCAGAGGAGGCTGTTGCCGCCTACAGGAGGGCGCTGGAACTGCAGCCAGGCTTCATCCGCAGTCGGTACAACCTGGGAATCAGCTGTGTCAACCTAGGAGCCCACAGGTGAGAGGGAGAGCCTTTTGTGGCCAGAGATGCAACATTTTGTAAGAACAAAATTCACACAAGTTTTTTTTTTTTTATATATAATGTTTGATCCAAACCACTTGAAACACTGCACTTTCTTATGTACGTCAAAGGTAATTTTGACTTTACATTTACATTTTAGTCATTTAGCAGACACTAACTTACAGTTAGTGAGTGCATACATTTTCATACTGGCCCCCCATGGGAAACGAACCCACAACCCTGGCGTTGCATGTGCCATGCTCTACCAACTGAGCTACAGGGGACCTTTACATAACGTATTGACTTTATTCACAATATAATAATACAAATCTTTTGGATGCACCACAATGACACTTCCAAGTTAACCCCTATTCTCTTCCTGGTTCACAGAGAGGCCGTGGAGCACTTCCTGGAAGCCCTGTCCCTGCAGCGGCAGGCGTCGGGTGAGACGGTCGGTGCAAGCCGGGGCCCGGGGGGCGCGGCAGCCACCATGATGTCCGACAACATCTGGTCCACCCTGCGCATGGCCTTAAGCATGATGGGAGAGAGCTCGCTATACGCGGCGGCCGACCGGCGAGACCTCGACACGCTGCTCTCCCACTTCTGTCAGAGGGAGGGGGAAGCGGTGGGGGAATGAAGGCGTGGGAGGGCCGAGGGAGGGAGAGGGGCAGGAGGAGGGGTGATAGAGTGTGAGTGCTCACTTACGGGAGGAAGGTGTCTGGAAGAGGTAGAAAGAGAAGTCCCCTCCACAAACAACCCCCTAGCCCCTAACCCTATAGGCACTTCATATAGATCTGAAATGATTGGATAGGTATAAACAACACGGAAGTAGCTCCATACGTAGCATTTCTGCCATCTTGCTTATAACTATCAGGGTTGGGGTCAGTTTACTTCCTGAATTGAAATGGAACTGACTCCAACCCTGATACCTATCCAATCCTTTCAGGAAGAGAGGGAGGATGATGTGTGACAAGGGGAGTAGTCTGAAAGGGAGGAGAGGTGAGAGAGACATTTGTTGTGACTATCAGCAACAAAGGGAAATGCGGAGTATACACCAGGTGTATTGAATACATACTATTTCCTCCCCTGATCACTCTAACATAGCCTGGTTGCCAGTTGGTTCCTTCGTTGTCATTATCACGTTTGACACAAAGCAGAAACAGACTGGCACACAGGCTAGTTCCCAAATGTCTGGTTAGTTACCCTCTGGTGCAGGGACGTTCTTGTTGTGTTCGTCATAATCAGAGGCATCATCATGCCTTTGAAACTGAGGAGGCACGTGACTCCCTTAGTTTCACTCAGCCCTATGAACTAAGGATGTATACTAGTGCAAAGTTTGTACCTTATGTTTTCCAGAGGGAATAAAACACTGACGTGGTAGAGCAAAAGATCAAGTTGAGATTAATGTTACTGTAATGTATAGAAAAGATAGGCCCATGTTTGTTTGGAGGATCTTTGTTTTTCCAGTTTTATTCCCCCATGAAAATAGAAGTTCAAAGTTTGGATTAGTCGAATACTTAGCAAACCTGGCTTACTGATTACGAATCAATTGCTGAAGATAAAAAGAGACCATTAGAGTAATATAGATATCTGGTTTTGGAGCAGGGGTGCTGAACTTCGGTCCCTGAGAGCCATAGTCTGTTGGTTTTTCGGTATTTTATTTTGATCAGAGAATGAATTATACTTGGGTACTCAGTCCAATCAATGAAGTACTCGAGAGAAAGGAAAGAGTGCTGACATGAGTTGTACACACCAGAGTCGAATTCACTAGTAGGAACCCAACGGAAGGAAACGGGGAGGGACCTACCTGAATTTGTCTGATAAGAAACGCTTGTTTTCATTTTCTGTTGCTACGGTGTGAAAGAATGAATGTGACTCAGCTTTGGACAGAGGATGACATCAGTGCAAAGGTGATGGCGTACCGAAAGAGGGGTCTTTGCACTCCTTCCCTCCCTCAACCCTTTTTTCTTCAGTCAAATGCTCTTGTTGTAAAATAATTAGCTTAATTGTAAAATAATGCTTTTTGCCATATTGTCTGTATGATAATTATTGTACTGTTTTCAAAATAGTTAACCAGACTGTAATGATTATTAATGTGATATTCAGCAATAAAGCTCTGACTCCAAAAATGCTCTCTCATTGATTAGGCCTACTTTTCATGTTTGTGTGAAAGAAAGGGCAGTATTTCCCATATTTGTATTTTTCCTTGACCAGTTGCAGGATAGCAGACCCAAATAGACCAAAAAGACAAAGGTTTAGGCTGCTTTTACAACACGAAACAGCAAATGGTCAATGCAGTTAGTTAATTCAACCTAGAGTATCTGCTAGAGGGACTACTTTGGATTGCACATATCCAGCTCTTTCTATGAATAGTAAGTAGCACACAACAAGTGGACAAGTACTTGAAAGGACGAAGAGGTAAGAATTCGGCATTCAAATATGTTGCGTTGCCCAACATTGACGATTATCAAACAGGATCAAGTTCAAATGTATGCCAGCGATTTCTATCTGCCAACGTAAATCATCATAGCTGTACCCGTCTTGAATCAGACTTCCACTTCCCCTTGTCAAGTGAAGTCATATGTTTTTAATAGAGTTGGGGCAAATTATTTTTCATTTCAGTTAGGGGATAGAAAGATAATAGGATTTTTTTTTTTTTTTTTTTCATTATTATGAGTTGAATTCCAAGTCCCTTTCTGAATTAGACCCCAGCCCTGGTATTTACCCTTGAGTATGTAGTCATAGGAGTTCTCATGGTTGCCCTTTAACTGTGACATATACTTTTGACCCTGCTGTGAACTCTTGGCTTCCCCTCCTTCGATTATCAACCCCAATTAATTTGTAGCAAATTTAAACTCATCCTCACCCCTCCCAAAACAAAAACCCACAAAATGCCTCACGCATTTCTTGGAGGAGAGTGTACAAAACATTAGGAACACCTGGTCTTTCCATGACAAAGGCTATCCAGGTGAATGCTATGATCCCTTATTGATGTCAATTGTTAAATCCACTTCAATCAGTGTAGATGAAGTGGAGGAGATGGGTTAAAGAAGGATTTTTAAGCCTTGATACAATTAAGACATGGATTTTGTATGTGTGCTATTCAGAAGGTGAATGGGCAAGACAAAATATTTAAGTGCCTTTGAACGGGGTATGGTATAAAACGGGGTACCGGGTGAAATGGTTTGTGTAAAGAACTGCAATGCAGCTGTGATTTTCACTCTCAACAGTTTCCTGTGTGTATGAAGAATGGTCCACCACCCAAGGGACATCCAGACAACTTCACACAACTGTGGGAAGCATTGGAGTCAACATGGGCCAGCATCCCTGTGGAACGCTTTCAACACCTTGTATAGTCCATGCGGGACGAATTGAGGCTGTTTTGAAGGGAAAAGGGGGAGGGGGTGTTCTTCATGTTTGGTATATTATGCCATGGCACATTTTCACTTCACACATCGGGTAATTATAGTGTGTCATTGGCCTAAAGTATAGTGCACTATAGAACCTTTATCAGAGTTGACATTGGCCCTTGGGCGTCCCCTAAAAATAGTGGTTTGTACCAATGTTAATGTTGGGGGATTCCCGCAGCAACTGGTATAATGGTGATGCCCTGATTTCTTAGGGCAATGACCTGCCAAGCACTCCCATCATTCGACCCCTGACCTTGACATTGGGATTGTTCATATGTGACAGAGCAATGTGGAGTTATGGGAAAAGCAGCAAATGTGCCTACTCTGGTTTTGGCGTGTGTGCTCAAGACAACAGTTTGCAGATGCAGTGCGGGTAGGCAATATAGGCTACATGATGAGATTATTATGGATAACAACGAGAATATTTATATTTGTTAAACGCAGTCAAGCATCGCTCATGTCACCAGAATAAGATCCTACATTTATTGGAAAGGACCATCAAGATCACCGTGCACTTTCACCACCCTGTGAAATTCATCTTAACTTTTCATCTGTAGCCTAATAAACTGCATGCTTTCCTTAGTCATAGTGGGAGGACCACACAACATATCATCGTGTGACTCGATATGATGGTTATTATATCAATATTTGCGAATAAAGGCGTTTCCACCACCATTTCAAGATCCCACCATGTCAAACGAACAAATTATCTGTCAGCAGCAAATGCATTTATAAAATTGTAATGAAACTCCTGTTTCCATCACAGCTTTCTTGATATTGTCTTATTCGGTATGACTTCACTCACATAAAAACTGTGGATGGAAACGTGGTTATTGACAGTATTTCCCGAATTAAATTTGTTCTTAGTCAGTTGCTGCAGAGTAGACCCAAATAGGACAAAAATACCCAGGATTAGGCTGCTTTTACAGCACAAAACAGCAAATTGTAAATGCAGTTCCTAGTATCTCCTGCAAGGACTACTTTGTATAGAACTTTATGGGTTTATATACATCATTGAACTTTACTAATCTATCGGTTTTGCACAGATACGGTATTTTGCTATGGCTGTTCCTTCACATCCGTATTCCCGTTCACGAGATAAGAATGCGACTTTCAAATGATGTTGTATTGCACAACATTCAAGAGGCTCCAGTTCAAATGTGAAAACTGTTGCAAATTTGTCCGCAATGCATTGCCAGAGCTCGTGTAGGTTTTACATTTGTTTTCAGTAGCAAACCACGCCAATTTTAGACGTTCTAGGCGCAATCAGCCAATCTCGGTTGGGAAGGCGGAGGCACCAACTTCACTGATTGGCTGGTTTGAAAATAACTGGACGCACGCTTTTCACAATTTCATCCTCATATTTTGCTTGGTAAAAGTTAAAGGTCACTCACTTCTAGCTAAACGTGCAAGGTAAGTCATTGTTTGCTAAAAGCTACTTTATTAACTAGCAGTTTCATGTGAGTCACATACAAATAATCGAATAGCAATAACCTTATTTTGTAGCTAGCTTGAATATAGCTTTGTTAAACTGAGTTTAGTCACCCGCATCTTTGGTTTAGCTAACGTGACTTGTTTACTAGGTAGCTTGAGCAAGTTTGCCGAACCAATCAAACGTTTTGCTAGCTATCCACAATAATTGTAAATTGCCTAAGTAATTATTTTTTAAATCTGGCTTCAAAAACAAGAACACGTTTTTAACCAAGTTAGCTAACTAGATAGAAAACAATGAATGGCACTGCAAACTCGCTCTAACTTTAACTTTTGTCTAACTTCTGTCTCAGGACATTAGCCATCTATCGTCATGGGATCCAGCGAGAGCAAGGTTGCTGTGGCCTCAACGCCCAAACCTGTCCCCAGCCAGCGTATTAGACACGATCGTCTCTCTCAGCTTGTCGACCCACGGTCTCCATCTGTGACCATTGACCGCACACCCATTCAGGTAACGTTTGCATTTTCATTTGGGCCAGCATTTTTATTTGAAAATTGTTTATTATTTAATAACTTGTAACTCATGCATTTGAATACTCTCGAATCATGTGTAATTATTCTATGTTTACTGTATCCGTTTTGTATGTAGATTGTGTAAAATTACATTTACATTTACGTCATTTAGCAGACGCTCTTATCCAGAGCGACTTACAAATTGGTGCATTCACCTTATAGCCAGTGGGATAACCACTTAATTCCTGTCTGTTCTGGCTGTATATTTTATCTGTTATTGGCAGCACCATTTCACCAAGTCTAATTCTGGGTAAACTGTACTTGGCGTATGGAGCCCCACAGTGGAGGTGTCATAATACCCATAAAACCTAGCAGTCAAAGAGGGAAATAGTTCCAATCATTTTAACACAAAAAATTTTTAACACTTAAAATAAGGGCTGTTTAGTGTAGGCTTACCCTGGCGTGAGGTTTTGATACCCTTGTAAATCTCTCTAGGACAAGGTGACTTATCAATATATTGGCCTGTATTTACCCCCCCCCCCCCCCCCCCCCCCCCCCCCCCCCCCCATTTAAATGCTAATGTGGCTATCATAAAGAACTACAAATGCCATGATGATCTGGAACGGACTGCTGAGTCCAGGCAAAGGTAAGAATCTCTGGATTAACTATCTAATGTTAGCTAAATGCAGTAGGTAATTAATCAATTGGCTACATTTCTGTACATGGAGAATTCTGTGAACTGTCTTGTGTAAGTTTTACATTGACAGTGCCTGTTAGCAAAGGTGTGAACTAGAGATGCTGTGCAGGAGTTTGCAGGGATTTGTAGTTTTGCATGATGTCTACTTTGATGCTAATTAGCATTTTCGAATCTGATTAAATAGAGCCGAAAAATTGATAAGTCACCTTGTCCGAGAAATTTACATGGTTATCAAAATGTCACGCCAAGGTAAGCTTACATGAAACACAGCCCTTATTTTTAAGTGTTTCTAATATCCCCTATGGGGTGGAAAAACAATTGGAATCATTTTCCTGTTTGACCCCTAGGTTTTATGGGTATTATGACACCTCCACTGTGGGGCTCTATAAAAGTGATTCTGATTCACTTCCTGAATTGGTTGAACACCAACATCAAATACACTTTTTTTCATCTGTGCCAACATTACTAGATTGAACACTAAGATTACTAGAGACGATAGGGCAGAGAGACACTACACATTAAGGCACTTACATTACATATAAAACAAAGAGAACAGTACATCAGATAACATTATTACACCACAATGTACGTGTGTGTAGAGTGCTAGTGCTTGTGTGCGTCTCTTCACAGTCCCCGCTGTTCTCTAAGGTATATTTTAATCTACTGCTTGCATCAGTCACCCGATGTGGAATAGTTCCATGTAGTCATGGCTCTATGTAGTACGGCTCTATGTAGTACTGTGCGCCTCCCATAGTCTGTTCTGGACTTGGGGATTGTGAAGAGACCTCTGGTGGCATGTCTTGTGGGGTATGCATGGGTGTCCAATCTGTGTGCTAGTAGTTTAAACAGACAGCTCGGTGCATTCAGCTTGTCAACACTTCTTACAAAAACAAGTAATGATGAAGTCAATCTCTCCTCCACTTTGAGCCATCAGAGATTGACATCCATATAATTAATGTTAGCTCCCTATGTACTTTTAAGGGCCAGCCGTGCTGCCCTGTTCTGAGCCAATTGTAATTTTCCTAAGTCCCTCTTTGTGGTACCTGACCACATGACTGAACAGTAGTCCAGGTGTGACAGAACTAGGGCCTGTAGGACCTGCCTTGTTGATAGTGTTAAGAAGGCAGAGCAGCGCATTATTATGGACAGACTTCTCCTCATCTTAGCTACAGTTGTATCAATATGTTTTGACCATGACAGTTTACAATCCAGGGTTACTCCAAGCAGTTTAGTCACCTCAATGTGCTCAATTTCCACATTATTTATTACATTTACATTTTAGTCATTTAGCAGACGCTCTTATCCAGAGCGACTTACAGTTAATGAATACATATATATATATATATTTTTTTTTTTATACTGGCCCCCCCGTGGGAAACGAACCCACAACCCTGGCGTTGCAAACGCCATGCTCTATCAACTGAGCTACATCCCTGCCGGCCATTCCCTCCCCTACCCTGGACGACGCTGGGCCAATAATGCGCCGCCCATGTGTCTCCCGGTCGCGGCCGGCTGCGACAGAGCCTGGATTCGAACCAGGATCTCTAGTGGCACAGTTAGCACTGCGATGCAGTGCCTTAGACCACTGCGCCACTCAGGAGATATTACAAGGGTTAGTGAAGGATTTGTTCCAAATACAATGCTTTTAGTTTTTGAAATATTTAGAACTAAGTTATGCCTTGCCACACATTCTGAAACTAAGTGTTGCAGTCATTTCAGTCGCTGTAGTAGCTGACGTGTATAGTGTTGAATCATCCGCATACATAGACACACTGGCTTTACTCAAAGCCAGTGGCATGTTGTTAGTAAAGATTGAAAAAAGTAAGGGGCCTACACAGCTGCCCTGGGGAATTCCTGATTCTACCTGGATTATGTTGGAGAGTATTCCATTAAAGAACACCCTCTGTGTTCTGTTAGACAGGTAACTCTTTATCTACACTATAGCAGGGGGTGTAAAGCCATAACACATATGTTTTTCCATCAGCAGACTATGATCGATAATGTCAAAAGCCGCATTGAAATCTAACAAAACAGCCCCCACAATCTTTTTGTAATCAATTTCTCTCAGCCAATCATCAGTCATTTGTAAGTGCTGTGCTTGTTGAATGTCCTTCCCTATAAGAGTGATGAGAGTGGCAATTTGTTTACAGGACAATAGCATTGTATCTGGTCAAACATTTTTTTCAAAAAGTTTACTAAGGGCTGGTAACAGGCTGACTGGTCGGCTATTTGAGCCAGTAAAGGGGGCTTACTATTCTTAGGTAGCGGAATTACTTTTGCTTCCCTCCAGGCCTGAGGGCACACACTTTCTAGTAGGCTTAAATTGTAGATATGGAAAATAGGAGTGGCAATATCGTCCGCTATTATCCTCAGTCATTTTTCATCGAAGTTGTCAGACCACGGTGGCTTGTCATTGTTGATAGACAACAATAATTTTCACCTCTTCCACACTCACTTTACAGAATTCTAAAGTACAATGCTTGTCTTTCATAATTGAGTCAGATATACTTGGATGTGTAGTGTCAGCATTTGTTGCTGGCACGAAGTGCCTAAGTTTGCTAATCTTGCCAATGAAAAAATCATTAAAGTAGTTGGCAATATCAGTGGGTTTTGTGGTGAATGAGCCATCTGATTCAATGAATGATGGAGCTGAGTTTGCCTTTTGGCACAACATTTCATGTAAGGTGTTCCAAAGCTTTTTACGGTCATTTCTTAATCATTTATTTTTGTTTCATAATATAGTTTCTTCTTTTTGTTTAGTCACATGATTTCTCAATTTTCAGTACGTTTGTCAATCGGTTGTGCTGCCAGACTTATTTGCCATACATTTTGCCTCATCCCTCTTAACCATACCATTTTTAAATTCCTCATCAATCCAAATTTTGTTTTTAATCATTTTCTTAATGGGTGCATGCTTATTAGTAACTGGAATAACCAATTTCATAAATGTGTCAAGTGCAGCATCTGGTTGTTCCTCATTACAAACCACAGACCAGAAAATATTATTTACATCATCGACATAAGAATCACTACAAAACTTATTGTATGACCTCTTCTAAACAATATTAGGCCCAGCCTTTGGAACTTTGGTTTTCCTAGGCATGGCTATTATATTGTGATCACTACATCCGATGGATTTGGATACTGCTTTAAAGCAAATTTCTGCAGCATTAGTAAAGATGTGATCATTACATGTTGACAATTTAATTCCTGTGCTGTGTGTAACTACCCTGATAGGTTGACTCATAACCTGAACCAGGTTGCAGGCACTGGTTACAGTTTGAAGCTTTTTCTTGAGTGGACAGCTTGATGAAAGCCAGTCAATATTTAAATCACCCAGAAAATATACCTGTCTGTTGATGTCACATATATTAACAAGCATTTCACACATATTGTCCAGAAACTGACTTTTAGGACTTGGTGGTCTATAGCAACTTCCCACAAGAATGCGATTTAGATGAGGCAGATTAACCTGTAATATTACTTCAACAGTATTTAACATGAGATCCTTTTTAAGCTTTACAGGAATGTGGTTCTGAATATAGACCGCAACACATTGGCATTTCTGTCTTTTCGGTAGAGGTTATAACCATGTATTGCTACCACTGTATCATCAAAGGTATTATCTAAGTGAGTTTCAGAAATAGTCAGAATATGAATGTCATCTGTTACTAGCAAGTTATTGACTTCATGAACCTTGTTTCTTAGGATTCATATGTAAATATGGGCAGTTTTTAGCACTTTTCTGGGATGCTTGATTGTTTTTAATGCTTTACTGGGAAGCTTATCAGAAGTAGACTTGCTCATGTTATTTATATTGGAGCTGCACACAGTGGACTTCCTACTACAGCACACCACCTCAGTGCTAACAGTATAAAATAACTCTGGTTCATAGGCACATGATTACTGCATACAATAGCTGTAGGATCAACAGAGGTATTCAGGGCAGTTAGGGGGACATACATTTAAGCTACTTACATTGTGTCTGCCAACGCCCCTGGGATAATGTACATTTGATGCAGCATTATGACAACTCAGCTACACAATGGTAGGGATTAACTGAGCTGGTCTTGGGTCATAAGTCATTGTCTCAACGCAGCCTTGAAATGCGTGGACAGATTCCAGGAGCCAAGATGATTTGGATGGACATCATTCCTGTAGAGCATCTTCTGTTTCCAGAAGGTGTCGAAGTTATCTATAAAAGTGATTCCAAAAGAGCTACAGTAATCTTTTAGCCAGGTTTGTAATGCCAGTAGCCTGCTGAATCTTTCACACCTGCGGCCCAACGATGGTACCGGACCTGACATTATTGGCCTCTTTTTGGAATCTTTCAGTGCTAGAATCAGTTCTTTAAAATCAATTTTCAGAAGTTCCGAGCTAGCTATCCTGATGTCGTTTGACCCCTCGTGGACTATGACACCGTCAGCTCCCGGCATCGGTCGGAAGCAGCCTTGTAATGTCCTGTTCTCGTGCTCCAGGATAGCACAGGGTTTTTGCTACGGGAACCAAGATGTTTCTTACAATAGAGCTGCTGATGACAACAGCTGGTGCAATGGCTGAGGAGGTCTGGCCGTTCTTTTGCCTTGGGTGGTTTCGGAAACCCCTCGAGGAACGAAGGGCGGTGGGGCCCGATGGACCAGAGCCAGCTGTAGGATCCATCGTGGATGATGAATGGGCCGGCATCTCAGGCAGCCTCACTGTTTAGATGAGGGTGGTAGCTCTGAGGATCTGAGCCCGAGGGAGACAGAACAGAGGGCGAAGGCGTAGGTACCTCCGGATCCGATCTTGAATCGGAAGCCCCTTGGGAAGAAAGCGCCGGGATCTCTGGATCCAGGGCGGCAATGCTTTTTCTGGTCAAAGGAAAGGGCCTTCCACAACTGTTGCCACAAAGTTGGAAGCACAGTCGTCTAGAATGTCATTGTATGCTGTAGCGTTAAGATTTCCGTTCGCTGGAACGAAGGGGCCTAGCCCCAACCATGAAAAACAGCCCCTGACCATTATTCCTCCTTCACAAAACTTTATAGTTGGCTCTATGCATTGGGGCAGGTAGCATTCTCCTGGCATCCGCCAAACCCAGATACATCCGTCGGACTGCCAGATGGTAAACACGTCTGATAATCACTGAGAACAAGGCGATGCATACCTCCGGATCCGATTTGAATGGAAGCCTTGGGAACACAACGCCTGGGTCTTGGCATCGGGCAGGCATTTGTTTTTCCTGTCAAGAAGGGCCTCCACAATGTGCCAAGTTGGAGCAGCTCCAATGTTGTTGCTTGCGTTAGTTTCGTTCGCTGGACGAGGCCTACCTAACCATGAAACAGCCCTGACCTAGCCTCCTTGCAGAAACTTAATTTGGCTCTATGACTTGTGGAGGTAGCGTTCTATGGTCGCCATCCAATACTCCTGCGGTAACTGCTGGTACCATGTGTTATCACTGCGTACTATGTGTACAATGACTGTACTTCCACTTGGAAATTGCTCCAGGATGAACCAACTTTGGGGTTATTTTCTGAGGTCTTTGATCATCTTTTATTTTCCCAGAGTCAAGCACTGAGTGACCATGACAGCCAGCTCTTACGTTTTAGCCGAAGGCCAGACTTTAGCTGGGCACAAATTATGTACTAAACTTTGAACTGGAATTATCATGCACTAAGAACCTGCTAATTGTGGAAAAATTACTTGTGTCACACAACGTAACGACATTGCCAAACTATAAGTTGGTTAAAAAGAATTTTGGAGTGGTTGAAAAACAAGTTTGAATGACTTCAACCTAAGTGTATGTAAACTTCAACTGTATGTATGTTTAACAATAATGTATTGATGTTTTTCAGGTGGGTGGAACTGTCTCCTGTGTCCCAGTTGTGGTGGAGAGCGACTGCTCCATTCTAGCCAGCGACCCTCGGTCACCCTCAGTCGGCGTCACCCGCACCCCAATGAAGGACTCAATGAGAGGTAACTATCTTAACCAAGTGGCAAAGCTATCCAGTCAAGCACTGGAAGGATGCCTAGGGTTTATTTGGGTTTGGTTAGAATTATTTGATTTATTTTAACAGGGTCATGCTGAGACCAAGGTCTCTTTCACAGATGATCCCTGTATACACATCAGAATAACACCAACAGGGGGTGACAGAGCGACGGGGATGGCATCCAGTTTCTTTGACTGGAGAAACAGCATTAAGGCGTCTGCATACTAGGTTTGATTTGTTCCTAGCAGAACTCGGCTAGGTTACGTGAACATCTGTGCCTCGCATACTCCCTTAAAAAATATTCACTGAAAAACTAGAAAAAGGTAATAGTATTGTTTGTCCCTTTTTGAGATGCCGTAGCTAGTATAAACTTCCTCAATAGTCAGAATTCATCTAAGAACTCAAATCTGTAATAAATGTTGACGTTTTTGCAGAGGAGATCTTAGTCGCGCAATTTTACATCTAACTAAGATGTTTGGTGCAGTATTTCTCAAGGAATTTTTTTTCATGAAAAGAGTCATCTCTTGTTGAATGACAACAAACACTTCATTGAAGAATCCATACTGTTGACCAATCACTGACGAAGGGGTGTAGACTTCGGCTACCGAACTTCGGCTTGCCTCAGGAATTTCTTGTGTGCACACGAACAGCTGAAGAAACACTTGCCCAATACCAAAACTTCAAACTTTCGTGATAATATATGCACAAACTGTTTCGGATGGGAAGCATGCGGACGCCTTTAGATCCAGGGGTGGGCATCAAATTTTGGCTCGACGGCTTTGGAAATTCAACGGAGGGCTGTATTGAATGGGCTCGCTGGTCGGATATGTAGTTTGCCCACCCTTAACCTAACGTAGCAGGCGTAGAAGAAACACCTGAAACTAGACTTTCCCCCCTACTTACTGGTCTTGATGAGAATGATTTTTTTTGGGGGGGGATGTTCTCTTCTGCACTGTTCAACCAATTCAGTAAATGTGGAGGAGTTAAGATGGAGTGTCGCCTTGTTAATGTCCAAAGTGGAAGTCTATTTCCATTTCCCCTGAAAACCGGAACATTGTTATTGGGGACTCTGCAGAGGCTACCCCTGCCCTAAACTGTAGATGTAGCATTGCCTGTTCAATGCATTTCAAAAAGCTTTTTGTCAAATTTACACAAGTTTTATTTTAAACTTTTGACTTTGTTTTTTTTGTTCCTCCAGTGACAGTTGGCTCCTTCGCCCGTCGCCTCGGCATGCTCCTCCACGGTGACTCTGTAGAAATAGTTGCCCCTGCGCCCTTTAACACGTTTCCCAACCTCAACGTGGAGGAGTCGGCAGTGGTGGAGGGAGAGTTAAGCTCCAGTGAGCCCCTTCTCTCCCCTCAGCCATCACAGGTCTCCGGTGACATGATCCGGCCCTCTCCCCAGAGCGTGACTAGTCATACGCTTCTCATCCAGAGCCCCTTTGTTCTCGTGGGGGAGGCCCAGATAGAAGTCGAGGCCGATTTCACTCTGGAGGAAGCCGAAGAGGCCAAGGAGTCTTCACTACACAAGCGCCTGAGTATGAGCTTGATCACCTGCCACGACGGCATCGCCCCATCCCAGACCTTGGCCGAGGTGCACCACGAAAGCCCTGAGTCTCCTCTCCCTGACAACACTGCTGCTGAACTCCACAAGGACGAACCTGACCACGCATATGCCCTTCCCTCAATCACCTCTGACCCCGCACAACCTCTGACCCCAATGGCTGAACCATCCATCCCCACCGTTACAGAGTTAACTGAAGTCACTGTTGCTACGGAGATGCCCAAAGCGGAGGAGAAAGTGGAGGTCCCAACACCAGTGGAGGAGCCAGTGATGCCTGTCACGCAAGAGTCGCCTGTTGTACCATCCCCCACAACCACTGGCCCAAGCCCCAGTGTGAGCCAGCAGCAGCCCAAAGCCACTGGGATCCGCTGCCCCACCTTCGACACCAAGAGCCCCAGTCAAGTGGTGTTCAAGCCCCAGTGGCTAGGGAAGGGCTTCGGGGCCACAGGGGTGAGGGCCAGAGGGAGAGGAGGCAAGGGGGGCCTCGTCCTTTTCACCACGCTCCGTCCAGGTTGGAAACAAGAACACAGCCAATGAGAACAAGGGGCAGTCGGTCAAACAGAAGCAGAGAGGTGCGTGGGTGTTTTTGTTGTCTTTATAATCTTTAGCTAACTTGTGTGTGATTTTTTTATAAAAAATAAAAAAAATGTAAACACTTTCTCTCCTCTCCCGTGTGGCAGACAAGGCACTCGTGGCTGAAGGCCGCTCCCCTCTGCAGATGCTCAAGGAGACCAACTCACCCCGGGAGCAAGCTACACAGGTATATAGATGGTGTACACTAGGGCTGTGACAGTCATGGAATTTCAGATTATGGTTATTGGTCAGCCAAATGACCACGGTCTCCGTTATAACCGTTAGAATAGGAAAGAAATAGTATATATTTTTTCGCAGTAGCAGTGTGGGAGTCCCCATTCAAGTCAGTGATGGCATAATGGTTGGACTGGCGGCCGTTGTGAGGTTGTCACTATCTGGGCAAGCGCTAAAGCCGTAAACCCTGTCTATTTCAGAAATGTCTCTTCAAATCTGATTTTAAACCCAACCTTAACCACACTGCTTACCTTAAATCTAAACTTTAATTAAGTTAAATTTTGTTTTCATACATTTTAGCAATTTGGACTTTGCTGCTGGCCCACCTAGTGGGAAACCCATTGCAAGTGTACCCATCAATATGTGCTGTGATTTGTTGATTCAACTCAACATCCAATTAACATCATTTGAATGATCATTCTACATTACCATGGAAATTATTGCATCACAATACCAGGGAGTCATTGCGCATTTACCAATCGGTTTACCAGTCAAGTTGCCAGGGTTAGAGGTTTCAAGCCCGTTCTATTCATTCTATTTCTATGTGTGCTACAAGACCTTGCCTGTTTCAGCAAGGAGCAACAAAGTTTAATCACGTTGTAAAGAGTCCATGTTAATGCATAAACTGACTCAACCGCACGACTTCCCGGCAGTCCCGTCTTCAGTCAGCTGTTCGTGCCACAATAATACAAATAAATAAATGGTTTTTGAAGAGAAACGTTATTTTATTTTCATGACTGTCTTCATCCATAACGGTCGGTTATACGGTAATTGTGCCAGCCCTAACGTAACATGTACTTGCATCTATCTCACTCTTGCCCTCTCATTCTTTCATGTCTGCACACTCTAAAGCCTGGGTAAGGAACAGGATTGATCTATTTGGTGGGTCAGAGGAAAATGAACAATCACAAAAGTTTAAACCTCTGGTCTAACTGAATGGTTCTGTGTCTCTTCCCTCCCTGCCCCTCAGATGAAGCTGAAGGTGTCCACCCCAGACAGACAGAGGCTGGGTCAGATGGACCGGAGAGTCCTGACTGTGTCCCTGGACAAGGAGAACCAATAGACTGACGTGGCAGAAGAACATGCACAAACACTAACTGACCAGTGTACAGAATCTTGCCATTTTTCTATATCTTTCTAAAAAAACAAGCCTTTTTTAAAAGTGTACAGCCTTTTTTAACTGACTTTTTCAAACTGCTAACAAATTATAATTTGTGTACATGATGTTTTTGGAAGTGCCATCGATACGATTTGTCTGACAGTTTTTTTTCTTTGCATTTATTTCAAACGTCCATATCAGTGTTTTTGCTATCCTGTCCTTTTTATGTAAATAAATAAATAATACATTTGCTTTCAATCGGAATCCGTTTTTATGCTCTTAATTGGAATACGCCTTTGGGCGGGGGGGGGGGGGGCAGAAAGCATCAAGAAGTTTGAAGCAGGATTACATGTTTATTAGAGTCTTAAGGTATGGCTTTACTTAGCGCCTTAAGTGTGAGAAGCGCTTTACAAATTAAATACATTATTTACTATATGCACCGTCTGTTCTGATGGTAAAGAAAGGCTGTCCAAATGGTCAAGTGTGTGTGATGCGATTTAAAATAAAAAATACACCTTGTCACTGCAAATTGAGTTATTGTGCTGTACAGAGTTGCTACTATGTTTTGCTCGCACGACAGTGGTAAAACAAACCACGTGTAGCCATTACTGTCACTTAGATATACACAACCATGCAAGGTTTAAACTCGTCCTCTATGACCAATGTGAAATATTATAGTCTTGTGCTGTTGGATTTTTTGTTGTTGTTGTCAGTGAACCATAAGATCTATTATATCATCCCATCTGTCCATCCAATGGTTTACTGGGAGCACTTATGCCTTTTTGTGACTAGACATCGGGAAGTAGGCCAAAAGATTAGGCCCCAACTCATGGTAAACATATCCTATTAAAAACGTACATACGTAAACTTTCAGAGACACTAATGTAGAAATCTGCAGGCTAAACAATTTATTCTAATAGAAAAACAAACAAAACTAACGAGGGAATTATAACCAACACACAAACATCCGCTTGAAACAAATTAATGCTTACGTATTCATCCTCTGACAAACATTGTAACTCTCCTCAAATATAAAAGCATGTAACAACCTAGTTATTGTAAACCTACAGTCTATCAGTGGTAATTTATTTTGTGCTCTTTTATCCTGTTATGTCATCCATATCTCTACTGTTTCCATTTGGCAACTGCTCTTATGACATCCTTTCAAATGCTGGAAAAATATTCATATAATGCTAGAATTCGGTTTGAACCTTGACATAAAATCAATCATTCATTGATACAACGATCATGTTTTTCTACAAAAGTCCCCCAACTCAAAACGTGAGAGAGAAGTAGGTAGAGACGACATACTTTCTCGTCACAATCCTGCTCTCAAATCGAATACTAAACAATAAATACCCTCTTTCACCCATGGCTTCCTAGTCTCCCCCCCCATCCCCCTCTTGAATCTACCAGGTTTATATTTTTCCTCTATCCCCTCTCCTTTTCTTAGTCTTTCGTTCTGTCTGTTCTCTAGAAGACTGTCTCAGTTCCATATCTTCAGGAAGCTGTCCCAGGATCCTGTGCAGCATGCCATTCCGTCCGAGGATACTCCGATGCAGCTCACCCTGTTGTCATGACCAGCCAGCACTCCTGAGCCATGAAGAGAATTACGTCAGTATAGAATGTATGCAAATATATGTTTGTCTACATTGCATCCACATGTTCTCTCCCTTGCTTTCTCCCTTTGTCCCACTCACATTCTCCTTCTTTCTCCTCTCACCATCCCCTCTACTTATCCACACTGTCTCCCTCTCTTTCTGCCTCCAGCCCCTCTAGTCACCCTCTTTCTCTCCTCTCTCTCCCCCTCCGTACTCACCCACACTCTCTTTACCTCCCTTTCGCTCTCCCTCCGTACTCACCCACTCTCTCGGCTTTAAGCATGTCCCAGATGTTGACGTTGAAGTCATCGTATCCGGCCAGTAGAAGGCGGCCGGAGAGGGACGGGGCGAGGGAGGTCACCCCACACATGATGCCCGAGTCCTGGTAGGTGACGAGCTCCTGGTCTGCCCTCAGGTCGTACAGCTTACAGGTGGCATCGTCTGAGCCCGTTATAACCGCATTACCATTGGGGAAGAACTGGGCAGAGTGGAGAGGACAGAGGAGGTGGTCAGAGCAGTGGTCTCTCTAACTGTGGTTCTGGAGAGCTACAGAGCGGGCATAGGCTTTTGTTCACCTCATTAAACGAATCAACTGTTTGAGCAAACAGTTGCATTGAATTAATTTTTTTATACTATGTTTTGATATGGATTTTTTTAAAGCTTCAATTTGTAAAAACGTGGAAGTTTTTTGTTTGTCCACGTGAACTGCCGGGTGCAATGCATCTGACTATCAGAATACTAAACTATTAATAAACGATGAATAAATGCTGGGGGTCCTCTGTCCTCACCCCAATGGCATTAATGTCACTCTCGTGGCCGCTGAACGTCTGTCTGCAGGTGGCTTCCCTGATGTCCCACAGTTTGGCCGTGAAGTCACACGCCCCCGAGATGAACATCTTGAAGTCGGGGGACACGGCCAGGGACATGCAGTCACCCAAGTGGCCCGCGAAGATGGTCTTCTCTGTCCCTGTCTCAATGTCCCATAGAACACTATAAAGTTTGGAGGGAGGGAGGGAGGAGGAGAGGATGGATATAGAGGGGGGCAAAGAAGACAGCAGGGACATGGTCAAAAAAGAGAAGGTTGCGAAAGAAGGGAGAATGTTTAGGACACCATTGCAGAAAGATAATAGATAAGCCTATGCGTATCCAATGAAGGGTACAGGATAAGCCATAGAATTAGAATGATATGGTAGCATTAACAGATTGGACTGATCTCTGGTCAGTCATTGTAACCCCTTATTGCACACCAGACTCATAGAGACTCCATCTCTATGATCTTACCAGGTACAGTCGCCAGAGCTGGTGATGATCTCACTGTCGCTAAGGAAACGACAGCAGGACAGGTAACCTGGGCAACAAGAGAGAACACCATCAGAGCCACATAACACAGGAATGAGAGATTGCTGTATTGGATAGACTATATAAATACCACCTTGTATGTTCTTACTTGGAGTTTGATCAAAATGACTCATCGCTAAACGTGTTGCCAGTGATGCTGTCTTAATGAATGCAAATAGTGGGGTAAATGTCGAGTGGGGTACCTGTGTGTGCGGCCAGCTCACGCATGACCTTGACGTTGCCGTCCTTGCCCTTAAGGTTGTAGATAGAGCACATGTTGTCCAGACCGCCACACGCCACCATGTTCCCTGAGGGCGCGTAGGCACACGTCATCACCCAAGACGACTTCAGAGGGATGGCGTTCACCTGAGCAGACAAGGACAGTGAATCCTCACGTGAACCAGTGTGTGTATGTGTACGTGCCTGTGTGTGAACGCGCATGTGTCAATGTGAGCACTTATATGAGCACTTGGGAGCACTTGATATTACAGTATATTGTCATTACATGCCATATTCATGCATAAACACTGTCCCATGACTAAAACTCCCCAGACCCAGACTGTAAACACAGACGCGGCCCGCCATACCTTGTTGGTGGTCAAGGTGTCCCACACTATGAGCTTTCCATCTTGAGAGGCACTGACACAAAACCTGGTAGAGAGAACAAGACAGGTGTAGAGACAGGAAACAGAGAGACAGAACCAGAGACAGAGAGAGAGACAGACAGAGCGAGACAGAGAAAGTGAGAGACAGAGTACACTAAAAGATCCAAGGACCTGCAGCAGCTCAAGATAAATAGACCGATAGATAGATAATAGATACAGAGACTCTTTTGTCCCAATGGCAATCCGTCTTTACTATGACTGAGCTAAAAAGCCATGACATGGTAATTGACTAATACTACTCCACTTTTTTCTATTAACGGGTGTTTCCAGCACAAATGATGATGGGGATGTTGATGCTGATGATGATGCTGGTGATGATAATGATGATATTGTGTATCATGTATTTATATATATCTAGCCACTATGGAGGAGTATGTGTGAATATGTTGTCTGTTAAGTGTGCACAGTTGCCAAATTAATTCCCCCTTGAGGGACAATAAAGTTGTATTGGATTGTATTGTATTGGACAGAGAGAGGCATTGTTACAGAACCTCTTAGCCCAGGACTAGTTCAGTTAGTAAAAGCTATCTCTAGACCCACCAAATGTAGGATACCCTAAGTATTGTAAACACAAGAAAAGCTCATAAGTTACTAACTTGCTACAACTGAGAAAGAGATGAGATTAAATGAAATGAGAAAATAGGGAGAGAGAATGAGAAGGAGAGAGGACAAAATGAAAGAAGAAAGGGTAAAAGGTGGGTTAGTGCACATTCAAGTTATAGTATCAGCAATAATTGACTGATTCAGGGATAATGTTGGTTTAAAGTGTTGCCAGACAGTCAGTCAAGTGTTTCCTGGTTCCACTAATTCATCCAATTAAAACCAGCTATGGGATTGCAACACCAATCCAATTAACCAATAAACACAGAGCACCACATGACACCAGTTTTAAACTATAGCAGTATTTGTAACAGCAATCTGTTTGAATGAATGGATGAGCAGATGAAAATATAGATTACATAATGACTAATGATAGAACTAACAGAAATTATTGAACAAACAAATTAATACTTGAATGAATACTTGAACGACTCAACAAGCAATTCTCAGGAAAAGAGTGCAGGCTAGAAGTGTGTGAAGGGTCATTGTCTACTTTGAGCTAGTGGTCCAGTGTTTGTACGCGTGCCTGTGTGTACGTATGTGTGCCTGTTTGTATGTGTGTTCGTGTGTATGGTGTATGTGTGTTTACTTGGTGTCAGTGCCCCAGTGCATGGCATAGATCTTGGCCAGGTGACCCCTCAGCGTCTTCCTGGTCTTCAGCTGGACACGCCCCACCAGCGCCGTCCCGGCAACCGCCTCCTGCAGGGTGGTGTCCTGCACTACCTTTCGGGCCTCCTGTAGAGGGATGGTTGTGTATGGTCAAGTTATGGTCATAATACAGTTGAAGTCGGAAGTTTACATACACCTTAGCCAAATACATTTAAACTCTGTTTTTCACAATTCCTGACATTTAATCCTAGTAAAAATGCCCTGTTTTAGGTCAGTTAGGATCACCACTTTGTGAAATGTCAGAATAATAGTAGAGAGAATTATTTATTTCAGCTTTTATTTCTTTCATCACATTCCCAGTGGGTCAGAAGTTTACATACACTCAATTAGTATTTGGTAGCATTGTTTAACTTGGGTCAAACGTTTCGGGTAGCCTTCCACAAGCTTCCCACAAAAAGTTGGGTGCATTTTGGCCCATTCCTCCTGACAGAGCTGGTGTAACTGAGTCAGGTTTGTAGGCCTCCTTGCTCGCACACGCTTTTTCAGTTCTGCCCACATATTTTCTATAGGATTGAGGTCAGGGCTTTGTGATGGCCACTCCAATACCTTGACTTTGTTGTCCTTAAGCCATTTTGCCACAACTTTGGAAGTATGCTTGGGGTCATTGTCCATTTGGAAGACCCATTTGCGACCAAGCTTTAACTTCCTGACTTGATGTCTTGAGATGTTGCTTCAATTTATCCACATAATTTTCCTTCCTCATGATGCCATCTATTTTGTGAAGTGCACCAGTCCCTCCTGCAGCAAAGCACCCCCACAGCATGATGCTGCCACCTCCGTGCTTCACGGTTGGGATGGTGTTCTTCGGCATGCAAGCAACCCCCTTTTTCCTCCAAACATAACGATGTTCATTATGGCCAAACAGTTCTATTTTTGTTTCATCAGACCAGAGGACATTCTCCAAAAAGTACGATCTTTGTCCCCATGTGCAGTTGCAAACCGTAGTCTGGCTTATTTATGGCGGTTTTGGAGCAGTGGCTTCTTCCTTGCTGAGCGGCCTTTCAGGTTATGTCGATATAGGACTCGTTTTACTATGGATATAGATACTTTTGTACCTGTTTCCTCCAGCATCTTCACAAGGTCCTTTGCTGTTGTTCTGGGATTGATTTGCACTTTTCGCACCAAAGTACATTCATCTCTAGGAGACAGAACGCGTCTCCTTCCTGAGCGGTATGACGGCTGCGTGATCCAATGGTGTTTATACTTGCGTACTATTGTTTGTACAGATGAACGTGATGCCTTCAGGCGTTTGGAAATTGCTCCCAAGGATGAACCAGACTTACTTGTGTCATGTACAAAGTAGATGTCCTAACTGACTTGACAAAACGATAGTTTGTTAACAAAAAATGTGTGGCGTGGTTGAAAAACAAGTTTTAATGACTCCAACCTAAGTGTATGTAAACTTCCGACTTCAACTGTAACTATGGTCCACTTAACTATGGCTAAAACCATTGTCATAACTATTGTAATTTTCAAGGTATGCTACTGCTGCTGCAACCTGGTCTCAGAAGAAAACGTATTACATTTTACTAATCTGCTGTTTACACTTCTGCTTTTGGACGAACAGAGCGGTCAGGGGTGGGGATGTATGGTCATAACTGTCGTCATAGATATGACTATGACTATGGTGTTATGAACACCTTTACACCTTACTGTCCAGAGAATCAGAACAGTTAGGATTTTATATTATTGTTAAAAAAAAACATATAGAAATATGAAAAACAACAGAAGCTAAAGTAAAAGCACAAAAACACAAACAAAGATCCATATTCCTATTACCTAGACATATTACTAGTAACACCCCCCAGCCCCTCCCCCCTCCTCCCCCCACCCACATACCTCATGTCCACATATTAATTTAAATACAACATAACATATTACAATAACTTCTTAGACCTACTCTAGTCGTTCAATTCATTTTATGAATTAATCTCTTAAAACAACTATTTGGCAATTTTTTTGAACATTCTGGCAAGAAGTTCCAGGACTTCACTGCCCTGAGGTAAAAGCTATTTTGCCCAGTTCTAATTTGGGTTTTGGTGGTCTATAGGATGAGGATTCTTGTTCAGTTTATGGTTGATGATCATGGTAAAATGTTCAGCAAAAGGCAAATAGTTGAATAAAGTACTAGCATATGAGATCCAAAGAACACAGGCAGGTGTTATATTCACACTAGTGATTGATTATTGCCTAGCGGTTAGAGAGGAAACCAAACAGCATCCGGAGGGCTGCCAGTTCGAATCCTGGGTCTGACGGGAAAAATTGGGTGGGAAGTGAGCTAGCAAATAGAGGGTTGCTGGTATCAAATCCTAAATGCCATTGCCTGCCGTTGTGCCATTGAGCAAAGCTCTTAACCCCCCACAACAATAGCTCCCCGGGTGCCCAGTGTGGCAGCCCCCCGCACCTCTCCAAAACCTGTATGTGTACTGTATGTGTGTCTTTGGGAGGGGTTGGGTTAAAAGTGAACGTCAAAATTCGGTTGGACCTTGTGTGCAATTGACCAATAATGTGATCTTAATCTTAATTATTGATTGATAACTGACAGTGATCTGATCTTTGAGGTTTTCCGCCTCCTTTCGCAGCGCCTCCATTTCGCCCATGGCAACGGTTGGTAGGCGTTGTCACCGATGGAGACAGGAAGTGAAATCAGGTGAGCAGATGTAATCCTGGGGAAGAGAGGGAAAAAATAGAAAATTGTATCTTATCAATTCATTATCCACTCTTCTCACTGTAATGTCAATGTCTGTTACCTGTGTACAGCAACACGTTAGATATTTATGCATGTTACCAGCTTTTTAGATCAAGGTTTACCCTCTCTTTTTTTTATGTTTAGCTACTGTTTTGCAATTCAAACCTCCCTCAACTACTTTGCAAACCCTCACAAACACAGGCACACACACACACACACACACACACTCACAAACCCACACCCATAGTCAAACAAGCTCACTTGCACAGATATGCATATGCACACACGCACACCTGTACGAAAGCACACATACAAGCGTGCAACAATATAAACTAGTTAATATGGCACATACTGCATATACATGAACATACTTTCCCACCCTGATTGTAAACTCAAACCAGTATGGTGTGTCATCTTAATACTAACACTTTTCTTGTTTGATATCTCTCTTCAAGCTTATACTGTACTAGGTAAACAAACACTGTATTTACTCTGCCCTTTTCTAACTCAATATACTTTAGTGCCATATACTTTGAAAGCTTTCCAATCTTAAGTCAGCCCTGAAAGCACCTATTTTGTGATTCCAGTGATATCACATCACAACGCTCTAATGATGCAATTAATAATGTTGACTGAATCAGTGAGGACTGAATAGTTATTTCAATGACCAAAATTCTAGGTTAGGCCTACTATACAGTAAAGACAAAAAGTATAGATCAACTATCTAAAGTATCTCTGTCACATTATCAAATTAGGAACTTTTAGACTGGCAATGGCATCAGACTATTTTCTATGAAATCAGAAGGTAACCCTTACTTTCAAACATAATCACATAACATAACATTTCATGTAACATCCACACCATCTAATAACATATTTGCATAATATTTGTGACAGATTAAATTATTCGGATCTTACTCTATCTTACCTTGAAAACTACCTGGAGAAGAATAGCCTATATCCCTGGCTTTGATCGTGTTTCTTTGCTGCACTCTCTCTCTCCCTATTTGTCTAAAGTGTCTCTGTCAAATCTCATGACCAAATTCATTTGCCTCTCATTTGTTTGAGTAGAAAGGGAGAGAGAGAAGGAGGCAGTGACTCAGAGAGAGAAAGATATTCACTTTCTATTGTTCCTTGCTGTTCCTATCTGTCTAGTACTGTAGGCTACATGCATGTATGAAAACACTGTAAATCGTACGTCTAAATATAGAAATGCCTAAAACAATTAACCCAAAGGCGATTGCATCCATCTCTTGCGCGCTCATAGGTGTCCTGCTCCCTCACCTAAAGGGAGTAGTATCCACAATGGTCATCTTATCTAGCCTTCATCTGATTTAGGCCATATATTTGGTTCCCTGAGAAAATTACTTTTATAAATAGTACTAACCCAATAAAACGGGACCGTTTTTGAAAGTGTTTCAACTGTGCTATTGCCCTTTTGCCATCCTGTCCCTGAGACCCTGGCCTGCCATTGTTGCATGTGATTAAATGGCTGCTATAGGTTGTCGCAGAGTGAAGTACATTAACACAGAGAGAGAGAGACAGAGAGAGAGAGAGGGGGCTGTGTGTAGAGGTGACGCAGGAGAGAGTGAGTTTAAATCCTAGTGGCTGAGATTTTAAAGGAAGCCTTTTGAATCAAATCTGCTCTCATCCGATTACTGACTGCTCTTTGCATCTGGATAAGAGATGGAGAGAGGGAGGGGTGTGATGGAGAGATGAGAGAGGCAGGGGGAAACTGGTGGTGGTGGATGAGAGGGAGGGAGAAGGGAGAGAATGGGTGGTTAAAATATAGGATAGGGTGAGATGGGTGATTTCTGTATGAAATGGACAATGAACTTGAACGTGAGCTAGTGATTGTAGGAATGTGTCTGAGATCTTGTTTTCTCGCTGTAAATGTTCCACCTTTTCACTATTGACACACCATTAGTATTGTTTCACATACTATTAGGCAGATTGAAAAATGTGTCTATTAACCTATTCTACAGTAATAGCCATATAATTGATTTACATAATTAACGGTGACCGGTGGCTAAAACTTTATTTAGCACTAAAACAGACCTTTCTCAGAATGGGACTGAAGAACTGTTTCCAATTTGTACCAAGACACTTTAGTTTTGATTTAAATGATGACGCCTTGAACTGTATTTCCGTGCTATGAAAGAGTCTAACACAAAGTACCAAGTTTCAGCACCTATGCCAACTAGACACCCACAACACTAGTGATACCACTGGCAGAGAATCAAATGCATTCCAAAATGGATGTATCAGAGGAAACAATGCTGTACAATGCTCTTAAAAAACAAACACTTAAACAAATGATGTGATCATTCAAATGTACTGCGTTTAGACAGGCAGCCCAATTCAGATTTTTTTTCTCCCACTAATCTGAAAAAGAGCTGAGGTGAAAAGATCTAATGTTATTGGTCAAAAGACCAATTAATGGAAAGAAATATGAGAATTGGGCTGCCTGTGTAAAAGCAGCCATGGTGTCAGCAGTCTGTCAATGGGAAAAATCCACTTAGAAGATTAAATGAATGTTATCCTTCAAGATTATCTGTAAGCAGAGTAGCGCAGTAGTAGTGCAATAGCAATATTACATGCATTATAATATATAAATCCTATGTAAATCCTTGTTATGATATAACGTAAAACAGTCAATAATTATATTCGATTCAAGTTAATGGTGTTTTTCCATGTAATCTCAAAGGAATCGAGCATGCTGCCATGCTTTCATGCTTCTTAAATTAAATTCCCTACCATGTTGTAGAGAAAAAATTGATTGATATATTTTACAGTATTGATAAACGTTAGAGAAAATGTATTGTTATTTGTTGCCATTAAATGGCACCCTCGTCATAGTGCTATCAAATTAAAATTGATACTTATCCCCCAGACCCACTCACTTTGATTATATGACAAAATCAGGACACACTCAATCCAGAACTAAAAGTACTTCTACACTCCCCAAACTAATCTGGCAGCAGCAGGCAGCTGGTAGCCTAGCAGGTAGCCCTTTCCTGTAGTCTATGACCAAAAGCGCCCTCTTTGGCCTTATGGGTGGAATGTTATTAATATTATTCATAATTCATCTTTAATAAAGATTATTTTTTTAAAACTGACTAAAATCCTGTTTTTTATGTCAAACAGCTTTGTTATATGTCAGTCTTCTGTGATGTATATAAAGTGTAATATTGGGATGCAAACTAAAAATGGCATACATTTCAACTCTATATCTGACATGGTACAGGTGTCTTCTTTTTCTTAAAGCCCATAACCATGTGTGTGAGGAGTATACTTTTGTTTCAAAGTAGATTTTTTAGGACTACCAAGAATCACTCTGTGTGACCCTGATTTAGCCCACTGCAGTAAAAGGTTAAGAGCATTGGTCCAGTAACCGAAAGGTCACTGCTTTGAATCACCGAGCCGAATAGATAAAACATTTGTTGATGTGCCCTTGAGCAAGGCACTTAACCCCAATTGCTCCTGTAAGTCGCTCTGGATAAGAGTGTCTGCTAAATGACTAAAATGTACAAATCTATTTCAACCAAGAGCTCCATACAGCACTACTGTGACCAGAGGGTTTTCACTTACACATCTATTCACATATCCAATCAAAACTATTAAACAAAGAAAACAACACTTGAGGTGTAAAAGAAAAAGGTATGGCTGTCCACTCACCAAATAAGGACGTTCTCCAGTGGGTTTGTTAACCTGTTCTCACTTTTCAGGGTCCCTCTGTTTTGTTGTCATATGTTCACCCCTCTTCTGTTATTAGACTTTCAGTATTTTATTCAGTTTTCCTGTCCCACACAAAATTGATATTCCACTCTCTTGCACTCTCTCTCTCTCTCGCTCGCTCTGTCTCTCTCTCTCTCTTTCTCTCTCTCTTTCTCTCGTTCTCGTTCTCTCTCTCTCTCTCACTCTCACTCACACGCTCTCTCCTGTGGGGACAGATGAGGATTGGAGCGGATGAAGGGAGATCAGGGATGAGAGGATAAACCAGCGATGGACAGAGAGAGAGAGGGTGGGGGGAGGAGGTGAGAGAGGGAGACAGAGAAAGGGAGAGACAGAGAGAGAAAGAGAAACAGAGAGAGAGAGAGGAGAGAGAGACGAGGAGAGGATGAGGAGAGAGAGGTTGGGAAGTGAGATGCGAACAGGAAAGGTAGACAGAAGAGAACTAGAAACCGAGAGAGAGAAGAAGAGAGAGAAAGAGAGGAGAAGGAAGAGAGACAGGAGAGAGGCTCCCTCGTTTTTTTTTGACAGTAGATATTGCACGATTAGACTGCCCCTCTCGCCTCCACCCTATTCCTGTTTTCTCTTTTTCTTCCTCGCCTCCTCTCGTCTTCCTCTTCTTCTCTACCTTCTATGTTCCTCACGTCTCTCTCCTCTCCTTTTTTTCTGTATTTTCTCTTTTATCATATTCTGCCTATCCTTCTTCAGTCTTTTCCTATCCTTCCTCTAGGCAACTCCCCCCTCAATCTTTGTTCTCTTCGAATTTGTCAGAGAAGAGGTTCCCCACAAAACAAAGAACAAGTGCAATCGACATGGTTTTTGTGTGTGCGAAAGCACTGTTGGACTTCAGTGGTTTTGTAAACTTGAGAAAAGGCTAATATTAGAAAAGCCAGCAGCATAGACAGAGTCAGGTAGATGGGGACAAGACGAGGGGACATTGGTGACGTTGTTTAACCATGCCAAACCACATCTCAGGCCAGGGGAGAGAGGTTACTCTAGTACAACTGCAGCATGGACCTCTAAGGCCACCAACCTCGAAACCGTTGGCCTACCTTATGACCTGATAGAAGATCGGATCCCATCTGGTCTTTGGAAGCACAAATGTGTAATGAAATATAAAATAGATTTTATTGTCCTCTGATAAGGACATTCTCTTTCACAGGCTCGTACCATGGTTCACAGGTGTGGTCCATAATACTTTACGGCACTTTTATACGTGGCACTTTTCATGATCTCAAAGAGCTACATTATGCTGTACAAAAATGTACATCAAAAAGGCAACGTGCTAAAAGTAGGACACACGTAAAAAAGGAAGAGAACGACAGAAAGATGTTCCAGGGGTGTGAGAGTGAGATAGAGAGAGAGAGGAAACAAACACAGTGAGAAAGAGAAAGAGAGTGAGAGAGAGTGAGAGAGAGGTTTCACTACATTGCCCTTTGACTTTCTGAAGTTATCTTCACACTTCTGACACAGTAGCCTAAGATTGTTAGGGTTTGGTTAGCGTTAAGGTTATTCAGTTCAACAAAACAATACTGTATCTCTGGTAAAATAATCATAGGTTAGTGGATAGTTAGTTGATCTGTTTTTTGATAGTTAGTATTAACCCAGTACTTCCACCCTCTCTCACATGGCCAAATAGCAACAGGACTCGTTGAGCGAACAGACACTCTCCTTTTTCTGACAGCGCTGACCCTGGATTCAGGGGAGGGACAGACAGAGTGAGAGAGAAAGAGAGTGGGAGAGCAAGAGGTATGGCGGGGAATGTGAGTAAACCAGAATTATAATCTACTAAGCTTTGTGTGGTCGTCTCATTTGGTCTCGCACATTCAGCTAAGTTACACGCGTCAGCAGTGAGCCTGTAGAGCAGAGCAGCATTTGGCTGCAGTAGAGATGTGACAGCCAGGTCAGAGCACTGAGCCTTATGTTGCTCTGTGATGCTATACATAATAATAATAATACCACAGCCATTAGCAGCCCACTGTCCCTCTGTCCCAGTCTTAAACAAACATAAGGGGGGGATGGGACTAAATGTCAAGTCACACAGCCAGAGGACTCAGCCATCAACAAACAACCTGGGAAGACACTGAAGTGAAAGCCTATCTAATACTTGACTACACTGTCTTGGTAAATTGTTGCGATACTTGTATGCCTGCCTTTATTTGTCAACTGTGACCAATGTGCTTCTATAGTGTGATGGCAGTAACCAACATTGATATGAAAGGATCACTCGACTTGACTTGACAGTATACAGTATCATAAAGGGTACAATCAAACCGGCCTTACAGTAGCTGATGTATGCTTAGATCTTAGTAGGACATTCTGAAAATGATAAATGGATATGGACATGTATATATACTGAGTGTACAAAACATTAAGAATAGCTTCCTAATATTGAGTTGCACCCCCCAGAACAGCCTCAATTCGTCGGGGCATGGACGCTACAAGGTGTCGAAAGCGTTCCACAGGGATGCTGGCCATGTTGACTCCAATGCTTCCTGCAGTTTTGTCAAGTTGGCTGGATGTCCTCCTGGTGGACCATTTTTGATACACACATGAATGTTGAGCGAGAAAAACCCAGCAGTGTTGCAGTTCTTGACACAAATCGGTGCGCCTGGCACCTACAGTGAGGGAAAAAAGTATTTGATCCCCTGCTGATTTTGTACGTTTGCCCACTGAGAAAGAAATGATCAGTCTATAATTTTAATGGTAGGTTTATTTGAACAATGAGATACAGAATAACAACAAAAACTCCTGAAAAACGCATGTCAAAATTTTTATAAATTGATTTGCATTTCAATGAGGGAAATAAGTATTTGACCCCTCTGCAAAACATGACTTAGTACTTGGTGGAAAAACCCTTGTTGGCAATCACAGAGGTTAGACGTTTCTTGTAGTTGGCCACCAGGTTTGCACACATCTCAGGAGGGATTTTGTCCCACTCCTCTTTGCAGATCTTCTCCAAGTCATTAAGGTTTCGAGGCTGACGTTTGGCAACTCGAACCATCAGCTCCCTCCACAGATTTTCTATGGGATTAAGGTCTGGAGACTGGCTAGGCCACTCCAGGACCTTAATATGCTTCTTTTTGAGCCACTCCTTTGTTGCCTTGGCCGTGTGTTTTGGGTCATTGTCATGCTGGAATACCCATCCACGACCCATTTTCAATGCCCTGGCTGAGGGAAGGAGGTTCTCACCCAAGATTTGGGGTCATAGGCAGCATTCCTCCTCCACCAAACACGGCGAGTTGAGTTGATGCCAAAGAGCTCGATTTTGGTCTCATCTGACCACAACACTTTCACCCAGTTCTCCTCTGAATCATTCAGATGTTCATTGGCAAACTTCAGACGGGCATGTATATGTGCTTTCTTGAGCAGGGGGACCTTGTGGGCGCTGCAGGATTTCAGTCCTTCACGGCATAGTGTGTTGCCAATTGTTTTCTTGGTGACTATGGTCCCAGCTGCCTTGAGATCATTGACAAGATCCTCCTGTGTAGTTCTGGGCTGATTCCTCACTGTTCTCATGATCATTGCAACTCCACGAGGTGAGATCTTGCATGGAGCCCCAGGCCGAGGGAGATTGACAGTTCTTTTGTGTTTCTTCCATTTGCAAATAATCGCACCAACTGTTGTCACCTTCTCACCAAGCTGCTTGGCAATGGTCTTGTAGCCCATTCCAGCCTTGTGTAGGTCTACAATCTTGTCCCTGACATCCTTGGAGAGCTCTTTGGTCTTGGCCATGGTGGAGAGTTTGGAATCTGATTGATTGATTGCTTCTGTGGACAGGTGTCTTTTATACAGGTAACAAGCTGAGATTAGGATCACTCCCTTTAAGAGTGTGCTCCTAATCTCAGCTCGTTACCTGTATAAAAGACACCTGGGAGCCAGAAATCTTTCTGATTGAGAGGGGGTCAAATACTTATTTCCCTCATTAAAATGCGAATCAATTTAAAAAATATATATATATATAGTGTTTTTCTGGATTTTGTTGTTGTTATTCTGTCTCTCACTGTTCAAATAAACCTACCATTAAAATTATAGACTGATCATTTCTTTGTCAGTGGGCAAACGTACAAAATCAGCAGGGGATCAAATACTTTTTTCCCTCACTGTACTACCATATCCCGTTCAAAGACACTTAAATCTTTTGTTTTGCCATTTACCCTCTGAATGGCACACATAAACAATTCATGTCTCAATTGTTTCAAGGCTTAAAAATCCTTCTTTATCCTATCTCCTCCCCTTCATCTACACTGATTGAAGTGGATTTAACAAGTGACATCAAAAAGGGATCATAGCTTTCACCTGTATTCACCTGGTCAGTCTATGTCATGGAAAGAGGAGGTGTTCCTAAAGTTTTGTACACTTAGCTTATAAACTGTATATAATATGGATGTGTATTCTTACTCAATTAGAGGAAACACCATAGAAATCCAATTAGAACAGTAATATATCTGTGGAAAACACTATCACATCAAACTACAAAGAAAATTATTCGGCACATTCAAATGACGTGTTCCTTTACACATTTAATGGATATGTTGGTGAAGTTCTTTTTTACTATCTGGCCCACAATGGCTTTTACGTTATATTTTATATATATATATATATATTTATATGGATTTATTACTAATCGTGTGATATTCAACAGATGAAGTACAGCCAATATACAGTACATCACTTGTATACACATAGACACATATAGACATATAATTTAATGCTAGATAGTGGAGTGACAGTGTGATACTGCTTGAGATGCATGATATAGATGTACGCCTGCTTAAACACAGATTAACTGGGCCTTTTAGGGAATGCAGCGGCTGGAGAGGGTAGGGTAAGGGATGGAAGCGGTTAAAACCAGGAGTCCATTAACAGGCCAGTCGACCCAATTCTGCAGCACCCGCGGATTATCACACAGGGGGGAGTGAGAGTTAATATGGGTCGTAAACAGTGCTTGACTGGCCGTGACTCAGTAATGCACGAGACGAGAAGAGGAGGGGGAGAAGGGTGGGAGATATAAATGGGGAAGTGTTTTAATGGGAGAGAAGATGGGAGTTGAGGAGTGAGTGAGTGAGTGAGTGAGTGTGTCAGACTGGATGTCAATTATTAAATGATTTCTAGTTGGATTATGATTCCGTATTCTAAATGGGAGAGATTTTGTAAGCTTCATAAACAAATGCACTCATTTATGAGGGATTAACGGTAATCTCTCTTTCTATCCTTCCCCCCTTCTGCATACCTCTCTCTGTCTCTTTCTGTCGCTCCCTCTCTCTCCCCCTAAGCATTCGTTTTTAATGCATTGCAGAGCTTGGTCTATCTCCCCCTCCCTCTCAGTCTTTCCCTTTCTATGTCAGTGTTTCTGTACTGCAGGGTCTAGTCCCTGAGCAGGTGTAATATATTTCTCCTTATCTGTCTACCTCTCTCCTCCCTTCCCCTCTGCCTCTCTCTACCTCCCCTCCATCTCTGACACACACATTAACCCTCTCTTGGTTTCGTGGTCTTAATCTCCACACAGTTAAAGGGCAGCCTGGCACTGAGGTAATCCGTTAATGGACTCTACGAATTCACACCTATCCCCATTATGTCAACCCCCCACTTGTCCCTCTCTTTCTCCCTCACTCTCTCTAGTCACATGCAGTTTATGTTTTTACCCTTTACACTCGTGGGAATTGGCCTATATGGATAGGGCTAAATTGAAATGTTTCTTCCAGAAGAAATATGAAAACCATATGCATAACCATGGTAACAATTGAAAGGGAACAGTTTGTAGATAATGGGAAAATTATTAGACCAAAGGTGAGTATGCAACAGTTCAACTGACACAAGACTGAATACAAACATTACCCTGTTGATTTTATGTGCATTTTACATTTACTGTACTTTCGCCGCATTTGTTGATAACAAAATCAGAAAATACTCTAGACCCCCCCCCCCCCCCCCCCCCCAAAGGTGCGGACTACGGCTGCAAAACCTGACTCAATAGGGGAGGGTCCGGGACGTAGTACACTCCTCTCCTTTCCTGCCTCCCCGTAGCACACCTGGTCCGGTCTGGACCCCGGCACGATGCTTCCCCTCTCTGTCCTCCCACAATGCACCAAGTCCTGTCTGGACCCTGGTGTGGGAGCCCTCGACCCTGGAGAGGGGCTGACGTCTGGTCCCGGCCCAGCAGTCCTCCCGCGATGCACCAAGTCCTGTCTGGACCCTGGTGTGGGAGACCCCGATCCTGGAGAGGGGTTGACGTCTGGCTCCGGCTCGGACCCCGGTGGAACGGATGGCTCAGGCATGGGGGAAGAGTAGACGACCGGACCCGGACTAGGCACCGGTGAAGCGGACTGCCCCGGCTCTGGTAGGGAGCAGATAACCGGAGCTGGACTAGGCACCGGTGGAGCGGACTGCTCTGGCACAGGAGTGGAGCAGCTGACTGGAGCTGGACTAAGCTCCAGTGGAGTGGACTGCTCTGGCACTGGATTAAAGCAGCTGACCGGAGCTGGAGACTCTGGACTGCAGAACGTTGCAGGTGGCTCTGGACTGCAGACCATCGCAGGAGGCTCCGGGCCATGGACCATCACTGGAGCCTTCGTGCCATGGATCATCACTTGAGGCTTCGTGCCATGGATCATCACTGGAGGCTTCGGGCCATGGATCATCACTGGAGCCCGGCAAGTGCGGGGCGCTGGCCCATGACGCACTGGGCTGTGAACACGCACCACTGGTTTGATGCGAGGAGCAGGTACGGGCCGCACCACTGGTTTAGTGCGAGGAGCAGGTACGGGGCGTACCGGGCTGGCGACACACACCACTGGTTTGGTGCGTGGAGCAGGCACAGGCCGTACAGGACTGGAGACACGCACCACTGGTTTGGTGCGAGGAGCAGGTACGGGGCGCACCGGGCTGGCGACACTCACCACTGGTTTGGTGCGAGGAGCAAGTACGGGCCGTACATGACTGGAGACACGCACCACTGGTTTGGTGCGAGGAGCAGGCACGGGCCGTACCGGTCTGTGAAGGCGCACTGGCGGCACAGTGCGTAAAGCCGGCACATAGCCTGGTGCCTGCACGGTCACGCTCCTCAAAGCGAGTGCGGGGAGTTGGCTCTCTTCTGAAACCTGGCTCCGCCAGCCTCTGCTCTAAGGACTGAGCTCTCTGCTGCTGGAGGGTTAACTCCTCTCTCAGCTCCTCCTGTTGTCTGGCCAGCTCCTCTCTCCGTGCATCCACTGACTCCTTCTCCCTGTGGGCCTCCTGCAGCGCCTCCCTTTGAAGGGAGCTCTCCTGCTCTCTCTTAGCTAACAGCCCCCGTAAGGTAGTTATCTCCTCTCTCAGAGTGCTGAGCTGCATGTCTTAGAGGGCCTCTATAATAGCAGCCTCCTCTTCCTCCACAGTCAGCCCTTTCAGGGCCTCCTTCTGCTCCGTGTGCCCCCCAATTTTTTTTTATTGGGGCTGCCTCTCGTGCTTCCTTCGCGGTCGGCACCGTCGGCGTCGCCATTGATCCTCTCCTGCCTGGGCTTCTTCCTTCGCCCAGGGTCCTTTACCGGCTAATATCTCCTCCCATGTCCAAAATGTCTTCCCCACCTGTGTCCAGGGTGTCTGCTCCTCCTGGCCACGCTGCTTGGTTCGTTGGTGGTGGGATCTTCTGTCACGTTCGTTGTGTAAAGGATCGGACCAAGGTGCAGCGTGGTATGCGTACATAGTCGTTTATTTTTATAAACACCGACAAAATAACAAAATCCAACAGAACGTGAAGTTCAAGAGGCTAAACATCCAACAAGCCAAACAGAAACAAGATCCCGCAACTAAAGGTAGGCAAAATGGCTGCCTAAGTATGATCCCCAATCAGAGACAACGATCGACAGCTGCCTCTGATTGGGAACCACACCCGGCCAACATAGAAATCTATAACATAGATATGTCAACATTCACACCCTGACCAAACTAACTAGAGAATAACAGGGTTCTCAAGGTCAGGGCGTGACATCAACGGCACAGCTAGGAGAACATTTCCCAGGAATATCTTATGTTACTAAATGTGCACTTATGAGTGCATTCAGGTGCGTGTGCCACAGCGAATTTTCTTAACAGTAAACAAACATAAGTTCATTCTGTTCAGAACAACCCAGGGTATGATGCCATGTCATCTTGTAACTGTACATCAAACATAGTGATCCTAAACGACACTGTATATGACATGAGTTTTATGATTTGGAAATGTGATGTGCACATTTGGACCATATGGGTATTTGGCTTGCTTGTATGACATCAAAGCAGTATTTATTATAATTCTCAACGTCTCATCTTTCAAAATATGTCAAGTTAATCCTAATTTACAGTATTCCCCTCACTCAGACAACAAAACATTTGCAAAGGTGGCCCAATTACCGGGAGGGATGGGGGCAACTTCTTGTCGTGCCCGGTGCTCAAGTTCAAAACGGCTGTCAGTCAAAACCCATACAGAGCTGTGAAGCGCAGAACCAGAGCTCTGACGTCATGTATAGCATGTTACTGTACAGCCACTACGTTCTAAATATGCCATTTTCAACCCGTATACGGGTATGAGTGTAAAGGGTTAAACAGTTGATAATGCGGGATGTTTGGAGTTGACCTTTTCTTCTTTTACAGGGTTGTATATGAGAGCTTTTGTCGATGTTTAATATGTCATGTTTTTAATGTACATGTGTGTAATGTATGGCATTGACCCAATAAAGGGGATTTCAAAATTCTCTCTCCCACTTATACCTCTTTCTGATAGAGGTGAGATGCCACTTCGGAAGCACCTTAGCTATGGCTTTTTTGTATATCTGCAGCAAGGGCTTTTTCATTCTCACTCTCTCCACCATTTTGAATAACTTTTATTCAATTCCTTTTATTCCGTTTCCTTTTCTCCAGCAGGTATGTAACAGTTATTACATAGCAAACACTAAGGCATACACTGTAACACAAATGGACTGAATGTCAATGGAGGGGGAGGAAAGACACATACACAATCAGGCAACACAGTCTCAAGGAACACTTTACACTGAGAGCGAGGGAAAGATAGACACAAATACCTTCTTTCACAAATGGTCTCACAGACAGAGAGAGAGGGAGAGAGAGAGAGAAAAAGAGAAAGAGAGAGTGAAAGAGCGTGGGTAGGGATTGAAAAGCATGGTGTAAAAATAGAGAAGAGTTCATGGTCTTTTGGGAGAGGGGACTGGTGGCTGGACCGGGACGGTCCACCAAGTAGGATGGGGAGGTGAACAGAACTACCCTGTTGTTCAGAGTGGGTGGTTCAGTCTTTAAATCCATCACAGCAGCTCATCACAGCTCGTCCTTTCCCCCTGTCACCCTGCCCCTCCCTCTACTCCTCGACGACTGGCTTCCACTCCTACCACTCCGAGCGGGGGCAGCGGTGCCCTCTCTTCCCTCCTCTTTTACTTCTCCTCCTTTCGTCACACTCTGTCCATCCGCAGCCCACAGGGCCTCAGCCTCCTCCCTCTCCTGCATGAGGCACAGAAGGTACAGTAATGTGAGGTAAAGTGAGGTAGAATGGACCTTATTCACACCACGGCCGTGATCAGACAAAATCCAGACTAGCGGGGTAGGAAGCAGAAGTGCTCCTTTAAAATCTAGGGAAAATTGTGCTGGAACTTTCCTCAAGTTCAACCTTAATATCTATTGTCACATGTTATTTGACTGCCAACCCTAACTGACACTGCGCTATCTAAACATAAAGTTAATTAGCATAGGGAAAATAGCTTTGAATATCAGCGCAAGATGTGAAAAATGAAAAAGAAACAACCATTACATTTGCATGCATGTTCTGTTTGTTTGTCTGCAGCTGATCTGGTTGTTATGTTCACTTTTGTAACTTCACTGCTCATGGTAGAAGTTCACCTTAACCACTGATCTAAGATCAGCTTCGACTACCTAACCATTCATAAAATACATTTTATTATGAAAAAAATTCAGACCCTGTATCAGTTTTCAGTGGTTACGGGCAACACTAACCAATTTCAACTTCACTTCCCTCCCAAGATGGCCGCCAGCCCACATTACCATCTAATAAGTAGTCTGTCCTCCCTTTTTTCCCCCCTCTATAGCATTATATCGTTAGCCTGGTCCCTGATCTGTTTGTGCTGTCTTGCCAACTCCTATGGTCATTGTCATGCTAAACATATCTGATCTGGGACCAGGCTTATATAGAGCAACCAAGCCACTAATAGTCCTCACCATATCCCTGTGGTGCTTCTCCTTGGTGAACCAGAGGGCCAGTGCACACCTGCGGCCAGCAGTCACCGCGGTCACACCATGGGGATTAACAGGACCGGAGGAGAACCCCACCAGTCGACCACAGGTGGGCTTCACCCGGGCCTAGAGAGAGAGAGAAAGAGAAAGAGAAAGAGAGAGAGAGAGAGAGAGAGAGAGAGAGAGAGAGAGAGAGAGAGAGAGAGAGAGAGAGAGAGAGAGAGAGAGAGAGAGAGAGAGAGAGAAATAGACTGTCAGAAAGGGTAGCCTCTATAAGGGCCATGTTAGAATGGATAGTAGAGGCAATATCGTCAGAGCTTACTAAGAAGTACACACAACACAGACCATTTGTTCTTAATTTAGTGTTAGGACTAATATTAGGTGCATGGTTACTGAACGGGTTAAGGTTAGAATTGTATGTGTTAGAAAGCTGTACTTCTATCCTTTCTAGCATGGCCAACTCTGTGTTGTTTTTATTGCACTACTTTGCTTTATCTTGGCCAGGTCGCAGTTGTAAATGAGAACCTGTTCTCAACTGGCTTACCTGGTTAAATAAAGGTGAAATAAAAAAATAAAAAATAAAAATGGCCAAATAGTGATGACCAGGTCACGGTGGAGAATAGGTCAAAAGGTCATGTGAAGATCAGCCAGTGTAAAGTGTTCTACTTGAGTTTTAAGGTCAAGTGACTTACTGTGACAGTCTTCGCATCCCTGTCTGTGAAGAAGAGCTCCCCACCGTCAAAGTCATCGTTCAGATAGAGCACAGCACTGGAATGGAATCAGACATGGTCTTAGTCGTCATTTAGCAAGGCTAGCCAAAGTTGTCAGTTGTCATCTTTATTGCTTAGTAAACAGACCTAGTGGTATTATATAGCATACTGCCAGAAGCACGTCTCATTATTTCCTCACACCCTCCTGCCTGAAATCAAGAATCTCCACTAGCCTGTGGAATGGCACCTGTGTTTGTTTGAATGCTGTGTTTGTTTACCTTAGAATGAGGAGACCATCAAACAGTGTTAGTATCAAGATGTCACGCTGTATTGGTTTGAGTTTATTCAGGGTGGGATTGTCTGTTCAAGTAATGTACATACACACCTCTCCGTATGTATTTGGACAGTAAAGTAGAAGTGTTCAGAAACATCTTCTATTCTTATTTACAATGAAATTGACTCCAAAATGACACAATACATCATTCACCATTCAGTTCCTATTGGGCAAAACATAATCCGAAACACAACCAAAACAAACTGCAAATGCATCCAAAAAGTTTGTAGAGCCACAAGATTGATGTAGTCATTGTGTTCTAGGAATATGGGACCAAATACTATACTTTTTACTAATTTAATATACTATAAGTAAATATGTCCAAATGATTTCTTGAAGATACATACGATGCTTACATTTCAAAACGGTAAAACCGATATGTATGAAAATACCCTCAAATAAAAGTTGACATTCTAAACTGTCGCCTTATATGAAACATTTGATCTCAAATCCAAACTGCACAGTGCACACATCTGCCTGCTTCTGTGTGTGTGTGTGTGTGTGCATGTGTTCTGCCAGCCTACGTGTCTGTGTTTGTGCATCCTGCCAGCTTGTGCGTGTGTGCGCGCATTTGTGTATGTGTGTTCTGCCTGTGTGAGTGTGTGTGTACCTCAGGTCTCTGTGTGTAAAGGCAGGTGGTTCTCTCCAGCACTGTCTGGTCTCAGGTTCCAGTAGACAGTTGTCCACATGAACAGGGTGAGACAGGTCCAGTCTCCCCTCCTGGTCCCCTGGACAGGACACACAACACAAGAGGATCATGTTCATTAGGCACCAAATGGAAGAAAACGGACTGAAATAGGGAGGGACTACCTGGAGTTTTCCAATAAGAAACACTCATTTTAGTTTTCCGTTGAAAAACGTTTAAGACAGTTGTCCATTGCGTGCCCTAATGAACACGACCCAGGTGACACAACGGGTGACATAACACAGAGCAGATAAGACACCTGATTCAGGTCAGGGGTTAGCTATTAGGTTACACTATAAATGGCAAAAGGCCTCAACCCTATTTGAATAGGAAAGCTTTGTGCCATTTTGCATGTGCCAATCTGTCCTATTAATTTGACATTGAGACCCACAAACTGAATACATAATGGAATCAACAGAACAGATGGAAAATATGGAATGGAACATGAAATATGAAATGTTAGACCACTTCTGAGATGTAAAACCTTTTTGGAACCATCATTTCAAGAAATAAAGCGCATTGCTTGAGTGGACCATACCTGTGATGGCGCTGCGGCACACTAGATGTGTGTAGGAGAAGTGGAGTCCTGAGGGGCTCCTGAAGTAGGAGTGCAGGAGGGTTCTCACCCTCTCCCCCATCTCATGCAGCAGCTTAGCGTCTGATTGGTTCACCATACCGTCCTGAGCCAACTGCAGAGCAGAAAAGTGTTTTAACTGTTCATTAGCTATGTGACCACGTGAGACAAAGAGATAGACAGACAGACGGCTAGACAGATAGATTTAATCTCCAAATCCATCGTTCTCACCTTGGCAGCTCTGAGGACAGTCAGGCCCTCAAACTTCTCATGGGGCGTGTGTGGGGACCGTCGCCCCAGGTAACCGTCCCCAACGGACGCAGCAGCCTGTCAGAGACAACACAGGAAGTGATCATGGAAGATATGAGCTCACAGCCCTGTTGGAATACTTCTGCTATTGCTGAATTCCAAATCCACCCCTGGCTCATATCCCTAAGAACCATAAAGATCAAGGCCTGTATTCATAAAATGTTTACAGTGCATTCGGAAAGTATTCAGACCCCTTGACTTTTTCCACATATTGCTACGTTACAGCCTTATTCTAAAATGGATTAAATTGTTTTTTTACCCACATCAATCTACATACAATACCCCATAATGACAAAGCAAAAACAGGTTTTTTGAAAATTTTAAAAGTATTCAGACCCTTTACGCAGTACTTTGTTGAAGCACCTTTGGCAGCGATTACAGCCTTGAGTCTTCTTGGGTATGACGCTACAAGCTTTCCACACCTGTATTTGGGGAGTTTCTCCCATTCTTCTCTGCAGATCCTCTCAAGCTCTGTCAGGTTGGATGGGGAGCGTCGCTTCACAGCTATTTTCAGGTCTCTCCAGAGATGTTCGATTGGGTTCAAGTCCGGGCTCTGGCTGGGCCACTCAAGGACATTCAGAGACATGTCCAGAAGCCACTCCTGCGTTGTCTTGGCTGTGTGCTTAGGGTCGTTGTCCTGTTGGAATGTGAGCCTTCGCCCCAGTCTGAGGTCCTGAGCGCTCTGGAGCAGGTTTTCATCAAGGATCTCTCTGTCCTTTGCTCAGTTCATCTTTCCCTCAATCCTGACTAGCTTCCCAGTCCCTGCCGCTGAAAAACATCCCCACAGAATGATGCTGCCACCACCATGCTTCACCATAGAGATGGTGCCAGGTTTCCTCCAGACGTGACGCTTGGCATTCAGGCCAAAGAGTTCAATCTTGATTTCATCAGACCAGACAATCTTGTTTCTCATGATCTGAGAGTCTTTAGGTGCCTTTTGGCAAACTCCAAGCGGGCTGTCATGTGCCTTTTACTGAGGAGTGGCTTCCGTCTGGCCACTCTACCATTAAGGCCATCTCCACAGAGGAACTCTGGAGCTCTGTCAGAGTGACCATCAGGTTCTTGTTCACCTCCCTTACCAAGGCACTTCTCCCCCGATTACTCAGTTTGGCCGGGCGGCTAGCTCTAGGAAGAGTCTTGGTGGTTCCAAACTTTTTCCATTTAAGAATGATGGAGAACACTGTGTTCTTGGGTACCTTCAATGATGCAGAAATGTTTTCGTACCTTTCCCCAGATCTGTGCCTCGACAAAATCCTGTCTCTGAGCTCTACGGACAAGTCCTTCGACCTCATGGCTTGGTTTTTGCTCTGATATGCTTTGTCAACTGTTGGACCTTATATAGACAGGTGTGTGTCTTTCCAAATCATGTCCAATCAATTGAATTTACCACAGGAGGACTCCAATCAAGTTGTAGAAACATCTCAAAGATGACCAATGGAAACAGGATGCACCTGAGCTCAATTTCAAGTCTCATAGCAAAGGGTCTGAATACTTCTGTAAATAAGGTATTTCTGTTTTCTATTTTTAATTAATTGGCAAACATTTCTAAAAAACCTGTTTTCGCTTTGTCATTATGGGCTATTGTGTGTAGATTGATGAGGATTTTTTTTTTTTTCATTTTAGAATACGGCTGTAACGTAACAAAATATGGAAAAATCTGATTACTATCGAATGCACTGTATATATACAGTAGCAGTCAAAAGTTTGGACACACCTACTCATTCAAAGGTTTTTCTTTATTTTTACTATTTTCTACATTGTAGAATAATAGTGAAGACATCAAACTATGAAAGAACACATGGAATCATGTAATAACCAAACGTGTTAAACAAATGAAAATATATTTTATATTTGAGATTCTTCAAATAGCCACCCTTGCCTTGATGAGGTATTCACCTGGAATGCATTTCAATTAACAGGTGTGCCTTGTTAAAAGTTAATTTGTGGAATTTCTTTCCTTCTTAATGCATTTGAGACAATCAGTTGTGTTGTGACAAGGTAGGGGTGGTATACAGAAGATAGCCCTATTTGGTAAAAGACCAAGTCCATATTATGGCAAGAACAGCTCAAATAAGCAAAGACAAACGACAGTCCATCATTACTTTAAGACATGAAGGTCAGTCAATACGGAACATTTCAAGAACTTTGAAAGTTTCTTCAACTGTAGTCGCAAAAACCATCAAGCGCTATGATGAAACTGGCTCTCATGAGGACTGCCACAGGAAAGGAAGACCCAGAGTTACAGAGGATAGGTTAATTCGAGTTAACTGCACCTCAGATTGCAGCCCAAATAAATGCTTCACAGAGTTCAAGTAACAGACACATCACAACATCAACTGTTCGGAGGAGACTGCGTGAATCAGGCCTTCATGGTCGAATTGCTGCAAAGAAACCATTACTAAAGGACACCAATAAGAAGAAGAGACTTGGCCAAGAAACACTGATGAGTCCAAATTTGATATTTCTGGTTCCAACCGCTGTGTCTTTGTGAGATGCAGAATAGGTAAACGGATAATCTCCACATGTGTGGTTCCCACCGTGAAGCATGGAGGAGGTTTGCTGGTGACACTGTCTGTGATTTATTTAGAATTCAAGACACACTTAACCAGCATGGCTACCACAGCATTCTGCAGCGATACACCATCCCATCTGGTTTACGCTTAGTGGGACTATCATTTGTTTTTCAACAGGATAATGACCCAAAACACACCTCCAAGCTGTGTAAGGGCTATTTGACCAAGGAGAGTGAGGGAGTGCTGCATCAGATGACCTGGCCAGATGACCAACCCAATTGAGATGGTTTGGGATGAGTTGAGAGAATGCCAAGAGTGTGCAAAGCTGTCATCAAGGCAATAGGTGTCTACTTTGAAGAATCTCAAATATATTTTGATTTGTTTAACACTTTTTTGGTTACTACATGATTCCATATGTGTTATTTCATAGTTTTGATGTCTTCACTATTATTTTACAATGTAGAAAATAGTAAAAAATAAAGAAAAACCCTGGAATGAGTAGGTGTGTCCAGACTTTTGACTGGCACTGTATATATATGGCCCTTGATAGGCTCTGTGTGATTTTCACCATATTGCAGTTTTATCTATGATTTCCCATCCAATGGCAAACACCAAAGGGACAGGGCTCATTCAAATTCCAAATCTCTGTTGAACTTCTCTTCCTGTGTTTGAGGGAGTCTTGTTTTCTGAGCGAATCATATGCAAGCTTACGGTCGCTAGGCGCAGTACTGTGTCGCATTCCTTCTGATCTAGAACTCCGTCCAGCACGACGCGATTGGTTCCATTTAAAGAATGGTCGTCCATGCTGATGGTGACACCAACCTGAGGTACGGGACCCCCTGGGGAGGGAACATAATGGAGGGTGAGCGAGACACACGAAGAGTGCACACACACGCACGCACACATTTAAATCAAATAGGTGTTTCTCAGATTAGTGTTTCCCAATCCTCAGAGACCCGAGCCATTGATGTTTTTTGTAATTACCAATCCGTCAATGTGTGCTTGTAACATGCCAAACGCTAATGTTTATCGTTACCTGCGTAGAACCCACTATCGTCCATCTCCACCTCTTTCTCTCCCTCCTTCATTTTCTCATTCAGCACTTCCTTTTCTGCTCTAGAAATCAAAAAGGAAATGGCTTTCAACCGCCCAATAGCACTTCAAAGCCCTTTCTCTCCACACTCCTGTCCTCTTTGCAGTAACTTTCTCCTTCTCTTTTCCTCTTACCTCCATGTTTCTCTCAGCAATTCAGGAACAACCTCCTCTGGAGTCCAGAGATCCTATATGGGAGAAAAAAACACAAAAGGAACAAACTGCTGTATTGTTCAGTTTGAAAGTAAATGTGAGTGACCAAATCAGAGCCATATATAGCCTAGATATAGCTACGTTATGGCTCTAGACCAAACCATATCCAATGATAATCAATAAACAACTTTATCATACCGGGTCGGTGAAATTGAAATTTAGGTTTTCCATTCCGAAGTAGAGTAGCTTTTTCTCCTGCAGTGAGCGGCTCACATACCTGGCTATCTCCTGAGTATATAAAGACAGAGACAGAGAGAGTGGAGAAAACCAATACACTGATCTTCACAGTAGAGTAAGACACAATCATGTATCTATCAAATTTGAGGAGTGTTGTTTATAAAATGAAGCCTCCCTAGTGGGCCAGGCTAGGGGTTGTTGATTTGAGGCTGAGCACAAGTAGTACCTGGGAGGGCTGTGTCCCATGTGCCTCAGTGTCGCCCCCCAGTGTCTCTGTGTAGAGCTGCAGGTTACTGAGGGAGTCTTTGTCTAAGGGGTAGAACAGGAGGAGAGACCGCAGAGAACGCACCGCTCCTCCAAGATCGCCCGCTGCGGGAAATAGATGAGAGAGAGAGAGGGTCATTCACTAGACATGTAAACTCCTGTATGAAGCACCAGAGCCTATTTACAATAATACACCCGTGTAGCACAGTTGGTAGAGCATGGCGTTTGCAACGCCAGGGTTGTGGGTTCGATTCCCACGGGGGGCCAGTATGAAAAATGTATGCACTCACTAACTGTAAGTCGCTCTGGATAAGAGCGTCTGCTAAATTACAAAAAAAATTTAAAAATGTAACATTTCAGGTGCCATTGCCAGGCCAGTATCATCAGCTGCAGTAGAAGCAGAGTTATCATCATAATTGTCGTTAGAGTCATCATGTGGTCATTACTGTAACTTCAGATATGACCTTTCCCCTGTCTAACCTTTGAACTGTGCGATGTGTAGATGCTCCAGCTGTGTGGGTAGGAAGTCCTCCTGGGCTGAAATCCTTCCGGGTCGCGTCGCCACCTGGGTCACACAGGCCTGCTGGCAGGACAGGAGGGAGAGGGAGAGTGCTGGAGGACAGGTGATAAAAATCACACGATAAGGAGAAGGAAAGATTAGAAAAGTAGAGAATAGCATAAGCATAAAATAATAGGACAACTAGCGTATACATGTAAAACGAATTACAATATTTGCCTTGTTTTGGACCAACCCAAATATGCACTGCGTGACATCATACTGTTTACAGTCAGCTGTCTTGGTAACACTCCCCCTGTAATAAGGCCTTTATAATGCTGTATAACACTATCACAGATATTTTCAGCCTACTAGCAATGAATGACTATAGCCCTGCATAGACAACCAGCTTCATAAACACACACATGTTTTTCCTGTGACCTGTGTGGTCCAGTGGTTAGTGCCACATGTACAGCCCAGCTACCAATGTCAGCATTGGTTCAAATCCGACCCATGACCTTCTGACTCACAATCTCTCCTACATTTTCTGTGTCCTCTTCACTGTCCTATCTCAATAAGGATATATAAAACCCTTAAAAATATATATTTTTAAACAAACACACATGTTTTTCTCAGTTTTTCCCACCTGCAGCCTTCTCAAACACCCCGTCCATTCCATCCTCTCCTCTGTTCTCAGGGAGCCGCTGTGAGGCGACCTCACATTGCGCCCTGCATTCATCAGTCTGTCTCAGTGTCTCGTTCACACACTCCCTCCATTTCTCCACGGCGTGCGTCCAATCAGAGGAGGACTCAGAGGTGAGGGCGGAGTCGTACAGGGCCTGTGGTTGATAGAGGGATGGGGGTTAGGGGTAAGAGGAGGGAGGAATGTTAGCTGGAAAGGTTGGCTATAATTGGTCAACATCAAGAACAGAGTGCGATGGAGAGGAGTCGTCGATAGCTTATACTCCCAAAGGAGCAATGGGCTTAGTAAGTACGTAAAGCATGAAGACCTGCTGGAGACAAACAAAACAGAGGAGTGAAATTAACTGAATTTTTTGTTTTACTGTTTGGCTTTAGTGGTATCAAAAGTCCAGTGAAGTCCACATGATGTATTCTCATTTATAGTACACTCCATTAGTAACATGTTATCAAGAATGCTGTGGGTGCATGCAGAGGTTACCGCGTGAGCCCAAAGGGCTTTTACGATTGGCTAGGTACTTTAGGTGAAACACAGAGAGGAATTTTAACCCTCAGAGAGAGGAATTTGAACCCTCGGGCCACATGTGGGAATCTTCTAAGAATGTTTCTTACAACAAGATTCTTGAATACTCATTTATGCATTCAATCTACCATTTATTTCACTATTTCTGAGACACACACACACAACCCTCCCCCTCTCCCACTCTTTTTTTATTACCCAGTGTTTCTCTGCCTCCATCTCTCTATCCTGGAATGCGTCCTCTGTTACTCCCTCCATCCGTCTATACTTCTCAATGTTGTTCCTCATCTCCAGGTGACTGGGGTTGGCCACGAAGAACGTGTGGGCTGCTGATGCTGCCTTCTGTACTTTCCCTAGCTGAGGAAGAGGAGAAGGGAGGAGAGAAAAAGTTGAAAGAGAGAGAATGAGGTAAAAGATGAAGAGGAGGAAGAGCAGAAGGGAGTAGAGGAGGAGGCGAAAGAGAGCGAGAACGAGGTAGAAGATGTAGAGGAGCAGGAGGAGAAAGAGGGGAGGAGGAAAAATAACAGGAGGATGAGGTAGAGTGAAGAAGAGAAGGTTAAAGTCCAGATCAGATAGAGTGCATGAAGACCACAGCTGTAGTTGTAGGATATTGTTGCTAAAGTATGTATTAAATTGAGCTAGCACATTACATGATATAGGCCTTATACCAGACTAACTAACTACCAGTGGAATAACCTATGTAACTGCTTTAACATGCAATTATGCAGCACTTAGCACTTCAGATCTACAATTCAACTGTAGCCATACATAATGAAATAGCAGGTGAATATAGTAATAGATACCTTCCAGTAGACGACCTGCAGGAAGTTATAGGGGTTCCGGGTACTAAACTCATACTCGATGTCAGCAGACACAGGAAGCTGTCCTGCAGGAGTGACAGCCCGTCCCAAACAGAACCGCACACACTCAGCCCGCTGCTGGACCCAGTCCACTGCCCATAGGTCCCACACATTCCCTTTCTCTGTGTCTGAGGACACACACACACACACACACACACACACAAACAGAGCAGAGATACTACATTACTGGAATGTACCATACCAGGGCATATCATCGCTGACTCCTGGGAGACATCTAGGCCCTAAAGCAAGCTGTGATTGTAAGTGGCAAACAGAAGCTTATGATTTAATATATTTAATGCATGCACATAACACACACAGGTGGAGACAGAGAGACAGATACTCTCGCTCTCTCTCTCACACACACACACACACACACACACACACACTATGAATCGACCACATACAACACAGTGAGCACAAACACACGCATACCCAGTTTTGGGAGCCTGTCATATCCCGCTGGCACACATTCCTCATGGCACTGCCGTCGGGTTCGAAACAGAGCCTCCCGGATAGTCATCGACTTTTCGAGCAGCTCCGCAGCCTTCTCCCACTCCTCGCTAAAGTATGCACGGACCCCAGTATAATACAAAACATCGTAAGAGGGTATGAGTCCGGACGCAGATCCTGCAGAAGCCCCGCTGCCCGCAACAGGAGAGGTGAAATAGAATAATGAGAAAAGAGAGTGAATAAGAGAGATATGCAGCGCCACGTACACAGAGTTGTGATTTGCGCAAAGCGCCATGGTGCGCCGTAGTTATTTTGGAGAAGGAGAAGGAGGGGGAGGAGGGACAGGGCCAGAGGAAAGTGGGAAAGGCAGGAAAGACGTGCTTGGTAGTGATGAGCGGAGGAGGAGAAGGAGTGGGTGGGATGGGGTGGAGAAAAGGAAACAGGCAGTACACTTGAAGGTACATTTATTGACACAGTAAATAACATTGTTTGGAAGCACTAAAATAATAATAATATTTCAGTCTAGTTTACTAAAGTCTGTACACACTCATTCATAACACTTTATAGGCTTCACAAAAAAACATTGTTTTCTATCTATTTACCTAGTCTACTATTTTTTTTAAAGCAGAATTTCTTAAATCAAACTATTTAGGCTATATAGGTCTACTTTACCAACGTCCCAATCACCAAACATCAATCATGTCAGGTCTGAACATGAAACAGGTCAAAATAATACCCTGTTTGGCTGCAAAGTAATTTGTTCATCAGCATTAACGGTGGCAGCTGATATGATATATCCAATCCTGTATCTTTTTCTATAGTATATTAATTACAATAGACCACATTTTATTGACATATTTGGGATTTTGTGTGAAGTTCTCTTTCCACCCACGCGACAGCAGTAGTTCATTTGGTGCTGTAAAAACCTGACATTTTCGCCTTCTGTCGAAGTGGCGAGCCGTTAAACATTACCGTAATTACTGAAAAGGTTATGTGTGAAATAAGCAGCTGTTGTCTATTTTGCCTGTTTGTTTTATTGTATGTCTGTGTTGGAAGTTAAATGACGTTTTAATATAGATTTGATTCATTGGCGATCTGAATTCATACTTAATTAATGTTTCTCTTTCAAACACAACATCGCATAATTGTTGTGGTAGTTTGTACTCTATATATTACGATTACCACTGCTTCCGGAGCGTGCTATGCGCGATGGGCGTTCGGCCTTGCGTCCACAGAAACAGGGAGGCATCAGGCCATTCATTGGGAGAAAGACAGACAGAGGGGGAGAGCAATACAAACAACAAACAATATTCAACACAGGGGAATCAAAAGCTGGGGTCCAAACTCAGAGGAACAAGTGTCCGACTGGAAGGCAGAGTTAGCTAGCTTGAGATGGCGGAGGTAAGCGAGGTTTTGATGTCGGTTCTGTCCACAATTCGGGTTCCGAGGCCCGGGGACCGTGTCCACAAAGACGAATGCGCCTTGTCATTTTCCTCTCCGGTGAGTAACCCATCTTCTCATCTAACGTTAGCTTCGTATTAAACCTGTAATTTAGATAAGTTTTTTCTTTGGGGCTGTTTCTTATTTATTTGTGTATTACCAGTTATACAGCTAGCTAGTTAGCTAGTCACAACAATAGCTAGCTAACGTTAACTAGTTAAACTAGCTAGCTACTGACTGTAGCTACATTGAGAAACGTTAGCCAGCTAGCATCTTTACCATTCAGCTAACGTTAGCTAACTAACCAGTGGTTGTCAAATCATTTCCGACTATCATCATGACTAATTTTCAATGAACTCGCAGTAACGTTACGTAGCTAGCCAGTTAGCCAACGTTACCATGCAAGTGTAACGCTAGCTAGCCAGTTGGCTAACTATGGCTGTCACTTGACGTGTCATTCTAACTGTTTAGCTAACTTGCTAGTTAGCATGCTAACAAATAGCACTGTCAGTTGTTGTTGTCATGATAATCTTCAATGTTATGAGTGGGCCGCGTGGGAGACTGCAACCACTGTAACGTTACATTCATGTCAGTTGCTGTTGTCATGATAATCTTCAATGTTATGAGTGGACCGCGTGGGAGACTTCAACTACTGTAACGTTACATTCATTAGGTTGTTGGGTAAATTATTATATGTCCAGCTTCCAAGACAGCCAATGTAATGACTAACGTTAATGTTGTTCTCACACTAGTTTGTGTTTGGGTTTTTTCTCAGGAGAGTGAAGGAGGCCTGTACGTGTGCATGAACAGTTTCCTTGGGTTCGGCAGCCAGTATGTGGATAGACACCACACCAGGAGCGGACAGCGGGCTTACCTGCACATCTCCCGGACCCGCAAAGCTCCGGTGAGTTATACACTGGTCCTTCAAACCTTTCACTGAAGTCTCTGGGTGAGTCTAGCCTGCTACAGATGCACTTGTGGCTGAATAGTGGCCACACAACAAACACATTGAATGTCAAAGTTCATTTGGTATCAAAATTATTTACCACCTTTCTTGTGGATGGAGACATTCCACAATTCACCAAATCTGAACTGTAATTTTCCCCAGAAGGAAGATGAGGAGAACTCTGGATCCGGGGACCCACCCAAGAAGAAGCCCACCCGATTGGCCATAGGTAACAGCAGAGTTAACAGCAACACATTTTCAGACAGGGCTATGGGGGTGCAAAGACCCCCGAAACAGCCTTCAGGTAGCCTGGGTACCAGTCTGTTTCTGCTAACATTCCACTCCTTGTATTCCATGTCATGACAAGCATGTGTTTAGCATATGACACAGAGTGGAAGGATAGCTAAACATACTGGTACCCAGGCTAGCCTTCAGGGACGCTGACACCAACATTTTCCATTGAATCCGGTTGTCTGCCATGATAGATCAATGAAACTGATATCATATGTCTATTGACACTCCTCCTCATCCTCTCTCTGTCTCTCTTAGGGATCGAGGGAGGGTTCAATGTGGAGCAGGAGCAGTATGAGGAGGAAGTAAAGGTCGTCCTCTTCCCTGATAGACAGGAAGTTACATCCGATGATCTCGCCACCATGCCGGATGTTGTGAGAGAGCGGGTGAGACACATTGTGGGTGAACACTTCAAGTGTTGCCTCAACTTTGCTAATTACCTCTTAAGAGTGTTGTGCATTTGTCTGTGTTTAGAAAGAGGACCAAACATTGCCATGGGCATGTCGTTTCGAAATCCCTTCATTCATAGTTAGTGTATGCATCGGAAACTCACGCTTCTGCTTTAAAAAAACAAAACACAAACATCTCAAATTCTTCTCTGTGCACCACGTGATTGGAGGGCTGTCTTTTGTAGTTACCACTGTAGTATTTGGCTGGGCTAAGACTGCCCTATTCTTTAAGTCAGGGGTAGGCAAATAGATTCAGCCGCAGGACGTTTTTTGTCGGAGGGAATGGTCAGGGAGATGGACATTTATTATAATTTGTACTCCACGAATTGACCACATCTAAGCCCAGAAATAGATTGTATTTAAAAATAACACTAATTTCATACCTTGGATTACATCGAGACACGATCACATCTCTTTTTTGTTGTTGTGTGGGAATACTTGGGAACAGATTTTCTAAAGTAAACTAATTTTAGCAGAATTTACAGTAAAAAAAACAACCAAAAACTACCCTAGCACTAACAACCCCCCCCCCCCAAAAAACATGATGTTTAAAAAAAAACTTGAAGGAGGGGGCAAATAAATCGCTAGCGGGACGGTTTTGGCCCGCGGGCAGCCTGTTGCCAACCCCTGCTCTAGGTATTACACTTCACCATGCATGCTTGTTGTGACCATCTATAACCTTCTCTATATCCCTTTAGGTATCTCTAGCCATGACAGGGCTGATGTCTGCAGACTCAGTGTCTCACGCCCTGCAGGTGCAGCAGTGGGACGGCGAGGTGCGGGCGGAATCCCGGCACGCCGTCGAACTCAAGCAGCTCGACAACGGCACCAAGATCCCTCCCAGGTGAGAGGCTGTTTAGGCTAGGTTGTTGTTCTGAGCTGACATTGGCTAGAATTTCACGAGCACTCCAGCGTTAAATGAACTTGCACATTGACAGTTTTGCTCCTTTTGTCCATTCATTTCATCGTAGACTTGGACCATATACAAGGTCTGATAATGTAATTAATATATTAAATAATGTATATCAATATGTAGCCTAAATATGTTTCAGTGGATGATCGTTAATTCTCAGTCAATCTCTCCTTCTCCCTCCGTCTTCCTCTCCATCCATCGATGTTTCTCCCGATCTCTCTGCCTCTCCCCTCTCTCTCCATCTCCCTCCCCACCCCTCTCTCCATCTTTCTCTCTTCTCCCTTCCCTCCATCCCTGTCTTCCAGTGGTTGGCGGTGTGAGGTGTGTGACCTGCAGGAGAACCTGTGGATGAATCTGTCAGACGGAAGGGTGTTCTGCGGTCGCAGGTATTTCGATGGCTCCGGGGGGAACAACCATGCCCTCCTGCACTTCCAGCAGACAGGACACCCTCTGGCTGTCAAACTGGGCACCATCACCCCCGACGGAGCAGGTGATGGCAACACAATATGAATACTTGGACACTTGAAACAACACAATGCTTTTTTATTTACTAAGTGCTTCTCACGAGTCCCAATATTCCAGAAGTCACAGAATCCCTACTGAGACGCTTACCCTTGAATTATTGAAAGGGGAAGATTAAGAAAACACTGGCAAGGAAAAGGACTCTGAGACTGAGAACTTAATTTAATTTCATGTGAAATCTGACTCGTAGACAGTCGTAACTTGGTTAGAGTCTGTATTCTTTGAGCTTTTGATGTCTGACTTTCCTCTGTGGCCTTTCCAGATGTGTACTCCTATGACGAGGATGATATGGTACTGGACCCAAAGCTCCCCGAACACCTGTCCCACTTTGGCATCGACATGATGACCATGGAAAAGGTAGGACTGCCGACATCAATAAAGATACAGGGTCTCTATGGGCAGGTTCTTTCCAGCTTCAGTGTTGTGGTTTGAGGACTCTTTTTCTTTAGTGACAGACATTTTCCTTCATGAATAAGGTCTATACTTTTCTGTACTTGCCTTACCAGTGTTGGTGACAAAATGATGTTCAAAGCTGGCCTGGCTAAATAGCTCATATTGATTGTGTTATAACAACAAATTGAGAGATGGGACTCAGTGTGAGATCACAGTCCTGTCCATCTGGTTAATCTGTCATTGTCTTTCCTTCTCTCATTCCTTCCCCCTGTTTCTCCTCTCTCCTCAACATCCCAATTTTCCTCGCCACCTGTCTCCCCCTCCCTCCCCTGCAGACGGAGCGTACGATGACAGAGCTGGAGATAGCGGTGAACCAACGCGTGGGAGAGTGGGAGGTGATCCAGGAGTCAGGGGCCACCCTGCGGCCTCTGTCGGGCCCCGGACTCACCGGCATGAAGAACCTGGGCAACAGCTGCTACCTCAACTCGGTCATGCAAGTCCTCTTCACCGTGCCTGACTTCCAGAGCAAGTCAGTAACCGTCTATCACTTCTACCTCTTAGTCTGCGTCCCAGATGCAACCCTATCCCTTTTATAGTGCACTACTTTTGACCAGGGCCCATTGTTCTGGGAAAATACTCACGAAACCCCTCTGTCGTGTGTACCCTGCCTCAGGTACGTCTCCAACGTTGACAAGATCTTCGATGAAGCTCCAAGCGACCCCACCCAGGACTTCAAAACCCAAGTGTGAGTTTCCACCCAATGCTTTTTTCAGTGTAACATGCACACACTCACTCAAACTTACGTTATTAATTTCACGTCAAACATGAATACGGTTTATTAAACCTGCCCTTTCCGAACAACCTTGAGACTACACACACCTGTGTCTGGAAGTAGCACAGAGTCAGGGTTATAACGTGTATTCATTGCTAGTCACACTGGCATACCGTTATGGCACACAAATGCATAGTCATTGGCACTGTGCGAAGCATGTGTTATGTTTGGATGGACAGTAGGTCATTGTCTAAAGGCCAGCCTTTCTCCACCAGTTGTCACTAACTGTTCACTTATCTGAGCAAAAACAATCCATTTCTATGGCCAAGACTAACATTAGATAAGATACGGGATGGTAATTGTTGGGCTAAAAACCTATCAGCAGGCTATAATGTTGCCTAAGGACCAAATCTCCTTCAACACTTTCCCCTAATTTATAAGACTGCGTTTAGTTTAAGAAATGGCATTTCTCCCGATGGATCAGTAATTCCTGTTTTTATCATCCTCTATTTATACATAATTTAAATGGACTGATTTCCCATGTTGTCGATGTGTTGTCTGATGTTTGGTGTTCGACATCTCTTCTTTATTTCAGAGCAAAGCTCGGCTATGGTCTGTTGTCGGGCGAGTATTCCAAACCAGCCCCTGACCCCGGAGATGGCTCTGAACCCAGCTCTGAACCCAGAGTAAGTGAATGGCAAGCAATGGAAGATGGTGCTGAAGTTTTTCTTATGTCAGAATGTTAGCTACCGTAGCACTGGCGCATCAAACACATGTCTCCAAAAATGACAGTTTTTCCATTTGTGTTTACATTAAGCGATTGTGTTATCACTTTCCATGTGTATTGTCTAAAGAAGGATTTTTTTGTTTCCAGGGTGACCAGGTTGGCATAGCGGCGCGCATGTTCAAAGCACTTGTTGGGCGGGGCCACCCGGAGTTCTCCACCAATCGGCAACAAGACGCCCAGGAGTTCTTATTGCACTTCATTAATATGGTGGAGGTAAAATCATCCCATACTCCATCCCTTTTTTCCATCTTCTGTCATCCGATTTTTTCCCTCCTGTTGTACCCCATTTTCTTAAAGTTTTTTGTTTTATTAACCTCCACCTCAGAGAAACTGTCGTTCGGGGGTGAACCCGTCTGAAGCCTTCCGTTTCCTGGTAGAGGAGAGGATCGTGTGTCAGCAGTCACAGAAAGCAAAGTACACGCAGAGGGTGGACTACATCCTCCAGCTACCTGTGCCTATGGACCAGGCCACTAACACAGGTGAGGGGCTCATGGGAAATGTAGTTTTGTTATTGTGTCAGGGAGTCTACTTCTGCCCCATCAACTGCCATCTTGTTTTTTATTGAAGCCTCATTAAAAAAAGTCAACCAACAAGTTTTTATAAGTCAAATATATTCTTCATAAAATAACATTTATTTAAATAAATAAATAAAATATCCCTCTCTCTCTCCCCCCTCAATCAGAGGAGCTGCAGGAGGCTGAGCGTCGGCGTGAGGAGGCAGACTCGTCGGGAGCACCTCCCCCAGCGACGGTGCGCGCCTGTATCCCGTTCACGGCGTGCATGGCGGCGCTCAGCGAAACAGAGACGCTCACAGACTTCTGGAGCTCCGCCGTGCAGGCCAAGACCACCGCCACCAAGTATGACAACGCACAAGATTCACTCAGTCAATCAATCTATCAATCAGTTTTCCAGTCAATTAAATGTGTTTTCCAACTCCAGTCCTCCAGTACCCCCAACAGCACACTTTTTGTTATAGCCCCGGACAAGCACACCTGATTCAACTTCTCAACTAATTATCAAGCCCTCAATGAGTTGAATCAGGTGAGTTTGTCCGGGTGTACAACAAACACTTGTGCTGTTGGGGGTACTGGAGGACTGGAGTTGGAAAACACTGAATTAAATCATCCATCCATCAATCAATGCATTTTCCTGAGGAAAATGTAGTTTGTAATTAGTCTCACTTTCCCTCTCTCTTTCATCACCCCTCTTTCAGGACCACCCGCTTTGCCTCTTTCCCTGACCACATGGTTATCCAGGTTAAGAAGTTCACCTTTGGGCAGGACTGGGTCCCCAAGAAACTGGGTGAGTAGAATGCTCTGCACACAGTGTAAACAAGGTCTACATGATCTTCTGTATTGAATATAATATTATTTTCATTTACAAACACATGGAACAGCTACACCTGTGGGTTATCACAGACGATATCAGTTAAATTCAAGTGGGAAATTCCACTGTAGTAGCTTGACAAGTCCAGGGTACCACGGATGAAATGATCGTTGTACTTAGCTAACTCTGTCACTTTTCCATTGATATGAGAACTGAGATGTTGGATTAATGTGGCACTGTCCCTGTCAACTAAATAGATGTTATTTTTTTTGTCCCTGCAGATGTGAGCATCGACGTTCCCGACACGCTGGACCTGACCGCGCTCCGTGGGACCGGCCAGCAGCCAGGGGAGGAGCTTCTGCCAGAGGTGGCACCACCCCCTCTCATGACCCCTGACGTGGAGGTCAAAGGTATCCTGGGTTCCCACAGCAACGAGGAGGACGACTCGCTCTACTCCCCACTACTGTGTCAGTCTGTCTGTCCTTTCTGATCTTCACTTCCTTCATTCCTTCCTTCATCCTGTCGTCCCATCGCCATCTTTTCCTTTCTTTTCTTCTTTCCCTCTTTTTTATGTTTTCTCCATGATTTTGTGTTTACACCTTTGAAACTTTGTTTTGCATTTTCAGTGAAGTGATGCGAGTTTTCATTTCAATTCTATGGTGGGAAAGAGACTTGGGTTTGCTCCTATTGTCCGGAATATGAGTTGAATATGGTTTGCCAACTTATGCTTTTATTTCGTTGGCCGTCTCCAAATGTCCAGTTTCTCAGCAGTTGTTAGGACCATTCATGACGTTCTTATTGTTGCTGTACATATGCTGCCGTCTGTAGAGTGCGTCCATATAATTAGACCCCCCCCCCCCCCCTCTCTCTCTCTCTCAGCCCCAGTCCTGGATGACTCTACCGTGTCCCAGTTGTGTGAGATGGGATTCCCACTGGAGGCCTGCAGGAAGGCTGTGTACTATACTGGGAATACTGGAATCGACGCAGCCATGAACTGGGTCATGGGCCACATGGACGACCCAGGTGGGTCACGGAGGATCAGTTGTTCCAAATATATAATCAAACACGTGTGTCTGTCATGGATGTAGGGCAATAAGTGGGTGCTGTTTGTAGAGAAATGTAAGTGATTCAATGAAATTGTATGGCCTGCCATGTGTTTGAACTTGAAGTAGAACCAATAGTCAGTCATTTCCAGCAACATTGTTACTCACATTTTACAATAGTAATTTCACGACAGCATGTAATTGATTTCATTATGTACGTTATATTCACGTTTCCTCCCCCTCTGTGATTGGCTGCAGATTTCTCCGCTCCCCTGGTGTTGCCGGGCACCAGCTCCGCTCCCGGGACCACGCCCACAGAGAGCGTTTCCGAGGAGCACCTAGCAACCATAGTCTCCATGGGCTTCAGCCGAGACCAGGCCACGCGAGCACTGAGGGCCACGGTGAGACGGTGTTTCCCTTACCCTTACTATGAATTGAATAAACTTGATTCAACTTTAATCAACTTTATTGAATTGAATAAACTCCCTTTCACGTCTAGCACTGCTGTAGTGACAGAACTCCTTGATGTAGCTTAAAATAAATAATACTATAACTGCAGAGAGATTTCGCTCAGGCTCAGTAGCTGTACTCATCTCGTGGAATTTACTGATATGATTAGACCTTTGGCACAATATACTCTATTCTAGCACACAGTTGAAGTTCACACATACATTCTTCATTTGTGCTGCTGGTCAGGTCTCCAACCTTTAACCAAGTGGTCTCTCCTATCCCTCTCCTCTTCCAGAGTAACGTCCTGGAGCGGGCCGTGGACTGGATCTTCTCCCACCTGGATGACCTGGAGTCCATGGAGGTTTCGGAGGGGGGGCGATCGGCCGCCGAGAGCGAGGGGACCAGGGAGCCCCCTCCTGGGCCTAAAGTCCGAGACGGACCCGGCAGTAAGTCAACGGGGAGAGGAGGGGGTTGAGGGGAGGGGGTCCAGTTTTGGTTGGACGTTTTGAACATATTTTAATATTCTCTTCAAAGCATCTGTATTTTGTTTTTTTTATAAGGGAGGCACGCACACCAGGAAATTAAAGGAATATGCTTAATTTTTTCCTTGAGTGCGTACCCTCAACATCTATTGATTAATGATTTTCCTCTTGTAGAAAGCACCCTCATAACAACTTTGGGATATTAATTGTTTTATGACGATGCGCACAGACTCCAAATTGTTGTCTGTCCATATCTTTCCATTTCAAAAACCCTCTGTATTCAAATTGATGTCAATTTGCAGTATAGATGCACACTTTCACTGATGTCTCTACTATGCATGTTTCTTCCTTTCTCTCCTCTATCCCTCACTCCTCTCCCTCCCCCTCCTCTATCCTCCTCTCCCTCCCCCTCTCTTCCAGAGTATGAGCTGTTTGCCTTCATCAGTCACATGGGCACAAGCACTATGTGCGGCCACTACGTCTGCCACATCAAGAAGGACCAACAGTAAGCGCCATTCTCTTTCATTTCATATAGAAGAAACCACTCCTTTACACACACACTTGATACATGAATGTCATTCTACTTAATACCCACTTCTGTGGTGTACAATGTTGCTATAGAGATTCTGTGGTTATAACAATCTAGACAAAGCTTTAAAGTGCTGTTTCTTGTCTTCTCATCATGTCTGTCGGCTTTTCCCTTTCTCTCCCTCTCCCCCTCTCTTCTCTCTCTCTCAGGTGGGTTATCTTTAACGATCAGAAAGTGTGTGCCTCAGAGAAGCCACCCAAGGACCTGGGTTACCTCTACTTCTACCGGAGAGTCACAGAGTGAACAGAGGGGGGCAGAGTTTCACTAAGGGAGGGGAAGAGGGTCGTTAACATGCACATATACACACTCAGTCACACACACTGAGCTACTAAGAATGCTCTGACACAAGCTTCTGAACTGACAAATGTAGGGTTTAAATAAATACACTTTTCCAACCGCTATGGACACAGGCAGATGGATGGGGTGTTTTTAAAGGAGAAGTCTCTTTTTTTGTCTCCACTTTACAATAAATACGGTGGTGTTGGTGGAAGGCTACTTGTGTACTCACCCCTTCTAAGTCTATACTCATCTTGCAACTGACACCAATCAACTCATGATAGATACTGGTATCATTATACAGTATCTATGGCAACAATGTTCCCACCCCCCCTCTTCCCTGAACAACATGCCACTCATCTCCTCTGCACTTATTGACTAGTGTCTGTTGTATTGTCATTGCTTCTTAAGCCAAGCACCGCCTCCCTTCTCTCCCCCTTCTGTGTTCCGACATGGCATTTTCATAATAAGTTCGGCATACACAGTAATAGCGAACAAAGTTAATAAAATACCAAAAAAATACAATAATGTGTATTTAAAACAACTAAATAAAGTAAAAATAAAAACGAAACCAAACTGGTTGTTCTTTCAAGTGTGGTGAGGGTGATATCTGGCTGATTTTTGTTTATTTTGCTAAAATGAATTCCTTTGTTACTTCTGCTCTGACAAATAAAGATGTCTTTCTGCCGCCCCTGCTTGTTGTGTGATTGTGTTGAGATGGATGTGATTGGTGACCACTTAGTGGCCCTGCTGCGATGGGTCCTTACATTCACGCTCTCCCTGAAGACCCAGGGACACCAGGTGAGTCATGGTGCTCCGCGCTGGTACCAGGCCACAGGCTCAACATCTTCATGAGGGCGGTTACATGCCAGGGACGCATGGTGAGAGTGCAACCATAGGTCTTGTCTTCATCACCGGGTGGGAGTGGGACCATTGTGTGGATTGGTTGGGGGTTAATTGGGTGATACCTGACACCATACTTAGTTTGGACTCATTCTACGTTTGCTGCTACTAGGCTCTTCTAAGAACTAATTTAGTAGTCTTTCAGATGTGTATATCTTCATGGCCACATGCCTGGAACACCCAAGACAATCCCACTGCAGAATATCAGTTGTGCCATTCGATTTGTTTGGTTGATAGGCCGGAAGTTTTGCCAATTATATGGCAAAACTGATAATAGCCTATTTGGTTTAATAGCGTGGTTTTATGTGGTAGATTTTTTAAAGTAGGCTACTATTGCTAATGCAAAAGTACCTACTATATTTACATTAGACGTTCAAGTGGTATTACTGTCAGCAATTTCACGTCATAAAGGATAATCACACAAAAGTATGTCACTCACGATACTTGTTAGGTAGTTATTTGCAGTCAGTCAGCGCAAATGCAAGGTTTCCCATAAACAGCACATTTTTCAGATTGCACCTTTAATAGTAAGGAGCACATTTCTTATGAAGTTGGGTCACTGTGGTGGAAGGTAAATACAGTATCAAACAAGGTGTTTGCAAAGAAGGCGCAGGCAAGTAGCATGCGTAAAACCACAATCTTTCCAAAATGCAGACGTTTTTCCGCTCGATCTCTTCACTATCCTCAACGCATACTCTGTCTTGAGTGTATTGTCGCGAAAGGACAAAGTTGAGTTTTTTTAAATCGGATTTTTGTATCCTAAGACGTTTTGAGAATCCATTTCAGGTAAATTACAAATCAGATCAGGTAATATTAATGTTCCCATACGTTTGTTGGAGCTAGTTCAGTTGCATGGGCTATATGTTTTTTTTTACCCAGAGAGGAGAGTTGTATTCTTTATTTTAAGGTGGGAAATGTTGAAGGTGAGAGGGGACGGGCAATCAACTTTTACCAGTTGAATGTAGACACAAATATAACACTTTTTTATATTACATTTTTTCTGAAATATTTTTAACAGACGCAATATCTCATATTAGCATATTGCCCAAATCCATTTTTCTGGACGAAGCCAGCGTAAATATTTTGGTTTCATTTTGTTAAAACACATCCGGACCTGACTAAAATGTGGTTAACGCAGAGGCTTCGTAGTTGGGGTGTGGGAAGAGTCTGACTTTCGGGAAATGGCACTTAATACACGGAATTTAGACTACCAAACACCTATTTAGACCGAATCACCATCTCTTCAAAGTAAGTTACTAAATATAGTCCAGTTTGTGACGTTCTCTATGAAATGGGCTTTTAAATTATGTGTAATTTAATGTAGTGAGAGAAAATATTGATATATGTCGATTTTAAAGTGTTTAAAATGGGTTAAAATGTTGATGATGGTAGTATGATAAACTAAAGAAAATCTAGATTTTTATCAAGTTTTTGACATTTGTATGTTTACTTTTTGAAAATACTAATATTAACTGATCAAAACACCAACAAATCTCAAAACTGATAGGTAGATGCAAAAATGTAATTTCAGCCTGTGGTGCCTGGCCTTAACACTGATGAATCACCACGATCAGTTGGCTATTATAATGTTCTGTAACACAAAGAAATGTAGGCTGTTTCATTTACTTAAATAATTATATATGTAAAAATAATAGTTATAGCAAATTAATAGTTCTTTATCAATAGTATATCGATTAGATATTGTAGTATAGGCTTTTATCGAGCAGGCATCTACTTTTTTTAACCATATTTTATTTGTTAGGCTACTTCTATGCAAATAAATAAACCATAGATTAACAGCCTACTCAATAGTCTACACAATATCAAACAATAATTGTCTGTAGCCTATCACTGTTTGTGAGTTAATCAATGTGATATAATACATCATAAAAATAAGAATCTAAGAATGATTAAGCTACTGAAATTTTGTCAGATGTTTTATTTGATTACAGATGGTTCATAATAAAGTTGATTCCTATTAGTAAATTACAGTACTTTTTAAAGTACCCTATAATTCACCTCTGTGACTAGCATGGTATTCAGACATAGGCTTTGTGGAATAATTTAATATTTTAAAGTTATCAAAGATAGTGTTAAGAATCATATCGATATCAAAAACCTGATGAAGTGAAATATCGATTTCAAGTAGGCATATAGTATCATTATAAATAAATGGGTCTTAATTTAATTAAGTTGGTCAAGTAAAAGCTGAGTATTGTAAAGTAGTAAAGCACTGCCCCAATTACTAAATACAGATCTAATAGATTATGTTATTATGATCAATCTGAATTAAACAAATAGTGAAAATGAGTTAATTATATACAATTACTATTTACTAAAACAATTGTGGAGTGATAGATGATTTATTCAATAAACCATCTTCGGAGGAATATCATTCTTGAAAACATGTAACTAATATTATACTGTAAATGATAATATTCAGTACCTTTGTTAAAGATTTTCAGGTAATTTATTTACTGGGTTCTCTATCCATGAACTATGAGTTATGGCACAAAGTTATTAGTATTTTGCTCTGATATAGACTAATGCTGTTCATATTTGAGTATTTTGATAATAATGGTGATGATGATTATACTCAATCACAATTCATTACATATGTTTTTTTTGTTATCAGTTAGAGAGGCCTATATGCTTATTAATGTTATTATATATAGATCTACCTGTTATTGAAATTTGTCAAATGTTTGGAGTAAGATAGAAAAGAGTCTAGCCCTGCTTAGAAAACTATCATCACACCTCTAATCATGCAATGAAATGTTTGACTCTTTTGACGGGCGGCAGGTAGCTTAGTGGTTAAGAGCGTTGTGCCAGTAACCGAAAGGTCGCTGGTTCTAATCCCCGAGCCGACTAGGTGAAAAATCTGTCGATGTGATTTTTAATGAATTTATTTGCAAATTATGGTGGAAAATAAGTATTTGGTCAATAACAAAAGTTTCTCAATACTTTGTTATATACCCTTTGTTGGCAATGACACAGGTCAAACGTTTTCTGTAAGTCTTCACAAGGTTTTCACACACTGTTGCTGGTATTTTGGCCCATTCCTCCATGCAGATCTCCTCTAGAGCAGTGATGTTTTGGGGCTGTCGCTGGGCAACACGGACTTTCAACTCCCTCCAAAGATTTTCTATGGGGTTGAGATCTGGAGACTGGCTAGGCCACTCCAGGACCTTGAAATGCTTCTTACGAAGCCACTCCTTCGTTGCCCAGGCGGTGTTTGGGATCATTGTCATGCTGAAAGACCCAGCCACGTTTCATCTTCAATGCCCTTGCTGATGGAAGGAGGTTTTCACTAAAAATCTCACGATACATGGCCCCATTCATTCTTTCCTTTACACGGATCAGTCGTCCTGGTCCCTTTGCAGAAAAACAGCCCCAAAGCATGATGTTTCCACCCCCATGCTTCACAGTAGGTATGGTGTTCTTTGGATGCAACTCAGCATTCTTTGTCCTCCAAACACGACGAGTTGAGTTTTTACCAAAAAGTTCTATTTTGGTTTCATCTGACCATATGACATTCTCCCAATCCTCTTCTGGATCATCCAAATGCACTCTAGCAAACTTCAGACGGGCCTGGACATGTACTGGCTTAAGCAGGGGGACACGTCTGGCACTGCAGGATTTGAGTCCCTGGCGGCGTAGTGTGTTACTGATGGTAGGCTTTGTTACTTTGGTCCCAGCTCTCTGCAGGTCATTCACTAGGTCCCCCCGTGTGGTTCTGGGATTTTTGCTCACCGTTCTTGTGATCATTTTGACCCCACGGGTTGAGATCTTGCGTGGAGCCCCAGATCGAGGGAGATTATCTGTGGTCTTGTATGTCTTCCATTTCCTAATAATTGCTCCCACAGTTGATTTCTTAAATCCAAGCTGCTTACCTATTGCAGATTCAGTCTTCCCAGCCTGGTGCAGGTCTACAATTTTGTTTCTGGTGTCCTTTGACAGCTCTTTGGTCTTGGCCATAGTGGAGTTTGGAGTGTGACTGTTTGAGGTTGTGGACAGGTGTCTTTTATACTGATAACAAGTTCAAACAGGTGCCATTAATACAAGTAACGAGTGGAGGACAGAGGAGCATCTTAAAGAAGAAGTTACAGGTCTGTGAGAGCCAGAAATCTTGCTTGTTTGTAGGTGACCAAATACTTATTTTCCACCATAATTTGCAAATAAATTCATTAAAAATCCTACAATGTGATTTTCTGGAAAAAAAAATTCTCAATTTGTCTGTCATAGTTGACGTGTACCTATGATGAAAATTACAGGCCTCTCTCATCTTTTTAAGTGGGAGAACTTGCACAATTGGTGGCTGACTAAATACTTTTTTTCCCCCACTGTAAATGTTAGAGAGAGAGAGAGAGAGAGAGAGAGAGAGAGAGAGAGAGAGAGAGAGAGGAGAAGAGAGAGAGATGAGAGAGAGAGAGAGAGAGAGAGAGAGAGGAGAGAGGAGAGAGAGAGAGAGAGAGAGAGAGGAGAGAGAGAAGAGAGAGAGAGAGAGAGAGGGCAGACTACTGTATTTTATTAAGCAAAAAGAGTTTAGAACCATAATTTGTAATAGTATTATTTACATTCATAGGTTCAAAAACTGTCAATCTCACAAAGTTCTATGCATTTCGCTTGCTGAATGTAACAAATGCTGTATTCATTTCAGACAATGTCAATGAAGACCTCTCCTGATGATGTTTGATAAAATCTACCGTACGATTGAAATATTAAATAGTATTCATTTACCTTACTTTTACACCTCAAAAACACACACACACACACCACAGACACAAGTCACACCCACACCACACACACACACACAACACACACACACACACACACACAACACACACACACACACAGTCTTGTACAGCTACCCTTGTGGGGACACACAATTCAGTCCCATTCAAAATCCCATTTTCCCTAACCCCTAACCCCTAACCTAACCCTAAAACGCACTCTTACCCTAACCCTAACCTTAACCCTAACCCTAACCTTAACCCAAAAACCTAACCCTAAACCTAACCCTAGCTCCTAACCCTAAAACTAAACCTAGCTCCTAACCCTAATCCTAATTCTAACCCTAACACTAACACTAATTCTAACCTTAACCCTAAACCCCCTAGAAATAGCATTTGACCTTGTGGGGACCAACAAAATGTCCCCAGTTGGTCCATTTCTTTATCCATTTACTATTCTTGTGGGGACTTCTGGTCCAAGAATAGTGAATCACGTCCACACACACACACACACACACACACACACACACACACACACACACACACACGCACACACACACCTCTCTTTCTCTCCCTTTCTCTTCTCTCTCTTTCAATTAAATTCAAAGGACTTTATTGGCATGGAAACATATGTTTACATTGCCAAAGCAAGTGGAATAGACACTAAACAAAAGGGAAATAAACAATCAGAAATTAACAGTAAACATTACATTCACAAAGTTTTAAAATAATATATACATTTCAAATGTTATATTATTGTCAATGTACAGTGTTGTAACAATGTGCAAATAGTTTAAGTATGAAAGGGAAAATAAATAAACAGATATCTCTCTCTCTCTGTCAATTCAATTTCAATTCAGTATGCTTTATTGAAATGGAAAGGTAATAATAAATAATAATACAAGTAATAGAAGTACTTTAATAATATTAAAGTGATTGCAGTACTCTCTCTCTCTCTCGCACTCTCTCTCTCCCTCTCTTATTCTCTCGCTCTCTCTCTTTCTCCGCTCAGCCCTGTGTATTCTCAATGTGGTGGGTGAGGTGGTCTACAAGAGAATGGGGCAGTCTGACAGCATCAAATTTGATTGTGGAGTCAAGACGTCTAACAAGGATGTAAAGTGGAGTCATAAAGCTGTGGATGGAATTGAATCTGTGCTGATTGTGGACATGAATGGGAAGAGTGGCACCATGCGGAAAGGTGGATAGAAAAGAGCTCGGGACAATATTTATGCCCAGTTCATTTCATGAAAAAGTTTCCCAAAATACTGCATAGATCATATACAGTATAGAAAATGTACATACATGGCCTTTTGTACATGTTCAGTATTGCTTGTCTTTTCCCCACGTAAGGAAAAGCTCCCATGGTTGAAAGGGCAAAGGTGAGAGGGGACGGGCTGGAAATCTCTGCTCTACAGGCTGGTGATGCCGGACTTTACATCTGTACGGTCGACAGGAGCAAGATGGAGCACAGACTCTACTTTGTCACAGGTGTCACTCCGCATAGGGTTATGGGGGTGTCTGGCAAGTGAATGTGGACACCAGTCCTGCAGACTAGCAGTTTTTATAGCAGTGATAGTGAAGTGATATTATTATTGCTAGTACATTTGAATGACCGCCTGAGCAGACCTGGGTTCAAATAATATTTGAAATAATTTCAAATGCTGTATCTGTGCTTGGTTGAGCTTCCATGTTGCAATGGAACCAATAGAAACTTCTCAAAAGTGCAATCCCCACCCACTTAGCACTCAAGGCAGGCTAAAGGAAATACTCAAAGTATTGGAAAGATTTCAAATAGTATTTGAACCCAGGTCTGCACCAGAGGTACATTCTAATGACAGAATTCATGTGGCGAAAGTTTCCATGTTCAACATTTCTCCCTCTCCCTATCTTTTCCTCCTCTCTTTCTTTTCATACTCTACCCCTCCCTCTTTATTTTCCCTCTCCCTTCCTCCCTCTCCCCCTCTACCCCCACCGTTGTCTGAACCAGTCACGGTCCACCCCTCCACTGTCCTCTTCCAGGGCACCAATGCTACCCTCGAGTGCCAGGTGACAGGAGTGGATCGCTTGCCCAGTGTGGAGTGGCTTAGTCCAGGTGGAGAGACGAAAGGGGCCCCTGGAGGACCTGGCTCTGGGAAGGTCTCTTTCAGCCCTGTGGCCCTGTCAGACACAGGAGAATGGACATGTCAGATTACTCAGGATGAGAAGACACACAAAGAGACTCAGACCATCAACGTGAAAAGTAGATAATAGGTGGTTTTGGTAGCATCCCCAATACAACCATGATAGTAATGAATATAACAATGCTTTTGTCTTTTATCGCTCAGGTTTGCCCCTCGAAGATGATGGGCAGGGGCACAGTGGACCTAACTCTGATGTAAACACAGCAACACCATGCAATCACAGTGAGTATCACTACTTTATGAACACTGAATACATCGTTTCATATTCATCATGGGAAAGGTATTGAAAGCTCCTACTTAATTAAATCTCTCCTTAACATTGGTCAATTCAGGGTGGGAGGAGAGGTTGTTAAAAAAGTAAAAAACTAAACGGTAAAGTGGTAAATTCCATCTCCACACCATTTGACAGATAGGGGACGAATCCTAACTTCAGAAACCAGTGTGAAATGCCACATTTTCGAGTCAACCGTGCATTGACGTCAATACAGAGATTTTGAGCTGAGTGCCACTTCAGGTCTTCGCTGAGGTGCTCCCTGGTTGTGTGTTTCTCAGGTACCAAATGCATCCAGCAGCCCATTGAGGGGGTGTCCATACTGGGCTTAAGCCTGTGGGTGTGGGTGGCAGTGGGAGCAGGGTGCCTGGTGGTGATCTTACTCCTGGTGACCATTGTTCTCCTGTACCGAAGGAACAAAAGAATGAAGGTAAGGAGACAGGCAGGAGGGGAGGGATCAATGAAAATCTCACTGCCAAACTTATAACCCAAATTGTTCTATAAGCATATATAGATCAATATATATATATATTTATTTTTTTTTGCCCGCGCTACAGACAGCTATATCGGTCCGCTAACACAGGACAAGTAAAGGCCAAGTGCACTACTGTTGTGAGAAAAAATATATTTACCTTTTATTTTTTATTCAGATTTTCCAGGGGGTGATGCAGCACCCTCAGCACCCCTACTTCTCGCGGCTAGGTCTATAACCCAATTAAATAATTATTTTGTTATATTCAAGTGGAGCAAGTGCTTGAACAGCCAATGAAAGAGAAAGACAATACATGTTTTTCTCCCTCAGAGAAGAGGCCGGAAGGTGAAGAACTACTGCCAGTGTAACCGGTAACTACTCTATTGCTATATCTAGTAGAATCATAGAAGGGAATTTCTGCACACTGTGTATACCTGCACAGTCACATAGACTAGTGGTTTTCAAACCTCCCCCTTTACAATTTTGTTGTAGCCCTGAACTAGCTCACCTGATTCGCCTATTCAAGTGCTTGATGATTAGTTGACAATTTGAATCAGGTTTGCTAGCTGTGGAAATCATAGTTAAAATAAATGGAACTATGCAATATAAAGTAGTTAATGATACATTATAAAGTTTAACATTGTAACACATGTATTTCACAGCACTCTAGAGGGTCCACCGCGGAGGACACAGAGAGAGAAGCCATCGGCTGTACCACGGCAACAGCGCTGATGGAGCAGAGTATTATGGGCTGGAACATGATTGATCGACGACACAGGGTGGATGGAAGAATGATAGAGAGAGAGAAAAGTAGTCTTATACAGTTAGAGAGATACAAGGGAAAGAGAGGGGGGGGGGGGGGTGAGATAATGTAAATGGGCTTATGTCTAATGATGAAATTATATAAACTGAAAATCATGTATTGAAGAAAGAAACCAACAATGTTATTCTTCCCTATATGTTATTGAATGTCATCTGACATCTTTCCAGCATTGTCAGACCATCCTCTACTGCATTGCATCTTTGTACTTAGATAATATTCAATGATTATTCATTTTCACACAAAGCCTGAGACTTATACTGTACGGTTTTAGAATGATTTTGCAATGATTCTTGTTGTTATATTGTTCAGTGTGGCATAGTATTTATTGTAAACTTTATTGCTGCTTTGGATATAGTATGGCTACTTTTCTAAATAACTGCATGTTATATTATGAATTGATATGCCTGTTAAATGAATGTGTTTTCTTATTGAAGTGAATGCAGATCATATAAACCAATAAAGCATATTTTTTTGTTTGATTATCGTCTCACTTTTAATAAGTATACTTTTTACTCTTACTTCAGCCTCCTATTATATACATTCTAGTGGCAATGTCAGTGGTTACATTTCACTAACTGGTGCAGTAGAGTGCAGACAGCTGTCAGTGACAATGTAGACTCCAACCATGTCGTGTGATGTCTTGGAGTGCAAGTCTAGTAAAAACAGTATGTGTGTGTGTGTGTGTGTGGACATGTTTAACTATAATGGTGGGGACCAGAAGCTCCCACAAGAATAGTAAACGAACACAAGTTTGACCAACTGGGGACATTTTGTTGGTCCCCACAAGGTAAAATACTATTTCTAGGGTGTTTAGGGTTAAGTTTAGAATTAGTGTTAGGATTAGAATTAAGGTTAGGGTTAGGATTAGGAGCTAGGGTTAGGTTTAGGGTTAGGGTTAAGGTTAGGTTTTCAGGTTAAGGTTAGGGTAAGAGTACGGGTTAGGGTTAGGGTTATGTTTAGGGTTAGGGGTTAGGGAAAATAGGATTTTGAATGGGACTGAATTGTGTGTCCCCACAAGGTCAGTTGTACAAGACTGTGTGTGTGTGTGTTTGTGTGTCTGTGTGTGTGTGTGTGTGTGTTTGTGTGTGTGTGTGTGTAGTGGTGGCAAAAGTACCCAATTGTCATACTTGAGTAAAAGTTAAGATACCTTAATAGAAAATGACTCAAGTAAAAGTGAAAGTCACCCAGCAAAATACTACTTGAGTAAAAGTCTACATTTGGTTTTTAAATATATTTAAAAGTCTAAGCTGTCTAAGATAACATATGGAGTTGTTTTAAGATGGTCATACCATGGATCTGTCACGAATTCTGCCGAGACTGCTCCTCCTCCTTGCTCGGGCAGGCTTCGGCGTTCGTCGTCCCCGGAGTACTAGCTGCCACCGTTGAATGTTTCGATGTTCGTTTGGTTGGGTCTGTCTGTTACACCTGTGTCCGTTTGGGTCTGATTATGTGCCCTATAAGTTTCCTATGTTGTTTTCGTTAGTTTGTGTGTTATTTTCCGCCTGTCCGTTGGTGTCACCTGTGCAGTACTCTGGACTTTGTTTTATGTTGACGCACTGTGTTGCGTTGTCGCTCGCCTCCTGGTTTTGAGGTCCTTTATTTTGTATTGTTTTTACAGTTAGTAAAGTCTTGTGTGACTCAGCCTATGCGTCCTGCGTCTGACTCCTCAACCGCATCCACATCAACACTGACAGAATAACACACACGCTATGGAGTCAGCAGGAGCAGCGGCGGCACCCAAGTCGCTGGAGGAACGGATCAGCGATCAAGACACCATGATCCGGCAACTTGGGGCCGCCATGAACGAGGTGTCCAACACTCTGCGCCGTTTGGTCACCGGAGAGGTGCCCACACCTTCGCACACCTTACCATCACCATCGGCCAGTCCTCCTCTCCCAGCACCGGAACCCAGTGGCATTCGGCTCTCGCTCCCGAGGGCATATGATGGTACCGCAGCCGGGTGTCAGGGGTTCCTCCTGCAGGTGGAACTCTACCTGGCCACCATACACCCGGCGCCCTCGGGATACGAGAGCGTCTCCGCCCTCATCTCCTGTCTCTCCGGCAAGGCGTTGGAGTGGGCCAACGCCGAATGGAGGGGAATAGACGCCGCCACCATCACCTACGCGGAGTTCTCCCGCCGCTTCAGGGCAGTGTTCGATCATCCACCTGAGGGGAAGGCGGCGGGGGAGCGTCTGTTCCACCTCCGACAGGGGAAGAGGAGTGCACAGGAGTTCGCCCTGGAGTTCCGGACTCTAGCGGCGGATGTGGGGTGGAATGAGAGGGCCCTCATCGACCACTATCGATGCAGCCTACGAGAGGACGTTCGTCGTGAGCTGGCCTGCAGGGACACCAACCTATCCTTCGACCAGTTGGTGGACATTTCCATCCGTCTCGACACCATGCTGGCTACCCGCGGACCTCCCAAATGGGGGTCGTCCATTCCATCCTCCAGCACCTCCGAGCCGATTCCCATGGAGCTCGGGGGTGCTGGCGCTAGGGAGAGGAGGAGAGAGAACCCGAGGGGGGCCGTCCCCTGCACCAACTGTGGCCGTGGAGGGCACACTGCGGCTAGGTGCTGGGGAGGGTCTCCTGGGAGAGGGGACAACAGGTCACACACTGGGGAGTCATTTCAGGTGAGTAGGCGCCCCACTTACCCAGAGCTCTCTGTTGGTCACCTGTGTATACCTGTGAGATTTCCACAGGTGGCACCTCATTCCCAGCCTAAGGCGCTAGTAGATTCAGGCGCAGCTGGGAATTTTGTTGATCGTGAATTTTGTTCTAGGTTAGGAATTCCCCTTCGGCCGGTGGAAGCCCCCTTCCCTGTTCATGCCCTAGACAGCCGGCCGCTGGGGTCGGGGTTGATTAGAGAAGTCACAGTACCACTTAAGATGACTACGCAGGAGGGTCATGAGGAGATCATTCAGTTTTATCTGATCGACTCTCCTGCGTATCCCGTGGTGCTGGGGCTTCCCTGGTTAAGCGCCCATGATCCTACCATTGCGTGGCAACAGAGGGCTCTTATGGAGTGGTCTGCCCAGTGTGTAGGGAGATGTCTAGGTGTTTCCGTAGGGGCGACCTCGGTGGAGAGTCCGAACCAAGTGCCCGCAATGCGCATTCCCCCTGAATATGAGGATTTAGCACTTGTGTTCAGCAAGACTAGGGCAACACGGTTGCCACCTCATAGACAGGGGGATTGTGCGATAGATCTCCAAACAGGAGCGGCACTTCCGCGGAGCCGTGTGTATCCCCTGTCTCAAGAGGAGACAGCGGCTATGGAGACTTACATAGCCGAGTCCTTGGAACAGGGATACATACGGTCCTCCACTTCCCCGGTTTCCTCGAGTTTCTTCTTTGTGAAGAAGAAGGACGGGGGTTTGCGCCCGTGTATTGATTACCGTAGTCTCAATCAGATCACGGTTAAGTACAGTTATCCTCTTCCTCTGATTGCGACTATGACTGAATCATTACGCGGAGCGCGGTTCTTCACAAAGTTGGATCTCAGGAGCGCGTACAATCTGGTGCGCATTAGGGAGGGAGATGAATGGAAAACAGCATTTAGCACCACCTCGGGTCATTACGAGTATCTCGTCATGCCATACGGGTTAATGAATGCTCCTTCAGTCTTCCAATCCTTTGTGGACGAGATTTTCCGGGACATGCATGGGCAGGGTGTGGTAGTGTACATCGTCGACATCCTAGTGTACTCTTCTACACGAGCCGAGCATGTAGCCCTGGTGCGCCGAGTGTTGAGGAGGCTGTTGGAGCATGACTTGTATGTCAAGGCAGAGAAATGCTTGTTTTTCCAGGAGTCCATCTCCTTTTTGGGTTATCGATTGTCCGCGTCTGGTGTGAAGATAGAGGTTGACCGTGTGTCTGCCGTGCGTAATTGGCAAACTCCAACCACTGTAAAGGAGGTGCAGCAGTTTTGGGGTTTTGCTAATTACTACCGGAGGTTTATCCGGGGCTTTGGACAGGTGGCAGCTCCCATTACGTCCCTGCTGAAGGAGGGCCCGGTGCGTTTGCAGTGGTCAGCTGAAGCGGACAGGGCATTTGTTAAACTGAAGAACCTGTTCACTTCGGCTCTGGTGCTGGCACATCCGGACCCCGCTTTACCATTCCAAGTTGAGGTAGACGCGTCAGAGGCCGGTATTGGGGCAGTTCTGTCGCAACGGTCCGGCACGCCACCTAAACTCCGCCCCTGTGCGTTCTATTCTAAGAAGCTCAGCCCGGCGGAGCGTAATTATGACGTAGGGGACAGGGAGCTGTTAGCCGTGGTTCAGGCCCTAAAGGTGTGGAGGCATTGGCTTGAGGGGGCTCAACACCCTTTTCTCATTCTGACTGACCACCGTAACCTGGAGTACATCCGGGCAGCTAGGAGATTAAACCCTCGTCAGGCTAGGTGGAACATGTTCCTGACCCGGTTTGTTTTTAAGATCACGTACATCCCAGGGTCCCAGAACGGTAAGGCAGACGCCCTGTCCCGGCGGTATGACACAGAGGAGAGGTCCATTGAGCCTACTCCCATACTGCCGGAGTCTTGTCTGGTGGCTCCGGTGGTGTGGGAGGTCGATGCGGAGATCGAATGGGCGTTACGTACCGACCCTACTCCCCCAGAGTGTCCTGTGGGGCGGACGTACGTTCCGCTCGAGGTTCGTGATCGCCTCCTCTGGACATCACCCTCCTCTGGACATCCAGGTATTGGCCGGACAGTGCACTGCCTTAGCGTGAAATACTGGTGGCCAACGTTAGCTAGGGATGTGAGGGTTTATGTCTCCTCTTGCTCGGTGTGCACCCAGTGTAAGGCGCCTAGACACCTGCCCAGGGGGAAGTTACATCCCCTGCCCGTTCCACAACGACCATGGTCCCACCTCTCGGTGGATTTTGTGACCGACCTTCCCCCCTCCCAGGGGAATACCACCATTTTGGTCGTTGTGGATCGGTTTTCCAAGGCCTGTCGTCTCCTCCCAATGCCGGGTCTCCCTACTGCCCTACAGACCGCTGAGGCCCTATTTACCCACGTTTTCCGGCACTATGGGGTTCCCGAGGATATAGTGTCTGACCGAGGTCCCCAGTTCACCTCCAGAGTCTGGGGGGCGTTCATGGAACGCTTGGGGGTCTCGGTGAGCCTTACCTCGGGTTACCACCCAGAGAGCAATGGGCAGGTAGAACAAGTCAATCAGGATGTGGGTAGGTTTCTGAGGTCCTATTGCCAGGGCCGGCCGGAGGAGTGGTCAAGGTATATCCCCTGGGCAGAGATGGCACAGAACTCTCTCCGCCACTCCTCCACCAATCTAACCCCTTTCCAGTGTGTGTTAGGGTATCAGCCGGTTCTGGCACCATGGCACCAGAGCCAGATCGAGGCTCCTGCGGTGGATGAGTGGATTCGGCGCTCGGAGGAGACGTGGAACGCTGCACATGTCCATCTGCAGCGGGCCATCCGTCGACAGAAGGCGAGCGCCGATCGCCACCGCAGTGAGGGACCGGTGTACGCACCGGGAGATCGAGTCTGGCTCTCGACTCGAAACCTGCCCCTCCGCCTGCCCTGCCGGAAGCTGGGTCGGCGGTTTGTGGGGCCTTTTAAAGTCCTGAGGAGATTGAACGAGGTGTGTTACAGGTTACAACTGCCTATTGATTATAAGAATATTAACCCCTCGTTCCATGTGTCTCTTCTCAGGCCGGTGGTAGCTGGTCCACTCCAGGAAGGTGAGATAGGAGAGACCCCTCCGCCCCCACTGGACATCGAGGGAGCTCCGGCGTACACGGTCAGGACCATCTTGGACTCGAGACGTCGGATGGGGGGTCTCCAGTATCTCGTGGAGTGGGAGGGGTACGGCCCGGAGGAACGGTGCTGGGTGCCTAGGAGGGATATCCTAGATCCATCCCTCCTGACTGAGTTCCACCGTGGTCATCCCACGCGCCCTGCTCCGCGTCCTCCTGGTCGTCCCTGAGGCCGGGGTCAGCGCACGGCTGGAGCCGCGCGTCAAAGGGGTTGGGTACTGTCTCGAATTCTGCCGAGACTGCTCCTCCTCCTTGCTCGGGCAGGCTTCGGCGTTCGTCGTCCCCGGAGTACTAGCTGCCACCGTTGAATGTTTCGATGTTCGTTTGGTTGTGTCTGTCTGTTACACCTGTGTCCGTTTGGGTCTGATTATGTGCCCTATAAGTTTCCTGTGTTGTTTTCGTTAGTTTGTGTGTTATTTTCCGCCTGTCCGTTGGTGTCACCTGTGCAGTACTCTGGACTTTGTTTTATGTTGACGCACTGTGTTGCGTTGTCGCTCGCCTCCTGGTTTTGAGGTCCTTTATTTTGTATTGTTTTTACAGTTAGTAAAGTCTTGTGTGACTCAGCCTATGCGTCCTGCATCTGACTCCTCAGCCGCATCCACATCAACACTGACAGGATCATTTAGAATTTTAGGTCCCCTTTAGGTATAAATTGTTATTGTTTAATAAAATATTGAATTTGGCCTTTACTACTATAGCCCATAGAAACACATTGAATAACACATTCACAAATGGCAAAAAAGACAGTCAAAAAATATATAATAAGGAATAAGGTTTTGAAGTGTCTGTCCTATATCTAGGAGATATAAGAAAGCTCAGGAAATATATATATATATATTTTTACACATGTTTAACCCCTTATTTTTGTTGGCACAAAACTACCTCCAAACTTCCATTCGTTTGAATGGGTTACCTTCAGATGAGTCCTGTGACACTTGTGGGGGTTGTAGAGCAAAACGGAGAACACCATTGTGTTCGTGAGAGTCTCCCCTTTCCATAGAGTTTCTGTAGGCCAAACCACTCGGACGCTACAGACGTTTTCTTGAGAAGACCAATTTTTATGATGTCTCATGGTCTGACAAACACCGCTGTAGCTTGGTCACCTTCCACCGCAGATGTGGAAGGTCGACATAGGCGGATGCGGTGGATTGAGATGCAGCCATGCAAAAAAACGGATATCTCTAGTTTAAACTGACAGATTTTGATGTGGATTTTTGTATTATGTTACTTAGATTGACGAATGGGTGCGTCAATAGACTCTTAAGAATTAAGTGTCAAAAGTAAATGTAATTGCTAAAATATATTTAAGTATAAATAATTTCAAATTCCTTATATTAAGTGAACCAGACAGCACCAATTTCTTGTTTTTTATTAATGTATGATAGGGGCTCAAATAGACATCTTTAAAACGAAGATGTTAAGTAATGTACTTGCCAAAATAGAGGAAGGATAAGATGTTTCAAATAAGTTTCATTGGACAGTGTCCAGAAGCACCAAATTTTACTTGGTTTTTAAAATGTATGGTAGCAAGTAGAGGATAACACTCAGAAATACATTTAAAAACGAAGAAGTAGTTTTAAGTTGTTACTAGACTTCACAATGTTTGAACATAAACCAGCTTGAGGTCCTATAATAAGTGTTCATTGACCCCCAGCCAAATGTAAGTGGTTACTTGTTGGGTGTCACGCAAATGTAGTGAGCTAAAAGTAAAAGCGTAAGTAAATGAGTTAATGTGACCTAGCAAGGCACTAAACCAATTGCTCCTGTAAGTGTCTTGAAAGAGCGTCTGCTAAGACTAAAACTTTAATGTGAAAATGATGGTATGTGTGTGCGCGTGTGCGTGTCTGTGTGTGTGCCTGTGTGTGTGTATGTGACACAGAAGGCACCAGTGAGAGGATCAGAGGGGAGTATAGTGCAGTCTAGCTTCCTGTCTCCCTGTGTGTAACAGTGTGTACAGTCTGAGTGATGTCAGACCTGATCTCATCTCTCCACTGAGAGCATCAGACTGGTGAGTACAGCATTACTATATGTGTTTTTCACACTTATGATAAAGATGGATTTGTCAGACTGAGGATAATGTAGAAGCACATTTTTATCTAGAAAAAAAACCCCAAGTTAATTCACAGTGCCAGTACTAAGAATTGTAATAACATTGGACTAAAGGAATCCATAGCTATGGATGAGTGGGACCCAGAGTCATATAAACGTTTATCTATCATATATTCTCTGGTGGTACCCAATGTGGTTTGGAGAATTTGCACAATGACAAAAAGACACAGGGTCTCATAATACAATGTTAGTGGAATAGTGTGTGTTGCATGGAGGTTTAAGAACATAAGAAAACGGACTTGTGAAATACCTGCCAATATTTCGCAATATGGTTTTGACGTAACTGTAAACGAGTATATGGTCATTCCACTCACATGACCAGCTGTAGGCTGGACAACTGCCTGAGATACAGTACATGTATATATTGTTTACAAGTGCATGGAGCTTAGATACTGCTGGAACCATATAATGGAAGATATAATGGATTATTGACAATAACGGTTTGAGTGTTTGTAGGCTACATCCAACAGAATTGACACATGCAGGTTATGTAGAATATACTGGAACAAACCTTGCCTAGGTAGGCCTGTTACAATCCCCCCAAAAAGGGGTTATCTCTTATTGGAGCAGTGGTTAGCAGGTTTTGCCTACAGGCTGGAAGACCTGGGTTCGAGACCTGCAAGGGGCATTACATTGTCGGCGTTTGCAAAAATTGCAGGATTGGTGGCAGTGGTGGGATGTTGCATTGGAGAGGGTCTTGGTATAGTGAAGCGTGGGGACAAGTTCTACCGAATGGAGCGGATAGTGTAACAAACCTTGCCTAGGTAGGCCTGTTATGATCCCCCCCCAAAAGGGAGCAGTGGTTAGCTGTTCTGCCTATGGGCTGGGAGTCCCGCAAGGGGCGTTACACTGTTGCCATTTGCTACAATAGTGATTTAAACAATTCTCACACCTTTTTTAGATGCTTCCAGAGATTTAATGACATAATGTGTTGAAGATTGTATTTTTCAGGCATGTTGATAGTATTGCGTGACGGCTGGCCAGTTGCTATTTGATGTAAATTGTATGATTGCTATGAAGTCAGTGCTTGGTGTGAGTAAGTACACTAATGTGTGTGACTATTGATTAGCCTATAGTGTATGCAGAGAAGTCAAGTTGGTGTATATCTACTCTGATTAGGTCGTAATCTAGACTAGGCCCGCTGTAACAAAAACAAGTGTGTTTACAATAGTAGTAAGATTTGCATTGGGTATGCCATACCTATTTGGTAAAACATGTACTTGTAGCATAGTGTAGCCTAGGTTTTTGTGTAGTACTTTGATTCTGAATCTATATTGAGTCATTATTACTGATGGTACCCCTTTAAGACTTTTATTGTGAAGCACTTAATTATTCCCAGAAGTGACCTGTGTGTGTCCAGAGTGAAAGAGAAGAGCTTTGATGTTGATCTAATTCCTATTTGGCTGCGTTCTTGTGATCGGAGAACTAATACAAGATAAAGTACTTTACCCTTTGTAACCATGAGTTAATTAATTTAAAGATCCACAAATCCTCCGGAGGAGATTTCATATAATATCCACGATCAAGAAATGTAATTTACAATAGCACTTGAGTTTGTAAAGTTCTAAGTATTTGTAAGGTGTAATGTAGGCCCATACATATACTGTACAATATGTACAGCTCAGTATTGCTGAGGAGAGTTACAAGTTCTGTCAATCGATGAGGGCTGAAGCCAAGGAAACAACAGCAACATGATACATGAACATCTTTGGGTCATGTCCCACCTAAAGCTGTTTGATTTTCTTCCTGGTAGTAGCGCAGACTTTAGCTGTGTTCAAGTAGGAACTGGATACGGTTCACCAGTGGGACCCTCCTTACTTATCATTTGGGAAACAAGTAGCAGGCATACAAGTAGCCAGGATAGCAGGGTTGAGGTCAATTCAATTTTTATTCAGTCACATAGAGAAGCATTGAGTAAAATTGGATTAGGATTGGAATTTCAGTTTATTCCTGAATTGACTGAATTGAAATGGAATTGAGCCCAACCCTGAACGGTAGTATTTTTCACTATCGTTTGGAAAATAATGTTTAGGCCTACTAGGGACGGTCCGCAAACTCAATCACTAAAAAGGTTTATTTTAAATGTTAAGGAACATGAAGATGGTCATGTGAACGAACACAACATTATAGTCATGTACCTGTTCAAAGTAATCACAATCTGTCACTGTCACAATCTTACATTTGTGTTTCATTCCAAATGGATGCCAGGAAAGGACAGTCCATGAGATCAATATGATATTTTCAAGATATACATTTATACGATTGTTTACTAAAACTCAAATGAAAACAAATCATTCATTGGGTGGGTATATCATTAAGTTGAAATGTCCATTGAACAACAGGAAACATCCCAGCTTGTGCTGATAATATTAAAAAGCAGCCAAAATGATCAGGTTATTCAGTTGCAATGCATACACAGAATCTACTACAATTCAATATCTATAATCCTGTCAGCCGATATTTAGTCAAGCTCAAAACACGTTAGTGGATTATATCTGTAACACTTTATTTAAAGGTCCGCTAAATAGCTAATAAACTATTACTTGGTTGTAAATCATAATATGTCACTAATTCATGTATTTGTTAACATATATTTACAAATACCTGTTGTCATATACAGTATAAATCAAGAACGGAAAGTTATGCACATGTATTTACGTCATGGTCAACTAACTATGTAACAATGAAGATAAGCAATTTAGGCAGACCTTAAAATGTATTATTATAAAATGTTACGATAGAATCATGGATTTGGAATACTCAAGTTGGTGCAGTCTTCAATCCAGACGCATTTAGCCCCAGGGCTGCAAATCCCAGCAAATGTAATTCTGAAAACGGAATTCACAATAGTACACTCAAACAGAAATGTACTTTTCATAAAGTACTATTTTTCAAATGGTATACATTGTACTTGGATTTGCACATCACCCTGTGAAGTGAGTAAATGTACATACTTCTATGGATTTACGGTATGACTTCATTGTGAATACATTCAATGCTATAGTATTCACCCCACATTTTCATCCAACATGTAGCCTAATCAGCAAAGTATTTTATAAAGCCACAATATGCACCATTCAGATATTCTGATATTATTCAGATATTCTGTTTAGAATATTTACTTACATTTCATTGGTTTGGGTTACTTGTATCTAATTGTGGGCCTAAACTGTAGTGTATATTACAGTAACACTAACCAGTACAGGTTTCAGTCTGATTTCAGTCATTGGACACTTGTGTAGCTTAAGCTACTAGTGTAGTTTACTGTTACGACACGTACAGTATACTTGAGTACTGAAGAGCACTACTGACAACTCTGGCCTATTAAAGGAATTGGTGGATGCCTATGAACACAAAAGGAGAAAACCTGTTCAGTTAAAGTAAGACAGACTTTACACACATATTGTGTTATCAACTATATCTATATTTTGGTATTTTCTTGCAGGTGCATTGAAAAAATTGAGAACAGCCATTCAGGCTGAGGCAGGTGCTTCCTTTGGTTAGTCACTAGAAATATTCTCATGTTTCCAATACTGTGCAAGCGAGGGATACTTTTCATAATGTGACACAAGGATTCCCTTGTTCATACTTTCATAAACATGACTAAAATCTCTCTCTCTCTCTCTCTCTCTCTCTCTCTCTCTCTCTCTCTCTCTCTCTCTCTCTCGCTCTCTCCGTTGATTAGTTTTCTCCATTCAAAGTAAGACTGAGATATTGTGTTTGACATTTGGTCCTCCCTCTTGTGTTTCCACTTGGGTTGTCATTTTTAATTCTAGCAGACATACGTCAGCTTATGACAAGGTTTTTATGGTGATTACAAAACATAATTTCACCCGATTCACAACAAGTGTTCGATGTGGTTTGCTAAAAATACCCCATGCTAAATTATTTTGGCAATTGTTTCATAATTCTGATGTTTCAGTAATGTGACCTTCTTTTCCTTATTCACCTGTAGAGAGCTGAAAGCTCTCTCGGATATGTTTAAATACAGACAATTAGATATTACTTGCTTTTATTTAAACATTTTACTGTGCACTTTACTGTAAACATACATTGAGTTGGAGTAAGTACATTGGAGTTCATACATTGGAACAAGTAGTTTTCATGCAGGACACTTAACAGTGCATTCGGAAAGTATTCAGACCGCTTCCCTTTTTCCAAATTTTCTTAAGTTACAGCCTTATTCTAAAATTGATTAAATAAAACATTTTCCACATCAATTTACACACAATAACCCATAATGACAAAGCGAAAACAGGTTTTCAGAATGTTTGCAAACGTATTAAAAAATAGAAATACCTTATTTACATAAGTATTCAGACCCTTCGCTATCAGACTCTAAATGTAGCTCATGTGTATCCTGTTTCCATTGATAATCCTTGAGATGTTTATACAACTTGATTGGAGTCCACCTGTGGTCAATTCAATTGATTGGACATGATTTGGAAAGGCACACACCTGTCTATATAAGGTCCCACAGTTGATAGTGCATGTCAGAGCAAAAACCAAGCCATGAGGTCAAAGGAATTGTCCGTAGATCTCCGAGACAGGATTGTGTCGAGGCACAGACCTGGGGAAGGATACCAAAACATTTCTGCAGCATTGAACTCCCAAGAACACAGTGGCCTCCATCATTCTTCAATGGAAGAAGTTTGGAACCGCTAAGGCTCTTCCTAGAGATGGCCGCCTGGCCAAACTGAGCAATCGGGGGAGAAGGGCCAAGAACCCGATGGTCACTCTGACAGAGCTCCAGAGTTCCTCTGTGGAGATGAGAGAACCATCCAGAAGGACAACCATCTCTGCAGCACTCCACCAATCAGGCCTTTATGGTAGAGTGGCCAGACGGAAACGACTCCTCAGTAAAAGGCACATGACAGCTCGCTTGGAGTTTGCCAAAAGGCACCTAAAGGACTCTCAGACCATGAGAAACAAGATTCTCTGGTCTGATGAAACCAAGATCGAACTCTTTGGCCTGAATGTCAAGTGTCACGTCTGGAGGAAGCCTGGCACCATCCCTACGGTGAAGCATGGTGGTGGCAGCATCATGCTGTGGGGATGTTTTTCAGCTGCAGGGATTGGGAGACTAGTCAGGATCGAGGGGAAGATGATCGGAGCAAAGTACAGAGAGATCCTTGATGAAAACCTGCTCCAGAGCGCTCAGGACCTCAGACTGGGGTGAAGGTTCACCTTCCAACAGGACAACGACCCTAAGCACACAGCCAAGACAACGCAGGAGTGGCTTTGGGACAAGTCTCTGAATGTCCTTGTGTGGCCCAGCCAGAGCCCGGACTTGAACCCGATTTAACATCTCTGGAGAAACTTGAAAATAGCTGTGCAGCGACGCTCCCCATCCAACCTAATATACAGGTGTGCCAAGGTTGTAGCGTCATACCCAAGAAGACTCAAGGCTGTAACTGCTGCCAAAGGTGCTTCAACAAAGTATTGCGTAAAGGGTCTGAATACTTATATAAATCTGATATTTCCGTTTTTAATTGTTAAAAAAAAATTGTTTTCTTTGTCATTATTGGATATTGTGTGTAGATTGATGAGGAAAAAAGTAATGTAATAAATGTTAGATTAAGGCTGTAATTTAACAAAATGTCGAAAAAGTCAAGGGGTCTGAAAACTTTCAGAATGCAAAATACATAAAATTCATCATTTTACAGCATGAAAACACAGAGGTTTCAAAAGGCCTTGAACAAAGTTTACCTACATGAACTGTGTATTGCAAAAAAGATGCTTTCACAATCGTTTAAGAAAATGTCACGTTTGTTATTCTTAGCCTCTCTTTCCACTGACATTTAACTGTTATTTTTTTAAACACAAGAAAAGAACAGAGTTAAAGTATGATTGAATGGGACAGAAAACGCAAAGGGAACAGTACCAGGTACCTCCCCATCTGTCTTGGTCACAGATCTCTTCATGTCTCAGTTCGACTGCCTTCCGTAGCAAACATACAACCAGGCGCTCCAGTGGCCGAATGGACCATCAGATATCTGATGTGTTAGAGAGAGAGAGAGAGAGAGAAAGAGAGAGAAAGAGAGACTCAATGTATAGGAAAGAGGGGAACATCTTAAGAGGAATTAGGGATGTCTCGAAAAACAATTCACCCCCTCTTTTCTCCCTACCCCCCACACTATCTCTCATTCTCTTTTTGGTAATGACTTTGTGTGGTGTGTGCACAACACCTTCAAATCGTTAGGTCTCTGACTAACGAGGGAGTCCTCACTTTCAGGTGTTTTCCACAGGAGATTCTTTGGTCAATTTTTTATCATGTTTTCTCATTCCCATGCTGCATCAGAAAATATAATTACAACAAACTTTGCATGTTTGGTAATCTGAGACAACATGTGTGTATTTCTATGAGTCTTTGCATAACATATCTTACTGTATTTGAACTTTGAACTGCTTTTGCCGTCTTTCACATTTTTTGAGTGAGGATGATGGTGTCCTTGAACCAGTACATGTTCGACAGAGGTCCTGCGCCTAACTTCTGTATTGATGTGTAGAGTGTTAGTAAAACCGTTATCAAGACCTTTATTCATGCATCATTCTAAAGTCCTACCAAAAGGCCCAAGTAGGTGATAATTCAGAGACAGGGAGTGTTCAACCCTTTTTTCAGTTAATCTCAGAACAGAGCGAGGCAGACAAAGAGAGCATGAAAGAATGCAAACCTCAGAGAGAGATGAGACGTGAGTGACATGTTTGTTTAGTGCTTGTTGTGGTTCTTGTCTCCAAACCACCTGAGCAGTGTTTCTCTAGTACAGGTAACTCTTCAGTTGAACAATGGTTTTAGTGGCCATAGAACATCAAGGCATTTGTAGTCAAACACACATTCTTCATGGTGCTAGATAGAAAACAGGTTCTCGTTAGAAAACACTATGATAATTCTTGCCCACACTCAAATGTACAAACACATTGTGAACCTTTGTCAGGTCAACCTTTTTGTCCTTGCCTATATATTTAACTTAAAAGATGGTCTTGGATTGTTAGACAGTTTCTTTGGGGCATTTTGCAGACGCTTTTATCCAGAGCAATTAGGGTTAAGTGCTTTTGCTCAAGGGCACATTGACAGATTCTTCACCTAGTTGGTTCAGGGATTCGAACCAGCGACCTCTCGGTTATTAGCCCAACACTCTTAACTGCTAGGCTACCTGCCGCCTATGTTCTCTTTCCCATAAAGACACAGTAAAGCCAACATACTATTTGATTGCACGTTGGATACTTTTTGTTGTTGACTTTTAGGCTGCGATGTCTTTACCAACAGTCTTGAAATGCCTTTACGTGGACAAGTTACGCGAGCACACCTCAAGTTTATCTCTAGACTTCAGCTCTAAGAGTTTCATATACAGTAACTTGTAATGCAGGTAGCTAGGAACATATAGATGAACAGGTGGTATATGGGGTTCTGGGGTTCTACTGTAGTATTGAGTGCAGACATGATCCCACTTTCTGCAGAGCTACGAACTAAGGTGGGTATATACAGCATGGGGAGGCACATGTGAAGGGCACACAGGTGTTTCTTCCAAGACAACAGTTAGAACCTGCTGGGCTTTAAAGAAAAGTAACCAAATAGGGTACGCATTAGACTCAAGGGACTTGCTATTGCTTTGGGTTTTATATTGAACTTAGTAAAACATGCAATCATAGTTGTAGAGTGAAACAGAAAAGTGCCATCAAGCTTCCATTCACTTTATTACATTTAGTTAATCTTCATTGAGGTAGCATCGATTAATGATTATGCATGACTCTTTCCAAAATGTAGTGTAGATGTTTGGACTTGAAAGAACATTTTTGATATTGGTATATAGTACTCGATCATTTGTGTCAGAGTTATTTCAGTTATCTCAACTCTTTCTTGTCGAAATTGTGCACCACCAAATTTGCCTAGAGGTGAATTTTACATAGCTTAATACATGAATCGAACTTGACATTGATTTAATAGAATAGATCATTGTTATTCTCAAAGTGGAATGAGGTTCATAATGTAGGAGATTGTCCTCACACAGGGCACCAATTGGAAAAGGTGTGTTAAGAATGACAAATTATGAGTTATGTACATGAGTTTAGAATCATTGTGAAGAGGTTTGAAGTAATTTTATTATCTTGTAAAAGTTGTGACTCTGGGTTGGGAATTGAATATCAATGAGTACATTGTTCAAGGTATATGTCTAATTATGATTAACAGTAGCACGACTATGTGGTCAATATTAAATACATAGCCTACTGATACATTCACATCAAATCTGTGTGAATATTTCAAGATGCAATCTACAATAGTTCCTGCTGTTCAATGGTCATTTCAATTAATTATATAGTCTACGTTCAACTGCTCTTATTCATGTACCCAATCTCGTGACGTTACCGTGTTGCTTTTACCAACAAAAAAACAATCAACCAAATCACATGAAATATGAATTCTTCTTTAAATTATTAACTTGTTAATGTGTGGAAATGTAGGCTACAAATCTGTTCATGAATTTGTGGGTTAATGATTACATTTCATAACCAAAAATGGTCTGATGGTGGTCATTGGAATAAGGATGGATTATGCGCTTTCAAAATGGATCCTGCTAAATATGGTGTTATCTTTTTCAAGGGTTCAGTACCACAGATTCATTGGCCAGGTCCATTTGTCTTGGCTTTCAGTGGTCAGCTTTTTTGATTAAGCTTTTTTAGAGCATTATTATAAGATCTTAAATCTGATGCTTTGTTAAACGTTGTTTATTTCAAAGGCCTAGGAATCTGATTTAGCCCTATAATCGGTACACCTAGTTAACCTTTTACTGCAGTGGGCTAAATCAGGGTCACACAGAGTGTTTCTTGGTAGTCTTGAACAAATCTACTTTGAAATAAAGTATACACCTCACACACGGTTATCGGCTTAAAAAAAGAAGACACCTGTACCATGTCAGATATAGAGTTGAAATGTATTCCATTTTGAGTTTGCATCCCAATATTACACTTTATATACATCACAGAATACTGAAATAAAACAAAACCGTTCGTCATAGAAACACCGGATTTTCGGCATTAAAAAAAGGTATGATTATTAATTTTGAAATTATGAAAAATATGAATAACATAATTTAACTCCAGGAAAGGGCTACATATATATATATATATATATATATATATATATATATAACGACGTCAGTTTTGGTAATTTTACGGATTGAATAAACATGAGCTGCAGCCACCCAGTTTCATGTTTAATCTGTTGTTTGATTATATACAATGAAACAAGAGAGATACGTATTTGTTTGTGTTTCTATTTTGCTTGTTTCTCTCTACCGATTTAAGTTCTGTCTAATGTAGATGAAACCTGTGACTGAGCAAAACATTTGCAATTTTATGGCCCGAGTGAAGCAGTGTACGGTGTTAGGGGGTTGCCAAATAACGACTGGCATAAGTAAATCAAATAGACTGACTATTGTTGACATGTGGGTTAAAATAATATTGATGATGATAATAACAATGAAGATAATAATAATGGTTAAAATAATAACTATTATGTAGCCTATTATGTTATTGCGGGCTGTTACTGCGCTAACATGCTAGCGAAAATTTTTGCTAAGATAGTCCACCCTTTCTTCAGCCAATTAAAAATGTCATTGTTTTAGTCTTAATGCACTTGACCAATAACTGTACATTTCCTGATTCTTTTTAGGCCAATCAGTAGTGAGGGAGGTGCAACAGGGTTTAAAAGCAAAGTTGTTTCTCTGAAAATCAACATTTCCGCCTGGCTCTTCATCATCGGCGAGGGACTCTCAACGCTATCCACTGAACGTAAGTATAGAAAAGGATGTTAACTAAGATGCTAGATGTAATATGGTATAATAACACTCTATGATCATTGATTTGTGGTAAACAATGTAAAAGTATTGATGTAATAACTCTATTAATCATTGTTATGACTGCTCGTAGTAGACCATCAAGTGTCTAAATCAGACAACTATCTTTACAGAGAAAACATATATAGGTTTCTTTTGCATTCATGAATGCAGAATATTGTAATAATTATTTCACCTTCATAAAATGTTACATGATGTCCTAGTGCGTATGCCCGCTTTGCATTTACAGTAAACTAAAACCTGTTAACTTAACCTTAAACTAGAATAAGAGAGGTAACAAGTGCGTTTCAGATAAATGTTGAAATAGTGGTCAACCAAATGTATTTGTCCACTGATGTATTCACCTGTCGTGCTACCACGGTAAATAGACATTTCATGGTTTCATTGCCATTGTATTTTACAACGTTTCGCAGACATTTCATGACGACTTTTTAATGTACTGTAAAGGCCCTCTCTGAACTGATGCTCTCAAATCAGAGACACTCCTCTTTGCACTAGGCCTATCTGGTCCCATTGAAAGTCAATCCCTTGGCTTACAGAGGTGACATGGCTAACACACACCTTACATACAAGTCATAAAGGTTCAACATTCATACTCATATTACTTATACTGATAAGCCTTATGGGGAACAATGATTTAGTCCGATTTTGCATTCCATCATATGTTTTGTACTGCGTACAATTAATTTGCAGGGATCAGAGTTCCAACACCTTAAAATGGGAGACAATTCTGTAAGATTATTCCTTCACCTTTTTACATAGACTGAGTGTGGGTATGGATGTGGGTATGCAGACCCGCGAGCCACTGTGGCCCCTCATAATGAGTTCAGATTGTTGGTGGCTCCCACCCGCATCAAAGTTGCCCATCCCTGGTCTAGAACATCAAAGGAGGAGCAAACATGTTCAAAGGTTTGGGATCCGCAAAAGATTGCCCAATTGAATCACATATAGTAACACACATTTCCAATTTCCCAAACAACATGGATCATCTGAGTCTCTTTGCGGGTAGAGCAGCAGCTCATCATAACAGGAAACTCTCATCAGAGAATATAGATGCAGAACTCCCTCAAAGGGCAACTATCTTAAAGGGTAATACATGTCTTATGACTCTATAGGCTCCCAGGCTATTCCACCGCCATTTTGTCAAATGTAAACAAGCTTTCTGTAAGGCAAAGAGCTAACAAAGAGGAGGAGACAGACTAGGAGCGGTGAAAATCGGCATTAAAGGGATTAGAAACAGAGAAAGTCTGCATTCAGTGAACATCTGTGCCGGTATACAGCACCAACAATACCATCTGGTTACATGACTCTCTTAGTCGATTGAGATAGGTCCCCAGCTCAGAAACTATGAGTTACGCAAATGGATTTCAAGTTAGGATTCAGAACTTTCAGGAGCCTTGTGCTACATATGTAGGATCTTAATTTGAGCCAGTTTGCTACAGCAGGAAAATTATCCCATAGCAACAGGACATCGTGAATTATTATGTGGATTATAATTAATGGACATTTTTGTAAGGGATTGATTAAAAAAATTGTTAGGGCAAATCAAGTTAGACATTTCTAAGTGGAAACTATAAACTTTAGAAGCCTTTGAAACCTCAAATACACTAAACGTTTGCATTTCCTGCTGTGCATGACAATTCTCAGCAACAAAAGACTGATCAAATTAAGATCCTACATCTGTATAGTTGTAATAGCCGTGTTTCAGTGAATTGTTGCTCATGTCTGTGCCTGACTGGGCACAGATGTCAGCTCAACATCTAATTTTGATTTACATTTGGATGAGTTGTCAACTAACGTGAATTCAACAAAAAAATTCACCATCATTGGCTTTAGGTTAAATGTTGGGTGAAAAAAATTCCCTTACGTTGATGACTTTTTGCAAATTCAAACAGTTTTACACGCTGATTCAACGTCATCACATTTAATTATTTTGTTGAAATGATGCGGAAATCATTTTCTTCAGCCAGAGTAATGAGACATTATATCAGTAGCTAAATTATAATGCGCTCCCAGAAAAAGGAAAATCGCAGGCTAATTTGAGAGATAACGACACACACTCCCACTCCTTGTCACAGAGAGGAAAGTGCTGCACTCGTTCCCCTGACGTGGCCAGAATAAACCCACGTTTGTCTGAAGGATCCTTGGGTGTGATATTATAAAAAGTGTGATGGTGATTGTAGGTCTTTGCCTGTTTCTGAGGATGTATGAGCGTAGAGTGCATGAGTGTTGTGAGTCTGTGTGGGTGTCTTTGTGTAGGAGAATACTTTGTGTAGTGTGTTTGAACAGAGGGCCTGTGTGTGTGTGTGTGTGTGTGTGTGTGTGTGTGTGTGTGTGTGTGTGTGTGTGTGTGTGTGTGTGTGTGTGTGTGTGTTACTGACTGACTAAGTACAGTAACCTAAAACCTAGGCCATTGAGTACAGCTTTAAAGATCTCCCTCTTTATGAAAACCATTTTAAAAAAACACAAATCTGAAAGGCCTGTGTACAAAAAGGTGGTCTACTTAGTATGCCTGGTCAGGTTTAGGAGGTGACGTGATGCTCAGTCACTGGACCAGTTATATCGCTTGCTGCAGGAGAGTACAGGCTTCCCCTGTTCCTTCAAGAGGAAAATAACTTTTCTATTTCAGTTACTGTAGCCTGTCCCTTGGGCAAAACACCAGCTTCCGTCGTAGCACCAGTGAAGGACCCCTCTGGCATTGCAGTATCTCTGAAATGTTTAAGGGCTCAGGAAACTGTGATCCCCTTGTGGCAGAGGTGAAGAACCTCCCACTGCCATTGTTCCTGCCTCATAGCAGGACTCCTCAGGCAATTCTGTAGTCAGCCCATATCTCAAGATAGCACTCAGGAATCAGAAGATGTGTTTCAATGTGCTGAATCCGAACATGTGGAAACTCTCTTAGATATTTCTGTTGGATGTTTCTTTGGCGATGCAACAGCTCTGGTCACCAGCCCCTCAGGCAATGCAGTACAGTAGCCTTTGATAAGGAAGGACCCCTCAGGCAATACGGTAATCAAAGGTGTCCTTCTCCATGTAGTCAGTTCAGGTAGAGGAGGGCATGCTGCGGTAAGGGTCGAGCAAGATACGGAAGCAGCGTATTATCAGGAGGCCCAGGACGAGGAAGAGGATGAGGACAAAGATGAAGGCTGCCTTCGCCTCCAATGTCAACAAAGAGGACGAGGACAGGTCTGATTCAGAGGCAGTCAGGGTACTGCTCAGGAAATCCTCATCCATCTTGGGCAAAGTTGGGTCACTGACAAACTCTCCCTCCTTCTTCACCCTCACCACCCGTCACACAAGCACTGAGGAGGGCATCTCGGTGTGGTAGGTAGAGGGATAGTGAAGCTGCTGGCGCCTGCCAGGCGACAAGTCAGCTCTCCCACGCTGCCTCTCTTTACGCGAAAAATCGTCATGCAGACTTGTGCCCTCATGGAGATTCCGTGCAGTGGATAATTAATACTGAGGTATTAATTTGTGATACTTCACTAGGCTAAAACAAGGTTTACTCTTTCATTCGTGTCGGTCAACCACTGAAAACATAAATGTGTCAAACTTTGTCTGCCTCTTCTTTTCCATTTGGTGGAATTTCAACCATGCTCCGTCTTCTCTGCTTCCCACCCCTCCTCGTGCACTTCTCCAAAAGACTGGATATATATTTTCCCCCATGTAATAATTATGTGGGCGCTTATATTTGTCCTATTTCACACATGTACAAGTGTGTATTATACACGTGTGAATAGTTTTTTTGCATATCCCAACTTCCCAAGAGACACCCTCAGAGAGTGGGGTCACGGCCAGCCATTATCAACAGCTACCCTGAAGCAATTAGGGTTAATTGCCTTGCTTAAGGGCACATCAACAGATTTTTCACCTTTTCGGCTCAAGGATTCAAACTAGCAATCTTTCAGTTACTGGCCTAACGCTCTTATGGCTAGGCTACCTGACGCCCATATGGTAGCACTTACCCTGGTATCAAGTTCACCTTCCAACACACTATGATGATTACCTTGGTTCTTGATTTTGATTTTACCAAGATAACAATCTACTACTAGTATATTGTTGTATAGTACTCCCCCGTACCCTTCTGTCTTCTACTGGATAATGTTGGATAACATGCCAGCTCATGGCAGGTATAACTGTGTTTTATTCATGCACATATTCGTAGTTTGGTGGAGTAATTCTAAAATGTTAAATTCAGTAGATCATGATCATCCCCTAAGGGGAAATTGTTTGCAGCCTAGTTGACAGAACACACTGTACGGTTGAAACCTGAAGAGCACTTTGGATGTGGACTAAAGTTTTTCAGGCCTGATTATATTACATTCTTTAAATTGCTCCTGATAACTCTATGCTACCTTTAAGTGCACATCCCTATCATGACATTCCGAAGCTGTTACATTTATCAGTAGCTGACTGTACTCCGTTCACACACAGGTTAAAACATTGAGAATTGTCTTAAAATGAAAAGAGATTAAAAGGTGCAGAATGCTTCAGACAAAAATTCTGAAAGTACCCACAACACACCTAAAACTATCATGCACGCACGCACGCACGCACGCGCACACACACACACACACACACACACACACACACACACACACACACACACACACACACACACATTCACACACGTACACACATACATGTACACACACACATGCACACACAACACAGAAAACAGAATAAAAAACTACCATAGACCACACTCCCGGCGTACGACTGCCATTGTGGTCTTTTTTTTCATTCATCAAGTGTGGAGAAATCCGCCTTTCGTGGAATAGAGGAGGAAGGGAGGGGGTGAGTGAGTGAGAGGAGAGGAGGGGAGGATAGGGATATGAATCTACACTTCGTGAAATCAGGGCCCACCACAGCCTCAGCATTCGCCCCCTCTCTCTCCTCCCCCATCCCTCTCTTTTTTGTGTGTGTCTCAACCAAAGCCCACCACAAAGCTACTGCTTCTCTCCCTCTACCTTTCTTCATTCTTCCTCTTCTTTTTATCTGTCTCTCAACTTCTCTAAATCAGAGACCACCACAAACCCCTTCCTTTCTTTTTTTTTTTACTCTGATGATGTATCACACAACAAGAATCACTGTCATGTGAATGGGAATCAGTCAGGGTTAATTTACTCAAATTTTAGTCAAGTAAATTAAATTAATTTAATGTGAATCAGTGATTATCTAAATACATGTGTTTTAAATGGGTTAAAGAAGGCATTTACAGTACATAACAAATGGGAGAAACAGAAATTGGGTCTCTTCAGTTAAAGCTTTTGCTGACTTTATTGAACAGAAAATCGAAATACTGTGATACTGTAGGTTATAAAAAGTATAGCTATATGTTATTGTTTTATCTTTTATATTCCAAGATCAACCAGTACTACTTGATGAGAACTGTCGATTTGTTTCCACAGTATTTGATCTTGGGTGACAGGAAATACATTACTATAGCAAGCCGTCATAATCAGCTTTTGTTGCTCTTTGTTTTCAGGAGAAAGTACAAAATGAAGTGTGTTTCTGGGTTCCTTTCCATCCTTATTGCTTTGTTCATCTCTTCAACAGGTAAGAGAGAATTTTCAGAAATGATGTATACTCTATGTTATATTATATAGCAACAGATACATTTCTGTAAAGGTAACTTACTATTGGACTTACAGTATACTGTATATATCTTGTCTTCTGTGTTCTCTCTCAGGGGCTGAAGATGTGGTGGTGTATGGTCAAGTGGGAGGGACGGTCACACTCCCCAGATCGAAGTGGGGTTCAGAAAGGGTGTGGGTAAAATGGTACTTTGGGACGGACACACAAGCTGTGATATCCCGCAACGCCTATGGTCAAGAGATGACAAGGTGAGTGAGATTAGTGTTAGAGGGTATCCATCTTTAATAGAGTGTGACCTTTTTTGAGCCATTAACATACTGAGCAAAACAGTATTTGGTAGTTGACAGCTGGTTCTTTTTTTATCTGATTTTGACTAGCTTACAATTTGAGGGTTGCTGGCATCAGAATCTCAGGTGCCTACTGCTGTAGTGCTCTTGAGCACTTAACCCCTGTTCTGCTCAGGGTTACTGCTCTGCCTCTGCAGGTGGCCCTGTGCTGCTTCCATATTCTCATATGTTTTTGTGGTGTCCAGGTGGGTTGGGAATAAAATAAGACAGCAAAAATACACATTTCTGATTCACACTACTACTACTCTGTATTAATCACTTGATTATTGACATGCAGATCCATCATGGAAAGACAGGCTGTCTCTGTCAAGGACTGACTTCTCCCTGATCATCAACAATATCAGACTGGAGGACTTCAAAACCTTCAAATGTGAACTGAATGATCGCAGTCCACCAATACCTACCTCAGTCACCACATTCAGACTGTTCCATGGTAAGTGCAGAGTGAAAGAGAGAGGGGATTTCTATCTCATGACAGTGTTATGAGAAAGATGAGGAAGGAAATTGAACATTGTGTTCAGTCACCATCATGTGGGGTAAACAAGTACTGCACACACACAAATGTATACAAATGTACCTTTGTATACCCTCTCTCTCTCTCTCTCTCTCTCTCTCTCTATATTTCTCGTCTTTCTCTCCCTCTCTCTCTCTCCATCTCCACCATCTCTCCTCTCTCAGTGAGTGTACAACGGCAAGACTCTCCCCTGTTGGCTGGGGAGACTCTTACTCTGAAGTGTGACATAGAGAAAATATTTGAGGGTATGCAGATAAGATGGCTTAGTCCCCAGAAACAGGACCTGAAAAAAGACACGCGTGCCCAGATCACAAATGACGTCCGCCTGACAGTAAGGATGGTCACTAGCCAAGACCATGGAGTGTGGACCTGTGTGGTGACATACCAGGGCAGGGAAGCCCATGCCAACACCCCTGTTACTGTAATGGGTGAGTGTTAAATTAGATAAAGTGGTTTATGGTCATCTAGATTAAATCATTTGAATAAAAGGTCAAATGTCTTCAGACTGATGTTAAACTGTCCCTTATTGTCTCATTGTCTCATTCTCTATCCCTCTCTCTCTCTCTCTCTCTCTCTCTCTCTCTCTCTCTCTCTCTCTCTCTCTTTCACTCTCTTCCCTCCTCAGACCTCTCCCCTGCTCTTCCAAAGCCTGTCTACACCTCTGTCTCCTCCCACTCTTTTCTCAATCTTCCATGTTCCTTTTCCATTCCTCCTCATCTGTCCTGGTCAGACCTCCAGGCTAAGGGCATCCGGGGAGGCCGCTGGACCTTTACCCCGAGCCCAGCGGCAGGCTCCTTCACTGGGGTTGTCCAGACCCTCGTCAACCTCACCCTGGGGCCTCCATCAGCCTGGGTGGTCCTTCAGAACAAAGGGCTGGATGTCTCAGCCCTGCTGAGGAACAATCTGAACCTCACCCTGTTGAAGAAAGAGGTGACGGAGGAGGACAGGGGCGAGTACACCTGCGCTGTGGAGTTCCAGGGGGATCTCATCCTGAATAGAACAATGTGTGTGGAGGTGCTACAGGGTAAGTTAAGCTTTGTGGCAGTCCTGAAAAAATGTCCTTCTCCTTCCTTCCTACCCTCTTTACTTCCTAACTTCGCTTCCTTCCTCCCTCCTTTAACCCTCCCCTTACTTATTTCCCCCCTATTTTCTGCGTACAAAGTGAGGAGTGACAAATCACTTTGATTTTTCAGCTCTCAATTGTTCAATGAGTACCTCCTGGCGTCTATCCCTCTTTCTCCCTTCATTGTCATTCAAATCCTTGTCAGACCATCGTCATGGCAATGCTATTCCTCCTTTCTCTGCTTCTGTTTATTGCACCCAGCCAGTTTTCTCATCTCCTTCTGTCGTTCAATGGGAACATTCTGTCCCCGGTATATTGTGTCCTGTGTCTAATTCAGTGGGTAATACACTTGTCTGGCTCCACTTGTTTTAATAGGGTATAATGAGGTTTCTCTCTGCCAGGATAATATGCCAGCTGAATGAATACTAATCAATTTATTTTGTTTCTCCACGTTTATTTTTATTTTTTTTATTTTGTCTGTCTCCGCCTTTATCACATCAAACTGGTAATCTTCTCTCTCTCTCTCTCTCTCCTCTCTCTCTCTCTCTCTCCTCTCTCCTCAGTAATCTCTCCATCCTCTCTCTGCTCCCTCGATCTCTCTCTCCTCTCTCCGTCTCTCTCTCTCTCTCTCTCTCTCTCTCTCTCTCTCTCTCCCACCTCCCCTCCTCTCTCTTTTCTTCTTCCTCCCTCTTTTTCTCTCTCTCTCTTTCTCTCTCTCTCTCTCTCTCTCTCTCTCCTCTGTCCAGTGTTTTTCCTCTTCAGGTCCAGTGGCCTTTGTAGGTCAGGAGGTCAACCTCACCTGCACCCTGGGCCACCCTCTGAACTCTGACCTGGAAGTGAAATGGATCCCACCACGCCACTCCTCCCTCCTCCCTTTACGCTCCTCCCCCCACCCCGCCCTTCTCACCATCCCGGAAGCAAGGGATGGAGATAGTGGGAGGTGGAGGTGTCAACTGAGTAGGAACAAAACCCTGCTGACGTCAGTGGATATCACACTGAAGATCGGTGAGAAAGGAGAAACAGAAAGTGACATGGTCAGGATGTGGTTAGGGTGCGTGGTCAGTGTGTGTGTAGAGGTTAGGGTGTAATTAGCCTCACTAGCCAGTGGCCACGCTTACTGCAGCACTTTAAATAGTATAGTACCACAGTACTACTACAGTAATTAAGTAGTAGATGTACTTATAGCAGACAGTACTATAAGCCTTTAAAGAAGGAAGCTCTGATGTGTGCTTTGCACACCTACCTTACGGGTATGTTATTCAGTGTGTGGTTATGAGTAAAGAGGCCTAATTTCAGAAATACAGTATATCACTTTTAAAAAATTATAATACTATTATTGAAAACCAGATACTGTCATAAGCTAATATATCTTTATTGATTTGATAGGCTGGAAACAATGTAAAGTTATGAATGTAGAACTTGCATACTGATTCTGTCTCTCTTGATGTTGTTCTGATGGACAGAGCGAGTCCCCGTGGACGTGTGGCTGTTGTTCACCATCTGTGCCGCAGCCGTCATCTTCATCCTCCTCCTCATCCTCACTGTCATCCTCATTCGACGCCACAGACAGGTACACTTTGGTGATTTAATCAGATATTTATTTTAGCTTAAAAATATACTTACTATCTCTTACATTTTGCTGTGTCTTGTTGGTACTGTTACTGAGATTTCCTGTGTGTATGTGTTTATGTCGGTTTTCAGCGGGTGATGCTGCCCAGACGTGGCAAACGCAGATTCTGCCACTGCAAAGAGTGAGTGTAATTTCCTGCACACGCACACACACACACACACACACACACACACACACACACACACACACACACACACACACACACACACACACACACACACATACACACACACACACTCAGACCCTCAAGTTTGGTTAGATTGAGGGCTAAAAAGTATTTGTATTGGCCTTGAATTTGCAAACTTGTTCAAGGTGACGTGTGTTCAAGGTAGAAGCCTAAACTTATTCTCCCTCTCTTGCCAACTAAATTCAGAGTAAAACACGATTTTTGTTGCCTTGGGTTATCTGTTGCACCTCCCATATTTGAGAAATACTGTGTGAGAATGGTTATTTACAGTGCTAACCATTCTGTTTTCCTCTGTTACAGCCCCAAACCAAAAGGATTCCACAAAAACTAGAGATATTATACAGACCGGAATCCCTGTCAAATTCAGGACAATGTCTCTGCTATTTCATCTTAGCTATTCTATTCTGATAGAAAGAAAAAACAAAAGGACAAAAGAAGCAAGAAAGATGTTTTTCATGTGATGTTTGATACTAGAATTGATTCCATTTCCCAAGTGTTTATTATCATGCTTTATGACCTATGATTGAAGAAATTCTGTATATAAATATGTATAGCTACTGTCGCTTTTGTATTACTGTACGCTGAGTATACAAACCGATAAGAACACCTGCTCTTTCCATGACAGACTGACCAGATTAATCCAGGTGAAAGCTATGATCCCTTATTGATGTCACTTGTTAAATCCACTTCAATCAGTGTAGACGAAGGGGAGGAGACAGGTTAAAGAAGGATTTCTAAGCCTTGAGACAATTGAGACATAGTAGGTGTAGTAGGTGCCAGGCGCACCGGTTTGTGTTAAGAACTGCAATGCTGCTGGGTTTTTAACGCTCAACAGTTTCCTGTATGTATCACAGTGGAGGCTCCTCAGAGGAGGAAGGGGAGGGCCATCCTCCTGAGTGAATTTCATAAAAATAAAAATTGTGAAACATTTAAAAAGTTATTATTTTTAGATAAAACTCTACTAAATATATATGAATGTCACCAAATAGTTAATTAAAACACACTGTTTTGCAAGGAAGGTCTACAGTAGCCTCAGTTCTTGTATTGACTTCAATTAAAAACCAGAGGAGGCTCATGGCTCTCACCCCTTTCGATAGACTTACACAGTAATTATGACAACATCCAGAGGACGTCCTCAAACCTATCAGAGCTCTTCCAGCATGAACTGACATGTTGTCCACCCAATCAAAGGATCAGAGAATGAATCTAGTACTGAAAGCATAAGCTACAGCTAGCTAGCACTGCAGTGCATAAAATGTGGGGAGTAGTTGACTCAAAGAGATAAAGACAATTGTTGAACTGTTTGAACAAATCAATTTCTTCCAAAATTAAGGAGAAGCAAGAGAGTGAAAGAGAGAGCTAGCTATATTTGGTAGTATTTTAAAAGAAAACTTTCACTTAGCTAGCAAATGCAGCTAGTTAGTTTAGCCTACTCAAGCACCCGGCTCAAACAGAGAGGGATGCTATGTTAGCTAGTTGGCTATGGCTATCCAACACTAACTCTTCCAAGTCAAGGTAAGCTTTTGGTTTTATAAATGTATTGCCACTGGGGCCCACCGGTGTAACTGCTAAACTGCTTTCTGACTGTACACTGTACTCCATGATTGTAGCGGGTTTACTAACGTGTTAGTTCTAGTAGCTATGTTGACTATGATGTGACAATGATGTAGGCTGTGTGTAAAGGTTAGGGGTCATGAAATGAAGGTTTGGCTTGGAAAGTGTTTTTCGCCTGGTCACAGACAGCTGATGTGTGGTGCACTGAAGTCCACAAGCGAAGGGGAGGAGAGCACGTAGATAGTTGCAAGAAGGAATTATATATACAATGACAGTGATCATGCTGTTTTTATGTGGCTGCTATGAAAGTGAACTGTGTTGCGTGTGATCAGGGGTGTATTAATTCTGCTGATTCTGTTGAAAAACGTAACTTAAATGGAAGCAAACTGAACGAAACAGGTATAAGCATACTTGAATTTGTCCAATAGAAACTCTCATTTGCAACTGTTGGACTAATGATTACATCCTAGATCAGCTAGATGCAGGCAAGAGTGTGCAAGGCGGTATTGAGTGTGCCACTGTCTGTCACATTGATTATCTCGACCTGTTGTTGCAACCTCATAATGGGTACAGTGAAAATTAGAGGATCATGTAGTAGCCTAAACCTATCGATGTTACATTGAGCTGAGTGAATGGAATATGAATGACAGTTATCCAATATGCTGTAATAGAAATAAGGCCATGCTCATAAAAAATTATCATCCTCCCTCATCTTAAACGTCAGCTACCGTCACTGATATCAAGAATGGTCCACCACCCAAAGGACATCCAGCCAACTTGACACAACTGTGGGAAGCATGGGAGTCGACATGGGCGCCAGCATCCCTGTGGAACTCAATATTAAGAAGGTGTTCCTAATGTTTGGTATACTCAGTGGATATTGCATAGCACTTTGTTTTAGAGTCCATTATTTACCCAATATTTTCTTAAGAAAACAGAATAACATCTTAATACTATAGTTTCTTACGGTTTCAGCTGCGCGTTCAGGCTCATTCCACCAGGCTAGGATTCAGGAGGCCACAAAGTTTTGTTGAATTGTTTGAAATAAGTAACAGAGTAAATACAGGGTTTATTGTTGTTGTGTTATAGGACTGTAATTAAAGTGTTAGATTGTATTGACATTTTTTTTTTAAACATCAAAAAACCAGCAGTGACTGAGGGGTGACTGATTGATAGCTTTATTGAAATACCTTCAGTGGTGGGTAGACAGACACCAACACAAGTCGATACCAACTGGCACTTATTAATTTGTTTTGGCTAATTATACATACTGTGACTGGGATTCAATCCAATGCACGTTGTAGAAATGTGCATTGCCTTTGACTTTTGAAGGGAATTTACACTTGATTACTGCTGCGTTTACACTGAATTCGATCTCCGCAAACGTCGGGAAAATTGCCTTTAAAAGGCACATTGTCAACAGTGCAACGCGCTTCCCTACAATGCGCCTTGTATTGAATCCCTGCCACTCTAAGCTTATTTCATGGTCAGTGGTGTCTTTCACCCGCTGATTCAATGGCAGGTAATGGGGGTAGCATCCATTTGACAGATGTGGTGGTAGGTGAAGACACAGGGCACGTCGGACCAGGTCTGAGTGTTACTCTCCAGGACCACACAGTCCTCACCTTCAACCCCACCGGAGAGGTTGTTATCAGGCTCCGAGCTCCAATGGTTCCAGAACCTATAGGGAAAGGGAGGTAGGGGGAGAGAAAATATGATGGGCAGGATGGAATTGAAGTCACAGAGAGGGAGAGAGATAAGACAGAAAAAAAGGAGAGGACAAATATCTGAGAAAAAAGACAGGACTGAGCAACTGAGATATTTTGAGTCAATGTTGTACGTGTCATGTTGAGATTGTTGAAAGGGTTGCAGACAGTACATACTTGCTTGTGAGCGTTGTGTTGTCCACCCATCTCCAGTCCCCCTCTATCTCTCTGTCTGATAAGCCGATCCAGAAGTAGGTATTAAACCCACCAATCCTACTGACCTCTTTTCCCAGGGCTTCCTATAAACAAACACATGGTTACGATGAGAAGAACACACACACACACTAATGCACGCACGTGTGCACACACACACGCACACACACACCCACACACACACACACACACACACACACACACACACACACACACACACAACCCCCACACACAGAGCGAGTCCCCATGGAAGTGGGGCTGTGGTCAACCATCTGTGCCCGCAGCCGTCATCTTCATCCTCCTCCTCATCATCACTGTAATTCCTCATCCGACGCCACAGACAGGTACACTTTGGTGATTTCATCAGATATTTATTTTAGCTTAAAATGTACTCAATATCTCTTAAATGTTGCTTGGTCTGTTGGTACTGTACTGAGGTCCTGTGTGGTGTGGTTTCTATTTCGGTTTTCAGGCGGTGGGTGATGATTGCCCCAGAGTGCAACGCAGATTCTGCCACTGCAAAGAGTGAGTGAATTTAATGCACAGCAACACTACAAAAAAAACACACACACAAACACACCACGCACCCAACGCACACGCACGCACACACGCACACGCCACACACAACAAACACACCACACACACACACACACACACACCACACACACACACACACACACAAACACACACACACAACACACACACACCACACCACACACTCAGACCTCAAGTTTGGTTAGCTTGAGGGCTTAAAAAGTATGGTTATGGCCGGAATGTGCAGAGTTGTCAACGGTGAGGGTTCAAGGTAGAAGCCTAACCTTCTCTCTCTTGCCAACTAAATTCTAGAGGGAAAACATGATTTTTGTTGCCTTGGGTATCTGTTGCATCTCCCCATATTTGAGAAAATCTGTGTGAGAATGGTTTTTACAGTGCAACCATTCAGTTTTCTTGTTACGCCCCAAAACAAAAGGATTCCCACAAAAAAACTAGAGATATTTACAGACCGGACTCCCTGTCAAATTCAGGACAATGTCTCTGCTATTTCGTCTTAGCTATTCTATTCTGATAGAAAGAAAAAACTAAAGGACAAAAGAAGCAAGAAAGATGTTTTTCATGTGATGTTTGATACTAGAATTGATTCCATTTCACCAGTGTTTATTATCATGCTTTATGACCTATAATTGAGCTATAATTGAAGAAATTCTGTATATAAATATGTAAAGCTACTGTCGCTTTTGTATTACTGTACGCTGAGTATACAAACCGTTAAGAACACCTGCTCTTTCCATGACATTGACTGACCAGGTTAATCCAGGTGAAAGCTATGATCCCTTATTGATGTCACTTCAATCATTGTAGACGAAGGGGAGGAGACAGGTTAAAGAAGGATTTCTAAGCCTTGAGACAATTGAGACATGGGTTGTGTATGTGTGCCATTCAGTGAGTGAATGGGAAAGACATAAAATGTAAGTGCCTTTGAACGGGGTATGGTAGTAGGTGCCAGGCACACCGGTTTGTGTTAAGAACTGCAATGCTACTGGGTTTTTAACGCTCAACAGTTTCCTGTGTGTATCGCAGTGGAGGCTCCTCAGAGGAGGAAGGGGAGGACCACCCTCCTGAGTGAATTTGATAAAAATAAAAATTGTGAAACATTAAAAAAGTTATCCTTTTTAGATAAAACTCTACTAAATATATGAATGTCACCAAATAGTTAATTAAAACACACTGTTTTGCAAGGAAGGTCTACAGTAGCCTCAGTTTTTGTATTGACTTCAATACAAAACCGAGGAGGCTCATGGCTCTCATCCCTTTCCATAGACTTACACAGTAATTATGACAACATCCAGAGGATGTCCTCCAACCTATCAGAGCTCTTCCAGCATGAACTGACATGTTGTCCGCCCAATCAAAGGATCAGAGAATGAATCTATATTTATCAATATTAAGAAGGTGTTTGGTATACTCAGTGGATATTACATAGCACTTTTTTTTTGAGTCCATTATTTACAAAATATTTTCTTAAGAAAACAGAATAACATCTTAATACTATAGTTTCTTACGGTTTCAGCTGTGCGATCAGGCTCATTCCACCAGGCTAGGATTCAGGAGGCCACAAAGTGTTGTTGAATTGTTTGAAATAAGTAACAGAGTAAATACAGGGTTTATTGTTGTTGTGTTATAAGACTGTAATTAAAGTGTTAGATTGTATTGAAATTCTTGAATAAAAAAAAAACAGCAGTGCTGAGGGGCGACTGATTGATAGCTTTATTGAAATACCTTCAGTGGTGGGTAGACAGACACCAACACAAGTCGATACCAACTGGCACTTCTTCATTTGTTTTGGCTAATTATACATACTGTGACTGGGATTCAATCAGACAATCAGACCATTTGACTTTTGAAGGGAAGTTACACTTGATTACTGCTGCGTTTACACTGAATTCGTTCTCCGCGAACGTCGGGAAAATTGCCTTTAAATGGCACATTGTCAACAGTGCAGCGCGCTTCCCTACGATGCGCCTTGTATTGAATCCCTGCCACTCTAAGCTTATTTCATGGTCAGTGGTGTCTTTCACCCGCTGATTCAATGGCAGGTAATGGGGGTAGCATCCATTTGACAGATGCGGTGGTAGCTGAAGACACAGGGCACGTCGGACCAGGTCTGAGTGTTACTCTCCAGGACCACACAGTCCTCACCTTCAACCCCACCGGAGAGGTTGTTATCAGGCTCCGAGCTCCAATGGTTCCAGAACCTATATGGAAAGGGAGGTAGGGAGAGAGAAAACATGATGGGCAGGATGGAATTGAAGTCACAGAGAGGGAGAGAGGTAAGACAGAAAATAAAGAAAAAAGGAGAGGACAAATATCGGAGAAAAAAAGACAGGACTGAGCAACTATTTTGAGTCAACGTTGTACGTGTCATGTTGAGATTGTTGAAAGGGTTGCAGACAGTACATACTTGTTTGTGAGCGTTGTGTTGTCCACCCATCTCCAGTCCCCCTCTATCTCTCTGTCTGATAAGCCGATCCAGAAGTAGCTATTAACCCCTCCAATCCTACTGACCTCTTTTCCCAGGGCTTCCTATAAACAAACACATGGTTACGATGAGAAGAACACACACACACACACACACACACACACACACTTTCATACATGCTGTTTCGTGCTGTGCAGGATGGTAAGGTGGCTGCCCATAGACGTACAACTGTCTCTGCTGCTCGGCCAGTCCATCGTGTCGTTACTGAAGTAGTAACATTTTTCATCTACATGAAGCCACCCATCAGGACACTATGTGAAATTCAACACTGTAAACGGAGAGAGAGAGAGAGGAGAGCGAGAGAGGAGAGAGAGAGAGAGAAGAGAGAGAGAGAGAGATGAGGAGAGGGGGAGAGAGAGACGAGAGAGAGAGGAGATGAGAGGAGAGAGAGAGAGGAGAGGAGGGAGGAGAGAGGAGAGAGGAGGAGAAGAGACCGAGAGAGAACGAGGAAGAGAGAGAGAGAGAGAGAGAGGAGGGAGAGAGAGAAAAGAGAAAGCAAGAAAGAAAGAAAGAAAAGAAAAAAAGAAAGAAAAGAAGAAAGACAAGCAAGAAAGAAAAGATAAAAGACGAATAAGAAAAGAAAGAAAGGAAAGAAAGAAAGAAGAAAGAGAAAGAGAAAGAAAAGACAGAAGAAAAAAGAAAGAAAGAAAGAAAGAAAAGAAAGAAGAAAAGAAGAAAGGAAAAAGAAAGAAAGAAAGATAAAGAAGAAAGCAGCCGACCGAAAAAGCAAAGAAAGATCAACAAGAAGAGTTGATTATTAATTCAACCTTTGTACAGTATGATAGTATTTACTATACCCAGCTGTGGGTTCATGTCTTCTGTGTCAAATGTGGAATGTCCCTAGATTTATGAAAATGTTGCTGCAATACATTCTGGAAATATTATGAGTACTTGATGGAAGATGTAGGGGAATGTAGAGCCATAGATTGGGTGAATGTTAATTAGGGCCACTAATCAAATGACCCTGACCATGTGACCTCCTGGCCCTGTCCTAACCATCTGGGAACATACAGTAAACAGCATATTTGATGGGGATACGTTTAAACAAGAAGCACTACTCATGATCACATAATGAGCAGTTATTTAGGAGATCAGTGATTTGTCCATCAGTAATTCTGTACCGTCTGGTGGCAATGGAGTTAATCTCAAACACGTACATAGTGGTTGCTGGCTAGTACCCACCTGTGGCAGAGCAGTTGTGTGCCAGGCTGGCATAGTCATTACACAGACGGCTGTAGCGACACAGCACAGAACTCAGCTTCAACTTCAGGGAGGCCAACTCTTCCTCAGGGGTCTCCCCAGGTTGAGTGGCATTTGACAGGGGCTCTGCAACTGCCTGATTGGTGCTGATGGATACCAGGCCAATCAGCACAAGGAAGATGGTCTGACACGTCAGAAGCCCAGCCCACTTCTTCACACCCTGGGAACCTGATTGGATTGATCAAACAGAGAGCTCAACTCACAGAGTTGTATTATGCAGTATACCTGTTAATCAGATGAGAGTTTAACCCAACTAGAATTGAGATGACGATTCATATTCCACATACAGGATGTCTTTTTATAAGCCATTTAAATTAACCTAAATATTGTAACAAAGTGACTTGCCCAAACTTGATACACACAAATACACACAGACACTCACTTACACACACACACACACACACACACACACACACACACACAGTTTTGTACAGCTAACCTTTTGGGGACACACAATTCAGTCCCATTCAAATTCCTATTTTCCCTAACTCCTAACCCTAAACCTAACCCTAACCCGTACTCTTACCCTTACCCTAACCCTAACCTTAACCCTAACCCTAACCCTAACCCTAACCCTAACCTTAACCTTAACCCAAAAACCTAACCTTAACCCTAACCCTAAACGTAACCCTAGCTCCTAACCCTAACCCTAAAACTAACCCTAGCTCCTAACCCTAACCCTTAACGTAATTCTAACCATAACACTAATTCTGACCTTAACCCTAAACCCCCTAGAAATAGCATTTGACCTCGTGGGGACTAACAAAATGTCCCCAGTTGGTCAAGTATTTGTTTGTTTACTATTCTTGTGGGGATTTCTGGTCCCCACAAGAATAGTTAAACACGCCCACACACACACGGTGATGTAGACACAAAAGTTAATTTGACCTTGTTTACGTTGGTAGTTCTCCATGTTCTCTGTGTAATATCACTGGTACCTGTTTAGTTCAGAAATCGAATGTGTCTCTCTTTTCACTCAGTTTGAGTTATATACCAACGTGGTGTTTGTAGGCAATTGGTTGGAAAGTACAAATTGTGGAAATAACATTATGCTGGACCTGAGACAGATTTCAACTGGAAGATAGGAAAGTGGTGTAATAACAGAAACTCTGTCAAGGAATTAAGCCCAGCTGGTCATGCAGAGTTGGATCAATAGTCTCAATGAACAAACAAATGCTACCAAATGAAGTGGAGTTTTAACATTATTTGCCAATGGTCTGAGCGATCAAAGTTCTCTCTCTGCCACTAAACATGACAGTGCAGTTTCATGAGATCACAGAGAGGTTTACTGCAAAAGCATGACATTGCACTTTAAGCCGAACGCTGTGTAACAGCATGGGTTTACTTGTTTTGTTTTCACAAATGAGCAGCTGCATGAATTCCACGTGTACATGCACACACACACACACACACACACACACACATACACAGGATGCTGCCCAACCTCTTCCCGTAAGACTCTTGGCATCCTCACTTCTCCCCAGGCTCCAGTACTCTAGTACCTTACATAGTCATTTTGGCCAGATTCTAACACACCAAATCACATAGAGAAACAGAGACAAAGATGTTACTTCACAGCATGATTTTCTTATTTCCTAAATCCAGTACTATCCATACGAACACACACAGTATGATGGACCCTCCTTCCAGTTGCCGCCAGACTATTCTCTCAGTTCCAATTTCTTAAGAGTTTTTTTCAAATACACACACACACACTCTCCTGCCTCATTCCCCTATCATCATACAGTCCTCCTTGCCAGTTTTAGCACTTCATCCAAACAAAGAGAGAGAGAGAGCAAAAGGAGAGAGAGAGAGAGAGAGGAGAGAGAGAGGAGAGAGAGAGAGAGAGAGGACAGAGGAGAAGGAGAGAGATGAGAGAGAGGGGAGAGGAGAGAGCGAGGGAGAGAGAGAGAGAGAGAGAGAGAGAGACGAGAGAGAGAGAGAGGAGAGGAGAGAGAGAGAGAGAGAGAGAGAGAGAGAGCAAATCTTAGAATAAACTATTAAAGACTACCAGAACCCACTGGATTCTCCAATTACATTGAATTAACTACAGGACAAAATACAAACCCTCCAACCCAAAAAGTCCTGTGGTGTTGATGGTATCCTCAATGAAATGATAAAATATACAGACCACAAATTTCAATTAGCTGTACTTAAACTCTTTAACATCATCCTTAGCTCTGGCATCTTCCCCAATATTTGGAACCAAGGACTGATCACCCCAATCCACAAAAGTGGAGACAAATTTGACCCCAATAACTACCGTGGAATATGCGTCAACAGCAACCTTGGGAAAATCCTCTGCATTATCATTAACAGCAGACTAGTTCATTTCCTCAGTGAAAACAATGTACTGAGCAAATGTCAAATTGGCTTTTTACCAAATTACCGTACGACAGACCACGTATTCACCCTGCACACCCTAATTGACAAACAAATAAAACAAAACAAAGGCAAAGTCTTCTCATGCTTTGTTGAATTCAAAAAAGCTTTTGACTCAATTTGGCATGAGGGTCTGCTATACAAATTGATGGAAAGTGGGGTTGGGGGAAAAACATACGACATTATAAAATCCATGTACACAAACAACAAGTGTGCGGTTAAAATTGGCAAAAAACACACACATTTCTTTCCACAGGGCCGTGGGGTGAGACAGGGATGCAATTTAAGCCCCACCCTCTTCAACATATATATCAACGAATTGGCGAGGGCACTAGAACAGTCTGCAGCACCCGGCCTCACCCTACTAGAATCTGAAATCAAATGTCTTCTGTTTGCTGATGATCTGGTGCTTCTGTCACCAACCAAGGAGGGCCTACAGCAGCACCTAGATCTTCTGCACAGATTCTGTCAGACCTGGGCCCTGACAGTAAATCTCAGTAAGACAAAAATAATGGTGTTCCAAAAAAGGTCCAGTTGCCAGGACCACAAATACAAATTCCATCTAGACACCGTTGCCCTAGAGCACACAAAAAACTATACATACCTCGGCCTAAACATCAGCGCCACAGGTAACTTCCACAAAGCTGTGAACGATCTGAGAGACAAGGCAAGAAGGGCCTTCTATGCCATCAAAAGGAACATAAAATTTGACATACCAATTAGGATCTGGCTAAAAATACTTGAATCAGTTATAGAACCCATTGCCCTTTATGGTTCTGAGGTCTGGGGTCCGCTCACCAACCAAGAATTCACAAAATGGGACAAACACCAAATTGAGACTGCATGCAGAATTCTGCAAAAACATCCTCCGTGTACAACGTAAAACACAAAATAATGCATGCAGAGCAGAATTAGGCCAATACCCGCTAATTATCAAAATCCAGAAAAGAGCCGTTAAATTCTATAACCACTTAAAAGGAAGCGATTCCCAAACCTTCCATAACAAAGCCATCACCTACAGAGAGATGAACTTGGAGAAGAGTCCCCTAAGTAAGCTTGTCCTGGGGCTCTGTTCACAAACACAAACAGACCCCACACAGCCCCAGGACAACAACAACAACAACAACACAATTAGACCCAACCAAATCATGAGAAAACAAAAAGAGAATTACTTGACACATTGGAAAGAACAAACAAATAAACAGAGCAAACTAGAATGCTATTTGGCCCTAAACAGAGAGTACACAGTGGCAGAATACCTGACCACTGTGACTGACCCAAACTTAAGGAAAGCTTTGACTATGTACAGACTCAGTGAGCATAGCCTTGCTATTGAGAAAGGCCGCCGTAGGCAGACCTGGCTCTCAAGAGAAGACAGGCTATGTGCACACTGCCCACAAAATGAGGTGGAAACTGAGCTGCACTTCCTAACCTCCTGCCAAATGTATGACCATATTAGAGACACATATTTCCCTCAGATTACAGCGATCCACAAAGAATTCGAAAACAAACCCAATTTTGATAAACTCCCTTATCTACTGGGTGAAAAACCACAGTGTGCCATCACAGCTGCAATATTTGTGACCTGTTGCCACAAGAAAAGGGCAACCAGTGAAGAACAAACACCATTGTAAATACAACCCATATTTATGTTTATTTATTTTCCCATTTGTACTTTAACTATTTGCACATTGTTACAACACTGTATATATACAGTGGGGGAAAAAAGTATTTAGTCAGCCACCAATTGTGCAAGTTCTCCCACTTAAAAATATGAGAGAGGCCTGTAATTTTCATCATAGGTACACGTCAACTATGACAGACAAATTCAGGAAAAAAATCCAGAAAATCACATTGTAGGATTTTTAATGAATTTATTTGCAAATTATGGTGGAAAATAAGTATTTGGTCACCTACAAACAAGCAAGATTTCTGGCTCTCACAGACCTGTAACTTCTTCTTTAAGAGGCTCCTCTGTCCTCCACTCGTTACCTGTATTAATGGCACCTGTTTGAACTTGTTATCAGTATAAAAGACACCTGTCCACAACCTCAAACAGTCACACTCCAAACTCCATTATGGCCAAGACCAAAGAGCTGTCAAAGGACACCAGAAACAAAATTGTAGACCTGCACCAGGCTGGGAAGACTGAATCTGCAATAGGTAAGCAGCTTGGTTTGAAGAAATCAACTGTGGGAGCAATTATTAGGAAATGGAAGACATACAAGACCACTGATAATCTCCCTCGATCTGGGGCTCCACGCAAGATCTCACCCCGTGGGGTCAAAATGATCACAAGAACGGTGAGCAAAAATCCCAGAACCACACGGGGGGGACCTAGTGAATGACCTGCAGAGAGCTGGGACCAAAGTAACAAAGCCTACCATCAGTAACACACTACGCCGCCAGGGACTCAAATCCTGCAGTGCCAGACGTGTCCCCCTGCTTAAGCCAGTACATGTCCAGGCCCGTCTGAAGTTTGCTAGAGTGCATTTGGATGATCCAGAAGAGGATTGGGAGAATGTCATATGGTCAGATGAAACCAAAATATAACTTTTTGGTAAAAACTCAACTCGTCGTGTTTGGAGGACAAAGAATGCTGAGTTGCATCCAAAGAACACCATACCTACTGTGAAGCATGGGGGTGGAAACATCATGCTTTGGGGCTGTTTTTTCTGCAAAGGGACCAGGACGACTGATCCGTGTAAAGGCAAGAATGAATGGGGCCATGTATCGTGAGATTTTGAGTGAAAACCTCCTTCCATCAGCAAGGGCATTGAAGATGAAACGTGGCTGGGTCTTTCAGCATGACAATGATCCCAAACACACCGCCCGGGCAACGAAGGAGTGGCTTCGTAAGAAGCATTTCAAGGTCCTGGAGTGGCCTAGCCAGTCTCCAGATCTCAACCCCATAGAAAATCTTTGGAGGGAGTTGAAAGTCCGTGTTGCCCAGCGAAAGCCCCAAAACATCACTGCTCTAGAGGAGATCTGCATGGAGGAATGGGCCAAAATACCAGCAACAGTGTGTGAAAACCTTGTGAAGACTTACAGAAAACGTTTGACCTGTGTCATTGCCAACAAAGGGTATATAACAAAGTATTGAGAAACTTCTGTTATTGACCAAATACTTATTTTCCACCATAATTTGCAAATAAATTCATAAAAAATCCTACAATGTGATTTTATGGATTTTCTCAATTTTGTCTGTCATAGTTGACGTGTACCTATGATGAAAATTACAGGCCTCTCTCATCTTTTTAAGTGGGACTAAATACTTTTTTTCCCCACTGTACATAATATGACATTTGAAATGTCTTTATTCTTTTGAAACTTCTGAGTGTAATGTTTACTGTTAATATTTATTGTTTATTTCACTTTTGTTTACTATCTACTTCACTTGCTTTGGCAATGTTAACACACGTTTCCCATGCCAATAAAGCCCTTAAATTGAATTGAATTGAATTGAATTGAAATTGAATTTAGAGAGAGAGAGAGAGAGAGAGAGAGCATGAAAGTTAGAGAGTGAGTCAGTGAGACAGACAGAGCCAGAGAGTGAGCAAGAGTAAGCATGTTTGAAGCAATACTAAAATAACTGCCAGTGAATTTCTGGAGGAACAACAATAAATATTGCTGAACTCCCACTACAGCTGTTTGGAATTAGACACTTTATTTCCCAGCGGCAACTTTATTTACAGTTAGTTACAAAGTTGGGTGATTCTGCGAAGAGCTGGGGAAGAACTGAAACGTCAATCATGGAGGAGGAAGATAACTATACCAGTCTACAGGAGTTTACTGTGGATAGATCCTCCAGAGGAAACAAGCCTATCCTAAACAACCACGGTAAGTGTGTGTGTGTGGTGTGTGTGTGTGTTTGTGTGTGTGTGTGCGCGTGCATGTGTATACGTATGTGCATAAGTGTGAGATTGACCATAACTCTAAGGACATGGTCTCTCTTTAGGGAATAGTCAGTGTGAGTTTTACAGCTAGTCTGTCATTTTATTGGCTATCATCAATTCCTTTGGAATCCTTTAGAAATAATCATTTAAAATATTTTTGAAGTGATTGTCACCTTTGTCACCTTTTTACAATGTTATGGTTCCATGTTAGACCACTGTAAAATTGTAGGCAGTTACAGATAGATTATGGGGGTATTGTTCATGGTCAAAGGACTTGTCTGGGCAGAAAAAACTTCTGAAGCATGAAAGGTGAATGACAGGTGAAAAAAAAAGTGCACTCACTCTGCATGTCTTTTCTTACTGGCATGGATTTTACAGATTAATGCTATTTAGAAGAAGGTTTGACTTGCAATGACTGTTATTTGTGGTTATGTTTACCTATAGTTAAATGCTAAATGACTCCAATGTAAATGTAAAGTAAATGTGTCACTCTTTGCATTGAACTGTAATCTGTCCAATCAGGTGCCCAGGGGCTGAAGAGGGGGTTAGAGTGTCTAAGAGGTCAGACCGCCCTCTTTGTGCTGATTGGTCTATTGGCCTCCATCTGCGCCAACATCGCTCTGAGCGTGCTCTGTGAGTAAACATAATTTTCTCTCTCTCTCTCTCTCTCTCTCTCTGTCTGTCCGTCTCTTTTTCTCTCTCTCCAACCCCGCACCACCCCTCTCCCTCACTCCTCCTCGTCATGCCTTCTTTGGCATGCAGAACGGTAACCATAGTTGTGGTGGTTGTGCAATCCAAAAGGAACAAAAGTCCATAACTGTGAAATGTGCTCCCTCCCAGGACTTTCAGTCTCTGGCAGCCCAGGCTGTTCAGTAGTTATAACACACTGAGAACATTCACTACCACAATGTGTCTCAAGCTGACCTCTCAATTATATTTATATTAGTCTTTCTCGTTCTATCATCTCTCTCTCTCTAGCTCTATCTTCTCTCTCTCTCTCTCATAGCATAGCTATCTCTCTCTCTCTCTAGATAGCTCTCTCTCTCAGTGTTTAGCAGGCCTTTTCCTTGTGTTCCCCTGGAGACAGCAGCTCTGACCTCTTTTATCTAGTTCTCAGAATATTGCAGCAACATTTTCATAAATATAGGGACATTCCACATTTGACACACAAGACATGAACCCACAGCTGGGTATAGTAAATACTATATCTAGACTATCATACAGTACAACTGTTGAATTATATCCAAATCTTTCTTTCTTTCTTATCTCTCTCTCTCTCTCCTCTCTCTCTCTCTCTCTCTCTCTCTCTCTCTCTTCTCTCTCTCTCATCTCTCTTCTCTCTCTCTCTCTCTCTCTCTCTCTCTCTCTCTCTCTCTCTCTCTCTCTCTCTCTCTCTCTCTCTCCTCTCTCTCTCTCTCTCTCTCTCTCTCTCTCTCTCTCTCTCTCTCTCTCTCTCTTCGCTCTTCTCTCTCTCTCTCTCTCCCCCTCTCTCTCTCTCTCGCTCTCTCTCTCTCAGTGTTTAGCAGGCCTTTACCTAGTGTTCCCCTGGAGACAGCAGCTCTGACCCTGAAGCTGAACTCAGTTCGAGGACGTTATGTCCTTCTCTGTGATGACTACTCCAAACTGGGCCAGAGCTGCTCAAAGACAGGTAAAGGAGGGCTAAGTGTAATTCAGAGTGGATACATACTTTAGACAACTGTCAGTCACTATTACATTATTTCACGAAAGAAATAGAACACTGTAAAGGGGTTGCCGTAAATTTGACAGTAACTTACAGGCATCTGTCAACTATATATTTTAAATTGATGCACCACTACTACTACATACCAGTTAAGTTGGTACAGCACTCTCACTAACGGGTGCAACAAAAATAGAGCCAGAAACAACAATAATATGCACTCACTAGTGGTCAAAAGGTTTTTGGTGCTCCAAAAATACGGTACAGTACTGTATTCTGTGGGATGGAATTACAGGATCATTCAAAATACAGCAATTATTTCCCCGCCTACAAAATGTTCCCACAATGCACCATAATTTACAGAATGCTGCAGTAAAACATTCCACAGTATTTTACTGTTGATAATACAGAAAATGACCATATAAATTACAGTTTAACTTTACAGTGTACACTATACAGTATACATAAGACATTAATTACCCATGCATATTCACACATCTGTCTCTCTTTGTCCTCTTCATCTTCACCTCTTCATCTTCTTATCATCCTCTTCTACCTCTCTATTCCTGTTCTCCTCCTCTTCTCTTTCTCCTCTCCTCTTCTCACAGTAAGGAAGTGTAGGGAGTGTCCTGAGGGCTGGATTCATGTAGATGAGAAATGTTACTCCTTCAGTAATGACAAGATGGACTGGCCGAGCAGCAGAGACAGTTGTACTTCCCTGGGCAGCCACCTTACCATCCTGCACAGCAAGGAACAGCATGTAAGATAGTGTATGTGTGTGTGTGTGTGTGTGTGTGTGTGTGTGTGTGTCTGTGTGTGTGTGTTTGTGTGTGTGCGTGCGTGCGTGTGTGTTTATTCCCCTCATTGTAACCATAACTGTGTTTGTTTGTAGGACGCTCTGGAAAAAGAGGCCCGGAGGATTGGCGGGTTTGACTACCACTACTGGATTGGCCTAACAGATAGAGAGAAGGAAGGAGATTGGAGATGGGTGGACAACACAACACTGAAAAACAAGTATGTGAAGCCCATTCTAAATAATCCAATATCACATGTGTTATAATTAGAGGGAGGCAAATAGTTACTTTTCTACACTGTCTCACTCCTTTGCTCTTTCGAGCTCCTCAAGGGGGAGGCGCTTCTCCTAGTCTTCATTCTAGTAGGGTCCATCTTTTTTACTAGTTTCACTAACGGCACCTACTTTGGGTGGTGTTAGAGCGGGTCTAAGCGAAGAGCTAGCTCTACCTGAGGCAGGATCGCTCTCTCGCGCGCTCGATCGGAGGCTCGAGTCTCATCTCTCGCTCTCTCTCGCTCTCGACTGTCTTCTCTCTCTCTCTCTATCTCTCTCTCTCTCACTATCTCTCTCTCTCTCTCTCTCTCTCTCTCTCTTTTTCTTTCAGCTATTGGAATGTTGATAGCTCTGAGAACTGTCAGGCAGGAGGAATACATGAGGATGACTGTGCCACCCTGGACAGCCACTCGCAGACCTGGTTTGACGTACCGTGTGACTATATCTACAAACGCATTTGTCAGATGGATGCCATCCGGCTAGACTGAATCACAGGACTAAAACTAAGCCATGAACTTCCCAATCATATAGATCTACCGTCCATTTATTCATGAATGATGGCAATGTTTTCTTAAGTAGCTTGTCCTTTTTTAGTCTTTTAAATTATTTGAGATGTTTTTGTGCAATGAAAAGCGCTATAAAAGTGAAATTCTTCTTCTTACTGGAAACATCGGAACTGGAAAAACTACAGGAAACTAAACTAGGTTATTGGTCAGATTTACTCAACAACACTGCCGATTGTGCATATTACTTTGCATTTTTCAGAAACCATAAAACAAATGGGGACAGGAAAGGTTAAGAGAAGGACTAAGATATAGAAAGGCAAGAGGAGATAAAGACAGTTTTATGGTATAGCTAATTTCATGAAATGTCCATTCCCTACTGAAAATAACAGATGCAAAAATCTAGCAAATCTGGCACCTTCTGCAAGGAGAATTTAAATGAATGCATTCAATTTAGTAAATCAGTTACTCTAATCAAGGAGGTAGATGCTCTAATCAACTCCGCTGATTGCCAAATTGATTGCTGTGATACTTTTGAGCAATCTGTGTGCTTTTTGTTATGTGTGTGACCTGTACATAAATCCCAGACATATTCTGTATTGCTGCACTAACCATGAAAATGAATTCCTGAGAGTTAATGTGTCAATAAAACTATTTTCGAATTAATGATTCTTCCTCTGATATTTCTTTCAGGTTTGGGTTTGGGTTTTTTCCTGTTCATGTTTGATTTTACTGGAATTAAACAAATGTTTGAATTGACTTAGGCGAACATCTGTTGCTTTCTGCTGTGTCGTTGAATGCATTTTCACGTTGTTTTTTACACATTTAAACACATTTATTTGCTGAAAATATGTTTATAATCTTTGTTTGTAATCTAAAATCGTATTTTAATTTCTTTAAATAATAGTTTGCCTTGGTGTTGTACAACAGAGTGTGGGAGGAGGGAAAACTACCAGGCAGCTGGAAGGAGGCAGTAGTGGTACCAATCCGGAAGCCAGGGAAGGACCCAACTAGGCCAACAAGCTATCGGCCAATAGCTTTAACATCACATGTATGTAAGATTATGGAACGTATGATTGCAGAAAGGCTAACTTACCTCCCGGAGAGCAGGGGGCTAGTATCGCCACATCAGAGTGGGTTCAGGAAGGGTAGGGGAACTATGGACCCACTGCTCTGCTTAAAAGCAGAGGTCAGGAAGGCTCAGGTGAACAAGGAGTGTGTTGTAGCTGTCTTTTTTGATGTGGAGAAGGCGTATGATATGATGTCGAAGGAGGGGTTGTTAATCAAGCTTGATATTATGGGGGTAGGAGGAAGAACGTACAACTGGATAAAGGATTTCCTGTTTGGTGAGGGTGGGGAAGTCTCTATCAGTCAACTACCTGGTGGATAACGGTACACCGCAGGGGAGCGTGATAAGTCCTCTGTTGTTTTCAATCATGATCAATGATGTTTACTCTCAGGTACGGCCGGATATTGGGAGGTCGTTATTTGCAGATGATAGGGCCTTATGGAAGAGGGGAAGAAATGTGCCATACATAGTCAGGAAGGTACAGGAAGCAATTGATGAGGTAGAGCAGTGGGCATTAATGTGGGGATTCAGGTTCTCTGTAGAGAACTCAGACAGTGTTCTTTACCAGGAGGAAGGTGGGAGATGAGGTATGCTTGAGGTTATATGGGAGAAACTTGGAGAGGGTGGTGGCCTTCAGGTTCCTTGGGGTATACTTTGACACTAGACTGACCTGGGCAGAATACATTGAGAGAGTGGTGGGAAAGTGTAAGAAGGTGCTAAATGTGATGCGCTGTCTGATGGGGAAGGAGTCGGGGGCTGGGCGTTCCTCATTGAGGACCATTTACAGTACCAGTCAAAAGTTTGGACACACCTACTCATTCAAGGGTTTTTCTTTATTTTTACTATTTTCTACATTGTAGAATAATAGTGAAGACATCAAAACTATGAAATAACACATATGGAAACATGTAGTAACCTCCTCCTCCGTCTCCTGAGTGGCGCAGTGGTCTAAGGCGCCGCATCGCAGTGCTAACTGTGCCACTAGAGATCCTGGTTCGAATCCAGGCTCTGTCGCAGCCGGCCGCGACCGGGAGACTCATGGGCGGCGCACAATTGGTCCAGGGTAGGGGAGGGAATGGCCGGCAGGGATGTAGTTCAGTTGATAGAGCATGGCGTTTGCAACGCCAGGGTTGTGGGTTTGATTCCCACGGGGGGCCAGTAATAAAAAAAATGTATTCACTAACTGTAAGTCGCTCTGGATAAGAGCGTCTGCTAAATGACTAAAATAAAAATGTAACCAAAAAAGTGTTAAACAAATATATTATATATTTGCGATTCTTCAAAGAAGCCACCCTTTGCCTTAATGACAGCTTTGCACACTCTTGGCATTCTCTCACCCAGCTTCACCTGGAATGCTTTTCCAACAGTCTTGAAGGAGTTCCCACATATGCTGAGTATTTATTGGCTGCTTTTCCTTCACTCTGTGGTCCAACTCATCCCAAACCATCTCAATTGGGTTGAGGTCGGGTGATTGTAGCACTCCATCACTCTCCATCTTGGTCAAATAGCCCTTACACAGCCTGGAGGTGTGTTGGGTCATTGTCCTGTTGAAAAACAAATGATAGTCCCACTAAGCGCAAACCAGATGGGATGGCATATCGCTGCAGAATACTGTGGTAGCCATGCTGGTTAAGTGTGCCTTGAATTCTAAATAAATCACTGACAGTGTCACCAGCAAAGCACCCCCACACGTCCTCCTCCATGCTTCACGGTGGGAACCACACATGCGAAGATCATTCGTTCACCTACTCTGCGTCTCACAAAGACACAGCGGTTGTAACCAAAAATCTCAAATTTGGACTCATCAGACCAAAGGACAGATTTCCACCGGTCTAATGTCCATTGCTCGTGTTTCTTGGCCCAAGCAAGTCTCTTCTTCTTATTGGTGTCCTTTAGTAGTGGTTTCTTTGCAGCAATTCGACCATGAAGGCCTGATTCACGCAGTCTCCTCAGAACAGAACAGTTGATGTTGAGATGTGTCTGTTTCTTGCATATATTTGGGCTGCAATTTCTGAGGCTGGTAACTCTAATGAACTTATCCTCTGGAGCAGAGGTAACTCTGGGTCTTCCTTTCCTCTGGCGGTCGTCATGAGAGCCAGTTTCATCATAGCGCTTGATGGTTTTTACGACTGCACTTGAAGAAACTTTCAAAGTTCTTGAAATGTTCCGTATTGACTGACCTTCATGTCTTAAAGTAATGATGGACTGTTGTTTCTCTTTGCTTATTTGAGCTGTTCTTGCCATAATATGGACTTGGTCTTTTACCAAATAGGGCTATCTTCTGTATACCACCCCTACCTTGTCACAACACAACTGACACTTTTTTGGTTACTAAATTATTCCATATGTGTTATTTCATCGTTTTGATGTCTTCACTATTATTCTACAATGTAGATGTTTTTTAAAGAGCAACGTGGTTGGCAGGTAGGATTCCGTTTCTCCCTGTCTCTGGCCCACACTCAAGTACAGTAGGTGGCCGTAATGCACCATGACGTTGGATGCCAAACGCCGATAAACCGAAGAAGATAATATTTTGCCACAAGATGGCACTATTTTAAAAGCAACCCTCTGGTCCACTCAGGACCTTATCAGTCAAGACAAACACTCCCCTCCTCCTTTTCACGTTTCGTCCAATGAGCAGTGATGTTCTCCTTTGTTGTCAAACGTGCACTGACGGCAGAGCTGAGCGATTCCGGGGACAGGCTATCAACTTGAGTTAGCTTACCAATAAGGTAATGTGTTTGTTTTTATTTTATTTGAAAATATTTGTAAACTGCTTTTTATTAAAAGATAATCGCACGGTTGCCCTTGCACCATTTAGCTACGTTAGAGTTGAGTCGGGAGACAACCGAAAAAAACAGGAAGAGGCCTAACGTTACCGCTTTACAGTCATGCCTCGAGCTGTGGTAGCAGCAGCAGCTAGCATGACTCCTCATAGTCATACTGATGTAGTAAGCTAGCTAGCGCATATGTGCTATTTTTGCTACATCATTTGGTCAAACTTTAGCAATCCCTTTAGTTTGTGCTCCTTTTGGGTCCGTTTTTAAGTAGCATTTGAAAATATACCATAAAGAGCTAGTGAACTAGCTCGCTTCTAGGCTAGCATGCAATCGGTTGTTTATGACTATGTCTGGCGTTAGCTGGCTAGCTAACGTTAGTACTAGTCAGAAAATTGGTCCCTGCTTGGCCACTCAGCATTGAATGAACTTGACTCACAACACTCCACACTAGGGCCACGTTTAGTAGGTCGAACGATGCAGATAGAATTGATCTGACATGATTCCTTATTTTACATGTCAGACGATATTTTCCACAACATTGTGCCCTACTGAATGTGCCCAGGTTAGCCTATAGTAGCCGACTAGTTGAGTTTAATAGGCTACCTAAATAGTTACATTGTGAAGTAGTAGCTAAGTGTCCAAAGTCATGATTATCTGACAACGGCATGGAGTGTCATAGTGCCCAGCCTAGGAAGGTTACTACTATGTAGCTAGCTAGGCTATTTGTAAGTACTGTTGTGTCTCTCTATTATTCTCACCAAATAGCACAGTATATCATATACAAATAGGATAGACCTCAAATAATACATTATCTGTGCTTTTAGTAGGGCCAATTTCATATTCAGCAGGACAAGTCCCATTTAATTATGTAAAATAATAATAAGTGTCTGTGTTTTTCAAAACACTTGCCTACACATTAGCTTATGAGAGTGAAAATTGAATTACTGACTTGGAGTCTTGCCACAAGGGCTATTCGTATGATTGTTTTGGTTAGACAGAGCTACGTGCATACATTAGCAAAGTATTAAAGTTGTCTTGCTATTAAAAAAAGCTGATCAGCCTCTTAAATGTAAGAAATGCAGTATTAACGGTTAATTGAAGGCCAACCATTTTATTCAAGTCATTCTGTCTCTTCACTTGTTTCCTTTCCTCTCTCCCCTCCCCTCTCTTTCCCCTTTCTCTCATTCTCTTGCCTTATCTGTCATTATTTCTCTTTTCGTCTCACTTCTGTTTGCCTTCTGTCTTTTTCGCTCCTCTCTCTTGCACACTCTCTCTCACTCTGTCTCTCTCTCACTCTGTCTCTCTCACTCTGTCTCTCTCTCTCTCACTCTGTCTCTCTCTCTCACTCTGTCTCTCTCACTCTGTCTCTCTCTCTCACTGTCTCTCTCTCACTCTGTCTCTCACTCTCACTCTGTCTCTCTCACTGTCTCTCTCTCTCACTCTGTCTCTCTCACTCTGTCTCTCTCTCTTTCAGATGGAGGTAGAGCAGCTCCTCTCTCTCTCAGGCCCGGCATTGGCCCAGGCTGTAAGTTCTCTGCTGGAGACACCAGGCCTCTACGTGTTCTCAGACATCCTTGAGCTGCCCAACGTCAGAGAGGTAACACACACACTCACATGTAAGCACACTCACATGTAAGCGCACACACACTGACACTCACATAGTCACAGCCATTCTCAAGTCACAGCTCTCACTGGAGGAGGTATAGCTAGAGACCCTAACAAGCCCCCTCTATCTGTCCCCACACCCACCTTCTTCTACTCTACCCCAAGCTGGAGACAGGCCCGCACGCACCAGTGTATCAGCTACTCAACCTCTTCGCCTATGGAACCTACTGTGACTATAAAGGTACGACAGTGGCAGGCAGCGCTGCAGTGTAAATAAGTCATGTAGTAACCCTGGAGCTGTTTTATTATTAGCAGTATTTCTCTCTCTGCCCGTCGGCCCTGCAGGCTAGGCAACTCATCACTGTCATAGGTTGTCACAGCCCCCGGTAATTTACTGAGTCAATCACAGGACTTTATTTAATCCTATACGAGGAGCCAAGTGACAATGTTTGGCACGGCAGAGGTTGCGTCCCAATAACCTCTCTTTTCTCTAGAAGTGTGCACTTGTTCACTTCCCTTCGTGGATTTGGAAGTAAATAACTGGTATATGGAAACTCCCTCTAGCATTCCTGGTGAAAAAATGGGGTCCCCAGAAATTCTGGCGTAAAAACATGGGGTCCCTGCTGAAACAGTTTGACTACGACTGCTCTAGCCCCTGCCTACACCAATCCAATGCTTTTGTGGGGAGTAGTGAACAAGTGCACACTTCAGGAGGAAGGAGAGATAATTGGGACTCAACCAGGGACAGACTTTTCTCAGGTGTTTTGTTAGACATTCATATTAGTTGTAATTTGTTGCATTGTCACAAACTGCCAAATGAATCCTGAATACCCTTTGAAATACCTGAATATGTAAATGACTTGTCATTCTTTAGCAACACATTTAGTAACAGGACTTAATAAGAGACCAGCAAAACGGAAGAGAGAAATACTAATCTTATGTCAACACATATCGTTTTCGCATTCATAGTGCTTTTTAGAATTGCAAAATGGAGCACTGAGAAAAACTGTCAATACTCAAGTTTTTTTTGAGCATCCGCACACACACACAAATTATTTTTCATTGTATTTCCTCGTGGAATTCAGCAGGCAGCAGCAGTTTCAGCCTGGAGAGAGCCTGTGGAGGATACCTGTTTCCCTGCTCTGTACTGTCTGACTAAAGGAATAATAGCACTGGCCTGCACCCCTGTGTTTGTAATGCTATGTCCCTGTCATGATGTGTCCCTTTCTTTTGCTCTCTGGCTGTCTGTTTCTTTCCCCCCCTCTTCCTTGTCTGTTTGTGGTATGTTGTTCTTTTAGAGAGGGCAGCCTCTCTCCCAGAGTTGACCCCAGCCCAGAGGAACAAACTGCGTCACCTCTCCATCATCAGTCTGGCATCCAATCTCAAGGTAGAATACCACCCATTCATCTTACTCTGCTAGCTTTAGTCCACTTAATGTGGGTCACTCACATTATAATTATAGAAATAGTTTATAATAATATGTAAAATAATGATAGCCATCATTCGTTTGCCATTTAATCTGAAGGTAACGCTCTCTGGATTTATCTTATCTAGTTCTTCTGTTTAGTTTGTTATTAAAGGACTGCAGATCAAAAACTAATTTTGTGCAGTATTTCCATGGACTCTAATAGCCTACCTACAATTGTAGTCCTAACAATACTCAGCAAGCTTCGTACCTAAAATAGCAAGTCATTCGCTCAACTTTTGATTTTAATTATATGCTCAAGTGTGGTTATGAGACAACTTGCTTTGTAACTCTGACACATTAACAAGATAACTCTGTGTTGTGAAGGACTTTATTAAGAGCCTGTCTGTGATGTGATCTAACTTTATTTATATCACATATATGAGAATGATAGCAGCTGAGATTTAGATCATCATGAGATACTGGCTAGATACTGTGTTAAGTATCCTGTCCTTTCTTCTTTGCGCTCTCTGTCTCTTTATTTATTTGTTGCTCTCTGTTGTCTATCCATCGAACTCTCCATTAAGATTGGCTCTCTCTCTACCTCATTTTGACCCCATCCCCATTTCATATTTTTTCTCCCTCTCCTATCTCTCTTTCTTTACTTGCTTTCATCCATCTCTCATTCTATCCACTCTCCCCAATAAATAATTGATTCATTCATTTCTCCCTTCCTCTATTAATCTCCCTCCCTCCCTCCCTCCCCCATTTCTCGTCTTTTTCTTCCCGTCTTATTTCTTATACTTTCATAGAATAAGTATGCCGCATTGAATCTGTATGGGACACCTTAATGCAAAGATTCACCCATTTTGAATGTTATATTGTTACATCTCTGAGCAATGTTCTATCGATTCCCGGGGTCATTTAATGTTTTCATGTGTATCTGGGCTATTGGCTGGCTGGCTGGCTGTATTTCTGCCTGCTTTAATGGCGAATAACTCAGATACACATGAAAACATGAAAGGACCCCTGGAATCGACAGAACATCGCTCAGAGATGCACAAAAACATTCAAAATGGGTGACGCTATCCTTTACAGTGGCTTGTGAAAGTATTCACCCCCCTTGGCATTTTTCCTATTTTGTTGCCTTACAACCAGGAATTAAAATGGGGTTTGTATAATTTGATTTACACAACATGCCTACCACTTTGAAGATGCAAAATAAAAAAATGTGTGAAACAAACAAGAAATAAGACGAAAAAACAGAACTTGAGCGTGCATAACTATTCATCCCTCCAAAGTCAATACTTTGTAGAGCCACCGTTTGCAGCAATTACAGCTGCAAGTCTCTTGGGGTATGTCTCTATAAGCTTAGCACATCTAGCCACTGGGATTTTTTGCCCATTCTTCAAGGCAAAACTGCTCCAGCTCCTTCAAGTTGGATGGGTTCCGCTGGTGTACAGCAATCTTTAAGTCATACCACAGATTCTCAATTGGATTGAGGTCTGAGCTTTGACTAGGCCATTCCAAGACATTTAAATGTTTCCCCATAAACCACTCGAGTGTTGCTTTAGCAGTATGCTTAGGGTCATTGTCCTGCTGGAAGGTGAACCTCCTTCCCAGTCTCAAATCTCTGGAAGACTGAAACAGGTTTCCCTCAAGAATTTCCCTGTATTAGGGCCATCCATCATTCCTTAAATTCTGACCAGTTTCCCAGTCCCTGCCGATGGAAAAACTTCCCCACAGCATGATGCTGCCACCACCATGCTTCACTGTGGGGATGGTGATGAGAGTTGTTGGGTTTGCGCCAGCCATAGCGTTTTCCTTGATGGCCAAAAAGCTCAATTTTAGTCTCATCTGACCAGACTACCTTCTTCCATATGTTTGGTGAGTCTCCCACATGCCTTTTGGCGAACACCAAATGTGTTTGCTTATTTTTTTCTTTAAGCAATGGCTTTTTTCTGGCCACTGTTCCGTAAAGCCCAGCTCTGTGGAGTGTACGGCTTAAAGTGGTCCTATGGACAGATACTCCAATCTCTGCTGTGGAGCTTTGCAGCTCCTTCATGGTTATCTTTGGTCTCTTTGTTGCCTCTGATTAATACCCTCCTTGCCTGGTCTTTGAGTTTTGGTGGGCGGCCCTCTCTTGGCAGGTTTGATGTGGTGTCATATTCTTTCAATTTTTTAAGAATGGATTTAATGGTGCTCCGTGGGATGTTCAAAGTTTCTAATATTGTTTTATAACCCAACCCTGATCTGTACTTCTCCACAACTTTATCCTTGACTTGTTTGGAGAGCTCCTTGGTCTTCATGGTGCCGCTTGCTTGGTGGTGCCCCTTGCTTAGTGGTGTTGCAGACTCTGGGGCCTTTCAGAACAGGTGTATACAGTTGAAGTCAGACGTTTACATACACTTAGGTTGGAGTCATTAAAACTTGTTTTTCAACCACTCCACACATTTCTTGTTAACAAACTATAGTTTTGGCAAGTCGGTTAGGACATCTACTTTGTGCATGACACAAGTAATTTTTCCAACAATCGTTTAGATACATTATTTCACTTATAATTCACTGTATCACAATTCCAGTGGCTCAGAAGTTTACATACACTAAGTTGACTGTGCCTTTAAACAGCTTGGAAAATTCCAGAAAATGATGTCATGGCTTTAGAAGCTTCTGATAGGCTAATTGACATCATTTGAGTCAATTGGAGGTGTACCTGTGGATGTATTTCAAGGCTTACCTTCAAACTCAGTGCCTCTTTGCTTGACATCATGGGAAAATCAAAATAAATCAGCCAAGACCTCAGAAAAACAATTGTAGACCTCCACAAGTCTGGTTCATCCTTGGGAGCAATTTCCAAACGCCTGAAGGTACCACGTTCATCTGTACAAACAATAGTACGCAAGTATAAACACCATGGGACCACGCAACCGTCATACCGCTCAGGAAGGAGACGCGTTCTGTCTCCTAGAGATGAACGTACTTTGGTACGAAAAGTGCAAATCAATCCCAGAACAACAGCAAAGGATCTTGTGAAGATGCTGGAGGAAACAGGTACAAAAGTATCTATATCCACAGTAAAACGAGTCCTATATCGACATAACCTGAAAGGCCACTCAGCAAGGAAGAAGACACTGCTCCAAAACCGCCATAAAAAAGCCAGACTACGGTTTGCAACTGCACATGGGGACAAAGATCGTACTTTTTGGAGAAATGTCCTCTGGTCTGATGAAACAAAAATAGAAATGTTTGTCCATTATGACCACTGTTATGTTTGGAGGAAAAGGGGGGTGGCTTGCAAGCTGAAGATCACCATCCCAACTGTGAAGCACGGGGGTGGCAGCATCATGCTGTGGGGGTGCTTTGCTGCAGGAGGGACTGGTGCACTTCACAAAATAGATGGCATCATGAGGAAGGAAAATGATGTGGATATATTGAAGCAACATCTCAAGACATCAGTCAGGAAGTTAAAGATTGGTCGCAAATGGGTCTTCCAAATGGACAATGACCCCAAGCATACTTCCAAAGTTGTGGCAAAATGGCTTAAGGACAATAAAGTCAAGGTATTGGAGTGGGCATCACAAAGCCCTGACCTCAATCCTATAGAAAATGTGTGGGCAGAACTGAAAAAGTGTGTGCGAGCAAGGAGGCCTACAAACCTGACTCAGTTACACCAGCTCTGTCAGGAGGAATGGGCCAAAATTCACCCAACTTATTGTGGGAAGCTTGTGGAAGGATACCCGAAACATTTGACCCAAGTTAAACAATTTTAAAGGCAATGCTACCAAATACTAATTGAGTGTATGTAAACTCCTGACCCACTGGGGATGTGATGAAATAAATAAAAGCTGAAATAAATCATTCTCTACTATTATTCTGACATTTCACATTCTTAAAATAAAGTGGTGATCCGAACTGCCCTAAAACAGGGAATTTTTACTAGGATTAAATGTCAGGAATTGTGAAAAACCGAGTTTAAATGTATTTGGCTAAGGTGTATGTAAACTTCCGACTTCAACTGTATATACTGAGATCATGAGACACTTAAATATAGTCCACCTGTGTGCAATGTAACTAATTATGTGACTTCTGAAGGTAATTGGTTGCACCAGATCTTATTTAGGGGCTTCATAGCAAAGGGGGTGAATACATATGCACGCACCACTTTTCCGTTATTTATTTTTTAGAATTCTTTGAAGCAAGTTATTTTTTTCACTTCACCAATTTTGACTATTTTGTGTGTGTCCATTACATGAAATCCAAATAAAAATCCATTTAAATTACAGGTTGTAATGCAACAAAATAGGAAAAACGCGAAGGGGGATGAATACTTTTTCAAGGCACTGCAATTGGCTAATAAAGACTTGTTAAAGCCCCCATGCAGTCTTTGTAATTTTATTTTTAAATCATCACTGTATGTCTAATAAATCACTGTTTATTTAATGAAAATAACTACAAAATATATATTTGTATAATTTATTTCCCCGAGCCTCCTTTGGCCCTAGAAATGCTCAGTTTTATTGTGTGGGTGTTAGGGAACACATTTTAAGATATTTACATAAACAGCCCTGATTGGCTGATAGGATGGTCTAAAGCCCAACCCCTTACCCAGATGAACAGTCATTGGTCTATTATAATCATATCACATTGTGACATCATGTTGGCCAAAAGTTCCACCACACCTGAACAGGCTGAAATTCCAGGCATTTTTTTCAAACAGCTTTTACAAAAAAAGGGCATTATCATAATTTTCACCATTTCTGGATTTCTGACCTCATAGTGTGAAAATATATAAATAAATAAAAAGTTACATCCAATGTTTTACTGCACTGCCGCTTTAAAACTCCAAACTCCCCTCCTCTCTCTCTGGTAGCTATTTTGATGGAATGGTTTTGTACATTTATATTGACCCCTCCCTTCCTCTACCCCTCGCTCTTACCTTTCCATTCCTCACTCTTACATCATCTCTTCTATCTCCTCACTGAAGTAATAAAGAGCATCTCAAATTCAACATCTTTCTCTCTCCCTGTCTGTGCCAGGTAACTTCTGTTGACCCAACATAATAGAATTTGACATTCTCTGTCTCCCTCTTCCCCCAGTGCCTGCCCTACTCCCTGCTCCTGCAGCAGCTGGAGCTGAAGAACGTGCGGGAGCTGGAGGACCTGCTGATCGAGGCGGTCTACTGTGACATCATTCAGGGCAAGCTGGACCAGAGGAACCAGCAGGTGGAGGTGGACTGCAGCGTGGGCCGAGACCTGGGGCCCAACGAGCTGCCCAACATAGCCAACACACTGCAGGAGTGGTGAGTTGGTGATATGTGTGTGAGAGAGAGCCGTGCATGTGCCAGGGTTTTGAGTCAATTCCATTTAAATTCAGGAAGTAAACTGAACCCCCCCCCCCTCCCTCAAATATGGAAATGAAATTGCAATTTCAGTTTACTTCATGAATTAAATGGAAGTGACCCCAACCCTGGTGTGTAGGATGAGGTTATGAGGTTCTCAATGTTTGGTTACTGTGCCGCCCTGCAGTCATCAAATCAAAACTTTATTTATAGAACACGTTCCTTACAGTGGATGCATAATAATGCACAATACGCTTTCTAAATGAGACTAAAATAGTAAAACAATAAAATAACAGTGGACATGATAGATACAATAAATAAGAATGGGATGAAATAGATAGTATGATCAGTCATATCAGTGTCTAAATAATTATCTGTCTCTCTCTCTCTCAGGTGTTCAGGGTGTGAGGCGGTCCTGTGTGGGATCGAGGAGCAGGTAACCAGAGCCAATCAATACAGAGAGAGCCAGCTGAAGATCAAAGTTCAGGTGGAGACAGAGGTTAGTACCAGTAGCCACTTTTCTCTGGGTAGAGTCAAAGATTATCTATTATATTGACAAGATAGTCGAGTGACCGCTCTAACAATGGAAATCCATGTCCTCAAAGATGGAAGGCAGGCGGGAGGAGGTGAGATCAGGTGGGTCCATTCTAGCTAATGAGAGGGCAGATACGAGTATCAACAACAGGCACAACTCCGTTATAAAGTCGTTTTGCCACGTGTCAAAATGCCACGTGCATCCACTTATATCAGTGCATTCATAACAACTTAACCATTACGATAGCAAATTAGCAATTCAATGTTTTGTTGACCAAATTTGACACTCATTAACCTCAATACAAAAATTCCTCACTTTTTGGTCTTATTTTCGTGGACATGTTTTGGCCAGAGTAAACCCTCTCGCTTCTCCTCTTCCTCTCTGGTAGAGGTGAAACCATAAGCAAAACTTATACTCATTACTCAATGACCTAATTCAGTGTCCAATTTAGAGCTCTGTCCAGTGCCTTTATTTAGGCTGTAAGCCACAGGTGGCTTTTCTGTCCTCTGAGTCTTCTCCAGCTTGAGGTAGAAGTTACTCTCTAACCTCTTCTTATTAGAAATAATAACAACACCATAAGCGTTTCACACTACTGAGCCAAACCAGTGCCAAGCTGTATTGGGCTGGCCTGGTTACGCATCCACCATAGCTGCTGGAAAGGACTTTGTGAGAAGAAAATATCAGAGCCAGCCCAGTACATTCCGAATCGGCCTTGTTTGAATCAGGCACTTCTATTCTGTCCTAAACTTCATTAGTTTACCTTTCCTTCTCTCTCTCCATCCCTCTCTCTCAGGTGTCAAACCTCCAGAAAACGCTAAAGGCCAGCTCCGCCTCCCCGTCATCCGGCCCCGCCGCCGCGGGAGCCGCATCCAATCAAGATGCAGACCAGCCGGCCGAGCCACGAGACCCTGCCTCCTCTCAGGAACCACGGCAACCGGGCAAGAAGAGTTCAAAGGTCAAGGGGTAAGTAAGGTGATGTTCCTTAGGTCAATTCCATATTTTCATTGTTTGTCTGTGTATTTTTTTTTTTTTATAGGGGTTACCATTTGATGTTGGTGGGCTATCCTCAGGTTCATTAGGGCAAGCAACAGAAACCATTTTTAAACATTTCGCAACAAACAAGAAAAATAAGTCCAGGTAATAGCTGTTTGTCCTAGGTGCCTTATGAACATGACCTCGTCCTTCCAGGGTCACGGCAGAGAAGAGGTTCAAGCTGAGGCAAGAAGAAACATTTCTGTGTCGCAAAAACATTCCAATAGCTTCAGACGAATTCAAACGGCACGGAATAGATTATGCAGCCACTGCGTTTCGTGTCATTTCGCAGCGTCTTCCACTCGAACACAGTAATATTTTGGTTGTTTGTACAACAAACATCCATTTAAACGCCAGCTGCCAGTGGAAGTGGAAATAGTGACTGTGTGTGTGTCTGCATAGCGTATCTTCATTAGCCAGAGAGGCTGTGCTTTGTGGCGGTACTCACAGGGCTACCTGGGGCCCTCTCTCTCTTCTTGGCCAATTACAACACTAATTCCTCATCTGTCATGGATTTTTTTTTAAATGTCAGTAAAGTGAATTACAAAAAAAAAATAGCTTCAGGTGCTGAAAGGAAATGTTTTATTTTTTATTACATGACAGGATGAGTTTTTCTGTTCCAGTTAAAGGAGTGATTATAATTCACTTACTGGGTGACATTTTGGCAGTGAAAGAAACATGTAGAGATGATTTAACATACTCGGTGGCATGGGACTTTATTCACTGGAGATTTGGATTGCCTCACATGAAAAGCTTCTCATGGTAGGAGTAATACAGTATATAGTCATTTGTTTGCCAACATTGTAATCGTAACATCCCTACAATAATATGTGGTGTAATGAGTTGGACCAAAGGTGACAAAAGCCATCATAAACAGACCTTGTTCATAACTGTGTTATGTGTTACAACTATCGTAAAACTTGAACTAAACAGCCAGTAACTTATTTGCTTGATTTGGGAAATTGCCCAGGGGGGTATACTACAAAGCAGGATCAATGAGTTAGCCAGCTAAAGCCAGCTTTCTTTTTCAGAATATTTAGGCAAGTTAGCTGGCTAACTCATTTATCCAGAGCCCTATACTATGAATCTGGTTTGAGGAATTAGCGAGTTAACTTTGGTCAACTCTGAGTTCAACTCGGGATAACCGGTGACACGAATGTGGCTATATTTCTATAGCAAAGAATCCTTCAGAACTAACCTGCTCTGGGGCAGACTAACTCAGGGCGAACTCCTTTTATTCTGAATGAAGTGTCTGAGCCGCGAGTTGAGGACCAATTAAATCATATTCCCTCCCCTCGCAAAGACTGTCATCATCCCCTTCATTTGAGAAAGACAACTGATTAAATACTTTATTAATCAAATGTTTTTTGTGTGTACATTAATAAAAATGCTAAAATACCTTTTACACATTTAGTAATGACAGAATGCATTTGAAACTTCACGCACAGTAAAACATTTGGAATGTTATCGATAGTAGTGGTTAAAAGGTGCTTGTGCATAGATAGGCACGCCAAAGATGGCATTACGATACGTAATAAAAAGACGGCATTTTAACAGCCTGTTTCACACCATATACTGCTGAATTTGCAAGATAACTTTTCTTTCATTCTGATTTCGGCACAAAGGAAAGTGAGACACTGACTCGCCCATGGATTAATGTTTCAGCATTGTCTTAGTGAAGAGTTTGCCGTTCGAGTAGCGAAGTGCGACATGAACACGCAGTTACAAGCTCAGCTCGAGCAGACTCGAGTAAGCGGCGGGTGCACGATCAATATCCACCTTGCACCTTCGTAACATGGATAAAGCCTGAGCTGGAATATGAAGCTAACTGAAGCTGGCTAGCTTTATAAAACCCGGAGTAGATCTAGCTTGCATCGTAGTATACACCTCTTGTACAGGATGCTAACAGGTGACTGACGTTTCTTCCTCATACCCCTCTTTTGTTTATTGAAGACAGGCGTGTATTGGAGATAAGCCTTTAATGTCGTGTGGACTGTGGACATGCATTACCTCTTATAATATGCTGATCTGCTCCTACCTGTAGATATATTTATTAGGAAATATATTTTCATTTTATTCAGATAGCATGAAATGAGTGGGGATACAGAGACCGGGAGATGAGGATTAACGGTGGGGTCGGGATGTGTGCTGCAGGCCGTGACCTTACGCTACGCTATACCAGCCTCAGGCACACATACAGTGGGGAGAACAAGTATTTGATACACTGCCGATTTTGCAGGTTTTCCTACTTACAAAGCATGTAGAGGTCTGTAATTTTTATCATAGGTACACTTCAACTGTGAGAGACGGATTCTAAAACAAAAATCCAGAAAATCACATTGTATGATTTTTAAGTAATTAATTTGCATTTTATTGCATGACATACAGTGGGGGAAAAAAGTATTTAGTCAGCCACCAATTGTGCAAGTTCTCCCACTTAAAAAGATGAGAGGCCTGTAATTTTCATCATAGGTACACGTCAACTATGACAGACAAAATGAGAAGAAAAAATCCAGAAAATCACATTGTAGGATTTTTAATGAATTTATTTGCAAATTATGGTGGAAAATAAGTATTTGGTCAATAACAAAAGTTTCTCAATACTTTGTTATATACCCTTTGTTGGCAATGACACGGGTCAAACGTTTTCTGTAAGTCTTCACAAGGTTTTCACACACTGTTGCTGGTATTTTGGCCCATTCCTCCATGCAGATCTCCTCTAGAGCAGTGATGTTTTGGGGCTGACGCTGGGCAACACAGACTTTCAACTCCCTCCAAAGATTTTCTATGGGGTTGAGATCTGGAGACTGGCTAGGCCACTCCAGGACCTTGAAATGCGTCTTACGAAGCCACTCCTTCGTTGCCCGGGCGGTGTGTTTGGGATCATTGTCAAGCTGAAAGACCCAGCCACGTTTCATCTTCAATGCCCTTGCTGATGGGAGGTTTTCACTCAAAATCTCACGATACATGGCCCCATTCATTCTTTCCTTTACACGGATCAGTCGTCCTGGTCCCTTTGCAGAAAAACAGCCCCAAAGCATGATGTTTCCACCCCCATGCTTCACAGTAGGTATGGTGTTCTTTGGATGCAACTCAGCATTCTTTCAAACACGACGAGTTGAGTTTTTACCAAAAAGTTATATTTTGGTTTCATCTGACCATATGACATTCTCCCAATCCTCTTCTGGATCATCCAAATGCACTCTAGCAAACTTCAGACGGGCCTGGACATGTACTGGCTTAAGCAGGGGGACACGTCTGGCACTGCAGGATTTGAGTCCCTGGCGGCGTAGTGTGTTACTGATGGTAGGCTTTGTTACTTTGGTCCCAGCTCTCTGAAGGTCATTCACTAGGTCCCCCCGTGTGGTTCTGGGATTTTTGCTCACCGTTCTTGTGATCATTTTGACCCCACGGGGTGAGATCTTGCGTGGAGACCCAGATCGAGGGAGATTATCAGTGGTCTTGTATGTCTTCCATTTCCTAATAATTGCTCCCACAGTTGATTTCTTCAAACCAAGCTGCTTACCTATTGCAGATTCAGTCTTCCCAGCCTGGTGCAGGTCTACAATTTTGTTTCTGGTGTCCTTTGACAGCTCTTTGGTCTTGGCCATAGTGGAGTTTGGAGTGTGACTGTTTGAGGTTGTGGACAGGTGTTTTTTATACTGATAACAAGTTCAAACAGGTGCCATTAATACAGGTAACGAGTGGAGGACAGAGGAGCCTCTTAAAGAAGAAGTTACAGGTCTGTGAGAGCCAGAAATCTTGCTTGTTTATAGGTGACCAAATACTTATTTTCCACCATAATTTGCAAATAAATTCATTAAAAATCTTACAATGTGATTTTCTGGAAAAAAAATTCTCAATTTGTCTGTCATAGTTGACGTGTACCTATGATGAAAATTACAGGCCTCTCTCATCTTTTTAAGTGGGAGAACTTGCACAATTGGTGGCTGACTAAATACTTTTTTCCCCCACTGTAAGTATTTGATACATCAGAAAAGCAGAACTTAATATTTGGTACAGAAACCTTTGTTTGCAATTACAGAGATCATACGTTTCCTGTAGGTCTTGAACAGGTTTGCACACACTGCAGCAGGGATTTTGGCCCACTCCTCCATACAGACCTTCTCCAGATCCTTCAGGTTTCGGGGCTGTCGCTGGGCAATACGGACTTTCAGCTCCCTCCAAAGATGTTCTATTGGGTTCAGGTCTGGAGACTGGCTAGGCCACTCCAGGACCTTGAGATGCTTCTTATGGAGCCACTCCTTAGTTGCCCTGGCTGTGTGTTTCGGGTCTTTGTCATGCTGGAAGACCCAGCCACGACCCATCTTCAATGCTCTTACTGAGGGAAGGAGGTTGTTGGCCAAGATCTCGCGATACATGGCCCCATCCATCCTCCCCTCAATACGGTGCAGTCGTCCTGTCCCCTTTGCAGAAAAGCATCCCCAAAGAAATGTTTCCACCTCCATGCTTCACGTTTGGGATGGTTTTCTTGGGGTTGTACTCATCCTTCTTCTTCCTCTAAACACGGCGAGTGGAGTTTAGACCAGAAAGGTCTATTTTTGTCTCATCAGACCACATGACCTTCTCCCATTCCTCCTCTGGATCATCCAGATGGTCATTGGCAAACTTCAGACGGGCCTGGACATGCGCTGGCTTGAGCAGGGGGACCTTGCGTGCGCTGCAGGATTTTAATCCATGTCGGCGTAGTGTGTTACTAATGGTTTTCTTTGAGACTGTGGTCCCAGCTCTCTTCAGGTCATTGACCAGGTCCTGCCATGTAGTTCTGGGCAGATCCCTCACCTTCCTCATGATCATTGATGCCCCACAACGTGAGATCTTGCATGGAGCCCCAGACCGAGGGTGATTGACCTTCATCTTGAACTTCTTCCATTTTCTAATAATTGCGCCAACAGTTGTTGCCTTCTCACCAAGCTGCTTGCCTATTGTCCTGTAGCCCATCCCAGCCTTGTGCAGGTCTACAATTTTATCCCTGATGTCCTTACACAGCTCTCTGGTCTTGGCCACTGTAGAGAGGTTGGAGTCTGTTTGATTGAGTGTGTGGACAGGTGTCTTTTATACAGGTAACGAGTTCAAACAGATGCAGTTAATACAGGTATTGAGTGGAGAACAGGAGGGCTTCTTAAAGAAAAACTAAGGTCTGTGAGAGCCGGAATTCTTACTGGTTGGTAGGTGATCAAATACTTATGTCATGCAATAAAATGCAAATGAATTACTTAATCATACAATGTGATTTTCTGGATTTTTGTTTTAGATTCCGTCTCTCACAGTTGAAGTGTACCTATGATAAAAATTACAGACCCCTACATGCTTTGTAAGTAGGAAAACCTGCAAAATCGGCAGTGTATCAAATACTTGTTCTCCCCACTGTATATTTGCAAACAAATATATATATATATATTTTTGTATACCTGCCGTTTAGGGGCCTTTTTTTCCCACTGACATTCTCACTTGACATGCAGGGATCAATCATCTAGCGCATTGTTTCCCAAGCTCGGTCCTGGGGACTCCCAAAGGGTGCATGTTTTGGTTTTTGCCCTAGCACTACACAGCTGATTCAAATAATCAAAGCTTACTGATGAGTTTGGGAAACACTGATCTAGCGCGAGGTGCAGAGTGTGAAATTACCTCGGAGCAGAGCGCCAATCTGCCTTCACGAGAAATTACACTTTGATACCCGTCTGTTAGATACCGGCGTTTATTTGCTACAATGTGAAGCTAAACCCGCCCTTTATAAGAGACGGACGCTTGTTGGAGACATCTTTTTAGGGTCATGTAATAACTGTTGTTTGTTTTCTGTCTAAGGCTCCGCGGAAGTGGGAAGATCTGGTCCAAGTCCAACTGAAGGCAGAGACGCAGAGAGAGAGACCCGGAACACCCCCACTGATCCACTGACAATGGACGGACTGACACACAGGTTGACAGACACGTAGACTCACACAGACTCATAGACTGATAATGTGACCAATGCACAGACAGACAGACAGATTTACACACATCGTACACATTCACGCAAACACACACACACACACACACACACAAATATATACAGACACTGAGTCAGACAGACACACTTGCAGTGAGTGACAGACTGACACCCATTCTGATAGGTGTGTACACACACAACCAGACAGACAGACGGACTATCTGCACTGTGTATATACACAGACCCAAACCCATTCTAACATGTACACAGAGTATAATCTGCACTGGGCAAAGCTTTGCTGCTGTCGGTCTTGTCAGGAGAAGCAGAGCCACAAGCAGTGAAACCGAATGTGTGTATTTGATTGTGTTACACTTTTTGTTTGTTTGTATTTTTTTCTGCTGAGGATTGAGTTAAGACATGTATAAAATCAGGATATTAATTAATTGTTGGTATTAAATTGAACCCCTCTATTAATTTAGTCTCTGTCTCTCTTACTGTTTTTTTGTGCATACTTCAAAGTGCAACTCGAGGTTGCATCACTAGCTAAATGTTAACTCACAGAAGGGGGCTATATGTGTTAGGTCAGACCCTTAATTAGGTTATTCCCAAAGAGACTAATATATTAGAGCACTGGAACTACCCTGTGATCAGTCGGCTTGATTATATACACATACTTCATTTTCTCTGTCACATACACACATCAGACAGACACACACAGGGCATTCATATTTGATATCGGCATATTTTGCCCAAAGCTTCTATTTCACCGTTAAAATTGCCTGTCGGAATTGTCTGCACTCCCTCCCTCGTCCCCCCACAATCACACGCTCCAAATTTCCTTTTTCACGTTCATCCTGTCCGTCTCTCTTGCTCGCTCACTCTCTTTCATTCTCTCTCCTCAGTCTCCCTCTGTTTTCTCTAAAAACCCTCTCCCCCTATCCTGCATGACGTTAATGGTAGCTATTAACTCCCATGGCACCCACAGAGAGAGAGAAAAGGGATAGAGAGACAGGGAAATTATCCTATTCCGTTTTAACCCCATTTCCTCCCTCTTCCCACCTATTTTCTCCCCCTTTCTGTCTCTCGTTCTCCCCCTCTATAAATAGCCGTGTTAATTTCAGACAGTGTGATTGAGCTTTACTGTTTCACAGTTTGCTCGGTTCCTACCAGATGGGAGCTGTGAATTCTAGCAGCTGTACACCTAGGTGTGTGCGTAAAACTTCAGATGTGACTTTGTATGTGTACCTAACTGTGTGTGTGTCCTTCCTTGAACACACAGACTATGGAGTGCTACAGTGTCTGCTGGTTGGACTCAATCAGCCAGTAGTTAACTTTGGAGTGGACATCAGCCAATCAATTACTTTGATTGATCATTAAAATGCCCAGAGGAAATTAAAAAGCAACAGCAGACACTGTCCTTCTCTGTCTGGTCTCTCTCACACCCGCAGCTTCTAATACTTCCAGTAAATTTAGGATTTTCTATGGGTACGTCTCAATAGTCTAAAGTGGTCTCCTGTATCTTATTACAGATATGAAAACACATTAAAGTTTAGGATGATGTAGTGTTGACCTGACGAGCATCACCTGACCTAGGATAAAATAGAGAAGGAGAAGACGGATGATGTCATAATCAGGAAGTATATCTGCACCAGAGCCATATATTTTATATTTTAATACATGGCTTTGATCTGCACTAGAAGCCAAATGGAACTCTCAGTTAATGGATTTGAATGACACAATTAGAACACATGGCTCCCATGTGTATTTCCTGCTCTCTTTTATGACAATCTCTCTTCTCCTTCTCATCCTAAAGTTTAGGACAGATGCTAGGTTGGAGATAAAGGTTAAGACAAAATAATGATAATATCCCATATGTCTTTGCATAAATGAGGAAGAATTCTAAACAAAGGGACCAGCGATGCTAGTTAGAAACAGCACTGGTCCCATGAATCTGTTCATTTTCAAAAGCTTCCTCATGGAATGATTAGGTTGTCCTAACCTGGGTATCTTCAACCTAGGATGGATGAAGGAAAGGAGGCAACTCAGGCCAGTTTAGACAGTTGAGATACATCCACTGTTCTCCTGTAAGGCTGGCCGTCACACATGATCAATTCTATATCTTGTTCCAAGGCCACTGGCCAGTAAAGTCCAGTCAGATACAGTGCTAAAACACCAGTGTTGAGTTTTTATTGTTTTTCCATCATACAGTGGAACCACACGTCTACAGGAATGCTACTGAGAACCAAGGAACACTAGACTGCAGAACGACACGAGTCACGTATGATGTCACAACACTATCTGTACTAGTGTAGTGGAAGTCCAGAGGGTAATTTCTCAAAGCTGGTGGAAGAGTTGGACAGGTACATTACCCTAATATCCTACAGTACACACTAGTGTAAGCTTTGACGTCGGAGCAGAATTTCAATAGAAACAACAGATGATGGTAAATTGACTCAACTCTGGACTGTATCATTTATACCCATTGTGTTTACCTGCCACCACCATTGATTGTACCACATGTATCGTTTGATTGTACTGATTGCAATATATGCAAATGTATTGCACACTGTTTGCACCACTCTTTTCATATACAACAAGGTTAACTTTCCACAAATTCCGTGGTTTTCTAGAAATCCCAGTTGGAACATTCTTGTATTTCCTTCCCTCCTAATTCCAGGAATCTTCCAACCGGGATTTCTGGAAAACCCGGGACTCTTGGGAAAATTACAGAATTTCACAACCCTATATAGAACAGTATTATATAAACCCAGCTCATCCTCATACTCCAGAGAGAAAATAACTTGCTCACAAAGGCACGGCAAAGAAGCGAGAAAATTAAAGGAACAAATCAAGAGAATAATTTTGGGAATAAAAGACATTGCAAATGTGGTAGCTGCAGTGGGCCTATTTGCATTCCAAGCTTCCAAGCGGGAGTAAACAGCGATTTTTGGACCGTGTCGTGTTAAGTACATTGGCTGCTGGCGACAACCTTGCCAAACAGCTTTGTGAAATACCCCCTTCAGTCCTAGGAAACAGGGATTGTTTTAACCCTTCACCAGCTAGCTGAACACCTATATTTCAGTTTCAGATAACACACATATTTCACTTTCAACCAAGTTTCAATAACCAAGTCCACTATTTAGTCATATTACAAGGTTCAGCTACACAATATACCTGTATGAAATATTACAAATAGCCCCATATAGCAATGCGGTTTTGGCACCGGCGGGAATAAAAGGTTCTATCGATATCTAACACTGTTTGCTTGTGAATTAGGTAAAGCAGAGGGAGCTGTACGTGTGTTGCTGCTACAGCCTGGGGCAGTACAGACAGAGGAATATAAAACAGTGGATGGTTTGGTCCGTCTACAGTGACAGAGAGCCATAGAAAACTGGAGAAAAGAGATTTAACAGCAAAGCACAGAGGCACAGGAGGAAGGAAGGGATGAGATTGGGCTTTTCTAGACCTCCTTCGGGAGGAAGGGATGGGGGGAAAAATAGGGTTTGCCATGGCTGGATACCTGGTTTCCTGATTTTCATTTTCACAGTCAAAGATAAATAGAGGACGTGGTGGGCCGCGGTGGGCACACCCTCTGGCGGTGTTGATGTTCTAAGTCGCATCCCGTGGAAATGTGTGTCAAATCGAAAACGGTCGCCTTAGAGGTTCACCACGGGGATCCTGACGGAGAGAGAGAGAGAGATGATATCTTATGTGCCGAACTAGAGTAAGGGGAATAGAGATAGAGAGAGATGAGACGATATGTGCCGAACTAGAAGAAGGGGAATAGAGATAGAGAGGGGCAGAGGAAAATGGTTAAGGTACAGGAGGAGGACAGAACTGGAAAAATGGAGGAGGAGAGGGGGAAAAGAGCACTTATAGAATTAGAACATAATACGTTATTAGTATTATATAACACTAGAGTAGGGAGAATTTGGAGTAGGTGAAAGAGAAGTATGAAAACTAGAGTAGGGGAAAGAAAGAGAGAAGGCTGAAGTAGACCTGGAGCAGAGGGGGAGAAAGAGGATAGGAGAGGATAGAAAGGACAAGAAGGAGAACTTGATGGGGGGAGGAGGAGAGGAGACACTAGGAGAACTGGAGTAGAGTCCAATTATCCCGATTGAAATTAACTTTAAATCCCCGGCTATAAAAGCATCATTTCATGGATTGTGCGCTCATTGCTTCCAGAGCTGTATGACTCATAGGAGAGGAAGTTCTAAAACACACATACATCTCATAGCCCTAACACTTCAGGCCTGTGTACACTATTGCCTAACTATGCACATGTACTGTTATGATGCTCATACACCACAAAGGGAGAGGGACCAACCACTCCTCGACACACCATCCACTCACTGACAAACAAACACACACATGCATCCACGCATGCAGACATAAATTGATTCAGAGTCATACACAAACGCGCACACACACACACAGACAAATCAATGTACTAACAACTCCACACAAATACACTCTCCCTCTCTCTCCAGTGAGCTGGTGAGGCGACTCATTACCTCTCCCTGTCGGTAAAGGAGGGGGTGCCGTGCAGCGTCTGGCGGCTGTCCTCCAGAGCCAGAGAACGAGGGAGGGCGAGAGAGAGGGGGGGGGGCACGCCACGGGAAAGCGGGGGTGGGTGCTGGGAACAGCTGCGGTCGTAACTGGCAGAGAGAGAGAGAGAGACGGAGTAAGAGAGAGAGACGGAGAGCGAGACTGAGTGAGAGGAAAAGAGGGAATGACAGAGCCATTTAGCAGCGGCGAACACATTACACTGCCTCTAAGAGAGAGTTAATGCACTCATTTCACTCATTAAAGCACTATCAGAGGAGAGGGAGAAGAGGAGAGAGGTTGAGAGAAAGGGAGGGAGAGAGAGAAAGGGAGTGTGGTGGTCGAGGTTGAAATAGCGGGTTGAAAAAGAAAGAAAGAAAGAAAGAAAGAGAAAGAAAGAGGGTAAAGAGGTGAAGGAAACAGAGCGTGTGAGAGCGAGGGTAAAGAGAAAGGGGGATGGGGAGAAATGAAAAGAGAGAGAGAGGGGGAGAGATGAAATGAGAGAGAGAGGAAGGGTTACAGGGCTGATGTGGGGAAACATTATTCCAATTACGTGTATGAGTTATGATGTTGTTGGCACAGTGAGAGTCACAGGTACAGTATACACACAGCTCTTTAGAGCACTCACACACAACAAAGCCTGTTTCACAGTCACACACTGTAGATCACAGACACGCAGTTCCAGTCAAACTATCCACATTACATGTAAACACACACACACACACACACACAAGATATTCACCAGGATTCATACCAGATGGTGAAACGTTCTCCAACATCGATTATCACAATCAATTATTAATTATATTCAATGCTATACTGTCTCTCCTCTATTCAATCCCCTACTGTTACCCATCAAAAACCTGCCCTCCATTCCTCACCACAATTTACCCCCTATATTTACAGTCATATTGAAACTGCAACATAAGCCCACACATACACAACACAGAGAGAGAGAGATACTGTTGCTCCAATTAAGCACTCCAACAACACTTGTTTCCAGCACACACACTGTAAAGTCAGCACACGCACTTTTAACCAGCCTACAGTGGAGGATAATTAAGTTAGCTAAACACAGAAACACTTAGAGCAGGTTTCAGAGAGAGCGAGAGAGCGAGACAGAGAGAGATGGAGTTTATCGTATATCGGCACACAGTGAGCAGAGGGATTATCTGACGATCTGGAGCTGGCCCGTGGCAGCGCTGGGAGTGATAGGAGACTGGGGAAGAAGATAAGGATACTATGTGATGATCAAGGATCAACCAGAACCCAGTATTACTGAAAGGTGATGAAGCTAAATTAAAGTAAAGGATGAAGAATGGGGATGAGAAAGAGAGTGAGAACGAAGAGAAGAGAGAGAGGGGGGATTGAAAAGAGAGAGGGGAGACAGGAATGAGGGAGAGAAATTAAGAGTGACAGAAGGTAAGAAAAATAGAGCAGGGGAAAGAGAGAAAAAGAGCGATTGAGAGACAAATGGGAGAATAGGAGTGAAAGAGAGTGAAATAGTGAGAGTAGGTGGGAAAAAAGAGGCCTCCAAATAAATGAAGCGATTAGCACGAGCCCTGCTCTACATTCCAGAGATCAGTCTTCATTTGATGTTAGAGTACGCACAACACACACCCAGCTGATTTTATAGGTGAACGGTACATCAAACATCATATGAAAGCAAAAGAGAAAACCCACAAACTGTTTAGATGCTACCGGCATGTAGCAACACAGCGTCATGGATATCAAGACCCAAAGTGGTTGAAATTGCGCCACCTTAAACCTCTGACCGCCTCTAAACATTTCATCCGCTATCTAGAGCCGAGTTTTACCATTCCCATGTTCAAACAAATAACACTGTTGATATGCCCTGATGTACATAAAAAATATGTTTCAGAGAAGGGGTAGAAAGAGAAAGAAGGGGGGGGGGGGGGGAGAATGGGGGAAAGAGAGAGGATTCTTACCAGAGTTTGGCTGTAATGATGACAGCAGTCAGGATGAGCAGAGAGGAGATGGTCACAGTGACGTAGAACTGAGGGTCCACTGGAGGAGGACACACACACACGAACACACAGAGGAGTTACCTTTCACATGGTTGGAAATCAGCACAATAGAAGGAACAATCAAATCAGCACCATAGAAGAAAACCAGGGTAATGTTCATTATAGCATGCAATGGAAAATGCTTTGAAATGTTTTGCAACCGAAAACAAAAATGAGCGTTTCTTATTGGACCAGGTAGACCGTCCCTGTTTCAGTCATTTTTCTTCCGTTTGGAGCCTTATGAATAACCCAGGTCAACTGCAATGATGCAAGAAAAAAATCACAACTCTGCTTTTAGAGAGTGCCCATACTGTCAGTACAGCAACTCAAAAGAGAATGAGCCGATGAAGTCATCCATTCCATCGCTTGGTGTGTGATGTCACCCATTTCCTTTTTGTGTGTTTTTGTAAGTTCAGAAAACTCTATTAAGTATTCTCCACCACCAAGACGCAGCCATCCATCCACACAAAGCCAGCCCAGCGGGAATTTAAGTTATTCCCTGATGCCCAAGTTCTTCTGATGTCTTTGTTCCAAAACACTCTGTTCTCATGCCCACCAATACAAATCCTTTCTTTTAAAAATCTTTACTAATTTCTACGGTGCCCACCTTCCTCAGGCTCTCTCTCCTCCGCCTCACTTCTTCCATCTTCCACTCCCTCTGCGTCCGGGGCCTCCAGCAGGTCCAGGGGCTCCTGGGGCAAAGCACTGCCCGGTGCACTCTGATGATGCGGCCAGGCCTCGACGGTTGTCGTGGGGACTTCATGCCCATGGTGATGCAGGTCTGCTTCCTGGCTGGACAGGATGTTATGAGTCTCGTCCTCCAGAGGTAGAGTGGGGCCCCAGTCCACAGACCAAATAGGGGTGGGTGTGACCTGTCCTGTGACGGACAGCTGGGCCGAGAGGGCCTCCACCTGCCCCTCGCCCTCGTCGTCACGGTTACAGGTTGAGGGTCGCGTCACCGCGGCAACCAGGAGGAAGAAAAGGCAGCGGAGGGCGGTCAGTCGTTTGACAGGAGAGATGGAGCTGAGAGAGAGAGGAGAGATAGAGGGAAGGAAGGAAGGAAGGAAGGAAGGAAGGAAGGAAGGAAGGAAGGAAGGAAGGAAGGAAGGAAGGAAGGAAGGAGAGAAAAGAAGAGAGAGACGGAGGGAGAAATAAAGAGAAGCAGAAAGAGGTGGGAGAGAAAAGGAGGGAGACAGAAAGAGAATTAGAGCACGATTAACATTACAAATGCATTGTCCACTGTCTAACTGGACTCCTCATGCAACATGCATACAACCAGATGGTCTGACTCTGTGTCTGTCTAAACATCCTCTCACTCTCTCCATCTTACCATCTCTCCATCGCTTCGTTCTGTTCACTGAGCCCCCACTCCTCCGATCATCTCTCTCTCTGAGAGGAAAGAAGAAAAAGAAAAGAGAGAAAGAGCGAAAGAGAGAGAGAGGGAGGGTTCACTTCTCTTCTGACAGACTGATATTGAAAATGTAAACAGACACTCATAGACAGCAGTACAGGAATACACACATCCCTCTCCCTCCTGGGCAGTGGCACTCCTGGCTGTCCAAAATGAGCACTTAATTATGCCACATGCTTATACAGTTCGCGCATCAGACACGCACGCACACACACACACACACCTGTGCAAAAAACATTCATCATACGCATGCATGGAGCCAATATCCCATATGGTGCTACTTTTAGCTCTAGAAAGATTGACTTCATATCTACTACCGCTGTCACTCACTCAAACAGACTGACACACACTCTCTATCGCTCTCCCCCCTCACACACACACACACACACACCAGCAGACAACTCACTGTCACACAAGCACGCACACCACATTCACATATATCAGTTAACATGCCTACCTCTGGCTGAAGAGAGAGGGAATGAGAGAGACAGCGAGAAAGGGGGAGATATAGAGAGCAAGTGGGAAAAGGCATTGGTTGCCTTAGCGACAGAAACATGTAGAGTCAGAGAGAGAGAGAGAGAGAGAGGGAGGGAGGAGGATGGAGGGAGACTGTAGGAAAGAGATTGAAATATTAATTATGCTTTTAACTTGTTCAATTAAATGGACAGCAAAAAAATGAAATGGATTTGAAGACGAAAATAATGAAGATACAGATATTAATATTCTAATTTTGGGGGCAGAAGAAAAAAGTATTCTGTTATGTTTAGAAAAAACTGAGACAAGCCAGAGGGAGAGAGAGTGGTGAGACGGAGAGGTGGAGGAAAATCAATATACATTAATTTACACTAGGACAGGATTGAGTGGGGTGATGAACAGAATAACTGGTGTTCATAATAAACAGTGACACCGCAGGGGTACACAATATGTAGGATAAATATTTGGAGGCAGGAAGGTCACAGTGTGACAGCTTTATTGCATACATGAAACAACAACATTTACATAGAAAATGATCTGTCTCTCGCTCACACTCTCTCTCCGTATGCTCGCTCTCCACCTCCGCCACTCTCTCAATCTGTCACACTTCACTCCCCCCCTCTCTCTCCTTCTCCTCTGTCCCCCTCACTCCCTCCCTCTCGCCTTAGTTGCTCTTCATGCTGTGAGGCGCAGCGTCTTGGGCTTGGTGGCGGCGGGTGGCGTGAAACTGGCTCTCACTGGAGAACACAGCGAAGCCACGATGTCGAGCCAGACTCTGATGCATCTTGGGATGTGTAGTCCTCTTCTTTGTCATCATCGTAATCTACAGTAACGTGGGGAGTCATAGTTAAACGTGTGTCTAATAGTGGATGTAATAGTGGATGAATAATGGACTTGTGATTGATATAGATATAAATTGATATTATTAGGAATACAGTAGGAACCTGTTGATAGTGATTACTTCCTTAGAGAAAAGAAAACAGCAACAGCCAACAATGGACCAAAACTATCCTTTTTCAGTAAATGCGCTTTTAAATGCGCTTTAGGGCTCGATTCAAACCGTAGCGCTGATGATCTTCGCTGTAGGTCATTTCCGATTGAGCCGACATATGCAGCGTTTGCCGTGAATGCATTCTCCGCGAACGTGGGAACGTTGCTTTAAAATTTCTACCGCTCTGTAGCGCAGGTCTTTAGCGCTACGGATTGAATCGAGCCCATAGTCTTTATCAAAGCTATCAATCTTGAAGTTACTTAGATATATTCTTACAGCTACTTTTTTGGATGTGATTTATATAGATTTGTCTACAGCTGGAGCTAAAGAAGACACTTTGAACAAATGGCTTCTTGCCGTAGAAACACTTTGCGACATGTTGCTTTGAGTTTTTCTGATCTATGTATATTATTGGTGTTTGTGTTTCAGCCCGCTGTTACCCCCCTCCTCACCATCACTGTCCTCCTCGTCCTCGGAATCTCCCTCTGATTCCATCAGGGAGGCGTCCAATCGACTGTCTCGCTTCGTTGTGACATCACCCCTGTGACAACATCACCATTAGACACCGACAGTCCATATTGTTCTTGTTATACTGTTGCATATACAGTGCATTCGGAAAGTATTCAGACCCCTTGACTTTTTCCACATTTTGTTACGTTACAAGTTTTTTTTTAAATCCCCCTCACCAATCTACACACAATATTTCATAATGACAAAGCAAAAACAGGTTTTTAGAAATTGTAGCAAATGTATTACAAAGCCCCCCGGAAATATCACATTTACACAAGTATTCAGACCCTTTACTCAGTACTTTGTTGAAGCACCTTTGGCAGCGATTACAGCCTTGAGTCTTCTTGGGTATGACGCTACAAGCTTGGCACAACTGTATTTGGGGAGTCTGTTCCATTCTTCTCTGCAGATCCTCTCAAGCTTTGTAAGGTTGGATGGAGAGCGTCGCTGCACAGCTATTTTCAGGTCTCTCCAGAGATGTTCGATTGGGTTCTGGCTGGGCCACTCAAGGACATTCAGAGACTTGTCCCGAAGCCACTCCTGCTTTGTCTTGACTGTGTGCTTAGGGTCGTTGTCCTGCTGGAAGGTGAACCTTCGCCCCAGTCTGAGGTTCTGAGCGCTCTGGAGCAGGTTTTCATCAAGGATATCTCTGTACTTTGCTCCGTTCATCTTTCCCTCGATCCTGACTAGTCTCCGAGTCCCTGCTGCTGAAAAACATCCCCACAGCATGATGCTGCCACCACCATGCTTCACCGTAGGGATGGTGCCAGGTTTCCTCCAGACGTGACACTTGGCATTCAGGCCAAAGAGTTCAATCTTGGTTTCATCAGACCAGAGAATCTTGTTTCTCATGGTCTGAGAGTCCTTTAGGTGCCTTTTGGCAAATTCCAAGCGGGCTGTCATGTGCCTTTTACTGAGGAGTGGCTTCCGTCTGGCCACTCTACCATAAAGGCCTGATTGGTAGAGTGCTGCAGAGATGGTTGTCCTTCTGGAAGGTTCTCCCATCTCCACAGAGGAACTCTGGAGCTCTGTTTGAGTGATCATCGGGTTCTTGGTCACCTTCCTGACCAAGGCCCTTTTCCCCCGATTGCTCAGTTTGGCCGGGCGACCAGCTCAGGTGTGCCAAGCTTGTAGCGTCATACCCAAGAAGAATCGAGGCTTTAATCGCTGCCAAAGGTGCTTCAACAAAGGGTCTGAATACTTATGTAAATGTTTTATTTCTGTACCCCAAAGAAAATGCTTTGTCATTATGGGGTATTGTGTGTAGATTGATGAGGGAAAAAAAACAATTTAATCAATTTTAGAATAAGGCTGTAACGTAACAAAATGTGGAAAAAGTCAATGGCTCTGAATATTTTCAGAATGCACTGTACATAAAACATTATGCCGGATTAAAACACAATAAAGCCTGAAGGCTTATTTCCATTGTGGTCCTCATATGTCAGTAGCCTACATGCATGGGATCAAGTCCCAGTTCCATCGCTAGTTCGGAAGAAACTCTCTTCTCTCTTCCCTGTCATTCTAGACCCCTCTCTTTTACAAAAAATAAAAACAAATATTATCCAACTGACATTGGTTTAGTGTAGAGCACATGAAGAACTGAGGATAGGGGCATATGAGTAATAGTTCACTTTTTGTCAGGTGCACCCATAAAGAACTTCGGAGTTCTATTAAACTACAAATCATTAAATCATCAGATCAGTATTCATTGATCTAGATGAGTACTGACAGAAAGGTGTTGAGCCCACCTCTGCTTCCCGGAGCTGGGGAGCTGCTCCCACACCGTAAGGTCACGACCCCCGGTGACCCAGCGGTGACCCCCACTGCCCGTGAGCCACGCCGCAAAGCAAAGGATTCTCGGAGCATCCGCACAGGTCAGCGAGGCCAGGTACCTGCACTGAGGTAGAGAGAACACTGGGAGAGATGGAAGGAGAATAGGAGGGGGAGAGAGAGAGGGGGAGAAGGAGAGAGAAAAAGTTGATGAAAACCTAAATAGATTGCGGTAACAATGCATTCTATGAACAGCGTGGCTCTATAGGTTGGCAATAGTACCATAATATTCAAGGAACAACTAGTTGTGTTAGCATTACTCACAGTTCAGGGTACTTTCCCCATTCGCCAAATCGTAGCATGAGCCAATGAGGAGTCCCCCTGTCTGATGTACACAATCTGTTACTCCAGCGATGCTGCTGTGATTGGTTAGCCTGCACACGGTGCCTGTGGTGATTGGAGAGAGGAAGGGTAAACATCAGATAGTACACAGATCGGTAAGGTCTAGCAATGCACCGTATTAAAGCTGGCTCTTCTATATCGTGCACGCATTCACTCACACACACACTGCTTCTCACCTGTCCTCCAGTTGAGGATCCTGAGGTTGGCTCTGCCATAGGCAACGAAGAGCCTGTCGCCACGAGGACTGAGGGTCAGACGACCTCCCTGACTCCCGCAGCCTGTTACCTTGGCATCCCAGTGATGTAACAGCCGCAGGGGGTCACGGTTGGTGCAGAGCCCCTCCCACACAGAAACCCCCCCCTCTGCTGAGCTGCTGAACACAAGGGGACCCTGGGACTGTGGAAGATAGAGAGGGGGGCAGTTGTCATGGAGACTGAATGCAGCGGCTGAATACAATGCATGGATAAAGGTGTGTGTGTGTGTGCATGTATGTGTCTGTGCGTGCATGCATGCTTGTGTGCGTGTGTGCGTGGTCTCACATGGCTTTGCATTATTAATTAACAAAGAAGGTGGGGATGGTGCTTTCACTGCTTTGGCTTAAATGTGTTGCGCATGTAACGCTACATGAATGTAAGTCTTAAAGGCCCAGTGCTGTCAAAAACGTGATTTTCTTGTGTTTTATATATATTTCCACACTATGATGTTGGAATAATACTGTGAAATTGCAAATATTATGATAATGCCCTTTTAGTGTAAGAGCTGTTTGAAAAGGCAGCTGAAAATGTCAGCCTGTTTTGATGGGATTGTCGTTTCGGCCTGCCTGGTGACAAATTAGTTTATAGACCAATAAGAAAGACAGTTCCAAATCTCTCTCCAATAACAGCTAGTTTTCCCCTCCCCACTCAGAACACTCCCTGACAGAATTGGCTCTTTGCTAAGAAGCAATTTTTATTTCTCTTTGACCATTTACATTTAAAACAATCACAGTAAGGTACTTAATTGTTACCAAGAAATATTTGATATTGAGACCAAAACAGCTACATTGGACCTTTAAACTATGTATTTGAACAGCTTACGCCCCCAAGGAACCTTACAAAGTATTTTAGCCAAACATGTATAGTCAATTTCTGATCCTCTATACCAGGGTTTCTTACTCTACGGGTCGGGACCCAAAGTGGGCCCTGGGCATGACAGAGTCTATAATCACACACTAATTCTTCTTAATTTGGGTCGTTGGAGGACGATTTGGGTCACGGAAGGACGGTCAATTGCTCATTTGGGCCTCGAGCTGGAAAAGTTGAAGAAACGCTGCTCTATACTTCTAGCAAATATAATGTATTTATATTTGAAAGTAACAAAAAACGAAAAGAGCACTGAATACTATTTTGAACCTCTTTGGAATCTATATATCTTCCTAATCATTTATCTTAAATAATAATATATTTCCACACTGCCTACAAGTGTGTAGCCTATAAGAAATTCGGTCCTTCAGGCAGCCATTTTTGTTTCTGCCTCAGCCAATTTGTTTGGCGTGACAACAACTAAGTTGGCTAAAGCACACACAGACCTGGCAACGGTGCAGAAATATTTGCTTTAATTTCAGCAAGGCCTTGATGAAAACACAAGTTCATGTTCATTAGGGCGCACAACAGAAAACAAAAATGATTGTTTGTTATTGGACTAGTTTCAGTCCATTTTCTTCAGTTTGAACACTATAGCTTAAAAGTCTAGAATGTGACACTATTGGCTCTTGATTACGGCAGCCACCTGTAGGGAGGTGACAGCCTCCTCATGGGCATTGATTGATTGACAGTTGTCCATGGTTTGCCAGCTCCAGGCCTGAACTTTACCCCCATCTGCAGACAGAGGGAGAGAGAGAGGGAGGGGATAAATGTAGAGTGAGGGAGAGGTAGATAGAAAGAGAGAGAGAGAGGGGGGGTGAAGGGAGAAGGAGAGAGAGAAAGAGAGAGAGAGAGAGAGAGAGAGACTGGGAGAGAACGAGAGGTTAAATAGGCCTGACAGTTGCTGGCAGACATTACTGATGGCTTGCATAAATACCTGTGAGCCTGAGTCTCCTCATTTGTCTGCCTCTATCAGTCTGACTACACCTACTGTCTACTGCAGGGGTAGGCAACCCTGGTCCTGGAGTGCCGCAGGCACTTCATGTTTTTGATTTAACCAACCTGGAAGACCAGGTGTGTTGAATTTTGGCAATCACTGAACTGACCAATTAGCTCAGTTGGTCAGGTGTGGTGCCTAGTTGGAACAAAATCCTGTGGCACCCCAGGAACAGGGTTGCCTACCTCTGGTCTACTGAGTCTCTCATAGACAGTCACAGACACACAAACATATAAATACACACACACACACACACACCGACCCACAGAAACTGCATCCACACAGACCTGATCCAGTGATGATGTAGCCATCACCTTCAGGCACGAAGCAGAGAGCAGTCACCGCATTAAAGGTGTAGATGGACTTTACACACTGGCCTGGATGGAGAGGGGAACACTGATTTAATTGTCCACAACACCCACATGCAATTGCGCAGGCACACGCAAACACACCACATAGACGCACACAAGAACTCACCCAGACAAAGCTGTAGGGCTCAGACTGTGTGTGTACAGTGGCTTGCGAAAGTATTCACCCCACCTTGGCATTTTTCCTATTTTGTTGCCTTACAACCTGGAATTAAAATTGATTTTTGTGGGGTTTGTATAATTTGATTTACACAACATGCCTACCACATTGAAGACCAACATATTTTTTGTGTGAAACAAACAAGAAATAAGACAGAAAAACAGAAAACTTGAGCGTGCATAACTATTCACCCCCCCCCAAAGTCAATACTTTGTAGAGCCATCTTTTGCAGCAATTACAGCTGCAAGTCTCTTGGGGTATGTCTCTATCAGCTTGGCACATCTAGCCACTGGGATTTTTTCCCATTCTTCAAGGCAAAACTGCTCCAGCTCCTTCAAGTTGGATGGGTTCCGCTGGTGTACAGCAATCTTTAAGTCATACCACAGATTCTCAATTGGATTGAGGTCTGGGCTTTGACTAGGCCATTCCAAGACATTTAAATGTTTCCCCTTAAACCACTCAAGTGTTGCTTTAGCAGTATGCTTAGGGTCATTGTCCTGCTGGAAGGTGAACCTCCGTCCCAGTCTCAAATCTCTGGAAGACTGAAACAGTTTTCCCTCAAGAATTTCCCTGTATTTAGCGCCATCCATCATTCCTTCAATTCTGACCAGTTTCCCAGCCCTGCGATTAAAAACATCCCCACAGCATGATGCTGCCACCACCATGCTTCACTGTGGGGATGGTGTTCTCGGGGTGATGAGAGGTGTTTGGTTTGCGCCAGACATAGCGTTTTCCTTGATGGCCAAAAAGCTCAATTTTAGTCTAATCTGACCAGAGTACCTTCATCCATATGTTTGGGGAGTCTCCCACATGCCTTTTGGCGAACACCAAACGTGTTTGCTTATTTTTTTCTTTAAGCAATGGCTTTTTCTGGCCACTCTTCCGTAAAGTCCAGCTCTGTGGAGTGTACGGCTTAAAGTGGTCCTATGGACCGCTGTGGAGCTTTGCAGTTCCTTCAGGGTTATCTTTGGTCTCTTTGTTGCCTCTCTGATTAATGCCCTCCTTGCCTGGTCCGTGGGTTTTGGTGGGCGGCCCTCTCTTTTCAGGTTTGTTGTGATGCCATATTCTTTCCATTTTTTAATAATGGATTTAATGGTGCTCTGTGGGATGTTCAAAGTTTCTGATATTTTTTTATAACCGAACCCTGATCTGTACTTCTCCACAACTTTGTCCCTGACCTGTTTGGAGAGCTTCTTGGTTTTCATGGTGCCACTTGCTTGGTTGTGCCCCTTGCTTAGTGATGTTGCAGACTCTGGGGCCTTTCAGAACATGTGTATATATACTGAGATCATGCAAAACTTAGATTGCACAAAGGTGAACTTTATTTAACTAATTATGTGACTTCTGAAGGTAATTGGTTGCACCATATCTTATTTAGGGGCTTCATAGCAAAGGGGGTGAATACATATGCACGCACCACTTTTCCGTTATTTATTGTTTTTACTTTTTTGAAATAAGTTATTTTTTTCATTCCACTTCACCAATTTGGACTATTTTGTGTATGTCCATCACATGAAATCCAAATAAAAATCAATTTAAATAACAGGTTGTAATGCAACAAAATAGGAAAAACGCCAAGGGGGATGAATACTTTTGCAAGACACTGTGTGTGTGTGTGTGTGTGTGTGTGTGTGTGTGTGTGCACGCGTGCGTGCGGTGAACTCACCAGTGCTTAAGGCCCAGATCCTCACACAGCAGTCTGCTGAGCCACTCAGGATGAACCTCTCCTTGTCTCCCAGAGATCGATCCCAGGCTAGAGAAAGAGAGAGAAAGATTTACAGTAGGGAGGAAGAGGGGGGAACGGAGGGGAAGAGACAAGGGGGGGTTGAACAGAAGAAAGAGATGGACAGAAATGTGAGGGAGAAAATTATAATGATTTGTTATCATTGTACAGTTCATGGTCAGTATGCATATAATTATCATCCATGTTGTTATTGATTTAATATGATACACTGCTCCAAAAAAAAAGGGAACACTTAAACAACACATCCTAGATCTGAATGAATGAAATAATCTTATTAAATACTTTTTTCTTTACATAGTTGAATGTGCTGACAACAAAATCACACAAAAATAATCAATGGAAATCAAATGTATCAACCCATGGTGGTCTGGATTTGGAGTCACCCTCAAAATTAAAGTGGAAAACCACACTACAGGCTGATCCAACTTTGATGTAATGTCCTTAAAACAAGTCAAAATGAGGCTCAGTAGTGTGTGTGGCCTCCACGTGCCTGTATGACCTCCCTACAACGCCTGGGCATGCTCCTGATGAGGTGGCGGATGGTCTCCTGAGGGATCTCCTCCCAGACCTGGACTAAAGCATCCGCCAACTCCTGGACAGTCTGTGGTGCAACGTGGCGTTGGTGGATGGAGCGAGACATGATGTCCCAGATGTGCTCAATTGGATTCAGGTCTGGGGAACGGGCGGGCCAGTCCATAGCATCAATGCCTTCCTCTTGCAGGAACTGCTGACACACTCCAGCCACATGAGGTCTAGCATTGTCTTGCATTAGGAGGAACCCAGGGCCAACCGCACCAGCATATGGTCTCACAAGGGGTCTGAGGATCTCATCTCGGTACCTAATGGCAGTCAGGCTACCTCTGGCGAGGACATGGAGGGCAGTGTGGCCCCCCAAAGAAATGCCACCCCACACCATGACTGACCCACCACCAAACCGGTCATGCTGGAGGATGTTGCAGGCAGCAGAACGTTCTCCATGGCGTCTCCAGACTCTGTCACTTCTGTCACATGTGCTCAGTGTGAACCTGCTTTCATCTGTGAAGAGCACAGGGCGCCAGTGGCCGAATTTGCCAATCTTGGTGTTCTCTGGCAAATGCCAAACGTCCTGCACGGTGTTGGGCTGTAAGCACAACCCCCACCTGTGGACGTCGGGCCCTCATACCACCCTCATGGAGTCTGTTTCTGACCGTTTGAGCAGACACATGCACATTTGTGGCCTGCTGGAGGTCATTTTGCAGGGCTCTGGCAGTGCTCCTCCTGCTCCTCCTTGCACAAAGGCGGAGGTAGCGGTCCTGCTGCTGGGTTGTTGCCCTCCTACGGCCTCCTCCACGTCTCCTGATGTACTGGCCTGTCTCCTGGTAGCGCCTCCATGCTCTGGACACTACGCTGACAGACACAGCAAACCTTCTTGCCACAGCTCGCATTGATGTGCCATCCTGGATGAGCTGCACTACCTGAGCCACTTGTGTGGGTTGTAGACTCCGTCTCATGCTACCACTAGAGTGAAAGCACCGACCAGCATTCAAAAGTGACCAAAACATCAGCCAGGAAGCATAGGAACTGAGAAGTGGTCTGTGGTCACCACCTGCAGAACCACTTCTTTATTGGGGGTGTCTTGCTAATTGCCTATAATTTCCACCTGTTGTCTATTCCATTTGCACAACAGCATGTGAAATTTATTGTCAATCAGTGTTGCTTCCTAAGTGGACAGTTTGATTTCACAGAAGTGTGATTGACTTGGAGTTACATTGTGTTGTTTAAGTGTTCCCTTTATTTTTTTGAGCAGTGTATATTCCCGAGTTCTCGTCTTGGCAATGTAAGCCTGACTTATGCCAAAGAAGCTCATGGAATCAGAGAAAAAACCTGGAGAGAGAGATAGAGATACGTAGAGGGGGAGCGTGGGAGGAGAGACAGAAAGGGCAGAGAAGTTCAAGTAGTGCAACGATCCCTCCTTCAGTCAGAATGAGGTAACCCAGAGTGACTGCTGCTGCTAGTTCTCTCCATGGATTTCACATGATGAACTAAAACTATAATTATACTGCCTGAAATCAGGATGCCTGACTGAGAATAAGGGTGTAGGGGTGTGTGTGTGTGTGTGTGTGTGTGTATGCGTGCGTGTACACGTTTTACTATACTTGTAGGTACCAGAAGTCTTCACACAAATAGTAAACCGGTCCTCACTTGTATAAAGGCTATTTTAGGCTTAGGGGTTAGGTTTAGGGTTAGGGTTAGAATTAGTGGTTAGGTTTAGGGTTAGAATTAGGGGTAAGGTTGAGGGTTAGGAGTTAGGGTTAGAATTAGGGGTTAGGTAGGGTTAGGAGTTAGGGTTAGGGTTAGTATAGTAAGACATAGCTGTGTGGGTGTGTGTGCGTGTGTGTGTGTGTCCATTCCCTACCTAGTCTCCTACAGTATTCAGGCGGCGGGGCAGACAGACAGGTGACCCCACCAGTGTGACCTCCCAGATTCCGCTGCTCTGTTGCCGTAGGAACATGCCACACCTTTACTGTTGTGTCTCGACTGAGAGAGAGAAATATAGAGAGAGAGAGATGGAGAGAACAACAGAGATATTAAGTCAGTGTGAGACAGAGAGTGAGAGCAGACACGGTTCAAGTAGTTCAATAACACTGCTAACACTGCTCAGTCGAGAATGGCTCTCTTAGTGTAGGAGGAGAAAGTTAGCATGTCAGAGTTACAGAGAGAGGAGGAGGGAGAAAGAAAGAATGAAAGAGAAAAAATAAAGAAAAAGAGAGAAAGAAAGAAAATTAATGAAAGAAATTAATTGAATTATTCACAGTTATGAGATCTATTATTAAATCGGAGAATGACTCACTTACCTGCCGGAGATCACCAGGTTGTCAACGGCAACCACACAGGTGATGATGTCACTGTGACCCTCCAGCGACCTCAAGCGAAACTTTGCTTTCTCCCATGATGCTTTGAGAGCTGTAAACTCGGCATCTGATAAAAAAGGGACCCATCATAATCACCATGAACCCAGAACCCAAGTCTTGCGTGAACTTCTTTACAAAGGGCCCGATTCAGACTTGTACGCCTTTCCTATGCACATCTCAGTAGTTGGTATTCAGGCTTTGTGCAGGTGCGTAACAGGCTTTGCAGGCGTGGTTCCCTTGCGTGTGCTGAATAAATGTAATTAAACCGCTGAAAACCCTTCCACTTGATGGCCAAAATATTTCCCCTGAGTTTTCATTCAATAGGGTTTTCAGTACATTTATCTAAAGCCATCCCTTTAAATTTGGTGTTCCTTTAATTAGAATATATGGAGAGAGCGGTTCAGAATATTAGGGATCAATGAAAGAAAGCCATGTAAATACACGCATATTCGTCTCCTTTTCAGCACCTATTGGTCGATTTAAAAATACTCAGATCTTTTTAGGGTTAGGAAAGCATTTATGAATAATTAAAAAACAGGTTTGGAGAGCATTTACGCAAAAAATATATTGGTAAATCAAAAATATAGTTGCTTGATTCATCCTGAACGTTTCCATATTCAATTAATAAATCCATGAAATATTGAAAGGTGAGAAAAGTGTACAATAGGGGTTGAAAAGTTGTCCTATAAAGCTACCCTAATAATCCTCACTAATCATGGAATTGTGATGACAACGGTACAGTCGTCGTGAACCGTGTGCCAGGCTCCAGGTTTAAACTACTACAGTGGCTTGCGAAAGTATTCACCCCCCTTGGCATTTTTCCTATTTTGTTGCCTTACAACCTGGAATTAAAAATGTTTGGGGGGTTTGTATCATTTGATTTACACAACACTTTGAAGATGCAACATTTTTTTCCCATTCTTCAAGGCAAAACTGCTCCAGCTCCTTCAAGTTGGATGGGTTCCGCTGGTGTACAGCAATCTTTAAGTCATTCCACAGATTCTCAATTGGATTGAGGTCTGGGCTTTGACTAGGCCATACCTCCGTCCCAGTCTCAAATCTCTGGAAGACTGAAACAGGTTTCCCTCAAGAATTTCCCTGTATTTAGCGCCATCCATCATTCCTTCAATTCTGACCAGTTTCACAGTCCCTGCCGATGAAGAATATCCCCACAGCATGATGCTGCCACCACCATGCTTCACTGTGGGGATGGTGTTCTCGGGGTGATGAGAGGTGTTGGGTTTGCACCAGACATAGCGTTTTCCTTGATGGCCAAAAAGCTAAATTTTAGGTCTCATCTGACCAGAGTACCTTCTTCCATATGTTTGGGGAGTCTCCCACATGCCTTTTGGCGAACACCAAATGTGTTTGCTTATTTTTTTCTTTAAGCAATGGCTTTTTTTCTGGCCACTCTTCCGTAAAGCCCAGCTCTGTGGAGTCTACAGTGAGGGAAAAAAGTATTTGATCCCCTGCTGATTATGTACATTTGCCCGCTGACAAAGAAATGATCAGTCTATAATTTTAATGGTACTTTTATTTGAACAGTGAGAGACAGAATAACAACAAAAAAATCCAGATAAAACGCATGTCAAAAATGTTATAAATTGATTTGCATTTTAACGAGGGAAATAAGTATTTGACCCCTCTGCAAAACATAACTTAGTACTTGGTGGCAAAACCCTTGTTGGCAATCACAGAGGTCAGACATTTCTTGTAGTTGGCCACCAGGTTTGCACACATCTCAGGAGGGATTTGTCCCACTCCTCTTTGCAGATCTTCTCCAAGTCATTAAGGTTTCGAGGCTGATGTTCGGCAACTCAAACCTTCAGCTCCCTCCACAGATTGGCTAGGCCACTCCAGGACCTTAATGTGCATCTTCTTGAGCCATTCCTTTGTTGCCTTGGCCGTGTGTTTTGGGTCATTGTCATGCTGGAATACCCATCCACGACCCATTTTAAATGCCCTGGCTGAGGGAAGGAGGTTCTCACCCAAGATTTGACAGTACATGGCCCCGTCCATCGTCCCTTTGATGCGGTGAAGTTGTCCTGTCCCCTTAGCAGAAAAACAACCCCAAAGCATAATGTTTCCACCTCCATGTTTGACGGTGGGTATGGGGTTCTTGGGGTCATAGGCAGCATTCCTCCTCCTCCAAACACGGCGAGTTGAGTTGATGCCAAAGAGCTCGATTTTGGTCTCATCTGACCACAACACTTTCACCCAGTTCTCCTCTGAATCATTCAGATGTTCATTGGCAAACTTCAGACGGGCATGTATATGTGCTTTCTTGAGCAGGGGGACCTTGCGGGCGCTGCAGGATTTCAGTCCTTCACGGCGTAGTGTGTTACCAATTGTTTTCTTGGTGACTATGGTCCCAGCTGCCTTGAGACCATTGACAAGATCCTCCCGTGTAGTCCTGGGCTGATTCCTCACCGTTCTCATGATCATTGCAACTCCACGAGGTGAGATCTTGCGTGGAGCCCCAGATCGAGGGAGATTATCAGTGGTCTTGTATGTCTTCCATTTCCTAATAATTGCTCCCACAGTTGATTTCTTCAAACCAAGCTGCTTACCTATTGCAGATTCAGTCTTCCCAGCCTGGTGCAGGTCTACAATTTTGTTTCTGGTGTCCTTTGACAGCTCTTTGGTCTTGGCCATAGTGGAGTTTGGAGTGTGACTGTTTGAGGTTGTGGACAGGTGTCTTTTATACTGATAACAAGTTCAAACAGGTACCATTAATACAGGTAACGAGTGGAGGACAGAGGAGCCTCTTAAAGAAGAAGTTACAGGTCTGTGAGAGCCAGAAATCTTGCTTGTTTGTAGGTGACCAAATACTTATTTTCCACCATCATTTGCAAATAAATTAATTAAAAATCCTACAATGTGATTTTCTGGAGAAAAAAAATCTCATTTTGTCTGTCATAGTTGACGTGTACCTATGATGAAAATTACAGGCCTCTCTCATCTTTTTAAGTGGGAGAACTTGCACAATTGGTGGCTGACTAAATACTTTTTTCCCCCCACTGTAACTAATTAGGTGACTTCTGAAGGTAATTGGTTGCACCATATCTTATTTAGGGACTTCATAGCAAAGGTGGCGAATACATATGCACGCACCACTTTTCCGTTATTTATTTTTTAGAATTTTTTGAAACAAGTAATTTTTTTCATTTCACTTCACCAATTTGGACTATTTTGTGTATGGCCATTACATGAAATCCAAATAAAAATCTACTTAAATTACAGGTTGTAATGCAACAAAATAGGAAAAACACCAAGGGGGATGAATACTTTTGCAAGGCACTGTACATGTACTGTATGTATGGTCTGCAGTCCATAATGATTCAAATAGGCTACATGTCGCAAATTATTGCACAACTTGTAATAAGTTAGCCTAATATGATCCACTATTGCTAGCGATCCTCAGGAACAACCACACGAACGTGACAGAGAAAAGAAAAGTAAACTAACTATGGAATGGAATGATGCAAAATGTAAGGAAACTAACACTAAAGTGACCGTTATAAATGTATGTAGGTATAACTGACAGTGGCTACCAATAGTGGCTAATATTTAACACGATACAAATTGTACAAAATACAGTGAAAAGTCTGTGCATATAATTAAAACATTCTAGAAACCATAAATCAACTCACTAGGTTTGGCGCTATACTCTACTTTGCGCATGGCTACAGAAGTTTGGGGCTCCAAATGTCATCCTTGCAAGTTATAAGGCCTGCATATTATAAACGTCACTGTGGGAAAGTTGATATGTTGATTTGCTTTAGTTTGCTGCCATATGACTGGTTTCACATTTGTCTCCAGCGATCATAAGTTAAAATATATCTAAAACAATTGTCATTAATAATTATAATATGCCATTCTCATTAATATTTACAATCCCCTTATCCAAATGGCTTACTTTACCTAGAGCTTATCAATAGCTCTTATCAATTTGTAAATTACAGTGCACGGAGAATGGTGTTATTTCTATAGGAAAAAAGAAAGAACATGCTGTTCCACTTGGAACCGACAGGTTGCTCGACCTTATTCATCGTTTCATCGCGCGTGAAGGTGGTGGCATTATAAGGGAATTAAGTCAAGGTAGACACACCTCCACCACACCTAATTTCTTTAATCTCCACCCCAAACGAATAGCGAGTGAATAGCATGGTATTCTCATGCTTAAGTTTAAGGTCAGAATACATGTAGAGAAAAGTGCATAAAAAGGGATTTACGTTCCATTTACGCACACTTTTTCTTAGGTCGGAATTCCCCCCAAAGAGTCTCAGAGTAGGACTGCTGATCTAGGATCAGTTTTGCCATTTAGATCATAATGTATAAGACAGGGAGGGACCTGGGCAAGTATCCACAAAGCGTCTCAGAGTAGGTGCTGATCTAGGATCTGTCCATACAATCTTATTCAGTATGACCTAAAAGGTTAAACTAATCCTAGATCAGCACTCCTATTCGGAGACAGGCCTCCGGCCTGATAATGGATGTTGGGAGAGACTATAATAGCCATGGTTGACTCATCACTTCTCTAACCTTAATTGATCAATAATTACTATGCACGTATTTGTCAGCTCTAGAGCATGCAACTAATTCTGTTTCTAGGAAACAAACAGTACAGACAGATCAGCTCGTGTTCAGGTAGGTACGATCTGAATTTATGAAATGGTTGTTTTGGTTTGTCGTTGTGAAGCGGTTTGCTACAGTGTGCCCACAGTGGACCCTAATGAACACAACCCAGGTGGGAAGGACAAATCAAAACGTTGACTATTTAAGATATAATTTCTGGGAGCCTACCAAGCAGTGTGCATACATTCTCTTTCCTTCAATCACAGTACATTTGTGAGATACCAATGAGTATGAGAATGTGTCTACATAATCTATCAAACTACAAAACCCTAGTTCACAGATAACCCCACCTTCCTGGTTGTCCTTGGGGCTTGTGTCGGTCACAGCTAGACAGGTCTCTGACTGCTCTCCACCTGCTCCTGTCTCTCTCTGTCCTCCCGTCTCCTCCTGTCTTCCTGTCTCTCCCCTCGTTACCGTCTCCTTCTGACTGTCTGTCTTCTTCTGTCGGCCTGTTGGCTCTGCTTCTCCCTTGGGGATTTTGGGGATCTTGGTAGCAGAGGGGCTGTGTGATGGAAGCGCCTCAGAGGTGGCTTCACTGTACCCAAGCAAAAAAAAACACACCAAATACCAAGAGAGTGAATTGACAGTGCAGTCACATACAGGAAAACATAATGTGCACAGACATACAGTACAGTACATAGGCTAAGCCATAGACACACAAGCAAGCTTACAAATAATGATAATAATTTATAAAATTCAAGTATAATCTCATCATGTCTTTATACTACTTTGTGATAAATACATTTCCCCTGGTGTTCCCTTGATATTTCACAGCCCTGGGAGAGTGTGCCCAGTCGTGACTCTGTGGAAGGGATCCCTAAGTGATGGCTACATGACGTACTATCCCCTCTACTGACTCCAATACATTAGGATGCCTTGAAAGAATGACTGACTGACGGACTTTGACCTATGTCGGCTAGACTCAAGCCAGATCAAAAGCATCAAAGTGAATGTTACAGCTTGTGAACAGGGATGTTTATCTCCCCTTTCTTCCTCCCTCCCTCCCTCCCTCCCCCCCCCCCCCCCTCTCTCTCTCTCTCTCTCTATCTCTCCTTACACTTGTCTTTTCATCTTCTCCTGTTTTCCTTCTCCCACAATCCCCGGAGTTTGCTGGGGACCAGAAAGCTGCAGCAGAAGTTCAGCCAATCTGGTGCGGAGCTCCGCCTTCCTGAAGATCTGAAGATGGGGAGGGGGTTAATAAAACATGCATGACCGTAGACATCTCCCTGGGTACGTCTCAATAGTCTAACGTCGCTCCTCCTTCATCTGCACTGATCTGAGAAGAGATGGACTGATAAAAGACAGTGAGTAGACATCCATCCATTATAGTACTGTCACTTTCCCTATGTTTCCAGATCAGAGCAGATGAAGGAAAGGAGACAAAATGACCACTGTAGACTATCGATATGTGCCCCCCAACGATGTGTATAAACCCTGAATGGCTAACAGGGGCACTGTATTGAAGCCCCCGTACAGCCATCTTGGTACTCCTCCTCGATTGTAAAGAATATTTTGGAAGCCACAGAAATGCATTTATTAATGTCTACATTCGTTTTTGACACGTTTATTCTATTACAGGCACCTTAATGTATACTTTCAAATTATATTATGTGAGCTAAACATACAAATTTAAAAGATCTACAAAGTATTTTTTTTTGCAAGTACTAATGTTATTGTCCCCACTACAACAACAAAAATACTTAAATACATGTAATTTTGTCCTTAATTAAAATACTGTAGAATTCCATTCCTTTTAATGGAGGTCTCCTGCTAGGTAGTGCCAATATGGCCGACCGGTGGCTTCAAAGCCTCTCATAGCATCAGCAATCCAGGGTTCATAAACGCAAATCAAGATGATAAAGGCGTGATATATTTAGACACAAGAGAAGGGTATCATGTTATGCTTACATTTGATATATTCAATTAGTGTAGATGTCAAAACCCAATGAGAATGCAAGTTGTTTACCACTATATTTCTAAAGATTATGATCTAGCGAGCCAATTCTCTATCTCACATGGGTGAAATTATTTAATGATCAGCTGTTCTATGGTCCAGCTAGGTTACAGTGTTTGAGAGTGGCCTCAATTGAACTCACTCACCATCGAGAGTGTAATAATGTAAAATGTAACCTGCAAGATTGTATTGGAGGATTAAGGTGCTACATCAAGATCTCTCTTGGGAGTGAGTACAGTCATATCCGGGAGTATTAGTACCAAGGGAAATCTATTCAGGATTGTGGAATATGCGCCGGTGCGCTCATGACACGACTGATGTTAAAACTATAGATTAAGATTAGAAGTGAAGTCGCGTTCTGTACCTTTACTCTTTCTTCTGGAGTGAGAGATTGAGAAATTTTGATCTCCAGATTCTCAATCTGTCTCAGTTTCTTCTGGAGTTTTCTCACTTCCCCCATCTGAAACCCCTATTCTACAAGCACCAACAACTGTTCCAGATTATTCTGTATACAACGTTTCACTAGGCGTGTGGGCCATGCAACATTCAAGTGTTTCTACCGTTTCACTAGTTTGCTGTCCGCTCTCTTTACAGTCAATTGTTTCCATAGACGTGTCTCATCGCTGATGGCAACAATGGTGGATAGCCTGTTCGAGGGTATACATTTGAGCAAGGATGTGCGCAGATTCGCTAATCTTCATCACATAATGAGTCGTTTTTCGGACGCAAGGGGATTATGTGTAGATCAGTGATTCTGCGCAGTCCGACTGCAATGTAGTAGATCTCAAACACACACAGGAGCTTTAGTAACTTCTTCTCTGGTCTTCCGGACTGTTACAGCCATTGCTCTGGTTTACAGTGACACTAGGTGGAAGGGAGAGGAACTTAATTGACTAAATCCAAATACCAAGGCAGCGTTTAATTTGAATAAAATGTGCTCCCTCATTTCTGCCCTCGTTCACTTCTCCCCTCCCCTCCACTGACTGATTTGATAAGATTTAATTTATGTGCCAATATGTGCCTTTTGTTATAGCCTAACAATGTTTGGTGTTATAACTTAATAATTATTTATATTCAGTGTATGAGAATGGGACTTGGTCTTCAATAATTCAGTTTGTGAGATAAAGCATTTAAATTGCCATTTAATTCAATAACAAATAAGTGCTCAATCATAATGCCAATATGCACCTTTTGTTATAATAAGTTGTAATAACTTTAAACTTCCATAGTAAAAATGATTTATATGTCTAGTCTGTGTACAGTGCCTATAGAAAGTCTACACCCCCCTTGGATTTCTTCACATTTATTGTGTTACAAAGTACGATTACAATAGATTTAGTCTAGTTGTCATTTTTTGTCAACTATCTACATGAAATACTCTATAATGTCAAAGAGTAAGACAAATGTGATATATTTTTTAAGATGAATGAAAAATAAAACACTAATATACCTCGATTAGATACAGTGAGGGAAAAAAGTATTTGATCCCCTGCTGATTTTGTACATTTGCCCACTGACAAAGAAATGATCAGTCTATCATTTTAATGGTATGTTTATTTGAACAGTGAGAGACAGAATAACAACAACAAAATCCATAAAAACGCATGTCAAAAATGTTATAACTTGATTTGCATTTTAATGAGGGAAATAAGTATTTGACCCCTCTGCAAAACATGACTTACTACTTGGTGGCAAAACCCTTGTTGGCAATCACAGAGGTCAGACGTTTCTTGTAGTTGGCCACCAGGTTTGCACACATCTCAGGAGGGATTTTGTCCCACTCCTCTTTGCAGATCTTCTCCAAGTCATTAAGGTTTCGAGGCTGACGTTTGGCAACTCGAACCTTCAGCTCCCTCCACAGATTTTCTATGGGATTAAGGTCTGGAGACTGGCTAGGCCACTCCAGGACCTTAATGTGCATCTTCTTGAGCCACTCCTTTGTTGCCTTGGCCGTGTGTTTTGGGTCATTGTCATGCTGGAATACCCATCCACGACCCATTTTCAATGCCCTGGCAGAGGGAAGGAGGTTCTCACCCAAGATTTGACGGTACATGGCCCCGTTCATCGTCCCTTTGATGCGCTGAAGTTGTCCTGTCCCCTTAGCAGAAAAACATCCCCAAAGCATAATGTTTCCACCTCCATGTTTGACGGTGGGTATGGTGTTCTTGGGGTCATAGGCAGCATTCCTCCTCCTCCAAACACGGCGAGTTGAGTTGATGCCAAAGAGCTCAATTTTGGTCTCATCTGACCACAACACTTTCACCCAGTTCTCCTCTGAATCATTCAGATGTTCATTGGCAAACTTCAGACGGGCATGTATATGTGCTTTCTTGAGCAGGAGGACCTTGCGGGCGCTGCAGGATTTCAGTCCTTCACGGCGTAGTGTGTTACCAATTGTTTTCTTGGTGACTATGGTCCCAGCTGCCTTGAGATCATTGACAAGATCAGGTATCCTGTGTAGTTCTGGGCTGATTCCTCACCGTTCTCATGATCATTGCAACTCCACGAGGTGAGATCTTGCATGGAGCCCCAGGCCGAGGGAGATTGACAGTTATTTTGTGTTTCTTCCATTTGCGAATAATCGCACCAACTGTTGTCACCTTCTCACCAAGCTGCTTGGCAATGGTCTTGTAGCCCTTCCAGCCTTGTGTAGCTCTACAATCTTGTCCCTGACATCCTTGGAGAGCTCTTTGGTCTTGGCCATGGTGGAGAGTTTGGAATCTGATTGATTTATTGCTTCTGTGGACAGGTGTCTTTTATACAGGTAACAAGCTGAGATTAGGAGGACTCCCTTTATGAGTGTGCTCCTAATCTCAGCTCGTTACCTGTATAAAAGACACCTGGGAGCCAGAAATCTTTCTGATTGAGAGGGGTTCAAATACTTATTTCCCTAATTAAAATGCAAATCAATTGATAACATTTTTGTCATGCGTTTTTCTGGATTTTGTTGTTGTTATTCTGTCTCTCACTGTTCAAATAAACCTACCATTCAAATTATAGACTGATCATTTCTTTGTCAGTGGGCAAACGTAGAAAATCAGCAGGGGATCAAATACTTTTTTCCCTCACTGTAAGTATTCAACCCCCAGAGTCAATACATGTTAGAAACACCTTTGGCAGCTATTACAGCTGTGAATCTTCTTACCTGTATTGTGCAATATTTGGCCATTATTCTTTTCAAAATTCTTCAAGCTTAGTTAAGGTGTTGGGGATCATAGCTAGACAGCAATTTTCAAGTCTTGCCAAGCAGATTTAAGTCAAAACTGTAACTTGGCCACTCAGGAACATTCACTGTCTTCTTGGTAAGCAGCTCCAGTGTAGATTTTGCGTTGTGTTGAAGGTTATTGTCCTGTTGAAAGGTGAATTACTTTCCCAGTCTGGTGTAAAGCAGACTGAAGCAGGTTTTTCTCTAGGAGTTTGCCTGTGTTTCATTTCTTTGCATTCTGAAAAACTCTCCAGTCTTTGCCGATGTCAAGCATACACATACCATGATGCAGCCACCACCATGCTTGAAAATAAGGAGACAGTTACTGAGTGATGTGTTGTGTTGGATTTGCCTCCAACATAAGGCTTTGCATTTAGGCCAAAATGTTTATTCCTTTGCAGTGTTTTTTTTTCCAGTATTACTTTAGTAATTTTTTTTCTGTATATTTGTATTATTCTTTTCACTCTGTCATTTAGGTCACTACAATGTTGTTGATCCATCCTCAGTTTTCTACCATCACAGCCATTGAACTCTGTAGCTGTTTTAAAATCACCAATGGCCTCATAGTGACATCCCTAAGCAATTTATTTCCTGTCCTACAGCTTAGTTCAGAAGGAAGACTGCATCTTTGATGTGTCTAAGTGGTTTAATACATCATCCACAGCGTAATTATTAACTGGACCATGCTTAAAGATATATTTAATGTCTGGTTTGTTATTGTTACCCATCTACCAATCACTGCTCTTCTAATAAAGGGGAGTATATATATTTTTTTAAACATGGGGGATTGGAAGTGATGCAGACAATTACATTGATGGAAGTTACAATCTATCTGCAATATTAAGCTGATTAGGCTTTCGAAAAGCTCCCTGGTCTTTTTAGTTAAATCTGTGCTTGAAATTCAATACTTGACTGAGGGACCTTATAGATGTTGTATGTATGGGGGACAGAGGAAGGGGTAGTCATACAAAAATCATGTCAACCCCTATTATTTCACACAGAGTGAGTCCATATAACTTATTATGTGATTTGTACAATTTTTACTTCATCTTTTTGTATTTTACCCACCTTTTTCTCCCCAATTTCGTCATATCCAATTACAATCTTATCTCATCATTGCAACTCCCCAACGGGCTCGGGAGAGGCGAAGTTCAAGTCATGTGTCCTCTGAAACATGACCTGCCAAACCGTGCTTCCTTAACACCCGCCTGCTTAACCCAGAAGCCAGCCGTACCAATGTGTCAGAGGAAACACCGTTCAACTGGTGACCGAAGTCAGCCTGCAAGCGCCCGGCCCACCACAAGAAGTCGCTAGAGTGCAATGAGCCAAGTAAAGCCCCCCGACCAAACCCTCCCCTAACCCGGACAACGCTGGGCCAATTGTGTGCCGCCCTATGGGACTCCCAGTTCACGGCCGGTTGTGACACAGCCTGGGATCAAACCCGGGTCTGTTGTGACGCCTCAAGCACTGCGATGCAGTGCCTTAGACCACTGCGCTCTCGGGAGTAGACCCACATTTGACTTCTAAACTAATTTAGGATTGCCTAAACAAAGGGGGTAAATACTTATGCGACAACTATAGTTTAGTTATACATTTTTTATTAAGTTGTACAAATGTGTAGAATTTTCTTTTCACTTTGACATCATGGAGTATTTTGTGTAGATCAATGGCAAAAAAATGTCATGGGGGTATAGACTTTCTATAGGCATTGTATGTGTGAAAGCATTTTTTAAACCAGTTGGAGGTATTGCTTTTCATTCGACATCTTGTCTCTTCTATGTCCTGCTGTGCGTTTTCCAGCACTATCAACATTTTGTAATTTTTCCTAGGCTAATGCCTAGCTTATCTCCAGCCCACAATATGTCATAGGCATAGTCTGCATATGGCTCCATCTATCAGACAGAGAAAGAAAATATCAAGAAGAGTATATATACACAACTTTATTTCTGTATCTGTATGAGTATTACAAGACCATTTGGGTTAAGTCTTTCATGGTGTTCAATCATGAAAATGGGTCAGCTAGGTCTACAATACAGTACAGGTAAATATAGTAGGCTTAGTCATTGAAGCTATTGTTAAGTTGTGGCCACCATTGTTGCAGAAGTTCTGCAGAGTCTTGTGCAATGAGAGCATAGCAAGTGCTACAGCAGAGTTTGAAGTAAGGCAGGTGCAACCATCAGCCCCAACTGCAGCAAAAACGGAAGAGTCAGGGTGCTTGCCCTAGCCCTACAGAGAAGAGAGGGAAGAGCGAGAGAGAGAGAGAGAGAAAGAGGGAAGAGCAAGAGAGAGAGAGAGAGAGAGAGAGAGAGAGAGAGAGAGAGAGAGAGAGAGAGAGAGAGAGAGAGAGAGAGAGAGAGAGAGAGAGAAGGAACTGAATTTCTACACTCTTAGAAAAGGGGCTACCTAGAACCATCAAGGGTTCTTCTGCTGTCCCTGTATGAGAACCTTTTTGGCTCCACGTAGAACAGATGTAGAACTGATGTAGA